AAAAAAAGCATCTTTTTTTGTGGTGTATATAGAAAAAAGCTTTTGATATCAGTCAATAGCTGTTAGTTATTGATGACATTTGGGAATATCGCTGTGTTCTCTTATGTCTGTGTAGTCAACATTTTAAATTTTTTGAGCGGTCCGCGCTCTCTGACTGTAAGCAAAGCCATTCTCCACCTCCTCCAACCTGATTGGTTGCAAGATGGACAAGGCTCCCTCGTGCTGATTGGTTGTGAGGCAGATGCTGCTCCTTCATGTTGTGAGGCACGCCCCACATCCTTGAACAACGTTCATGAACCCAAACGAAGTTAGCTGCTACAATATCAGACAGTAGAAACCAATCAGAAAGTACAGAAAACTGTCTGAATCCTCCTTTAGCCACGGCTGCCAACACAAGCAAGAAAACAAAGTAAATAACAGAGACTCTGGCGGAACAACGGGTGCTTTAAAAAGAGGTAGACCGGACAAGAGCTAAAAAGCCGGGTAACATCAATGAAGCATAAACGCTTTAGGGACACTTCGAGATCTTATGGACCATATAACCTTTCTGCTGGACAGGTAAACCACCTTAACAAAGTAAGCCACGTGTCTGTAACAGAAGTGTTTCTTGTCAAACGGAACTTGCTGCATGTTGTAGCATCGCTAAACTGTTTCACTCGGGTCCTGGAGTATGTCACTTTATCGTAATTGTAGAAGTCCTGCAAACATTGTGTTTGCTGGTAGTCTGTTGGCATCTACAGTAGCGCCAATGCTGTTTACTTTCGTGTTGACTGGACCCCATTTGTAATTATCAGATGTATTTATCTGCATTATATCTGAATTTAATTGAAGCAGGAGCGTCTGTTTGTGGGCGGGGCTTGCTAGAGCAGAGAGGGAGGGGAGGAGCAGAAGGGAAATCTGGTTGGGAGGGCTCGTGTTTACATTCAAGATTTCTCCCAAAAACTGGAACTTCCTCAGGTCCTGCCTACCCCACCTTTAATTCCAACCGACCAGCCATGTTTGGGATTGGCTTAAAATAAGCACATGTGTCATTAGTACCTAAGGCTGCTTTCAGCAGTGACATCTGAATGGCTAGCTTTGGCCTATTTTAAGTTGTTGCCACATTGTTCACAGTTGTGACAGGGTGAATTAATGTGCAACTGTACAAGTATTCATTTTCTTCTATTTTTGAGTATAGTTTCGGTAAAATGCGTCAGAGGATGGCACCCTTCCAGGAAAAGGCATGCAAATGTGTTAGAATACAGTACCAAGTTTCAATATTTCAGTCTGAATGAATTATACAGTTTATCCTGAAGCTAGCTGTGCAGAACCAAAGTTAAAATCACAACTGCAGCGTTGTTGAAACGGGTTCTTAACATTTTAATGTAGCATAAAGGTGCAGTGAGGACATTAACACTGATACTTTTCTGCATATAAAGGGAGGCTCTCATCCTTTCCGTGCACAAGTTCATCTTGTGTCAGCATGAAAATGTGAAAATAGAAGCTGCAAGCTGTTTACCTTTGAAAAAAGTCAATGAGCGGAGACTTCCAATTAAGCCCATATACCATGGATTGGGGGAAGGAGACTCAGTTTGTTTTGTTTTGACTTGACTGGCACGCTCAGCACTCTTCTCTCCGTGCAGGAGAGTGTGTGTCACAGCACTTTTTCCTGATGAGTCCGATGTGATCCGTCATTCTCTCTGTCATTCCCCCTCTCTCTCTCTCTCTCTCTCTCCCTCTGGACTCCTTCCATCACTCGTCCAAGTGAGAGAGTGGCGTGACAGTGATGTGATGGGGCTACACAGGCTGTCAAGATGGATTGCTACCCTGGGAGATTTGCAAACTCTCTCTCTCTCTCTCTCTCTCACACACACACACACGCACTCACACACACACACACAAACGACACACAAATGTACAGACAGAGTCACACACGTATGCATTCACCCATATTCATACACACAATTGCACACATGCGTGACCACACAATCACAGACTGAGCTGCATGTGCACACGCACATGGTCCAGCGAACTCTCAGGCCTGTCAGCCGAAGGTCGCTCAATCTGACAAAGTGTTCCAGTTGGAAACAGGCCCAGCGAGGCATCATGGCTTCACTGCCTGCACTGCATCATGAAACATACATACATACACCTCAAGAAAAAAAAAAGTACTCTACCAGCCTCGACAGTGATCACTATATGTGGTACACATTTGTTTTCACAGTTTCTCATGCTAACATGAGCCTCAGTTCACTTTAATGCCTCCCATATGTAAGCTCTAATGTTCTGCGGGCATTAAAACACGCATCACCTTCAAACAGAGGACATATGATGCTCACACATGACCCTGTGATCTGATATTTCACATTTGTTCCAGACCTGTGTAAAACTGTCACACATCAGATTGCCTTCCTCCATACGAACACACTTCCTTGCCCTTTAAACCACACACAAACAGACACACACACACACGCACGTGCACGCACGGACAGACCAGTCAAGGATGATCAGTGTGAATCTCTGCCAAGCAGTCCTCCCTCTTCTTCCTTACACACACAAATACACACACACGCTCACGCAGACACACACACACAGGCAGGAGCCTAACCCCACAGGACAGCATGTCAGGCAAAGATCTGAGAACACATTTTCGACTTGGCTGAGCAATCGAGCGGCCCGGGGGTCCACTCGGGTGCTGGTCTCTGCCCACCCTTCGTCTGCCCCTCTTTCTGCATCGCCAGTCAGCAGCGAGCAGCCGATGAGGTCAGCCAGACGGAGATGAATCCATACTCCGCTGGCAGGGCCGCCTGTAAGACTCAATTCCTGTTTTTCAGTCTTTATCTGTGGACCAAACACAGTTGCTCTGTACGACCGTCTTATCTGTGACTTTGGCAGCTGATGTTCACATGACTGATACTTGACAGGTAACACTGTTTCAGCTTTTGCTGACTATACAGTTAATAGAAACAAAGAGGCACTCAAGTAAGTCTGGAACTGAAGTATTGAAGACACAGACTGTGATCTGAATATCTCCTATCCACAATGAAATGCTATTACCATTAAATTAAGAGGTCTGGGAGATTTAAGATGCTATTCCAGTATTGTGCATCCCTATACATATCTGTTAAAGAAATATTCCAGCATAAAATTAATTTAGGGTCAAGCACACCATAATACTGAGTTAGACATCCCCTCAAGAGATAAATGTTGCCAACCGCTTGCTTCTCTAGTTAGACCAACTTTATTAACAACGGCACTATAGCAATACACAGCGGTCTGAGGAGCCCTAAACAAACCTCAACCAAAACGCCACTCTATAGCTACAAACAATGCTCACAACAGCACCTAACTTCTTCAATGTTACAGAGTCCTAGCCACAGCACTAGCCATCAAACATCTTTTTAACTTTGCCTAATTTCTTTAGCAAAGACTAAACACAACTCACCTACTATTCGTAGTGAGACCTCAGGCCACCTCGGGGTGTCGCAGCTCAAGGAAGAACATTTGTGATCATTTCTTCATAGAAATGCAATCAGACCGAGATGCTAAGTCAGAAGAACTACCGCGTCTGCAGTGCAAAATGATTAATATGGTGATTATTACTTCAGGGAAATAAAGTAATGATCATAAATGTTCTTCCTTGAGCTGCGTCAACCTGATGTAGTCTGTAATGGGCTGGCCTGAGGTCTTGCTACAAACAAGCGGCTGCTGGAAGAGAGTAGGTGAGTTGTGTTTAGTCTCTTTGCTAAAGAAATTAGGCAAAGTTAAAAAGATGTTTGATGGCTCGTGCTATGGCTGGGACCCTATATGTACTGTTGATGAAGTTAGGTGCTGTTGTGAGCATTATTTGTGGCTATAGAGTGACGTTTTGGTTGAGGTTTGTTTATGGCTCCTCATACCACTGTGTATTGCTATCCTGTGGTCGTTGCTAAAGTTGGTATAACTAGAGAAGCAAACGTTCAGAAACATTAATCTCTCCACGGGCTGTCTAACTCGGTGTTATGGTGTTTGACCCTAACTTAATTTTACGCTGGAATATCCCTTTAATGCTACCTTGAGAGCCATGTGTATCTTTGCAAAAACACCAGCAGTGACACAGCCAGACTTTTGGTGTCACAGTTTGAAACAAATACGACACATCAGTCTCAGAGAAAGACAAAAAAACTCAGAAATGGATCTGTCGGGTTAAATAGAAGCATCAGTGTCAAATTGCATTGTTTCATAACCAGTTCATGGCTCATAGTCAGTTTGATAAACATTAAATCAAGCACACAATACGCCTGCATAAACGTACACAAACGTCCACTCTAGTTTTGACTGTGTTGGTTGCTATGTAGAGAAAACACGGGTCAAACAAAAGAGAACAAGCTCAATTACCAGAAATATAAACATTAAAGCTTTTCTTCCCATTTGTGAATGATTAGCAGCACATTAGCTGAAGGACTAATTAGGCCTCAAGAGTGCTTGGACCCTGTTATTAGCACAAACTTGTCAGTGTGGCACAGAGGAGAGCACATTTCCATCCCACTGCGAGGAGCCAGGTGGCCTTTGTTTGTGAGCTGCAGACATTCTCAACAGCAATCTTTCCTCTGAAGACCCGTCTGCTCCTCTGTGCTCCACTTAGACCTCGAGTCTGACAACCACAGGGGAGATGAAACACATACACACACACACACACACACACACACACACACAGAGGAAGTGGTGGGGGAGGTCACTCTAGTACAGAGGCAGTTTATGGTACAACACAGACTGCGTCACAGATGAGACCATGTCAAAACACCTCAGCCACCACCGGTGCTGTGCTTTTGCTTTTGAGAGTGTGTGTGCATGATGTGTGTGTGTGTCGGTGTCATTGTGCATGCAGAAGTGTGCATTCGTACCGTGAGAGAAGGAGTCAGTGGCTCACAGTTCCTTGTCGTTATTTTTAACCAGAACGGTGGTGGTTGAGCGGGGAAGTCTGTCTGTCTGGTTTTGTGTCTTGCTTTAGGCGCACCAATCATCTCTTTCAGTCTCTTCTTCCAGCTATCTCTGTGAGAAAGAAAGAGTTAGACACAAAGAGAGAGGAAATAACGCTATTTCTTAAAATAAAATGTACACACAAAGCTAAGCTGCTGCTACCTTGATGTTCATCTGTGCTACACTGTGTTTAACAGTGTTTTGTATGAAGTCGAGAGTGTTTCTGTGGGAAAGGAGAGCGAGAGAGAAAGTCTGCTAATGAGCAGTGTGTGAGAGCTCTGTGCTGACAGTAGCTAACACAACCACTTCCAGACACACTCACACATTTGCACGCACACACACACATACACACACACACACACACACACACACACACACACACACACACACACACACACACACACACAGAGTCGAGGCACACATGTCCTGGGAGACAAGTGTGGAGAAAGTAGTCCCAGTGTGAGAGTAGTAATTAGACTCCCATCCATTAACACAAGGGGCTGTGGAGGAGGATGAGCAGCAGGTGTGTGGGTGTCGGGGTGTGTTCCTGCCAGTGTGTATCTGTGTACGTCTGTGTTTTTCCTTTGTGTACATGTACATAATAGTCAAGTGCGAATACATTGTTAATTGTGAGAGGTGTCTTTGTGCGCCTGCAGTCTGCCCGTAAATATGTAGCTGTATGCTAACAACACTGTGCATGTTGACCTTAAAGTATGGATGCATCTGTTACGAGAGCTCAGCAGCAGGTGTGAACCGAACACAAGGAGCGAGAAAACATGTTCAAAGACAGGTTTGTTTACACACTCAGAGTCACCGAGGCACAGAGACGGAAAAGCTCAACTGAGGTCTTTCCTCTTGGCTTAGCTGATTTTGATACCTGCACACAAACAAAACATAATTCAAAGTAATTGATATGTACAGTGTTTGCAATCTGGCTCAGCAGAGACACCTACAAGTACAAAGTAATTCAAACAGATATTTTCCTCATCTATATCAAGACTTTGTAAGCCTTTATACTCATTTTATCTACATAATATAATATAAATCACAGTGTGCACATCATCATCATCATGTATAGCTAGCAGTAACTATAGTTTATTCGTCTATTTATCCAAATATGTGTGTTGTTACTGCACAGCTATTGTCAGCATTCATCAGGGTGTTTCTGACAGAACCCAACGGTGTATCAGTCTAACAGGAAGCCGAACTGAACTGGTCTCTGATTAGCCTCTTGGGTCCATCTGGATGGGAACACTGAATGATGTAATATGTAAATGTCACCTGATGAGAGTCTTTTTAATGCCTGGTATAATGAGATCCCTTTGGCTTAGCTTGCCCGCAGGATTTGAAACGGACAATTTAAGAGATTATTGGTCTCCTGATGAGGTCAGTAGGTTTGTAGGTTGGAGGTCTTGCCAGAAGCGATGGTGATTGCTGGCCTCACTTTTCGAGGCACCTGTGGGAACAGGAAGGGCCCACCCAAGCAACTCCATATGTGAATGTGTGTGCGTTTATGTGTCTGACCCTAACAGTTTTGTCAAATACTCACAAAGAAAGAAAGAAAGAAGAAGAAGAGGCTGGAGAAAGCCAAACATGTGTGAGAGAGCAAGAGTGAAAGGAAAAGCGAGGGAGTGTGTGAGAGTGCTGTATACAAACCACAGCTTTGCTCCATGCTGTAATTTCCCCTGCCGCCAAAACCACCACTGCTTCTGCTGTTGCTGCCTAGTGCTGCGGCAGACTTTAGCTTCTCTGGCTGTCTCGCTGGCTGGGCCTGGCTAGTGCTTGTAGACAGGGGTTACGCTAACCCTATGACTGTTTGTTTATCTTGCAGCCAGAACCGACCATTAAAAGTGGGCCCTCAGTCAAAAGCACAAAAACAGACGCTTGTCATGTTCGAGGGCTGTAATTGTAGCTCTCGCGTGATGTTTTTATTTTCCCTCTGACCTCGCTGGATAAACTCAAGAAGCCACTTAACATCGGGCTTGGCTTGCCAGAGCCCAGAGAGAGAATTAAGCAACATGCAGTCAAAAGAGACACATTCTTTTCCCCTCCCTTTTTAATTCATAGCTGGGAGCACTCGCTCTTCAGTTTACCCTTTTCTCTCCCCTCCATATAAAGCACAGCATACCTGTAACAAGATTATAACACACACCAAGTGCTCTTCCTTTAAATCTCATGCATTATCACTGCCACTGAGATCAGCTACACAGCAAACCAACTGAATGCTACCACACAAGCTGTAAATGCTGTGTTTACAATGAGTAAAGGGTGTCTTTAAATTAGCCTCCTGCAGATTGCTATGTGCATAAAACAGTCCTGCACCACCACTGCAGGGATTTGGAATAAATATAGCTTATACCAAACATTATCCAAATACAAGTGATCCCGTGCTGTCTCGCTTCCTTGAAATGTTGACAGAATAGAGCTCAGAGGTTCCAAACTTCACTTGTGGTTGTCATCAATTAAACTGGAAGCACGGGGTGCTCTGAGGACACGATCTCTCCCCTCTCTCCAGCCCTCCCGTGTATCTCCCCCCTCTCTTTTATCTGTGTCTACGTCTGTGCAGCATCATTATGAAATGTGCAATTATAGTCACAGGGAAGGAGAGACAAAGCCATTCAGGAGAAGAAAGAAAGTGAGAGAGAAAATTGGTTCAGTTACAGTTTTCCATGTGACAGGCGTAATTGACAATTTGAGTGAGGCCAGGGGAATCTCATCTGGTGAGACAGAGGAATTTAGTCAGATTAAAGGTTAAGACAGGCTAATTACTTCAATAAGACACGCAGACATGTTCAATGCTGTTGTTACATCAACCCAACAGCAATGATGATGGATTTCAAACTGCGGTTCACAGAGGAATCAGAGGAAAGGAAGTCAATGCTTCACCAATACGACTTGTTGACAGCTAAATACCACCGAGTAAGATTATATTACTCAAGATTGTGAACAGAACCTGAAAACAAGGATGAGCTGGGTATACAACTGTAGACACAAAATCCACAGTATGATGATGCACCTCACTTTAAGGGTTATGATTAATTTGATGTAGGACTCATCTTATTGTCCCTACTGTAGAGATCAAGATGTTTAATAAAGTTTGAGTATGAGAAACGTTTTTTTACATGTACAGCAACGTGTATATTAGAGTCAGTAGAGTAAATAAACAACAAGAGTTTGGGTCTTCGGTAGCCTCTGAACTGGCATCAGCCATCCAATCCATGCTACAAGTGACAAAGCCATCAACAAAGAAATGCTATCACAAAGTACAGCTACGGCTGACAAGTTTAGCATCAACTTCGACGGCTTTGGTCATAATTGGTGTTTTTTTCCCCCCACATGTCATGGCAGAATGTAGCAGGAAAAGCAGCATCCATGATTTACACTAAGAATACCAAATTTTCATCTGTCAGACCACAGGAGCTCAGTCCCTTGGAAGTCGCCAATGTTACTCAAACATGTTTCTGGATCAGTTTATGAATTTCTCATTGAGGTATTTTACTAAAAACCAAGGCTCTGTTTCAACCACTACCCAATACACAGCACACGTTTTAGGAAATCTTCCATTACGTAGGGCTTTCTGAGTCATGGGAGTTATTATACTATAAGCAATGGGTTAATTTTTGTGTTATAATGTATTATGAACAGTGATAAGGCTATTTATACCTTCATGAACTGTGAAGCAAAGGAAAATAGTGGATGGGCAGCATAGTAAATGCAGATTAAGTGACATTTGTAACAAAATCTGAAGCCCTTTCAACTGAATTAGTGTTCCCTCGTGATGATGATAAGAACAGATACATAGGTACGTATACTCGGGATAAATACACTGTGAATCATCAACATACAAAACATGTAAGAGATAACTTTGACCTCGAATACCTCCATCTGGTTCTGGGGTGTTTCAGGTTTATTGTTGAGTCACTCGTTTATCATTCACGTCATTTGCGGCGGAGGAGATGGACAGATGGACAGACAGATGGACATTCAGACAGGGAGTGGTGCTCCTGCCACGCCACAGTGGCATAAGCGATGAGCTGTCAAAACCCGACATCAAATTGCTGAGGAGTAAATATATGCTGCAGCACGATGGAGGCCTCTCCAGGTCATTGTGGTGGGTGTATTGTGTGCATGGAGGAAGTCTCTCTGTTTGTATATTTGTAAAGAATTGTGGCGTGCCAGTGGAAAGTGAGAGAAATCCACATCAGTAAGTTGTCTGGGCCTCACTTTGAGACATTCTCTGAGTGTTTGTTGTTCTGAAGAGACAGATAAACACAATAATTGTAAAGTTTCCTACATAGATTTTGGTTTCACAGTGTCTTGACTGTGGCGGCTCCACGCTACATGGGCCAGGAGACGAGGGTTAAGAACAGGAAAGGCCGTTTTGGCCTTTCTGTGGCACCAAATAAGTGACGGTCCTTCTTGGTGTCCCACAATAACCACATCTAGAGGAGTTCTTCCCAAACCTCCACCCTCCGCTTTGCCGGATTAGATCTCCCAACCATCCCACCCAGTGACTGAACATTGAGGTCCAGGGAGCTGGCAGAGGCAAGGCGGTTGTCTGAATGAGACCGCAGGCCTGCTTGGCCGACTCCTCCAGCCTCCTTGGTAGACCTTCACTAAGGCTTCATTACAGACTGTGGAGCCAAGGGCTGGACCACACTGTGTGCATGTGTGTGTGTGTGTGTGTTTACATGTGTGTATGTACATCTCTGGCTATTTTTGTGTACATAACTGATTGTTTATGCGTGCATGTGTTTACGAGAGCGTCGTCTTAATTTCTCTTTCATGCATGTACATCTGTGCCTTCACATCGTGCATTTAACGTGAACATGTGTGTCTCTGTATATGTTCTGAGCATGCTCCCTGCACTTAAGTGCAAAAGAACTCCCAAGATTTCTTAATGACCACAACTAAGAGACTTGAGCTTTGTTTAGACAGACTTGAGGTTTCAAAAATAGAAGAATTAGCTTTAAATAACCACCAGCAGGATATGGACCAGAAAAAGACCCAACTCTCTGCAGACTTGAGTGAGTGGCAGTTTTGGGTTATGCTTAAGTTCAAGAAATGTTTATGATGCATAACCCTGCTGCTTCCTTTTCCACGAAAAACAAGAGCACATAAAGAACACTTGTGAGCTCAGCCAGCATCCTTATGGGACAAACATTGACTTGGATGACATCAAGTCGTGACCTGATGCAACCAGGAGCCTGAATATAATGTTGTATTATTCACATGTAAAACACATACAAATACATGTACATACATACATGTAAAGTGCATGCAAATAATAACATGTCAAGAATGACCTCCAAATGTGGGATAAGTGTACAAGTGTGTGTGTGTGTGTGTGTGTGTGTGTGTGTAGCCTCCCAAGTACCATGGATGTCACACAGTGCTGTCACTCAGTGTAAATGAGTTCGCTGAGGGGCTCCAATGGGTCAGAGAAGTCACAGAAGCCTGTCCAAGCCTCTCTACACACACACGCACTCACAGGAAAACACACTCACACATCTGCGACCTCACACCAACTTTCTTTTTCTTTTATTTTCCCCCTTTTTACCCTCTATTCTCAAGTCCTGAACAAAAGGGTAATTCAAAGGTCCTTTTTTACCTAAGTATTGAAATATTCTGCTTGTTCCGGTATGCTTGTGCAGCAAAAGCAGTTTATCTCTGCATTTGATACCAGTTTATTGGTAGTACTAGTGAAAAGAATGCAGCTCACTTTTTTATACGGCAAAAAGGTTACACAAGTGTCTTGTTCACTGATTTTGATAATACTTCACCTGTATTTAGACCCAGCCTCTCTCAGCCAAATATCTCACTCTCTTGAATGAGTGAACGAATTAACATGAATGATCCGTCTAATGCTTTTATATTAGTTAAAATGTCCTTATGATTGCTTTGTCTTGGTGTGGCCCTCCTTTTTGTTACCAGCCATGAGCCAGGTACAAACAGTGTCACCTCATGCTCACTCCTCTCTCTCTTTTTTGCCTACTTCCTTCAGCCCCTCCATCGCTCTCATTCTCAGACCTGAATCACTTTATTATTTCTCTCATCCCTCTGCCTTCCCTTACTCTGTCTCTCTGTCTCCCCCGGGGGAGTAGTAATGGGATGATGGGTGGGTGGGCAGCCATCAGGAGTTTTGCTGTGTAGTGGAGGCATCTCTCACCTCCCACCACCTGCTGCAGCCATCCATCTCCATAAGCACACACACTGACTGGGAGTCCACCTCCTAGCTCAGCATTTTCATTTCACATACACACACACACACACACACACACACACAGTTACACTGGATATCTGTTCATAATGGTGCTAATAGAGTCATAAGAACTAAATCAACAACAGTGTGGAGCACACAGAGAAAGACTCCATAAATTAACATTTTTGACAAGGTGTAAGAAGAGTACAAGATTCAAATAAACACTACTAAACACACGTGTTATTCCTGTATCAGTGCAGTCAAAGCACATGCCTCTACAACCCCAATTTTATAACCCGGGATTTCCACCGCATCCAGAACGGCTCAGATCCGCAACAGCGGCAAATTTCGCCGTACGCCAATTCCTACCAGATCCGTTTGTGAGGCGAATTTCTTGGCGGATTACGGACAGCAGGAATCGCAAGAACTCACAAGAACCCGCCGATCCACGCACAATCGTGCGATAACAAGTTGTCTCTCGCCACATAGGCTAACCACATAAGCAGTCGATCGTGTCCTTCCAGAGGAGGAAATCTACTTCTAGACTTATAAAATCAGCATCCTCTCATCCATGGTGTCATCGGGATGAAATGCTGTCTATAAACTTTTCACTTGTTCGTCCCCGCCCGTATGCATGATGTGAAATACAATCCGCCTGAAAGACGGTGTTTTATTTTGTGTCTGTGCCCGACTTCCTTTCAAGCACAGGTCAATCTGTGCTGGATTTATCTGGCATGCTCCGGCGTCTGGAAAAAATAGAACTCTTGCGATCAGCTGTGGAGTCCGGCGATCTGCCTCAGAACGGAATGAAGCCAGTGGAAATTGACACATTTACTTAGATAGTTAAGATCAGCCACGATCGGCGGATTAGTCCTTTTTGTAGTCGTTCCGGATGTGGTGGAAATTGGGGGTTAGAGTTGGTATATTTGGTAAAATGTTTATAAAAACAGAATTTAGTGGATTGACTGTACTCCTTGTCGCAACAGTCACTGATTTGACTCCCCAAAAATGCCCAAAAACATAAATTAAAACTACTTAAAACTACTCTTTCTGTGTCGTGCTGTCCATGTCCAATTGATAAATTTAAAACGAACACATACAGTAATATATTTAGAAATAAAACAATAAATTTGACTTGCGGTCTTCACATTATTTTAAATGAAAGAGGAGCTGTAAATAACTTGCAATCCATCGACTTCTGTGTCTATAAACATTTTGCGACCCGACTATTCAGGACTGAGGCTGTACAACGTCACTTACTTCACCTAAAGAGATACACTCTTTCACCAGGATGATCGCCTTCCCCTCTTTCTCGATGTCACTCTCACTGTCTCCCTCAATCTGTCTCTCCTTAGACAAACCCAGAGGCAATTTGTCCCTGAGAGGCCTGTCTAATAGCTGCCTGAAATCGATGTCTTAAAGGCAAAGGCCTCTTGCTTCAGAAAGCCTGCAGCGGCCCAGCTCCTCCACCGCGGCTTTAAATCACCAGATTATTGGTTTTATGAGTGTGACCCATGTGGAAATAATTGCTAATGTTCCAAGAGTAACCAGTGGAAAGGTGGGTAATGGGGCAATTTATAAATTCTGATTGTAATACATGGAAAGCATCCAGGCCATCTCCTCACTGTTATTTTATGACTGCTCATAAAAGCAGGCCAAGCAGCACAACAGTGGCGGCGACCACAGCCATTAAAATCAATACTGCTGTCACAAACGCTGTTGTTGCTGCTCTCGTGTTGTTTGTGGAGAGGGGAGCCTTCAGGACCAGCTGCAGCAAATCAAATTGTGACAATGACTTATCTGTTGTGTACCAACACTGTAAAAGTTTCTTGTAAATAGGGCTGCAAGTATTGACTCTCTGACTCCTCTGATCGATTATTAATCAGCTCATAAGATAATGAACTCATAATGGCTTAATAGCTTTTAAAGCTCCTATGAGGAGTTACTCGATGTTAATGTAATAAACTGAAATTTAAACTCACCCTTCTTTATGGTAAACAAAAGCAAACAAGACTATTAGTAACAATATTAATGTTTTTTTTACAGTAATTTCTAATGTCTGGAAACATTGAGAGGGGGTAGATGTCAGCCAAGCAGAGGCAGCTGAAGAACACAGCCCCCTTTTTTTTGCAATTTCCTCACAAAGTATTTACAATAAATGATAGATCTGACAGTCAAAAATCAGCAGGATGAGATTTTTTATTTGAGTACTCTACTTCTGCATGTGGAGGACCAGTTAAGTGAAGGCTGGTCTGTCCACAGGAGGTGCCAAAACTGACCCGAAATAGAAAGTTCCTCACATGAGCTTTAATTCTAAATTTAACACTGCTTTTGTAAACTCTAAACATGGCATTAAAAATATTAATTCATGCCATATTTTTTACTTTTGGCTCTAAACACAACTATGGAACGCAATGTGTTACATGGTTATTAAAGTAACGTGGTAAGAATTTGCTCTGCTGGCAGGAGAAGAGGGAGAAAAGGAGATGTGAAGGGAAGAAAAAGATGAAGTGTTTGAAGGTTTTCAGCTCATGTAAACATCACAGTGTGTCTGTATCTTCAGACTGTTAGGTTAACGTCACTGTCATGTTTAAGAGAGACATCCAGTGTGCCGTCTTTCCAAACACTTGTTCATTGCTCACATAATAATTAAGGTCCACTCGATAAATGTGGCAGACAATCTTTTTATTTGCAGCACTGAAGGTGAAATGCTCCCAAATTTGAGAAGTTTTATCATTGCAGTAGTGTGGCATCAGCTGTCACCATTTGGATATCTTCATCTCCCTGACGATTCCTGATTGCTGTTTTTCATGAACGACACTCAGCAGTGACAGTAAGAATGAAAGATGCCACGGTGGCTCAGTGTAAAAACAGATGAGATGATGTAACCATCAATTTATCAGTAATTCAATATGTTGGCAGCTCATCTTTTCATTGATTTTTTTGTCTGCGAGTCCGAACTGCCATTATACCCTGCTTATAAAAGATGTATAAATGCAGAAGTTTCAAACATTTCCCCAAAATAATAAAATCTAATACTTTCTAAAGAGATGCTGATATCGATGTACCTTTGCACATGTTTTTACCAGAGTTTCCGGGTCCAAAGAGTCTAAAATGTTATTGATCTGATCTGCTATCAGCTCTGATCATGAGGTCAGCCATAGAGTCACAGAGAGAAAAAGTTGTTTTTAGGGAAGTCTGTTCAGCTGTGGGTTATGCTCCTGGCTGCCATTTTTGCCACAGCAATTGTTGCTGTGGTTAATGGTCACTGTGGTCTTTAGAGCCAAAGACTTCACCAACCTGACAGGAAAATATGTTTTTTCCAAAGTTCAGAGCATTTTTCCAGATTCAGACCGCAGCCACATAACACAAAGTCTGTTGACCTTGAACAACCCATGGCTTTCCTGCAAAGTCCTACTGGAGTTAATTTCTTTCTTTTTGGAAGCCAATTTTCTCACATTTAAGATACAAACATCAAAATACTTTTGACTTTTTGAATAAAACCCAAAATGAACATAAGTCTATGGACAGGTCACTGTTGATATCATTGTTTAACATAGCATGTTTACTTACCTGCAGGTCAAAGGCCTGATGTGACACTGACTATGACAACCAGTGCCGGTAAGGAAGCCTATATCTTTGTGAATAATCAAGCAGCAAAGCCAAAATGAGTTGGAACATCTTGACATATAAGCCATGAATTATGTGACTGACTGTTGCAACAAAAGAAGTCAGAAGAAGCAGATGTAAAAGTTGGAAAAATATGACTCTGAGTGTTGTATTTTTTGTCTGGGTTGAGCTTTCAAATCCCTCCACTGTTGGCCATTATTAAGTGTAACTGTGCAGCTGGGGGCTCTCCAAAAACAGGAGTATGACAGGGGGGTGAAGTTGAGATCCTTTATTTTAGTTCCCCTGGCAGCACCTGTCAATCAAACTAAACACAGACACACCCCTCCATCTAGCTTAAATAAAAAGGAGCATTTCTGTAACTTCCCCTAAAATTAACTTGGGCCTTAAATATTTATACATGTCGACACAACATGACCCAACAGTATCTTCAATTATTCAGCAGACTCCCACAGGGCTCGCGCCCACAACTTTAATGTTACTATTTAAAACTTCAAAATGTGATGTCTTCACATGTGGTTCACCTCATCTTAACGCTTTTTACCACTGCAACCTTTAACCTCTGTGGGCTGGGGTGACGAGCAGCTCCTAAAAGTCGAAAAACTACCTGCTGTGTGGCTCCATAAGAGCACAGAGACTGTAGTCAGAGTGTAAACGGAGGTCTCTGGCCTTGAGCCTAATGACACCCCGCTCTAACCCTCTTTCAAGCCTCACCGCAGCTTTGGTCTGCTCTGGTCCAGTCCAGCAGGACACCATAATAGCCCATTCCCTCTCTCCACGGATCCAAAACCATACAGACGTGCATGGAGCCCAGTAATTTTCCACTACAAAGTGTGTGTGTGTGTGTGTGTGTGTGTGTGCGTATATGTGTGTGTTCTACATGCTCAGGAGCAAACAAACTGGCGAGCATGTTCACTTTATTGTATAATATCCGCTTTTGTTGTGCGTGTTTGTCAACAAACATTAGTGCTAAAAATAATCCCATGCAAACTTGGTCACGAGGCAGATTTGAATGCATGTGTGTTGGTGTGTGTGTCTGAGAAGTGTGAGTTTAAAACAGGTGTCAATGTCAAAAAATGGAAGCACAGACACATGACCTCCCTATATCAGTTATCATGTGTGTTTTTGCATAACACAAGTACACACACAAACACACGACGCTTTGGCCAGTTGACTCTAACACCTTAATCTCACATCTCACTCACACACACTTTGGTAATATCAAGTTGTGTGAATGCAGAACTGCCTCCATGTGGTAATACCGTATGTGTCACACAACTCCACCCTAAACAGTCTCAAATGTGAACCTCACGTCTCCCACACACTTTCAAACACCCACCGTCTGTGACTTAAAGCACACAATGTGTTTTTCACCGTCTCTAAAAGAAACCCGAAGTTCGAGCACAACTTCCTCAATATTAGAAACACACGCTCGATAGTCGAAAGCAGAAGTCAAAACAGGCCGCAGATGCATTTGGTTGGAGTGTGGTTAATAAAAGCTCTGGGGGAACGGTTTGAGGCAACATCTAATTCAGTCCACATTCAGTTAGAGGGAAGCCACAATGCTTGTGGGTGGTCCAGGGCCTGTCAGCACGGCCATTTTGTCTGCTGATGTCACATGTTTAGATTTAAGGCCCAATTTGCTCTCGTTTCTCCGTGCTGCACAGCCTCAATGTGCTCAGAAGTTAGGGATAAGTGAAAGGAATCCATGCACAAAGAGGGGAAGTCCAAATGTAAGGGTGTTTTTTCAGGAACGTGCAGCAGATGAGCAGACTCGCTTTCAGGCTCTGCTATAGATATTAATGTTGCCAAAGAGCTGGAGAAACGCTTTTCTGCATTTACAAGACAAATAACACAAAGACAGAAACGAGGAGGCAAAAGACCACCGATTCTTTTCAGAGCCAAAAGCGTAATTTGATTCACCTCTGAGAAATTCAATAAGGCACAAAGATCTCAATCTGAAATCCTCCCGCCTCACTATTCCATCAAACACACCGATTTGATTTCATATCAGCAGACCTGAACCCCTGTGAGCTCCTGATGAAGAGTAATCCATCTTGATCACAAAACAATATGATGAACAATCCCTCTAATGTATTGATGTTGACAACCTAGCCATCAGATTGTCATAGCAGGTTTGTGGGCGAGCAGCGCAGCAAAAACAATGTGCTATCTACGCTTGCACGGAGACGGAATCCAACACATCTTAAAGTTGCAGGTGTGTACTTTTCAACACTTGTTCACAAACACCTCCTCTGCTCTATTTTACACATTTGAAATACGGTGTGTCATCTCACACATCGATGCTCATTTACGCACCCACATACATGTGTGAGTGTGTGCACTCGCTTAAACTGTTTCCATCCCACCTTTGTTCTTCGTCTTGGCTGCGGTGCATTGTAGGTCACAGTTATGCAATAGTGTAGAGGTAGCCTATTTTCTGCAGACCTTTCTCTCACTTGTCTGACTTCCTCTTCAGGTGTCAGTGTTGTTTTTTTTAATCCTAAGTGTTTGAATTTTTGCAAAAAGATCCGAATTGACTGTCGAGCTGTAAATATGATTCAGCTAACAGAAAATGTGATGGATGGAAACTTTTATTTTAGTTTGGTTTATCACTTATCTAACTTTTTAGACAATGAGGACAAACTGTTTTCTAACCCCATCCAGCCAGCCAGCATCTGTACCACTTATACAATGAGGGAACAGACTAAAAAATAAAAAAACACACATCAAAATAAAAAAAAAGCATCTATCACTATTAGTGTCAAAGCAGTTTTTGTTATTCCCATGCTTATTTATGCCCAAGTGTTATATTTGTAAGAAACTTAGTTGAATCAGTATAAAGAAAATAAATGAATAAGGTTTGTAAGACCCTGCAGGAAGCCAGTCCACGTGGTTGTGGTCCTCAAAGATGAGAACATATTTTCCTTCCCTAAATGACAGCAGATCAAATCTAATTATTATTTGATAAATATTGTTTTCATGTAAAAATTACAGGTTTACTATTATTCCTGACATAAATATGACATTTTTTAAAATCTGTGATAGCCCCATGTATTTTTGTATTTTATGGAAAGGTTCAAAATCCTTTTGAAACACATAGACTGGATTGTAATGTGCATGAAATACTGACTTCTGTAAGTGTTAAAATGAGATGCAAAATAACAATAGTGTGATATTGGCATCATATATCGACCATCAGCTGACCTGCTCTGTTATGATCAGTATTGCCCATTTGAAGTATTACACAGTATATTGTAAGTGAATTAGGTTTTCCTTTACTGATTTGAAACAAATTGTTGGATTTAAATGTTTTATTTCGACATTGTCAATCACAGACCTAACTGACTCTGTTGTGTTTTGCAACGCATTCTGAGAAAAAACACAGCGATTAGTTTGTCTTAATTTTGGTCTCCTAAAAAACCTCAGTGTCACATCAACAGTGTCAAGTTCTCATTATGCGGTGGTCATAATATGCTGAGTGTTTCTGCTCATCCTTCATGTTGTTTTGTAGCTTTTTACTTGCAGCTCTGTTGAGTGGTTGTCAGCGGCTTCCAACCACGTCAGCCAGACAAGAAGAGCACGTCTGCTGTCTGCACACATCAGTGACCACATGCAGACAAGCCTCCTCTCTCTCTCACACACACACATGCACACACACACGCAGAAACATGGCAGATATGAAAGATTTAAGCAGTGTGTGAACCAATTTGTATGTTCCTCTAAGAGTGTGTGTAAGTGTGAAAGCATTCTGACACTTTGCACGCTGATAAACTGCTGCACTTAGCAGCAGGAAGATCAGACCAAACTCATCTGCCTCCACTCTGACTTATCAGCAAGATAACCTCTGACAAGTCTGACAGCAATGCACATTCACTGATAACGGATAAGTTCAGTTTAGGTCAAAGGAGGGCAAACACGCACATTTGAGAAACGTGTTCATGTAGAAAGAATAAACCATGTGGAATCAGACCATGAGATGAGAAACGTGTTGCTCTCTCTGTCTGCTCTTGTGTGATCGTGACTGTCGACTTTGTAATCCAAGATGGAAAGTTTATTTTAAAAAGTGAATGATTCATGAGAATAAAAATGGAAACGTATGGTCTCGCAGGAAAAGTGATTTGTGGTTGCTCCGGATGTTTTTGTACTTTGGTTGTCAAGAATTTCCAACCTAATAACTACACACAGACTAACAGAAAACCAGCTGATGTGTTTGTATGCAGGTTTTGCTCATTAAGTTTGTGTGTAAGAAGTCTGTTTGGAAGCAAAAACAAGCCTTCTACTTTTTTTTTCCCGCCCATCTGCAACTAGTTCCAGATATGTTCATCTTGATTCAGTTTGGCTGGTGGGGGGAGTCCATTTGCATCCTGCTTCTCTCTTTATTGAGAAGAAAGAGGAAAAGAATCATTGTGAACGTCTCACCAGTTGCCATGACAACCCACCATACCCAATAACCCGTGGAAATAAAAAAAAAAAAAAAAAAGTGTGTAGCCGTCTCACACACAAACAGGAGCCCTATGTCGGCCATGGTTTGAGGGCAGAAGCAAATCTTGTTTACAACGCAGAGAAACACTTGCTCTCTCTCTCTCTCTCTCACACTACCACACACACACACACACACACACACACACACACACACACGCACTAACAAACTGCACGGAAACAATCTATCCACTTCACTACAAAAAAACCTTCAAGCAGCTTTGTCGGCACATCCTGTGTAGATGTGAGCCACCAGAGAATACAGTAACCCACAACTACATGTGGTGTTACAGTTCCTACGTCAGACATCCGCTCCGAAACAAGCTCTTAAAAACAATGAGAAACTAATAGAGAGATACAGCAAACACTTCGGTTAACATTTACCCAAAAACTGTGAAAATACTTTGAAAGATAAGTGTAAAGAGTAGACTGTTCTTCAAAATTACTCCAGTAGCTGTGTGCGTGTGTGTGTGTGTGTGTATGTGTGTGTGTTTGAAGCATAAATGGTTTTAGTGCAGCAGGAGGCGGAGAGCTGGGGTTTAGAGAGGCTGCTACTTGTGGCTTTTGGGTTTGTGGGCTTTAGTATAAGATATAACGGTTCAGTTTCCCTGTCAGCAGATTTAGGCCATGTAAGCCACTGCTGAGGTGGTGAGACAACAGACGAGCAGAGAACAAAAAAAAACGAAAAAAAAAAAAAAACCAACAACAGGGCCATAAAAATAGTCCCAACAGTTTCTAGCTGTGTGTTTTACTGCAATATCGGAGTTCAGAGAAACAAAATGTCTGACTTTCAGAAATATGTAAAGTAGAACTGCACATTTTTAGGATGTTCATGATAATCTCCAAAAAAAAAAAGACAAAAAACTAAGAAGTAAAAACTTTTCAGAAAGCTGAAGCTGTGATGACTGCTGTAGTTTTGACTCCTCTCAGACTTTATTCCTTCTCTTTGCTTCTTTGGAGGTTAACAGGGTTGTTCCACAAATCTATACTCTACTACTATTTGATAAACAAACAGCCTGAAGCCGTATGAAACAGAGAAAAGTTGTTAAAGGTTGAGTATAACAGAACTTTTATTTTTTTCCACAATCTTCTGTTGAGTTTTGAGCTAGTTTGAGTCAGCCTGAGGCCTTTTTTTTTGCAGAACAAAACAAAGCATTCAATGTCCATTTATTTGCTCCTGTTGCCACATGCTCGTAATAACTGAACGAACATTTGTCTGTCTTTATAAATCACCAGGGGCAAAAGCTGCACTCAAAGTATTAAAGAAATTTGCTACTATAATTTCATCAGTGTTAACACGCCTAAACATTTATCATATGACTTCATGTATACTGCGCAAACTTAAACAGGAAAAAGATCTGTCCGTTAGCTTATTTCCAGAAAGTACTGTGAAAGTAGGACATCAAACGCTTGTTATTCATTATTCATGTTCAATTAACTGCTGTTAGTCAAGCCTGATGGATAAGGGTCCCATTAGGGTGTGAAAAATCTCAAAGAACATGATGTGACTGATGAGGCCAAATCTTGGAGCACACGTGGGTGATGGATCTAAAAAATTATTGCTTCCAGAGTAACACAACAAAACACCTACTTACCCAAGCTATTAGCCCAAAACCAAGACTCTAACACACAATAAAAGCTTTGATTCTGTCAAGTTTAATCTGAATCTGGAGGGTTCAGCCCGTTTTACAGATGTACTATGACATTTCTTTGATAATGTCACAATAGATCAAAAGGCCCAGCCCTGATTTATTCAGGATTTTGCAGTTTATCTCACAGCTGGTGGTTATCTTTTCTGAACATGCGCTGATAGCTCAAAACACTTCATTTTGGATTGGGGTTCTTGTTTTCAGGATTGGGTGGCTTGTTGGGCTGTACGATATTTTATTTAACCACTGCAATGTTTGCGTACACAATTGTCACACCATGAGATGTGTGATGCCAGCCACGTGACCTGAACCACATCACCAGTTTCTTGTTCTCCATAAAAAAAACAACAAAATATATAAATCATCCAGCCCTCAGTCTGAACACACAGAGAACTGACAGCAGTGCATGCAGAGTCTGTGTCTGCAGGTCACATGACTAGAAAACATAAACAGGCATGCGGCACTGCTGCTGACGGCAAACACTGGATTAACAAGAGACTTTAAGACTTGTTCGGATGGAGACTGGGGTTCGACTTGAGAACAGACAGTTTGCTTAAAGATCCGATAACAAAAAGTACAGAAGTATGATTGAAATTTTAAATTCTTTAGTGCATAAAACCAGATAATATATGAGTTTACCTCCATTTCCTGGATGCTGCCAAACTACACAATGCAATGAGACGCTTATATCAATAACTCATCTGACCAACTAATAATTCTGGTCCTCACAAGCAAGGTGGACGCAATTAATCATCTGTGGTCAACTATAAAAATGCACACCCGAGGTGAAGAGTACAAAGCAGAGGAAATCCACTCAACCTGAACAACATCACCCTGCCCACTCACTCACAGTAGATGTTTACCTACTGCTTTCACGCTGCAGCCCACTGCAGACAAGGGGACGATCAGCGGAAAGTCTGGATCAAGTTTGGGTGAAAAATTATTGCCCTAAGCATTATAACACATACAGCCCTGTAGCTCTAAACAGAGGCTTCTGTCTATACATACAGTATGTGCTGTGTGGGAAAATTCAGACAGTCCACTATGCTTGTTATACTTCAAACACAAATGACAGCACTCTTAGAAACCTCTGAAAGTACCAAAGTAAGTGGCTGCTGGTATTACCCTTTGAACAATAAGGAAGATCAGTTCCAGGAACTGACACTCAACAGGTAAGTGCAGTGGAAACCAACGGTGACAAAGCCTGTCATTTGTTTTATTCCAACAATGGAACAGCACTGACACAGTCTCTCATTTTCACTCATACACAGCTTTTCACATAGATTTACTAACATGGAAGAACGGTAAGTCAAGTCAGGATACATGTTTTATAAGAGGGTGCAAATGTGTGTAGACAGACAGCACAGAAACGAATAGTGTTTGTACTACTTACAACTTGTGGTTCACATAAACTTAATTGCCGACCCCGTCTTGAGTACAAAACTGTCAGTCATTAGTTCTGCTCAGTTCAGTGACGCTCTTGTGACCGGCATACCGTATCTTTAACAATACAACGCTTTCACACTCAGCCCACACCAAATTGGCCAACTCAGAAAATTACCCTGCAGAACACACACACACACACACACACACACACACACACGCACACACACACACACACACACACACACACACACACACACACACACACACACACGCACACACACACGGCACATATGACGGCTCACTCTACAGATAAAAACAGTTTCACAGCTCTCTGTGGTTGTTCCACAGAAACGTCTTTCCCGGTAGACAACATTGAACGGATCTGATTTACATCAGGGTTTCACACTTTGAATCAAAATATCTATAAATACTTCACGTCTTTGATTGGAAACATTAGATCTAATGTGCAATGACAATTCAATCATTGTAAACAAAACCTGTGCCTCATGATACTTTCGGAAAATATCATCCCCTAAATGTTCTGCTTATTTCACACTGATTTTGGTCCTGAATGTGAACAACGAGCAGTCATGGGAGATTTAGTTGCTTTGCACATGAATGTCACAAACAGAGACTATCTGCAGAGCAGTTGACAATATGTTGACAGTAGCACAAAGCATGGCCCAGAATCATATTGCTGCTGATTAGAAGTGCACAAACAGTTGATGCTATACTGTATACAGCCTCCAGTATGGAGTGAAACTGCCAAGAAAATCAGCAAATTAAAATGTAAAGCTGCTCTAAGCACCACCTTGATGAAATCCCATATTAAGCCGAGCATGGAGTCAGTGTGCACTGAAGGCAATGAGAGTGAAGCCAAGCCAAGCTGAGGGTTCTGCCTCTGATCTCGTCCCCCTTTCCTCTATTTTCTTCCACTATCATTACCTTGTCTGTCACTCCCCACGCAATTTCCTCCCTGATCTTCTATTTTCCCCCTTTTTAGTGGCTATCTTTAAATATTTCCCTACTGTTAACCATCCCACTTCTCCTCCTCTCCCTTCACTGTACCTCTCCCGTTCCCCCAATTTTCTTCCAACCCCCAATTTCCCTCTACCCTCCTTCCCTCAGGTTGTTTTCTCCTTTCCTCTCTATCTGTAGGTGCCACATCTGGCAGCTTTCAGCACCAGACAAGGCCTGCCTGACTAAGAGAGAGAGGGAGAGAGAAGAGAGAGCAGGGGAAAGAGAGAGAGATAATCGGGCTAATCCCTCCGTCATCCCAGAGGCTATCACGCTACTCTATAACCCCCTAATCCCTCTAATTCCCTCACACTCTGCAGTCATCCTCGCTGTCAGACACATTGGGATCCTTATCGCCAGGCGGGAGCTGCAGGCGAGTGTGTGTGTGTGTGTGTGTGTGTGTGTGTGTGCCACAGTTGCTTCCTTTTAATCAGTGAGGGATGTCTATGGCCTTGCAGACAGACTGACCTGACCCGGGCTTTGAGGAACTTAGGCAAACGGATAAACAAACCATCTCCATGCAGAATGAGGAATACATTCAGAAGATAAACACTCTCCCTCCCTCTCTGTGCGTTTGATGCTTCCAATTAAAGCGCTGTTTGACACTGTGAACCCCACCACCACCACCACCACCACATCCCAGCACCACCCTCCTCCACCTCCCCCATCTCCTATTTTCTTTCTTGGCAAAGGCACTGTAGATGCATAGAATTGTTATAACAAAGAGCTTAATATTTCTAAGCACACTCAGGTGAAAAAACAGACTTTACACCATAGACTGCACATACCATGGACTACTTGGTTTCGCCTCCCACCTGTGTACGGATTTGAAGCCAAAAATCTCTCTGTATTTCCGGGATTTTTCTTCTTTTCCTGAAACCAGCATTGCGCAGTAGTGTTGTATGCATTCGGCGGGAGAGTCGCTGAGAGTCGTTGTGATGACACTCAGCTCCCCTGGGTGAGCTACGCAATCCCTGAATGCCCATAGGCTGCATCAGGTGTCAATCATAGAAAACATGAACCCCCTAATAATTTTTAAAACTGAGCTTCACAGAAAAAAGAGGACTTGAGCACAAACTAATCTTACAGTAATTACATGTCAACATCGCAACCAGGGGGAAGAAAAATTAACATTCTATGTAATATATTTCTAAAGTTTGTCCACAGCTCCATAAGCTTAGCTAGTGGAGGCGGGATTTATGACCTATACTGCAGCCCGTCAGCAGAGGGTGCTGTTCTTGGAGTGGCTTCACCCAGCGAGGAGGCAGACCGCGTCCATTCTATATACAGTCTATGCTTTACACCAGTAACAGCAGCTGCTTGAGTCTGATTGGTCATTGCACAGCAATGTTTCAGTGCAACGGTCAGCTATTTTTTAATAACAGACTGTTGCTATGAAGAACAGACCTCAGCCAGGAATGAGGCTGTCATCTCACATACCTGTGGACTGACTGTTATCATATCAATGTACAAAAAGAGGTTCAATTGATTTTATTCAGAGGGGGAAACAAGAAAAGAAACTAAAAAAGCTGAGAAAAACGGCAATTATTTTTACCCTTTAACTTGAAATTTATGCACTCTGCGTTTCATCTACATTCAATTGTTTTATGTTTATTTAATCTTCTTTGAGATATTTTTTTAAATTTGTGTTAAGCACATTGAGTTTCTTTTAATGTATGAAATGTACGAAACATAAATTCACCTTCTGTGCCTTACAACCGAGAAATCTACAAAATTGAAGATGTTAGCTCCAAACTGAACCCAGTGACCTTTCAGACCATAATACAGTCAGATAAGTGGAAAAAAAGGTCACAGGGTCTGAAAATGACATGACAGAGAAACTTTCTGGGGTGCAACTCTGATCCACGCCGACCTGTTCATCTTCTTTAACTTCACCGTCAGCGTAAATACTCCGCCCAACGTGAGTGATAGTTACTTAGTTAGCTCATCGAAAGAAAGACACCAAGTTAACCTTTACCACAGATACAATTAAATATTACATGCTGAGCACAACTAAGAATTCACATCTGAAACATAGAAAGTACTTTTGGCCCACAAGAGGGGTATAATGTCTTTGTGGCAGGTAGTATTTACATTTTTTTTTAATAAAGTCCTCCAGTTGTTTTAAGTATAAGATAACACGGATTTGTGTTTATCTATTTAATATATTTTTTAATGTAGCTGCCTTTGGAGTGTCATTTTTTAGGAGAAAGTTAAATTTCTTTTCTTTGTCTTAAATATCCATAAATTTTTAACCCCTCATCATGTATGTGTTATTTGTTCTCTTCTTTTATAGTACATTTTAAAAATGAAAAATTAAATTGCAATGTAGATACTGACATTTTCCATGCACATTGACTAGACCTACACTAAGGATTTTGGAGGTAATACAAGCCCCCACACAGCACCTCATACTGCGTACAGTTGATCTCATCATCACAGGTATATTGATCCATGTTGGGGGCAGGAGGGGAGGTGGGATCATTCAGCAGTTGTTATTTGGTGTACGAAAGGAGCTGAACATGCAGGATAACCACTGATACCTCAGTTTGTGTTTATCACTAGCTGTGCACTCTGAACTGTGAGGGAAACAGTCCCACAACGACGAGCTGCAGGGTGGGCGAAGGGTTAGTAGGTTATTTTTCTTCTGGATGATCTCACCAGGGGACTGAATGTGTATGAGCGTGTGTTGTGCGCTGTGCGTTTGTGTGTCTATGGTATTGATCCATGCTCCTATTTAACAGCATGTTGTTTATCATGCTGGCTGCACTGTGGGAGCCAGCAGATTGCATTATTGGAATTTGGCCATGTGCCTATGAATATCTATCTATCCATCTGTCTATCTACCCATGCTTCCAAAACAACAGGGCAATACAGCAAAAAGAAAACCCTGATGTCCCAGTTATTTTATGTAAATCAGTTTATTTCACTTTACAACACACATCTATCAAGCCACACAGTTTTTTCTTTCAATCAAATTATTTTTCTTGCGCTTAAATGAACCTTTCAGGGTGAAATGTTTACAACAAAAGAAGCTCATATTGTGGGTCAAGTCACTCACATCGCAGGGGTTTAAAGGGTATAAAAACAAAGACTTACTTATAAACTTTACTTCGGTATTTTACTTAGGATGGGTTGCATTTCTGGTGCTTACATAAGCACTATTTTAAAAGTCTTGCATTAGATGAGTCATTTACTTTGTGGTATTTTCTGGATTTGTGAAACCAATGTTTGGCCATGATTAAAGTGTGTAGACCAACCAGCTGTAACACTGTGAACAGCTGGGCAATCTAATGAAATTCAATACAACAGCTCCACCACAGTCTCTGCTTTCTAGGTTTTCATTTTTTAAACTTCAGCAGACAGATGACAATCATACTTCATACGAATTATCGAAGACTTAGTGAGTGGTGGTGGTGGCCTGGAGTGTGTTATGCGAAGAAGTGTTCTTTACATTTTGTCCAAAATATTAAAACCCTTTTAAATTTGATGCACTCTGCAACGCCACCAACACCCAATACAGCCTTGACGATTAATTTAAAGAGCAATTCTCTGACCATGTCAACAAAATCCAAAACCTAAAAGCCTTTTAAAAAGGAGAATTTGTTGTGGAGCTGATGTACTGGGTTGCATTAGCTTGCTATGGCTGCTCTGTGTACATACTCTTCTTTTTGGCGATAAGCTTCAGACAACCTCACCCACTCTCAAACCATTTGGTCAGTACATTTAAAAAGAGTATTTGGAAGCTGCAGGATCTGGGGATTTATCTCCCTGTTCTGTTTAATAAGGAAAAGATATTTCCTTATCTCACTATTTGGCATGTAAAATAATCCGAACAGAGTAAGAATGCTAACTCTTTCTTGTGCACATCACAAATGTCATGTTGCTTTGAACCCTCTTTATTATCATCCACCCAACTCTTTATTTCTAACTAATCATCCGGCTGTGTGAAATACTTAATTTTGATTCTGATTGGTCAAACCTTCTTGACAAAAGTTATTCACTCGGTATAGTAAGACCAAAAACAGATTATACATCTCACATCAAATCAGTCAGCATAAAAAAGTCCTGGCACATTATGCCTCAGGTTTAAGAGGCAAAACTATAACATGGATATTTCAATACTGGATTATGTCCTGAAATCCAGAGGAATAAATAATTATAATAATAATGCATCAGATTTCATATAGCGCGATATCAGAGACCCTCAAAGTGCTTTATATTGGATACATCATTCATTACCTCACACAGTCCCACCTTGAGGCAGACTGGCGGAAACTACTTCCTGAGCTACTGCCGCCCCAAGTGGAAGTGATAATAAAAGCAGTTTTAAAGATGTGATTTTTGCCTCATTTATTTCTTAAGGTGAGTCGACTGCACAGCTCTGAGATGGAGAGCTAAATGAAGTCAAAAGTCAACATTTACATTCTTGCAGTTCTGCTCATCTTGTTTCACATGGAGGTCTAGTCTCCCCTGAAGGAGTTTTAATTTATAAAACTACCTGTTCATCATGCTCAAGGTTTGTTTTGACATTCAGACAGCATCTTATTTTTAAATGTCTATATGGGCTCTCAGTCCCTACAGCACTGCTGTGTAATTACTGAGCTATACATGTTGTGTGTAAGGTGTGATGCAGTTCAACGTGCTGACAGTCTATTATAAGTGCTTATATTAAGGACGTCTCGCAGCCTTTCAGCTTACTGATCTATTTGTGGACATACGTACATTACACGTATCCATGCAACTATCTATCCATCCAGCAGTCTATCCATCCTCTAGTTCTTAAAAAGGGAACTATGAGTTTATAAGCTGTATCCCTTGCCTCTCACATCCTCCCTCGTATTCAGTGTCGCCAGTAAAATGTGGCGCCTGATGACACCTCCACCCCCTCTCACACGACTCTGTGGGGCTGTGGCAGTGATGTGAGCGCTGGCATTGTGGCTAATGCTACAGATTGAACAGAGTTTCTGCAAGAGAGACAGCTCATCAAGCTGGGGAGCCAGCCAAGTGGAGTGTGACAAATCTCCATTTACCATCGGCGCACGGGGGCAAGGGTAAAATTAGAAACTCTGCCGCTTCTAACTCCCCGCTGCTAATTCCATTTCGTGCAAATTAATAAGTGTTTTTGTCCTCCTCCCCTCGCTCCACCCCCGCCCCTCGTTCTCTCACACTCTCTCCCCTCTCCCTCATCTGCTCTCCTTGACGAATTGCATTATCTCAAGGAAAAAAAAGGAGCTCATACACTAGTAATGAGACATTGTTAGGCAAATCCCAAGTCAGTTCCAGCATTGTTTATGGAATAAATGCCTGATTATCAGCTTGAGGAGTGTGTCTGTGTGTGTGTGTGTGTGAAGAGGGAGGAAAACTGCTCTGCTGTTGGCTGCAGGGCAAGATACAACTTGTCTTATGCTTTTGTTGTTCTTTTGTCATCATCATTACTGTTTCCTATTTGACAAGAAAACACTCCTGATAATTTGGCAATTCATTACAAGAAATGACCCAGTGTGAATTGAAGCGAGGCGATGAAAGCAGCCGCGTGTTAATGGTTCTTTGTTGAAGAGTTCTCTCGTAAATGGAAATTTTTGCCACTTTTAATCATTTATTCAATGTCAAAAGAATTAAAGTGGATAGGTTCTCAAAGTAAAATAACACATTTTAAATGAATCTTGGACTTACAGAAGCTATAGCTAAGAAACTTAACCATGCTAAGACTTTATTCATGGAAGTCTGAACTCAAAAACAACGGGATCTTCTGATTTTTGATCCTGAAGTATGGAAATTTAATCTTAACTAATATACAGTCTACAGCAGTTAAAGGTTGTTCTCAATGTGTGATGACCTTTACCGCATCCTACAGACGATTGTATCAACTTAGCATATACAGATCTCAAAGGTCAAACATCACAATGGATGACAAATCATTACTGAGGAAAGATGGGGGACAAAACTAGCATTTAAAGGACAAGTCGAAGGATTATTTTACTTTGATTGAGGGCATTGGGGTGATTCACGAGTAGTCATCAGTGTTGCCAAGTGCTTGCCTGAGTCTTTGGCCTATGTTTTCTTTACATTCTTTGAGTTCTACCTTCTTGTGGTATGATGCTGTATTCCAGTTGTACTTGAAAGTTGGGATTTCCGAGCTCCGAGTCAGAAATTCATCTGGAATGCCCCCCTGAAATCGGATTTCTGACTCAGAAAGTCGGACGATCCTTGCCAACCCTGACTTGCCGACGTTGAGATGGCAGCGCAGTGCATCAACAGTAAAGAGTAACAATAAAAGCTTTCTTAATGTACTATTTATTCGCACTTCTGTTTTTTGTTTTGTTTTGTTTTTAGAGTACAATACTGTGTTGTGAGTCATTTACAACTGATATCGCTAACAACAGCTAACAACAATTGACAACTGCTTACAACAACTGACAACGGGTAACTGTAGGCGTCCATCTTGGTTTTCCGACTTGTTGACTGGTACGCCGTCGACTCGTGTGTAGCTTCATTCCTAGCTCCGACATCCAACTTCGGAGGTAACTGGAATGCAGCATAAGTCAGCAACACAAATTTGATTTTCAGGGAGACTGAAATCAGGATGGATGGACTTTCAGATGACTCGTTTCCATCAGCATAACTGATTGAAAACAAGGTTTAATGGTTGTCGGCTAAGGCCAAGTTTGCCAATCAGATTACCCTCTAACAACATGTTTACATTCTCTACAACCATATTTTGGCTTCATTGGTTTCAAGAGGGGAACAAGGTGTGTCATCCGTTTCTAGGTATAGTCAATGAGTGAGACCCAGGAAAGACACATGCTTGCAGACTACCATGCTCTTCAATGAAATCTCTTCCTAGTTCTTTGGCACTCTATTACAGTAGAGGCTTTGGAGTAAATTACAGCTTACGCCTTCTCAAGATGCACATTCAAAACAGAAAGAAGAGAGTTGGAAGTCATCAGCAGCATCCTCCCAAACTAGCAATAATCAGTCCTCACAGCCTAAGCACCTACTCATATCTCGACACTGGCCAGAGATTTAAAGCAGAGCTTAAACCCATCTTGCTAATAGGCCAACGATTAGTAGGCTGCAGCGGAGGGAAAAACAGCCGATCAATACAGCACCAAAGAGAATCAATGGACTGCTCTATGGTGGGTCTGTATGACTGCTGCCTCCCATCAGGTTCTTTATGGCTTTGTTAGTCTGCCATTTACTCTCATCATAAAAGAAAACATTTCTACTGTGTCTCAGGACTTGATGTGCTTATGTTGGGCAGAATTTAAATGCACCAGGCAACGAATGTGGTTGTTTCATTACGGCGTTTTATACATCAAATGCAGCAGAAGTTTCTCCTGATGAATTCAAGAATACTCAGAGCAATTTAACATTCTGCTGGTGAAAAGGGACTAGAGAACGAATGAAAATTCTCTGAATATGCACCTGAGTTTGATGTTGTCGCTTGCCTGCCACTGGTCTGTATAATAGGATAATTTCAAAGTGTTTGGCTCCATTAGAAATAAAGCAAGCACCCTGTGCATAGCTGTGTTTCCATCTTCATTCTGTCAAACTGTGAAAAACAATTAAGTTTAGCTGGTGAGTCTCAGCATCCTCCTTTTTCAGTCATTCAAGGCCATCACATACTTGTAGCCACTATGAGAGGGATTCAATGAAACGTCACTGAAAATAAACACATTTTCTACTTGACTGATTAGGTTAAAAAAAGAAATAAAATAAAGGATAAAGACTTGAGCAACCACTCTACATCGTCATGGCAGGAAAAAGACAAAAATGTCCCATAAAGTCATTACAGTATAACCACGAGATGAGCAGCCTGTGATGTGAAAAATTGCAGCCTCACCTCTAAAAAGACAAGAAGGCATCTATCCGAGTACAATCAGCATCGTATATCATCAATATCACATTACATTCAAAGAGTGTAAATCCTCTCATTCAGCTCTCTCAGTTTCAGATGGTGCTTTAAACCATAATACACTGGTACTGTGAGAGACGTTTGAGCTGATTGTCAGGCATTTTTAAAATCATTGATGACTGTCAGAGAGTAAATTATAAGTGTCATCTGTGTTTGTTGTTTCACTGTGGAATACACAGGAAGTAACACAGGAAATGGCTAAAAATGTCTCTCTTTAAAAAACAAACCATTACCCACAAAAAATTTACATTTCTGGGTAATGATCAGTTCTGATGATGAATATGCAAGAGATGCAACATTGCATGAAATGACCTGGCCCTTTATAGACTAATTTCACACCCCATCCCATCTGTAAAAGTTATACAACTAAGCTCTGCTAAGAGTATGCTTATCAAACTAAAGATTAACACCCAGACTAATTACCACTTTATGTTTCCAGAAAACTGAAAACTTCAGAAACACTATTTCTCTACCTGAGGCCATGTTTCTGGTGTTCTTACTAATCAGTGAACACATGCAGTCTCTAACTGTTCTGTATTTTTTTTCTCACTGTTATTTTCTTTTTTCCCCTTATGTTTTTTAACCATACTTTCCTTTAGTGCTGCTATTTTTGTTGTCCTCCTTTATACCTCTATGGCTATGTCATCACCCTTCAGGGAAAATAACCGTTTTTATATTAAATTTAATGGAATTCAATTGAATTGAAGTGAATCCAATCAAACTGAATAGGATGGAACAGAATGGCATGTGTGAATTGAATGAGTGAATGTAATCCAAGTGTCAGAGTTATTTATCAGTTATGACAAAGGCTTTTCCAGTGCATCTGGCCCTGCTGCCTTGTGAATGACGCTAGTAACTTGGTGGTCGATGCTCGTTTCATGCCCCTTTGATAAGTGAGTGGAAAAATTGTTCACGGTGCCACTGTACTTTATTTCACCTTTCCACACTCTGCAGACACTCTCTGATTTATCAAGGATGCCAAAATACGTCCACACTTGACTTGATATGGTCTGATTATGAGAGTTGAAAGTGATGCATTGATGTAATGTCTGAGTTTTTACATCTCTATTTTTTGTGTGCTAGAATAAAAGCTTTCAAAGTAAAGAGGGAGTATTATGCTTATTTTGGGGGGCTTTATATTGTTCCTCTGATAGTTTCTCAGCAGCTTTATATGATTTACAGTTCCACAAAGTCTTCACATCTTTCAGGACTGCTGTCTTTGAAAACCTTGAATTCTCCTTTGTTTGAGACACACTGAACATTAACTTACCTGTTCATGCAGTATTCACTCTAAAGTCCCCTGATGGTCTTCTATTGTTTGGTCCATGCTGTGACCCTGACTGCCAACCTGAGATGACTTTCCTCCTGTTATTCTTCTATGAAACTAGAAACAGCTGCTCTTTGGATTTTAACCACTTAAGATGGCTTTTTAATACAGTTAGCTGAAGACAAGTTGCATCTCATGCAGACAAAGAGGAGCTTCAGTAAATCCTCATATTACAGAAAACTGAAGCAGACCTGGTTTGGCTGCGATTTAACCCTGCATCTACAACTGAAAATCAAGGTAACAGAGTGATTTTCTGAATAAATCTGTCACAGTCCAACCATGTTTGTCGTTACTGTCTTGATTTAATCAAAGAAAAAGATAATGTGATTCAAATTGAACCTCAGGCTCACTAACAGGTGTTGGTGGACAGCAGCGCTGATCACCTGACCAGAGAGATGACAGTCTGCAGGTGCTTTAATAATTCAACAGCAGTTCTATTTGCAATCACAATATCAGTGCTCGCTGAGCCGTTTGTAGACTATCCCCCAGGCCTCAATAGTTATTAAAGACAGAAATTATATATTCATAACACCGGATATTGCTGCTTGTTTATTTATAGCTTGCTTCCATTTTTCAGCGGTATTTTGTCAGTCGACTTCCAAGCTATCTACCTTGCTTTGCCTGGGGCCGTATATACCTCTCCCTCCCTGACTACCTCAAAAAGGGGAAAAAACCTCAGGAATGGCTAAATTGAAAGCGCGCTTTTTCCATTATTTTCAGGTTCGACCACAGCCAAGCTATTTCCTTGTTTGCTTGTGCCCAGACTTTGCAATGAGATGTTTCTTTCTTGCACTGCCTCACAGATGCCTTGTTTGGTTCAGCTGCTGTCAGGGGACTGCGGAGGATGCTGGAGAGCGCGGGTCTAACAATGTTCGCTGTAGTCAGGGGCTCCCAAGGACAAGATGATATTATCACACTCAGACAGATGTGTTTCTCTTTGTGTGTGTGTGTGTGTGTGTGTGTATTTCACATGCTGCAACTGAATGTTTCCTACAATGTTTTTTAAATGGAAATATGTTAAAATATGTTCCATCAAGCAGTCATGTGGTTTTCAAAAACAAGTGCAACTTTTGTTGTGTCTGGTGATAAAATTTACAATGCATGTCAGTTCTTGTTTTCCCCACTGCCACACAGGCAGCCTGCCGGACACACAGTCAGTCCATCATCCTAAAGTGTCTGCGCCAATGAGCTGTGGCAATAAGCTTTATGGAAGCCAACAACCAGAATCCCCAATGAGCCAAGAGGCAACTTTCACACATTTAACTGCACCCCCTACATCAGAGATATTCTATTCCCCTTCTCTTTCCAAAAAGCTGTTGTCACAGCACATTTGCTCCCACTTAGCACTCGACATTCACATGGAGACATTGAAATCCTTGTTGTTCGGAGTGATTAACAGGAGGGGAGGGGAAAAAACATTTCCTAATAAAAATGGCTGCCTTCCAAAAGACATTTGTCTTCATTTGTCAGAGGTGAGTCTCTGTGTTCTGCTGTGCAGGACAGTTTGACTCCGAAAGCAGAAAGTTGGCTCAGTATTGACGAGTCAATCAGCAAAGGTCAGCAGGTTTGGGGGAAGTGGGACACCTGAGCAGGACTTAATCTCCTACGTCCTTTAAGTGAAGGATTTTGGATGAATAAGCAGGTGCTGGAAAGCTATTACCTACCCACCTCCCTGGTTCGTCATAAGCCAAGGGCAGAGGGGTCTGGAGAAATGCCAACTGCGTCTATGAACACTCACACTCACATTTGCAGGCGAGCCAGGAGTTTCACCTGCCATTTTGACTCTCTGATAGGCATCTAATGAAACCTCCCTCTGCTCCTCCTTACCTCCTCTACTCCCACTCACACTCTCCCCAGAGACATGAGCGAATCAAAGTAATGGGAGTACAGCTGCAGCCTGTGTCCTCTGCTGGATAGCCAACATAATTGTCACCCCCACTTCTGCAGCTAATGGAGACAGTGTGCACATCTGACATCCGTGTAAAAGCACCAATTCCCTAAGTGACACGATAGTGTTTACCGCTGCACAGGCCTCAAGAGTGTATGACGTTTGCGAATCTGTAGTCAATTGAACGGTAGTTTGCACTGATGATTGCACTCTGTCAAGAAACATCTACGACACGTTCGAATTTATGAGGTACGGAAAACAACTTGACTGTCCGAAAGAGGATTACATGCTAGGGAGTGAGCGAGGGGGTCCAAATTGCAGAAAGATGTGGACTTAATAAATTGGCATAATCAGTTACAGGTTTAGTAAAATAACATGACTTGCCAAGACTTTACAGCTTTTAAAATGGGGAACATGGAGGAACACAAAAGGATGACGTGTGTTTGTTCAAACCAAAAGTGTTCCAAGTGAAATGTGGCAGCAGGAGGGATTTCATCAAGTGACTCCATCCTGGCTGCCAGTGGCTAAAAGTTAATAAAAACACGAGTTCAACTCTGTATGACCGAGGCTGCTCACTCAAACAAGTTCCACACACACACACATTTTCTGGCTGTCACGGATGTGGAGGTCAGCAGAGTCAGGGTCAAAGCAAGTCTGCAGAGAGGTTTTGTTTTCCACTTGTCAGTCTAACCTTGGTGATGTCAGTTCATCCCCTGTGGATAAAACCTTCACTTACAGTATCGAAAGTCCAAAGAATAACAACACAGATCACACCAGAAAAGAGGGAAAGTGATGAAGCGGTTTAAAGTTTCTGCCAATCAACCAATAAAAGAGTCTGGTTTTCATTTTTGTCAAATAATTCCACAAATCTTCACATTTCCCATGAATGACGTTTGGAGCTCAGTCTCTGAAACACTATAATAGGCAACAATGTAAGCCAGTAAAACTTCAATCATTCACTTTGCTCCAGACTTCGGTGCTCATGTGCCAATATTTAAACACATTAACCAGCCAGAACTTCATGAACGCCACTGTAGTACAACCTCAAATTCTACTGGTAATTGTTCTTTACATTAAAAGGGATATTCCGGTGTAAAATTAATTTAGGGTGAAACACACTGTAACACCGAGTTAGACACCCTGTCGAGAGATAAATGTTGTTGACGGCTTGCTTCTCTAGTTATACCAACTTTAGTAACGACCGCACAATAGCAATACACAGCGGTCTGAGGAGCCATAAACAAACCTCAACCAAAACGCCACTTTATAGCCACAAATAATTCTCAGAACAGCACCTAACTTCATCAACAGTACATATAGGGTCCCAGCCATAGCACTAGCCACCAAACACCTTTTTAACTTTGCCTAATTTCTTTAGCAAAGAGACTAAACACAACTCACCTTCTCTCTTCCAGCAGCTGCTTGTTTGTAGCGAGACCTCAACCAGTCCATCATTGACTGAAGCAGGGGGACGCAGCTCAAGAAAGAACATTTATAAACATTACTTTATCATTTCCTTGAAGTAATAATCATCATATTAATCATTTTGCACTGCAGACGCGGTAGCCCTTCTGCCTTGACGTCTCGGTCTGATTGCATTTCCATGAAGAAATGATCATAAATGTTCCTTCTTGAGCTGCGTCACCCCTGGATCAGTTGATGATGGACTGGCCCAAAGCTACAAACAAGCGGCTGCTGGAAGAGAGTAGGTGAGTTGTGTTTGGTCTCTTTGCAAAAGAAATAAGGCAAAGCTAAAAAGATGTTTGGTGGCTAGTGCTATGGCTGGGACCCTATATGTACCTTTGGTGAAGTTAGGTGAAGTTCTGAGCAATATTTGTGGCTATAGAGTGGTGTTTTGGTTGAGGTTTGTGTATGGCTCCTCAGGCTGCTGTGTATTGCTATCATGTGGTCATTACTAAAGTTGGTATAACTAGAGAAGCAAGTGGTCGGACACATTCATCTCTGGAGGGGGTGTCTAACTCGGTGTTACAGTGTGTTTGACCCTAAATCAATTTTACGCTGGAAGTTGTAGTTGATGTTGAAGCACTTTTAACCCACTTTTTTAAAAAGAAGTACTAAGACCAAACCTAAAAATACTTTAAGGTTTTTTCAGGTTGATGTTTCTCTCTATGATTTTTATACACCTTTATGCAGCTACAGGAAAGCAGTGAGGGCCTGCTGACCTGAAAGCACCCACAACTCTCCGATTAGCCTCTCATGAAACAAGCGCTCATCGGATAAGAGAGAGAAAGCGCTGAATGAGTTAGTAGTGTTGCCAAAGCAATATCCATAATTAATACAAGGTGCCAGCAGAGAATGAACTCTGAGTTTGGCTCCTTCTGGGGAGCAATTAAGATTGAAGCAGACAAATCACTGTGTCAGAGGTTTGACTGAAGACAGGGCCAAATGCACAGCTGACGATGTTATTACTTTCAAGCGAGTGCGTTTTACTGCGCTGACAGAACAGTCAGCCACTTTTATTTGTTTTACAGATTTAGCTGTTTAGTATCACTTAGCAAACTCCACTACCAGATGTTTGTGATTAGGAGGCAAATTTATGTGGAATGCAGTATTACGCAAACATTAGCAGTCATGAGCCAGAAAATGAGGTGCAGAGAATTGATGTTTAAGAGAGCTGTTCTCTGTGAGTCACCGTTTTCTTTAACAAGCTGTCCTCTTGGTTGGTTTAACTGTCGGGTCTTTAGCTGTAAAGTACCAGAAGTTTGAAGAGACAGAAAGTCTTTTTCTGTTTTTGTTGTATTTGATAGATTTTTAAAATCAGATCTGTAAAATTTAACTCTTACTTTACAGACAAACAAATGCTTGGTCCTTTTAAGAAAAACTCATTTTCAATAATCCAAGGGGGATTCAATCAATATAAACCACGACTTTATCTCAGTCTATGCACCCTGGAAATGTGGAATCCAATACAGCATTTTAAACGAATGCAAAAATACAATATCATCACCCTATTAAAATAATGGCTTCAGTAATTTTTTGGTGAAAAAGAGTTTTTGGCCTAAATCATCTCTTGATAATGTTGGCCATCTCTTTAAAAATCAGGCCATGATTATAAAAGTCAATCTTTCATTCTTTGGCCTGCTTTTTAGTGTAGGCAGTCGTTGCCACTACAAGAATAGGTACTTTTTCTTTCCGACTATCAGCCAGTGTGACCAGGGTTGTGTCGCAAACGCACATCAGCGTTACTTATGGACTTTCTCAACTGGCCTGTGATTGGCTGAAACCTTCCATCACAGTATAGATTTTCTCAAACCTGTTTACAAAGCCAGGATGGGAGGCAGAAGTGTGATCTTCTCCCAGATCATTTCAAATTCAATACGCTGAAGGTGATAATGAAATTTTTGCAAAATTATAAAAAAATTGTCCTGTCTACTGCACCTTTAAGATCCAACCTACTGTGCGTGAAAGACATTTAAATACTCCAGATAAACAGTTCTTAGGCTGTAGTGACGCAACAGCAAAACTGCAAACAGTGAAGGAAACACCAGTGTAATCCACAGTGCTTCACACTCTGAGCTTATTTTCCTGCGAGGAGGTAGATCCTTCATCTTCAAAAACAAATTAACCTTGCTTAAGGTTTGTTTGGGATGTCTCTGGAAAGGGATTTAACTGCCTGACTGCAGCTGTCTCAGGTGGTCTTCCTTCCTGCTGTTTATTTGACCTCGTCAGGTCTGGATGCACTCAAAGACCAAGAAGACTAATCAGAGCATGAGTCAGCCTCCGCTGGGTGACGTGGAATAGCCATTAATAAACATAATGGCCATAACAGTGCAATAACCTTGAACGGGGGTAATGTATTGGCTTGTCTTTTTATGATATGTTCGCAGAGGTATAAGAAGGAAATTAGAGTTGTCATCATTTGCTACAGTTCAACCACAATGTAACTACTGATTCACCTTCTTGAAACTTTCCACTCACACGGGGCTGCATCCTAATATTCTTCTTCAAAAATAAATCCCAGATAAGATCAACAATCCCTCTAATCAAGCACTGCTTCATCTGAAGCAGCCTCACGAGAAATGACTTTCAAACACCTCAAACTACATCAAGTTGTGCTGCTGAGTGAAACCGAAGATTTTTTTTTTTTAATCATTAAAAAGCTGCAAACTGTTTCAAATGGAGAACGAAGCACATATGACGATCCATTTGCCTGAATGAATACATGAATAATGCAGGAGTTAAAGCGCATAGAGACAAACTGTTTGTGCCTTTACAGTCGAGACACATCTTACGATCAGCCTGAGTGTGTTTGAGTGTATGAGTGCATATTTGCATGTTAATATCATATGCATAGATGTTGATATTAAATTTAATAAGTAATTTACATTTCAGATAGAGAGTAAGACTTTAGTGAAATGTGTTGATCCACAAACTGCAATTTCCTCAGTGAGTGTAAAACATGTAAGAAAATGTAAACCTCGGAGAAAGTGTAAAAATCCTCAGGCACTCCGCCTAATTGGTCCCTCTACAATATTTTCATACACATCCCTTGAAGATTTGTTAATATTAATATTTTATGAGCGAGATTTTGCAGACTCTGGCCAACTTTTGGAATAAATGAGCTGAGATGAGTTTCCTCAAGATCCCCTGCCAGCATACGCGGCTAATGTACTGCAGTATGTATCGCTCGTATGGCCTGTATAATATGTGTGTGTGTGTGTGTGTGTGTGTGTGTGTGTGTGTGTGTGTGTGTGTGTGTGTGTGTGTGTGTGTGTGTAGCTTTGGTGGATGTACATCACTTCAGCTTGCTCCCGTGTCTGTTTCAAAGTGGTCCTCACATAAACTCATCCAGACATACTTTAAACATCACTTGGCACAGACAGGAAAAAGTAAAACTCAGGTAAACTCAAACTTTTCCCCTGACCTGACAGAAACAGGGGATGTCTGTTACATATGCAGGATCTGGCCTCTAAAGTAAAACTGCTGCAATGACTTGTTGTTGTAAAAACCTCAGTGACGCAGGAGACAAGAGAAACCAGATTATGCTCTGTCAAGCAGATTAATAGATATAAAAGACACAGATCTGGTCTTCTGTGAGTATTTTTAGAGGATGATATAAAAAAATGACACAACATTAAAACAAAACTAGACCTGTCATATGTGTTTTACATAGGCTATATTCCTGCCCTATTCCGGAAATGATTTCGGTATGTGAGGAGTTACATGTAATCAAATAAACATATGTAAAGAGCAACGACATAAATCATTAATTAACATCTAAATGAGGAAGTTATGTTTTCAAATCTACACAAAGTTGCACTGCAATATATATACAACATGATGCAACATCCCGTGGGTGGCAAATTTTAAATCCCCCAGCAGGGTGCCGTACACATATCAGTACAGCAGCTCTGCTTCCAACGCCCCTTTTACACAGATATCAACTTGGTTGTGCTTCTCCCTCAGCTGCTGAAAGGCAGAACATGTTTGTGTTTCACACCAATCATTCAGTTATTGAGTCATTGTAATGCGACTACATTCCCACATTACACCAACTGTGTAAAGGAGGGAGATTCAATCTCTCTTCTTCCTTGATTGTTGATATCAAGGTTAGTTTTGTCAAGAGTAAGCATGTCCCGATTTTCCTTTACCTTCATTTTCAATTTCCAGCCAAATCAGACACATTATCAAGAGCAGGAGTTTGAGACAGGTCTATTTTTTACTTTAATGATTTTCTGTAGGGACACAACATGAGGCAACAATTGTTCCTGGTACTTCAGCATCTGCATGTCCATATCATGTTTCTCAGATCAATAATCTGTAAGAATCTAAAGGTGAGGGTGTTCCTGTCAGTGTTTGTAGCTGACTTCAGACATGTGGTGAGCTCAGCCCCGTGGGCACTTCTGGTAACAATGAAGCCATTTAGAGTTACTTCTTAAATTACCTACATCATGAGGCAATTATCAGTTTCCTGTTAACCTCGGATGTAACTGCGTCATCTAGAGAGGGATGACTGGTGATAACAAAAAACCTCTATCTCAGGTTAGATCACATTTAGATATTGTTTCCTTACAATTAGAAGATTTTTTTGTGACAGAAATTTGATCTTCACCTTTAAAACCTGCAAAGATGGACTGTAAACTTGAAACCAGAATTACAGAACTATTCTTTTGCCAAAAGGTCAAAATGCATATAACATTCAGGTCTGTCCAGATTCATCACATTTTATACAGTGAAGACTTCAATTATGTCAGAGTGATAGGAGTGAATGGTGTCATAATATTGATATGGAGATATAGCATTTACAACAATGGCACAAATAATCCAGGGGTCCTGATAGATGAACAACCGAAAAGCTTTTAGTCATAGTTTCCCCCTGCAGTGAAGAACATTTAACGTCTTAAACAACAGAAACTGCTCTTTACCCATATAAAGTAAAAGAAAAATGTATAATGCTCTGCTGCTGTAACTGATCTGCTTCAATGTTTGGCGTGTTGCACATTCAGAGATGGTATTCTGCATACATCAGTTAGAAGGAATAGTTATTTGACTCACTGACGCCTTTGTATCATCTCAAACCAGTCTACCAATTCTCCTCTGGTCACTTTCATCCACACGACTTCCATACACTCGATACTTTCATGGAATCATTCTCTGTAAACCCTTGAGATGAAAATCCCAGTAGATCAGCAGTTTCTGAAATAATCAGACCAGCCCGAATGGCACCAATAACCATGCCAACCAACTCCTGACTGAAAGAGATCATAAAAGATGATTTCTTGACCCAAAAGGCAGTTACCATCTCAAAAATGTAATCAGTGTACAGACAGCATAAGGCTGACTTACAAGAGCCGATTAATGGACATTAGCGTTTGCTCAACTGTGTGAATTGCATGAAGTGAGGCCTCTCATAGCCCTTAAAGTCTCTGATTTAGATAATACACCCAGCAACATGGGCTAAATGGTCCTTAATTTTATTCTTTACTTTTTTTTCTGCTGACAAAAAGCACCAGCAAAAGTTTTTAAATTATACGACCTACTCAAGAATGCCACGACTGAAAACACCAAAACATATTCAAATGTTGCAGTGATGATTACAAGTAATCACTGAGGTAAAAGGGAAAGAAACGTGGGAGATGGAGGAAGAAAATCTGCATCAGAAATGGAAGAAAGCCAGGAGGGAAAAAATAGCAACTCAGGGGGCAAAGAAAGCATAAACACAGGAAATTATTCATAGACTGAAAGTTGTGTTATTCGCAGGCTTGGCACAAACACTGAACGAACACGACTGAACACTCACACATGCACGTACAGTACACACTTACTTGGTTTTGTGTGCTGTGTTTGGGAGACACATCTCTAGAGTGCGGTGCAGTCTTCCACTCTCTTCAATATTGCATGAGCCTCCACTAAAGTTGAACCCTGCCTTTTGTTTTAGTTAAGCAGCAAAATAAATAGAGCATAGCCGCAGCATCACAGGGACAATTAAATAAACAGCAGCACAGGGTTTTAGAAGACATTGTCGTGCTAATCACTTGCTGCACTGAGAGCACTGTGCTGCGGTACAATTAAATCACAGCCATTTATTAAACTGGAAACTAAAGCCTGGGAAAAAAAGGAGACAGGGATTAGGGAAATATTTTCTTTCTAAATGTGTAACATGGGCACTGAGCATGCATCAGAGTAAAATGGAGAAGAGATTGTGTAGGTGTGTGTCTCTGTCTGTGTGTGAGCCACTTCTCAAGCACAAGACTTTAAAACAGCACGGGGGATATTTGAAATAATAAGTGATGCAAAGCAGCGGATTTGAAAAGGGATTTATTCGGTTCTGCATCACCACTGGTGAGTCAGCCGTTATTCCATAAACCAAAGCTTATCTGTCAGTTAGGATGGGTATGATAATACTGTACCAGAGAATAGACAGGAGGGGAGAGAGGGAGAATTGATGTGGGTGTGTCATTTTTGCAACTTTCCCTTCAGGCAAAACATACTCTGGATGTGGGTAAGCCTGGAGCTAACGTTGTAAAATGGAAGGCAATTTATCAAGTGTGATATGACTGGCGAGATGGACTGTTTGGATGAGTCATAATGTGCACAGGCTCCTAAATTACACTGGACAGCAAAGGCAACATGGAAAAGAGACCACCAGCCATTAGCTATCAACCAGCATGTGCCTATTAATTATGAAGCATTACATGATGGCATATGTTGAAATGCCTGTGTTGGTATTTTGACAAATTTACGTGTGAAAGCTTACATATTTAATCAAAGTGGGTAAGACATAACGTTAATCATACCGGTTTGGTGTCTTTGTATGCCTCATTTCACCTGCAAATTAGCACTTAAAACACAGCACAGTTATTGAAGGTAATTTTTCCCAAAAGATGGTGTAGATGAAATGTTAGGGGACCAGCATCGTAATTTCACTTTATCTTCAAAGAGGGACAAAGTTAGCAAGACTTTTTTTATTATTATTACAGTGTTGAAAGAATGCCTGCAAGTCCTCAAAGACATGGCTTACAGCTTGTCTGTGATAATAAAATGTGTGACTCTGAAGTGTCTGACTCCAGGTGACAAAATAACCTTTTTTTTCAATCAAACATAATCTATTTTATTCTCAAACAACATATAGAATCTTTTAACATTAGTTGACATGCATGTTAAAGCTCCTGTAAGGAAATCTTTGTTTTTTAAATTTTAGCACCCCCTGTGGACAAAGCAGTATCTGCTTATCTCATCCTTTCCAAGCACAAGTTGTGTATTTTGCCACAAAAATCTAATTCTGCTGGCTTTTACAGTCAAATGAATAATTTGTTGTTGATATTAAAAATGGGGCTTGTTTTTTTTCTGCAGCTCAGCTCACACCTACACCCTCCAAACAGTTTTCAGGCATGAAAAATTATGCTTTACACATTGTCAGCATTACGGCTTATTTTCGTGTTTGCTCTTGGATAACACAAAAGGGCAAAATTATGAATTCTAGTCCATTTTATTAATATATATACAAACTCCTCATAGGAGCTGATGGATAATATAAGAAAATATATAACTGATCGATAGGATTTTTTAAAAACAAACATCACTACTTTTTAGAATAATCTCAAACTTGAGTTATGTTGATTCAGTCATTTCAATGCCAGTACATAAAGAACTGTCCAAAACAGGCTCCTCTGTCCCTTTAACGGTCATCTGACAAGTATCTATTTTTCCTGAATATCTGGATGACCAGTCAGGTGCTTGGATGCCTGGGGGACCACATCCAGTTTAAATGGGGGCAGCGCGCGCAACATTTGCTCTCACTGTTTAAACTGTACGACTGAAAATCTCAAAGGTTTTAAAACCTTGACTATTAAACTCGAGGCACACCTTTAAACCTTAAAACTTAAAACTGGCCCAGTTCAGACGTGGTTTCACAGGGACCTTCATGCTAACCTTAATCCAATGCTTTGTGAAAGTCAGGTAATGTGTAAATAGTTTCTTTCGCTAACAAGCAACAACACTCCACTACAATTACGCATCCATTCACTGAGATATATGTTGTTTCCATTGTTTGATTGTATTTGCTTCAAAGCAGATGCAACAAGTACATAATTATGGCCGTAATTAAGCTGCAAAAAAACACGAGCCCTGCCACATGAGCACCTTTGAAACAATGAGTGCTCGATTCATTAGCATCTGCTGTAAGCTTATTAATCATCTAACAGGCAATTAGCAAGCTGTTACGATTGGCGGCTGGTATGTAAATATATTCCTGGGTTAATTTCTTCCTCTGATAATAAAGGAAACATTATGAAAATGAGCCCAGCCACTATGTAAATGATCTATGCCGTTAATTGCACTGCACTGTTTCGACTTGGATCGGCAAATGGCGTTGTGATGGGCTGGCACTGAGGTTATATGCCAGGCTGCCGGGGGAATGAAAGCAGTCGGCATCACACTGCAGCCTGCATGACAATTTATGGGCTGTTCAAATGCCTTCCGCCAGCCCTTCTGTCAAATAGATAATAAACCTCGGCGAGCAGAGGTGGGCCCAAAGGGACTGGCCATGTGTGAAAGAGTGGGAGGGTAAAAGCAATATATGGAAAAATAAAAAGTTTGTGTGCTTGTGTGTGTGAATGTGTGTGTGTATGTGTGTGTGTTTTTGAGCCTCGACAAATGAGACCACTCCACATCCTCACAACACCAGTATATATTACACCCAGGATAGTTATTGGGAAAATGACAGAAACAGTGACAAAAAAAAATATCCAGCCTTGGTAACTCACACAAATAGGCCCAATTTTCCATTAGTAAATTAGTCCTTAGTGCACATGTGCACATGTCCCACGCTGTGGCTCCACTAACAGGATATCAAGCCATGCTGAGAGGATTTTCTGCCAATCTACTGCTGAATTCACAGCACAACAGCACTAATGACACTCGGGCCCGACATCCATCATGGCAATGTTCATAAAGCCTGTGCCAACATGTAGCTTCCCTTCGGCCCTCGGTGCTAATCTATGCGGTGCAGGCGCGGAGAAGCCATTACAGCTCTGAATACATGATGAGGCTCACAGCTAATACTCCTCTCCACACCGGAGGGAGGCTGGAGGACGAGAGGCAATATAATTGAGGCCAGGAGGCAGATTGTGATCTATTGACATTAAGCTGGGGCTCTTAATCTGACAGTTGTCCCCTCAGAGATGTTGACAGACAGCTGGGTGGGCAGCCACAACCTTTTGCATGGATGCACGCCACGTAGCCTCTACTGTAATATTCACAACCCCACCCCAATCCCCCCCACCTCTATCCCAGTGTCAGTTGTCTTGTGCTTTAACATGAACACATGAGGAGACTGCTGACTGCATCTCTGAACAAAAGACTGAAGACAAACTAATGAGCACAGCCCTTCACTGAAAAGTTAGAACATGCTCTTGGGCTCAAAAGTCTTCTGGGAAATTATATTTGAGTTTATTAAGTACTTCTACTTTTTGGTAATCAGTAAATGGCAAATGAACTTGTGCTTAAACAGTCTTTCTGACCACTTGTAGTACTTTCACACCTCCCATCACATTTGCCCATCCTCAAATCCCATTTCCTTATCCCATTTCTACGCATATACTGTCACCAGGCAGTTCAGCGTCTTGCCTAATAACATTTCAGCCACCAACCTTAAGATTTAGAAACAACCTACTCCACCACATAACCCCACCTAAGAGGCAAGATTTACTTCTGATGATGAATAGCAGACAGTTTGAAATATGTCGTGTACATCTTGTAAATTAAGTAATGTTTTCTGAGTAGTTTAGGACGTGTAGATTCTTGACTTTGAGTTTTTAGCCTTGAGTTCTCAAGTTTAAGCTAAAATAACCTGCATGGACTGAAAACATATAGTCTATGTGTTCTACTATTAAAAATAAGCACCTGCCAAATGCAATGCAAAGTTTCACTTTGACAATCATGGTAGGAACACTGAACTGAAAGAAGAAGGGATAAATCAAGCAGGGACTGTTTATAATCCTTCAATCGCCTGAATAACACGATGAACAAAAATGTTGGGGGACACAAGATAATATTTTGCCAAGGCTGGAAAAAAAAATAAAGACAGATAAAGAAAGATAACAGGACTTATCTGCTTTTTGCCAACACAACACTCAAACCAAAATAAATATCTGGGACAGTTGGCTGCACCACAAACAGTTACTTTAATCATGGATCCACAAAAATGTTTCTGTTCTGCACTAATTAATCTGAATGTTTTTCAGATGAAATAATTTTTAAACACTTTTGAAGAGCAAAAAACTGAACTTTGTAAACTTCCAGCTTCTTAGACACTAATATTCATCAGTGACATCATATTTTTGTAAATATTATGACCCTTACTACCCGAGTCCTGGTTTTTGACCTCACAGAAAGAAGAACCTGGCAGTGAGTTGTCATTACTGTGTTTTTTTATTTCTACAGTCTGAAATATTCTGGACAAAATGAAAAACCACATAACCAAAATACAAACAGGACAGTTCTAAAATATATTATGATTTGCATTTCCTCTCCCTGATGGTGAAAAATTGAAATGTGTTATTCTCACACATGCCTATCCTGGATGCCCACAGTGTGAAATTCTCTCATTTCTACATTTTAAACACCGTTCTCTGTAAAAGACGAAGAAACACACACTCTCTCACACAAAATGCTCTTGTATGTGGTGTGCAGCCAATTAGATTAGGTTGGTGAGTCACATGCTAAATGGCTTCACCACTTAAGTGTTCCCAAACGGCAGCCATTTTTTCCGCTGTCTTGGGTGCAGCGGCGGGCAGTGATGTGTGGCCCAATCAGCAGCAACACGGAGCCCTTGTATATTTAAATATGCGTGACTACAGGGCATGTTATTCTCCCCACATGTTCTCTGGTCTGCCTGTAGAGCGTACTGATTTATTGACGCTCAGTGACATGGGGAGGAGATAGCAGATAGCGTAGCGGGAATCCAATGCACCACGACTGATGTGAAAAGCAGCCCAGAGTCTGAAATCATTTGCAGTCGCACTCCCAAGGCCCCAGTGATTTAAAGAGACATACTTCAGAGGGCCTCAGTGCCTGGCAGGAAAATGTAGTCACATCACATTAGAACCAAAGACATGCAAATAAATGCTGGGCCAGTGGAATCAATCCAGGCACATCACTGTTTCAAGGTTTCATTTCCAGTCCAAGATACTTCACAGTGGGCTATTCAGTTCCATTTTGCACCAGCAAAATGTCTGCATCACAGCTGAACATCGTTTAATAGCACAACTACCTTGAACTGTCAGGTAGTGCCAGGCCACAGGAAAGAAAAAAATCCCCACGTATCTAAAAACAGGCTCGTTTGTGACAGCCACATTGACGGAAACTTCGACCTCTCCTTTTTAAAATCCTCCACCGTACAATCAATGTGGAGTTTGAGTAATGCTGGGCCCATTAGAGCCAACCAAATTGCTGCAGGAGGCAGGGAAAGAGTGTCATCTATTGTGGGAAACGATTGCTTAATATAGCAGCAGGGGCTTGAAGGAGTGCTTACCAGAGCACAATCCACTAAAATCAATAGCAACAGTCAGGCTATATTGTTTCAAACGAGGAAAAAGTGCGGCTACGATAAAAAGCACTCAATATCGGTGTCTGGGCCGGTGAGACGCTGAGTCAGGAGTCAGGAGTAAGTAATGCTGTGCTGGAGGGAGGAAGGAGAAGGGAGGAGAGGATGGAGGGAGGAAAGGATGGAGGAGGAGAAACACTGCAAGCAAGCTCCTTCCTGAAGGTCAATCAACTTTGCAGGTGATATAGATGTTACAGATTTCGTTTAATCCCCTCTGTTAAATGAGCTCATGTTTTTTAATCACTTTGGATTTTATTTGTACAGACACAGTATATACATATACAGAGAAAGGTTTTGGCAATGTGGAACTATGTCATATTTATGTATTTGGACAACATTGGCTTTTGCAACTGTTTTTATAACTGTCTTATAATAAAAGTTGCCTTACACACTTGTACATGCAGTTTTTTTTCAGCTAACGACCACAACACAGTCTTTGAGCGTGCCCACTGTCACTCCTGTTTTCTTTAGTATTTTAAGTAGTCCTCATCATGTGCCTTCAGGTTGTCTGGGATTTTGAAAGCAATTAACCTCCACTCAGCTCCATAGAAATCAATGTTAAAACAAGCCAAAGAGTGTGAAGAAAATATGACTATTCTTCCCCAGACACTGGTTTACTGTAGTCAGGAAAACTATAGTAAAGAGTTCTGGGTAACACTTTACAATAACCATAATTCATAAATGGCAAATAGATAGTTTATTAATGTTTAATCATCATTTAAAAACAGCATATAGACCAATTATAAATGGCAAATAGATAGTGTATTAATGTAAGTTAATAGTTACTTTACCATTAACGAGCAATGAAATTATGATGAATAATTTTCATTAATTATTAATGGACTATTTATTAAAGGTTTATATAGGGTTTAAATATTGGTTTCAAAACATCTAGTTTAAAATGTGTGTCAGTAGCACTTTGTAAATGGTTAATGTTTGTTTTTTTCTTAACCATCTAGATTGTTATTGTAAAGTTGCAACAGATGTTTGTAGTTTAGATTAATAAGTGGTTTATACACCAGCTATAAACATTACTTAGATGGTTATTGTAAAGTTGAGGTTAGAGTTAGTCAGGGTTAGGGTTAGGTTTTTAAAATTGTAAAATTTACAATTTATTAATGGTCTATGTATGCCATTTATAAATGATTAAACATTAAGGAACTATCTGCTTACCATTTATAAATGGTCTATTTACCATTTATAAGTTATGGTTACTGTAAAGTGTTACCAAGTTCTGAATAGATTTTGAAATATTTTTACTCTAACACTGATGCTGATATAAGATTGATCATTCCTTTACACTAGCACTTACTTATTTCTAGCACCTGGATGGGTTTACCATGAATAAAGCTGAGCTGACAATCAATCACCTTGAAGTGTCTTTGTTTAGAAAGCTGATCATAAGGCTTCGCAGTGAAAAGAAAGCTAACAAGGATCCCTCTTTATTTGTTTTTCAGATAATTTCCTCTCTGGCAGACACTAGAGCAGTTTTAACAAAAAGAGCTACAGTTTGTTTTCTGAATTCTTCAAGACAAAAGCATTTTTTATTTAGTATGACTGTTTCCAATTCACTTCATTTTAAATATAGTCCATGTTCTTTGTTGTACTTTTGACAAAGACTCAATGCCATGTGCAAAAATGTGACATTTAGTAACAGTACAAAGAAGAATCATCTTTGCCCTTGTAATAGCAGAGACCTTGATCAGATTCAAAGTCATGCAGGAGAGTTGAATAAAGAGAAGAGAAAGAAGAAATATTTTTGTTCTTTTTACTGCTGTTTGCTGTCACCGTACATCCTCTGAGGTTCCCCTAACTCCTGAAAAAATGTCACTAATTAGGAGCAAATGCTTTACAGACTCACTGAAAGCTGTTTCCTACAGTTTGGTAACGGATAAGCCGTGGTTAATGTCATGTTGGTCCATCAGAAATGTACTCATGTCCATGTGAAGTTTCAAGTGTAATTTATCAATTTGTTAATCCAACGTTCCATAGACACGTCTTTATCTGTCTTTTTTTCCACCATTTTATTAAAGACATGTGGACGTCTTTCTTTCAGTGGTAAAAGAAAACAAGCATTCCTCTCATACACCACAGTTTGGTTGTGATTTCTCCCCCCTGGTCTCGCACCGCCTGGTTTGTGTGTTTTGACTGAAGGAGAATGTTTCTTTGAGCTGCAGCCTTGGGTCCAGCTCACCTCATCAGTATGTATGTGCCCTCTTCATCCCCCCACAACAACAAAGGAAGCCCGAGGAGGGAGCCAACAGGATCCCTCAATAAAACAGAGCAGGATGAGGCCTTGTGAAGCCACATTCCCTTCATTCTGGACCTGATACTTGTTGAGCGCAGACAGCAGACTCTTCAAAGGCGAGTACATTCCTGCAGGCCCCCTCAGATCTGAGACTGGGCTGCCTGAACTGCACCAGCTATATACATCCCCACATACAGTATATTCAACACACACACACAGATACAGGTACTACAAACACATCTTCGATTCCTTATTTCATCTAAATCCAGGTTAGAGCAAAACAAAAGGAAGTTTGACTGTACATCCTACTGTATATTTCAAATGTATATTTCTATCCAACATTAAATAAAGCCTGTAAGTGAAACCCTCACTACTGTGCAACAAGTGATATATAACTGGTATCCTCGTTACCATTTTCTATCATAAAAGAAACTTTATATTCATGATTCAAGCGAAAAAAAATTGCTTTTTTTTTTTTTCTACAGGAAAAAGACTTTTATGAATCAAGACGATGATTAGTCTTTGTAATAGTCTACTGCTGGAAAAAATATGAAAAGGAACAGATTGGTAGGAGGACAAAAGTTTTAACTCAATCTCAATCGATTTAAGTAGATTTGATATTTTAAAAGTGTAACTGTGCATCGTAGCAGACTGAAAATTAAGCATGAGCTTCAAAAGATTAGCAAATTTTTAAAAATAAGTCACATTTTCTGTATTCTTTGTGTGATTTGAAGTTAGTGCAATCTGAAAGGGGTCTCCCTGACATTACTAGTCTGATAAATATTAGTAGGAATATGAAATATCCATTGTAGGTTTATCTATTCATTTATTTTCAATTACATTTAGGGATGTTGTGAAGTGTTTAACTTATATAAGATTGGATATTTGAATTCCAACAGTATGCTTTGTTTAAAAGGTAATTAAAAACTCTACTGGTTTGCTAAGTGGGGGGCAGTAGCTCAGGAGGTAGGCCGGTCATCCAATAATCGGAATTCCCACCAACTCAAGTCTGTCCATCGTATCCTCCCGATTGTGTCCTCCACTGGTGTATGATTGTGTTGTATGGTGGTGGTTGGAGAGGCTGTAGGCGCAGAATGGCAGCCACGTTTCCGTGAGTCTGCCCCAGGGCAGCTGTGACTACTAAGGTAGTTTACCACCACCAAGGTGTGACTGTGTGAGCGAATGAATGATGTATCCAATGTAAAGTACTTTGGGGGTCTCTGATAAAGCGCTATATGAAATCTGATGCATTAAGTGTAGCTAACATTAGCAGAGCTAGCACCTCCAGCCTTAAAGCCTCCTTTCAGCATGCATTTGCTGGGCAGGTTCTGCTCCAATCAAGTGGTCATCTGCCAGTTTTAGCATACTACGTACCCTACGTACAACTTTTCCGCCGCTGTGATATACAAACACACTCATAAAGCTGCCAGTTATTGATGTATTTATTAATATCTGGTTTTGAGAAGGTGTCATGCAACTTGCATTTCATAGCACAGACTGTACACCCTACTCTTTAATTAATGATAAATACAATAGAATTTGAATCACAGAAAAAAGCGTATTTTCAGGGGAACATATTAATAATACTATGACCAGAGACTACACTAAAAATATCTAATAACACATACTCTCCAGTTTGCCCACAGTTCTAACTTGTCCTACATGCTGATCTTAATAAAACTTTCTCTCTTCAAAGGTGGTTGCTGCCTTAGGCTTTAGAGCTGTTAAATGCCTAAATTCATCCCTGTTGAGTAAGACAACATTCTTGAATGTCATCTGAGTCATTTCCCACTTTTCCTCTTTGCTTCCACTTCAGTCATCACTGAGTTATAATAAAGCAGATACCTTGGCTGTACAGTAACAGTGACAGATGTACATTAATTCTGAGTAAAAGAAATCAGTTTATAGCCTGAAGCTGTGTGAGTACGTGCTGCTGGCTGTAAGCAGATTAGCAGCAGTTCTGCTGGTGCATGGAGACAGCACTAACAGCATATTAGCCGTGTTGCTTTGTTTACCTCGGGGCTCAGCTTTCCTGGAGGCTACTAAATTAGCATTAGTCAGCGCAGCAATACGCAATTAAGCTCAGTCTGCTCCATGTCACAAGCAGATCAACACCATGCAAAGTCATGCTAATTGGCTTAGCACTAAGCCTGTTTGAAGTGTGCTAGGTAGTGGCACTGGCTTATGACTGATACACAAATCTGGCCTCATCAAAGGGATGCCCAGGCAGCCTAACCCTGGCTTATGTCCTACACCAGTGGCTGATTCATTCAGGAGCTACTCTGCTGTTTGTTACCAGGGTTTCTCAATGAGTGGGCAGGATTGTGAAATCTGTAAAGAGAGAAGTGGATAAGAAACACCCCTGCCTTATTCATTGTGCTCACATTTATTCCAGCCAATCACTGTTTAAAATGCAAAATGAAATGAGTGCACAACATTGTTAAGATGAAGAAGACTTTCAAGGACACAAATTCACATTTGTGTGCCTGCCTCTTCACACGCCAACTGCGTGTTTCACATTCTTCATTTTCCAGGACCAGAAATAAATCAGAGAATATTTGAGGAGGATTACATGTACAGGTGTGAGTATAGGAGAAAGAGACTCTTGCTTGGTCTCTTGTCTGCTAGCAGGCTGATAGTCTCCCCCTTTCCAAGAACACATCAGTATTCCTGCAGCACATATCATCCCAATACTCTTTGTTGGGTCAGAGAAATCAAAGCAGCGCACATCTGAGGAATATCAGAGAAGGGACGAATAGATTAGTGCCCGTGGGTTGTATCACTAATTAAAGAGTAAGAGAGAAAATGGTGCTTGGCTGCTGTCTGAGGATATGATGCAGTCAAGTGATTAGCTTCAGGTAATCAATATGCTCTCTAGATTGGAGAAGCTGAGGGAGGGGACTTAGACTTTTTAGTATCAACACATTTTCTTCACTATAGAGAGAGCTGGTCTGGATTTGTATGGGGTCAAAAAGTATGGTTTGCAGATACAAGTATGTGACATTTGCCTTTTAACCCTTCCAAGACTATCCTTTTTAAAATACTGATTTTACAGTCAAGTTTGGATTCTGTTTAGAAAAGATCCAACAGGTTTAAGTTTTCAGCCCAGCTGTAAGAAGCCCTCATTGATTCTGATGAGCCAAATTCAGCCTCAAGATACCCACACAGCTGAGGGCCAAAGCTCACTTTTTTTCTGACACTTCTTCCTTTGTTGTTTTAATCAGGTTTCATTTCAACTTCATTCTGTTTTATGTTTAAAGCACCAGCACTTTTGATTTTGTAAGCTGTCTTAATTTGCTTTGATTTTATGATTAATGGCTGCCTTGCTATGATATCACTTTCCTCTTTGGAAACAGAAAAAATTCAACTTATCTGAACTTAGAGAGCTAATCTTTTTTCTGTACATTCAAGCTCCACAACAACAGTATTTATCCCACCAGAAAACCAATTATACAATACAGTAGACTGAAATAAACAAAGCTTGCCGAGTCTTTTTGTTCAAACTGTAATGGTGAAAACAATCAGGTTTCTCCCTCATGTGTATCTCAGAGTTGAACAGAACAGGCATTGGTTTTTGTTGCATCTCTCTCTTTCTTTGAAAGCTTTTCTCTAACTTAAGAAACATTACACAAAGTAAATCCTTTCCCAGGTCTTGGATGTTGTTGTTGTTTTCTTGCTGTGAGCTAATTAGCGCTACTTGGCCTGCCATCTAGGCCAACATTACTATCGCTGAAGGTCAACGTCCAAGTCTTGCAAGATTTAAGGTGATTAGCCCAGCATACAGAAATAACACAGCGAAACTTCAGTTAACTAGATCACAACTGAAAAAAACACGCCATCGAATGTTTGAAGTGATATTTTAACAGATTGAGGGTGCCTACTGTCTGTGTACTCACATCTTTAGCACTAAGATAACAGATTGGACCAGTGAATCCTTACAGCCCTACTGTTCACAAATCACACAGCTGAGCATGTGGGCATGTGGGGGTCTCTATTAGGATGGAGTTAAAAACATGGAGTCTCTGGGGTCGACTAATCCCTTTTATTAGCAAACACTCTGTTTTTGCAAAACTACAACAAAAGAAGGCCTACAATGAAACTTTTTTGGAGTTATTAACAACTTTTTTCTTTAACATTAAATTTGTAAAAAGGAAAGGAGCTGCGTTAACAATCCCATTTTAATACAATTCAATTTGTTATACACTTAAGTCTTTACAAATTTTTATAAATTAACAAATATTTATTTCTCACTGAAAGTCATTGCCCCGCTTTATGGAGCTATATCAAGTAAGTAAGCTCAGATTGACCCGCTGATCACATCCAGAAACACAACCAGCAAAGAAAATGACTGGTGAATGCAGTGGGGTAATAAAGCACCATGGTGATAGTTCTCTTGTTGTTTTAAGTTTGTTGGTCAGCGAGAAAATGACTTACAATGAGTTATACTGCTTTTCTAATATATACTAGATGTGTACATGGGCAACCTGTTGCTATATCAACTCTATAAAGAGATAAAATGTCAATTTATGTTCTCAGTTTCAGCTACAGGCCAAGAGAAAAAGACAACAGCATTTACATTGCCAAAGGAAAATCTATATCGTCAGTCTAACTTCCGTCTTCAGCTGTATTCTCCACTAAGAAAAGTTAGTCACGATGGTTGTGCTCTTCAGGCTGTGACAAACACTAGTCCCAGCATTAACCATACAAACTTTATCAATCAAACGAAAACTCATATATGCAGAAAGCCTTGGTGGTGTGCGATGGGAGAGGACTGCTGCTGCAGCCAGACATGCGAGAAATTGCAGGATTGTAACAGACCACCTGCTGCCACCTTACCCCATAAGAACTGTCTGAATCCTGTCTACAGGCATAACAAAGCTCTTCAGACACACAAGCTGGTTCCAAGGTAATACAAGGGGTGTAGAAAAAGGCTCATTATAACCTTTCCCCTTTCCTATTTATCCAACAAACCCCTGCTGTGATCAGTGAACGTGTCCTCAGGGAGGCTGGCAACAACAGAGCAGGTAATTCTCCTTCACCCTTCTCTGAGTGCATCATGTCCACAGTGCAAAACAAGCCAGTGTCCCAGCAGAGGTGACCCAGATTTAAACCCAACACTTCAACCTTTCCTTCCCTCTGGAGGGAAGGAATTGTTTATTACCTAGTGTAGGTGGATGGCTTTGCATAAAAGAAAGGAATGTGACGTATAAAACGCTACACAAGTCTGGACAGGACAGGGAGGGAAAAGGTTTCACGCGTGGGCAAGGAGCCGATACAGCCTTATTTACAACTGACAATGTTTTCCTGTGGAGCAGCCAGCCTTAATTTGCTGCTTAATAACTGACTTCCACCACCATGTTCAAATCCCCCAGAGAGGCTTTTGTGGTTTGTTCGCAAGATGTCTCCACTGCCTGCACTGCAAATTAGCCTTTCAGAAAGGCACCTCACCTTCCGGCCACAGCATGCAACACACAAGGCCTTTTTTTTCTCTTCTTACCCTGTTGCCTTTCTACTTCTATCTGCCAGTAATAACCTTCTACTAACCTTTAAACCACTGTGAATAATTTAAATCCTATTTTCATATCAATGGAGGAGTCAAGCCAGGCAATTATCTTTTATCTGTGTACTTTGCTGTCGGAGCAAAGCATAATAAAGTCTTCCCAAGAGAAAAAGAGAGAGATGAAGAGAATGAAAGGAGGAGGAGGAGGAGGGGTAAAAGACAAGGCATAGATAGTGTACAAAAGCCAAAGGCCATATGGACTTACTGGGAGAAGATATGGAGAAAGTTGATAAGACAGCAAGAGAATAACAATAAGAGTGTGTGGATGTTTGCAGTGCTATCTGTGAGACTCCTAATGAAAAGAATGAATAATTCACTAATGAGCAGCAGATCTGTCATGGAAAGAAACACCGCTTACATCTGCACTGGTTTCCGGGAGAAGGATGTGGTGAGTTTGGTGGCTGGTGGAAGACAGCAGAGATAAACACGACAAATTGGCAGTTCAATTACAACTTTTAGGTCACTGTTTGCTTGGTGTGGCTGCATTCTGTGACATGCTGCTGGTTGAGGCGAAAGCAGGGCTGTGTTAAAGCTCATTTGTGTGACAGTGATTTAGAGTCATAGTAGATGGGTGCATCCCATGAAGAAAAAAAGAAATAAAAAACAGAAAGTGAGCTAGGGGAAAAGAAATGTGTGGAAGAAATTCCCTCTGGTACTCATTAAAATTCAGCACTACAGCAACACCCCCTTCTCCTCGCTTTTGCTCTTCTTTCCCCTCCCTCCCTCCCCCCTCTCTTTTTTTTCCTCTTTCCTCCGTCTGTTCTTACAGCCATCGTCTCGCCTTGTTGCCTCCCTGCACGCCACCCAGGACTGTCCATGATCATCCTGATGAATTCATAAAAACTTGCTGCATTCTTGATTGAGATGGAGCGGCGGGGAAAAACATGAGTGATGGAAAGGAGAAAAGCAATATCCACCAACTGACAGGAGGGGAAGAAAGGGCGAGAAGGCGAGGTGAAGAAGTGAATGTGTTTGGGAGTGATGGGATGCAGAGATAACAAGAGCGAGAGGAGAGAGGGTGAGGGTAGCAGCTATAGGTTTTGCAATATTAATCTAAGGTGCAGAGATAAAAGACAGGTGAGCACTGCAAGAGAAGGCAGGATTTGTTTTAGCCGAGAGTGAATGCAGGGCACGTTGTTGAAAGAGCAGCCATCTTTTGAACCAAGACCAAACTTTCCTGGACTTGCATCCACCTGCTTCACCAAAATCCCTCCAGAGTGAGTCAGAGCTTATGAAAGCCAGGATCAGATCACAAAGGGTCTTCAGCTCTGCACTGAAGCCACAGGATGGAGCGATGAAACATTTGACAGCCTGATACCATCCAAAGTTATTCAGTGTGTTTTCATGCAGGCTGACGATTAACAATGAAACAGATCTTTGCATCACAAAACAACGTTAACCACAGCTCAGTTTAAATTGGTGTAACTTCAAACACAGCACAATTCATCAGCCTAAATTTCTGATGAGACATGTTGACAGAGCTAACACTACACCTCTCTTTACTCTCGACTAACAGAGTTCCTCTGTTTTCCCTCTCTGTTTCACCTCACCTTCAAGGTACAGTGCATGTAAATGAGAATATTTAGCAGTAGTCTGTCAGGCTCTGCACTTTTGGCAGCCTTCCACTAGATACTAAAATGAATATGGGGTATAGTTTGTCTGTTCAGTGCTATTATAGGAACATGATGGTGCAAGATGGCAAGAGGCACAAAAACTAAAATAATTTCATAGCTAAATGATTTACTTTAAAAAGGTGGGGTAGGCAGGAATCCATTAAAGAAGCATCTTTTTTTTGTGGTGTATATACAAAAAAGCTTTTCATATCAGTCAATAGCTATTAGTAATTGATGACATTTGGTAATATAACGATATCGCTGTGTTCTCTTATGTCTGTGTAGTCAAAATTTTATAATATTTGAGTGGCCCGCTCTTTCTGAGTGTAAACAGAGCCTTCCTCCGCCTCCCCCAACCTGATTGGTTGTGAGACAGACGCTGCTCCCCCGTGTTGTGAGACATGTCCTTAAATCACGTGCACAGAGCCCAAACAAAGTTAGCGTGCTACAATATCAGACAGTAGAAACCAACCAGAAAGTACAGAAAACACAAGCAAGAAAACGAAGTAAATACCAGAGACTCTGGCAGAATAACAGACGCTTAAAAAGGAGGTAGACCGGACAAGAGCTCAAAAGCCGGGTCAATTATGATGGGAGATGCTTCGGGATCTTTGGAACCCTGTAACCTTCCTGCTGGACAGGTAAACCGCTTCATCAAAGTAAGCCAAGTGTCTGTAACAGAAGTGTTTCTTGTCAAATGGGACCTGCTGCATGTTGTAGCGCCGCTGAACTGTTTCTCTGGTCCTGGACTATGTCACTTTATCCTAGTTGTCGAAGTCCTGCAAACATTGTGTTTGCTGGTAGTCTGTTGGCATCTACAGTAGCACCAATGCTGTTCACTTTCACGTTGACTGGGCCCCGTTTGTTATCATCTTAAGTATTTATCTGCATTATATCTGAATTTAATTGAAGCAGGAGTGTCTGTTTGTGGGCGGGGCTTGCTGGAGCAGAGAGGGAGGGGAGAGGAGGAGCTGAGGGGAAAACTGGTTGGGAGGGGTCGTGTTTACGTTTAAGATTGTTCCCCAAAACTGACACTTTCTCAGATCCTGCCTACCCCAACTTTAACACACCTTTAAATGAAGAACTTTTATGCAAATGTTGTGAGAGAGAGATGAAGTGATATAAAGAAGCCAAAGAAAATGGTGCCAAAACAGAAAACAGCATGTCAAATGAATGAATGTTTTTTATTCTGTTATCAAGTTGTGACATTAAAAATGAGGCCAGATGAGATCCAGACATCCTGAGACAGCTCAGATGACAATCATTTATCCGACACGTTGTTAAATCACTGGAAAATATGTCAAATATATTCTCAGGCAAGAATGTTTGTAACAAACAAACCCCGACTTGTTGTTGTCTGATTCATATGAAAGCCAAGGCTAAGTCAATGGAAGCTGTATCAAGTCCTGTGGTGAGTTCTTACACCTCTATGCCAGTCTGACTTTTTGTTTTGCATCAATAAATGCTATTAGACTGAAGGTTGGCTTCAAGAGCATCTCTGCCTCTTCCTGTGGCATAAATCCAGTAATTTACTCACACAAACACTTTGTTTTCAGCTAATTCTGGTCCACAAGCTTGATGGATCCGCCCACAGGCCGACAAGTGGGAGAGGTGTCAGTGGTTCCTGGCATCTCGGCTGTGTTGAGTGTGTTTATGTCCTCGTTTTGTGGCACCTACAAGATGTTTCTTTAAAAACCACACACCCTTCTACATGTTAACTACTTATCAAACATATAAACTCCAGTTAGCGGAATAATCTGGTTTTTACAGGCCTTGTAAACACTTTAAAAAACACTATCACACTATTCTTGTTATTTACGAAAGTCTATGGTGTTTGATGAGGGACAGAAGTGTTTAGAGCCGAGCACAATTTGTCCAGTTCCTTTCCCTCTGCTACATTCAGCAGCTAACTCCAGATGGAGAGCAGTTTCTGTAAAGCTACTTCTGTCATAATGTTTACAGACTGTACAAACAGTATGTTTATATACGTATATATCTCTCTTTACAGATAGTGAATGTGTATATGTGCCCCAGCCCAGCCATCTGTTCGTGTCTTATCGGAGTGCAGGTGCATAAATCAGATCATGTATACATACTGTGCTGTGTAATGTAACTGCCTGCATATTATCATATTCTCAGTGCACACTTAAAAGCTTTCATATACTCATGAATCTTTCTAACATCCATGAGGAGACACAAGAGGTGGGGCGGGGGTTGGGGTATAAGCGAGTTCAGGTCAGGTAAGGCCATGTGAAGTCTGTTCTCTCTTCAAGTGTAAAGAGATCCTACAAGAGATTTATGTCTCCAACAGCTGACAGCAGTTAACTGCAAGGCTTTACACTTGGTTCTTGTGTGTAATGTAAATGACAACTGAGGTGAGACAGAGGTAGGCACTGATTAGACATTCAGACTCTGCTATTAAGAAAGGGGTTTGATATAATGAGGAGACGAGGAGAGACTGAGGGGTAAAAAACAAAAAGTCTGCCTGCTATAAATAATACATCTACTGTATCACAAAGAGCGCACACTAATGCAATCATGTGTGCTCTTAACTCACAAACATCAAGTTCCCTCAAACAAGATTAAAACAGTACTTTGAAGAGGAAACCTTCATATCACGGAAATAAAAGTTTAGTCGACTTAACTCATAAAGGTCGTCACCTTTGCTTGGCTGCACCATAATAAACTAGTCAGTTATATAATTTTTTATTTTTATAACTCTAGGCCCGAAATGATGATCGCATATTTCATTTGCAACTTGTTCACATCCACATTAAAGGGATATTCCGGCGTAAAATTAATTTAGGGTCAAACACACCATAACACCGAGTTAGACACCCCCTCCACAGATAGATGTTGCCGACCACTTGCTTCTCTACTCATACCAACTATAGTAACAACCGCACGATAGCAATACACAATACACGGGGCCACAGCACCAACCACCAAACATATTTTTAGCTTTGCCTGATTTCTTTAGCAGAGAGATGAAACACAACTCACCTACTCTCTTCCAGCAGCTGCTTGTTTGTAGCGAGACCTCGACCAGTCCATCACTGACTAAGGCAGGGGGGTGCAGCTCAAGGAAGAACATTTATGATCATTACTTTATAATTTCTTTAAAGTAATAATCACCATATTAATCATTTTGCACTGCAGACGCTGTAGTTCTTCTGTCTTAGCGTCTCAGTCTGATTTCATTTCCATGAAGAAATGATCATAAATGTTCTTCCTTGAGCTGCGTCACTCAGCAGCAGTCTGTAATGGACTAGTCCAAGGGTTCGCTACAAACAAGCAGCTGCTGGAAGTGAGTAGGTGAGTTGTGTTAAGTCTCTTTGCTAAATAAATTAGGCAAAGTTAAAAAGATGTTCAGTGGCTAGTGCGGTCGTAATCAGCAGTCGGCAAGGGGTTGTCTAACTCGGTGTTACGATGTGTTTGACCCTAAATTAATTTTACACCAGAATATCCCTTTAAGTCAAATATTAGGTGTAGGAGGACTTGATTCTGATCACAAATACACAACAGGCTATTTTCTCGGAATTATTTCTCTTTAGCCCTGACTGTTGTGCAGATCTGATGATCAGAGGAATGCCCTTACAGACAACGTTGTGTAGTTTACTGGTCATCTGCAGCCGCACTTCAGAGACGCCATGTTGCCTGCAGTAAGTTGGAGATATATGAGAATGACAAAAACAAGTTTAAAAGAAGTTGAAAATCATCTTAAGTTACCAACATAACATTTGTGTTCTTAACACAACTTGACAGTCCACCTGTAATTTCATGCTTACATAAGTATAGAATATTCCTTTTTGACCTTTCACTAAAGCCCTATTCCTACCAAGCTGTTTCTGTAGCTAATGGCAATACTATTTTGCTTTGCAGCTACAGCTGAACAAATTCAGATTTAAGTCTTGCAAACTGTTTGCTTGCTGAAATTGTTAACAACATACAAAGTGGCAACAAAGAGGGCAGAGACTGTGTGTGGCAAACTTCTTTAAAAACCCCATGTCACTAGTGTTGATAGAGAGCTACACCCGCCCATTCTGTCATTTGGAAACTGATTCTACTTTCAACACAAACATGTTGATGAAAGGCAAGCAGAGATTCAGCATCACTACCACACTCAGTCACACAAACACATCCAGAGAGCAGAAAACACAAACTCTCCATCTCCCTCTGGTCGTTTCTCAGCCTTTGAATTACACACACTGACTAATTGACCAGCAGCCTAGTGCAGGATCTTTCCCCGGAGAGCCAGCGGAAGGAGGGAGAGAGGAGGCTAGTTAGGCACGATCACAAAGGGAGCAGACTTAATGATGTGCTGAACATCAAAAAAAAAAAAACCTTAATAAGCTGAGAAATTCTCTCCCTCGCAAACAACTTGTCTTCTAAAACATACTGTATATGTTTCTTTAGAGAAGCACAATTAGACAATTACACTAAAAAGTATAAATATCATTAAGACACATTCAGAGCTAATTAATTTAGAGGATGTAGAGTTCTCATGTGGGAAGAGAGATGGAAAATACAGAAATAATAGACACAGAGAATGTTGCATTTCATTTTCTTTTTGCTCATTTGCAGACTTCCCGCTGGGGGAGGTAAAATAACCCCCAGCCAGACTTTTTTCTTTTGCTGTTAATAATAATAGAGTTGCTTTTTCAAGCAAGGCAAATACAGAACCTGATTTGCATAGCTTAAGATGTGCATAAGTGCAGAAAAAGGGCCAAAATGTCCCTAAAAGCAGCAGCAGCTTCAGTATGTTTTTGTTTTTGGGTTTTGTTGCCCCTTTTTTTCCTTTAATGTGCTAATAAGTTGTCAGAGGCAGTTCCCTGGATTTTGGCAGCAGCACACACAAACACTTTCTCATTATTCCTTCATCAGCACCTTTTTTTTCCTCTTGTCTCTCCGTGCTTTCCTCACCTGTCTCTCACCCAGAGCCCCTCCCGGCTCCCCCTTCGTCTCCCGAGGGAGAGATGCCCAGACTTCTCTCCTGACAGATCTGCTCCCTGCAGAATTGAACCTCACATCTTGCCTCTCTTCAAGGTGACACACTGTTGCCTGTATGCCCAATTCGCCCCTATAGCACGCCTCTGTGTCTCTCTTGCAATCTCTTCAGAACAAAGCACGCACATTTCCCACAGATCAGAAAAACACCTTATCCCTATAAACTTTATCAAAGACAAGCTAGGAACAAGAAGCAGGGAGCGAGGCTGGGTGCCACAGGGCGCTGTATAAATTATCCTATTAACATGCTGATGCACCTGTGTGCTTGTTTGTAAATGGCAGATTTGAACAGATTAACAGGAGTAGACCTGAACTTCAGTTATATGGAGGTTATATTAAAGCGGATTTAAGATTAACTTCAAAAGGACTAGGAGTTGTGATTAAGTATGTGGACATAAAACAGACTCGCATATGTTGTGTTGAGTCAAGTTTCATCTGCAGCTACGCGAGCAGTTTGTGAGGGTGTACACTGGCACAAAACCATTCCCTCTAGGTGCTTATATATGCATAGAGAGAAATTGCCAATAAACTTTTGAAAGCAGCACTGGCTCAGTCATTTTGCAGCAAGGACCTTCGACAGGGAGGGAAATAGTTGCCTAATGTCCATCATTTGTGCTTGTGATGTATGTAGAATGTGCTTACTGTAAGAATATCAGAAGAGTACATGTTCATATTACCTGCAAGTAGGGCTGGGCGATATGGGAAAAAGTTTATCACAAAGTATTTTTTTCATCAGTCTATTTCAATACTTATCACGATATAAAAAATACAATTTAACAGTGCTTATTGGTAGCATGTCTTTTGAAATACAGTAAGCTACTGCATCTGTGAGGTCTTCGTGTTTCTTCAACATTTTGTCGTAAGATGTCAGCTGATTTGGTTGAACAGGCTCCATGGGGTCCTTGCTCCGCTCGGGGTTTGTAAACTTAGTCTACCAAAACATGGCAGAATGCTGACAATAGAAAAGCATATCAACCATGTTTTATATTGACATTGAGAGAAATGAATTTCCATATATATGGTTATCGTTTTATCGCCCAGCCCTACCTGCAATTCATAGATTTTTATAAATGAGGCATTCTGAAGAAATTTCTGTCCTAAAAATACTCTTCAAAGAATCAAAGTAGTCAAGTCTTTGTTTCTTCTGCTGCGTCAATAAATGGTAAAAACAGCAGAGGCCCGGAACGAAACACATTTTTGTCTTCTCAAGCTAGTCAGACTGAGTTAGCCCCTCAGCCTGTTGGTTCATAATTGAAATGGAAATGCTGCCTGTTGCAGTGACATGCGATGCATAATTCAGTACAATGCTTTCCTCCTGCAAACAGACAAACAGAGCACTATTATGGTAGCAGCAGGGCAAAAAGCAAACAACCAGAGTGGAAGACATTAATTGCTTTATTAGGAAACAAAACAAATGGAAGTTGAAAGGATGAGGAGGCATTGACTTTATATTGGCAGCTGAACAAAATTCAGAGCACGGCTGGTTTTAAATGTGCAATAACCCAGTTTAACAAGTATATGGAAAGGAATTGGGGGTTCGCGGATATCAATATTTGGGGGCTGATGCCAATACTGATTGTCAGTTTGTTCATAAAACTGACAATAGATCATCAGAAACAATACGCAGCGCCAGAAAAAATAAAAAACTTTACATCATAATGTAGAACTTGGACTTTTACGAACTCAAACACTAACTGTGCTGAAATGTCTTTAACAAACTGAAAACATAATATATTATTTTGAACCACTTCTTTAAACTCAGGTCTATAGGTTACCTCTTATATCTTGGTATTACCCTCTCAGTTCTCAATCATCTTTATGCTTTTTTCTTATTCATTCTGACTTCCTTATTTTCTTAATGACCTGAATTTTTCATCCCTGCTTTGTTGCTTTTATTCATTTAAGTTGCATTCATTTTAATGTACTGCTTTTATTTCATGGTGCTGCTTTATCTTTTTTTAATCATGTTGAAGCATTTATTGATTTAAGCATTGAGCATTTATTCACCTGTGGCATGTCCCATTTAAACGAGCATTTCCTTTTCCTTCATTTTCCTTTTTCCTTTTGCTCTTCTACTTATTTAGTGTGCATTTATAAGACTTGCATCTATAAGATTTGCTTAATTCTTCAGAACTGTCTGATTCTGATCTTCTAACAACATGCATTTTTACTGGAGATGCCTAAACACCTCACAACTTGAAATCTTTTACTTAGTATTCCATTATCACAACAAGTGATCTGTGTGTGCACAAGATGCAGCAACCCAGAACATTTCAAACAGCTGTGTGAGGAGGTTCATAATCAGCGGGAGATGCTGTGCTTCCAACAATGCATCAGCAGGAAGGACACACTGAGACCTCTTTCTCTCTGATCGCCTGAGTAGAGTATGTATGAAGAACTGAAGGTTAACAAGAGAAATTCTAAATCACTTATCACAGCTGTTAATCCTATAGAAAAAGAGAACATAAAAATGGTCAGTGAATATACTTGAGCAGCTGGAAATGTACTTGAGTGGCCTTCCCTGGTATCACTTATGTATGGGAAACACTGGAAATTAAACATCATGCAGTTTTTGACAGTAGCAACGTTTACATGGGCAAAATTTCTTTATCCGATTAACAAATTTGAGGGATCAGATAATCTGAATCCATTGTTTATATGGGTGCAAAATTAAATAATTCGATCATGATATTTGTAAACATGCACCAAGCTTTATTCAGATTAGAAGCATCTGGACATGCGCAGAGTTGGCTGATTTAGCTAAAACAACCGCAGAAGAAGAATTTTATTTACACCTGTGCCGTCAACAAGTCAACAAACCAATAAACGTGGTAGTGGCTCACTCCATCCAATTCAGGAGTTTTCCCCCCTGTTAAATGTTCTAACTACATGGCGCCCTTGCGGACATATTTTTTGTGCGTGCAGATGTGACAACATTACCCTGTATGTACACCTTGTTATGTTATCGGAGGAGCAGGCGGCACCTGCGGTTGTGTTTTATGCCAGAGTGTTAATAATGAAACCTCCTGTACTGACCTCAGTAAACAAGGGAAAGGCTAAAGAATGAAGATCGAGTCAGCTAAGAGAGTTACGATCAGAATAATAGTTTACATGGACACGTTTCAGAATAACGATCGGCATAAACCACCCCTCTCGATTGGAATACAATTTTTTTCAGATTAAGTGAAATTAGATCAGAATCTTCTGATCAACATGACACATTTTTATTCCGATTATTTGTGCCGATGTAAACACAGCTAATGAAGGCTCTTTTTCTTGGGGACATATTTGTTTGGAAAAACTTTAATCCAAAAGGACAAAGTATTGTAAATAAATGACACGATTCCTGATCCCCTCATTTTGTAAACATGCTTCTTGGTAACCTCAAAGGCTGAGGCCATGAATGGAGCATCAATATATGCTCTTTATTGATCACACTAAGTAAACATGAGAATGAGAGGGTTCTTGAATGTATCTTGGCATTGATTTAATTAAACTGACCCCATGTCCAACACAGATCAAACTATGTAATAGCTGTGCATAATAATGTGCGTCAATACTGCCAATACAATCATGCTGAGGTGAGGTAGCAGGTAGCAGGATGCACCCTCTGCTCTCGGTTTATTAAAAAGGCCTAATATAATCCCAGACAGACTCTGAAAGTCTCAGCGAACAAACAGAGAATCATCACTTCTTTTATTGGACGCCCACCTAACTCCACTGTGATCAATGAAGTAACGATCAAAGAGAGAGGTAGGGGACATTATTCTGCTCCCAGGAAACAGGAAGCTCCATGTATAATGATAAAACTGTTGATCCCCCCGAAGCTTTTAAAGCCTTCTGTTCAAAGCTCCCATTGAAATCATGACACGTTTTCAGCAGTTGAAGAACAGCCAGTAAGATCCTGTCAGTTCAAAACCAGCTGCGTGTGTGTGTGTGTGTGTGTGTGTGTGTGTGTGTGTGCGTGCGTGCGTGTGTGTGAAAGCCAGTCGTCAAAGGGAGGGAATGTTGCTCCTCCTGAAACTGCTTCTCCTCCCACATGACATGACGCTAATTTGGGGAGGGGTTGTTCTTTTGTCTCCCACAGAAACAGAGCCATCAGGTGGCTGTACCTTCCTGCTCATCATTTGCCACACAAAAACACAGACTGAAACACACACACACATACACGTCGGCCATTGTACTAAATGCTTGTGCTATCCAGGATATGCTGTTGTACTTGCATGCATAGACACACATTCAGAGGAAAGAAGCTAAAAGGGAGGAGACACTTGTTCTAAAAAGGCACTGATTTATATTCCAAAGTGCTCGTGTCGGATTCCGCCATGTAAAAAGGGCTCTATTACTAATAAATGAACACACGATAAAAAAGAAGAGATTCCCTTCAAATCTGCCTGTGTAACCTGAATCTTTTATGCAAATGGAATTTCAGATGAGGTGGAGCTATCTTCAGAGACCTTGACTGTTTTTCCACAGCCCTCTATTAAAATTTATGCCACCGCTGATTTATAAATTTTATTAATAGCTTGCTGCTGAGGAGAGGGGAAGCAGAAGTGATGAAACAGCTTCACTTCTGTCTCTCTTACACACTCCCTCTATCCCATCGCAGGTCCAGCAGGTCCCTTGTCACTCTCCCTCTCTCTCGCTCGCGCTCTTTCATGCTCCTCCGTTTCTCTCTGTTACTCCTCTGTGGTGTCTCACACTGATTTTATAATTGGGCTCACCTCATTGTTATTCAAAACCCTGTAGAACCAATTAGTGGCAGACCTCCCGACCTTCAGTTGCTATGTAATGGTGGTAACTAAAGACTCTTAGTGAGGCAGCCGAGAGCAAAGGTCTGAATTTTCCTTAGTTCCAGATTAATAATTCCGTCAACCCTATCACATGCAGACATTAAACAGAATTGCTAGTTTAAGTCCCCCTTCTTTTCTAAAGCGCTCTTTTTCTCTTTTACTGTCTTTTTATGAATCTTTAAGGATGGCCTGCATGCCCCCTCCCTGCTCGCTTGTCAGATAAATGTTGAGATAAAAGGATAATGAGACTTTGCGAGAATCCTTGTGCCGTCTGGCAGGGGTGAAAGGTGACCGGAGCCAACAAGTGGACCATCTGAAACAGAGTCCAATGGGGGAAGTTATTATTTCCTTTAAATTGAAGTCTTTTATCCCTGATGTTAACTTTTATTAAAACCTTTGACATCACACAACTGCTGTCTTTGAAGAGACATTTGTTGTCTTATGATGTGACGTATGACGGCAAGGACAACTGATCCAGTGAGATTATGCAGTATTATTGCATTTTTTTATAGTCTGCCAATTCCTGAATACTGCAGAGCTAATAGTGAACCTCAAAAGCAAAACACTAGCTGTGTCTACATGGGCACAAATAATCGGAATAAATGTTCAATCAGAATAAAAATGCATCTTGTAAACATGTAGATTGGAAGATTCTGATCCAATTCGCCTCAGTCGGAAAGAAATTGTATTCCGATCGAGAGGGATGGTTGTTTTAGTGAGATCAGACAACTCTGCACATGTCCAAATCCTTCTAAAAGCTTGGTGCATGTGTACGAACGTCATGATCGGATTATTTGATTTTAGCACCCATATAAGCAGAGGATTCAGATTACCCGATCTCTCAAATTTTTAATCGGATCAAGAAATTTTGCATGTTAACATGGCTACTGACTCCCATGACTATTTAATTAAGCCAAAAAACTGATCTGGTTAAAAGAAACTATGTCAAACCAGTATGGCTATGAAGGAGAATTCAAAGTGTTACCTTTGACCTGTTATAAATCTGGACTGCACGACTGGAATTGCAAAATAGACATACAATAGTCTCTATGACATCACCACCTGGTTTCTGGAGTGTAGTTTTAGAGACCAACAACAGCAGCCACCATGTTAAATTAGCTGACCTGACTTTCAATAGACCCAAGAAGCAACCTCTGTTCTTGGCAAATGAAACTAGAACCTCATTTCTACCATGTATTCTTTAGTTTCTGCTTTATGAATAGGAAATATGACCATAAACAGTGTAACACATGGACATCTCCAGTCTGTCTCTGAAGTGGAGTTTTTTTGCAGCCCATCAGCAGCAGCTGTCATATTAGAAATGCTTTCACAATTTAACATTCAGCAAACCAAACTGGAGACAATGAGACTAAGTTGAGGTGGAACTCAACTCAAATCAGGCTGTAAACATATTTATTTTGGTTTTGGAGGCAATGAATGCCTACCAAGAAGAAAAAAAAGATCTTTTGGTTGATGGTTGCGTTTGCTTTTGAAGGTCATGTAGAAACATCAACTTCTGTCAGCTCACTTCTGTTATACAAACCTCCACACAGGACCTTTAATAAAATGCTCTATGAGCTGGCAGATAACTTTCCTTTCTTTCCACATGGTGAAACGTTCAGAAAGGGGGCCGACCTTGATTTCAAAGTAACGTTTTGGCAATAGATTCCCTCCATTCTTCTCTCGCTTTCTATAACTCCTTGAAATCTAATCCACTGAAATGATATTAAACACTATGAACTGTTTGAAAATACATAATAATATACAAGAGGACAAAAGAAAGACATACAAGGGAACATAAATATTCCAATTCACCTGAACACATCAGTAAGGTTGTCGTCTAACATCCATGGGGAAATGTCTGTATCACCCCAGTCCAAACAAAGACAAGCTGCCACAGTCTATATCTGTCTGAGTGGACCCTGGTCATGCTCCCAACAAACACAAGATGAACTTTCTTCAACCCTGTCAACACTGATTCACAGAGGAGAGGGGGAGAGGAGTCTTTGTTCGCCTACAACACTTAATACTGACAAATGTCATCAGACAGTCACACAGTCACAACAGATAACTCACGTGTAACATCAGGCTCAGCCAGACGTCACCCTGTAACACTGAGGCAGCACCTGACACCATTCTACAGTGTGAGGAAACATCTAACACGCAGGAATAAAGCCCGGGGAAATCCTTATAATACATCAGCAAAGAGACTGACTTACTTGCAGATGGGATGTTGACATTTGATGGACATGTTGACGCATAGAAGCTGATAGGCTGGCAGGGGTTGCACAGAAAGTAGGCACACACAGGCCATTTCCTTTTCTGCTTTTCCTACATTTAAACAGATTCATGCAGGAGTTCATAAGATCAGCTAACAGTCTCAAATGCCATTAATGAACTTTAGTTTGCAGGAGGTAATGTTACACATGAAACATATTTACTTAGACAGCCTGTGTGGGAGATTTTCCAATAATGGAGCCTTTATAAAAGGCTTTTCACTACATCTTGTCTTTTTTTTCTTCAAATATAATACTAATAGCTTGACTCACTCATCCGACTCTTGACTCCTAATCCAGTTTACATGAGCTGTACTCTGGCTGTTACTAGTTTGAGGTTGTAATCGTGTCTGATTTAAAAGCAGCTTTGTCAGAGCGTTAAATCAGACATGGGTCACATTGTCTACCACTTCTGTCTGCTTCCATTATTCTTCCTTACTCTGATCCCAATTAGCTTCGTGATAAGACCATTCTGAGATTCTGTCTGTAAAACCTGAGTCTGACTGCACCATTGTCAGCCATCCATAATCTGGACATGTCCAAGAAAGGGTCTAAATCCAGACTGGCAAAGTCAAACAGGTTTGACTGAAGACCATCTGGATTTCTATCCAGTGTTATATGTCACAGTAGACCAAAAGCAAGAATTAAACATGAAGCCTTTAAAAATTCTGAGAAAACAAACTTGCATGTAAAAGTTTGTTGCACTTTACAACACACTATTTGGTCCATACTCGGCTGTGAATGTCCAAAGATGAAAGGGAATAACATCTTCAGTGATTTGAGCTTTAAAATATCATCCCAACATAAAGACTCTGTTAATATTCATTATTTAAATAGCTCACTTTTATCAAATAACAACAATCGCTGATGGTTGCTTTCATTTACTCATATACACCTTCAAAGTGTGAAGGTGGTAGTACGTGCTCTGGTGTTGAGCGCAGGAAAGTGCACCAGCATCTAGAGTCAAAATGGTGTTACCTGTGTGTTGGTATTCCATTTCATAAGAGGACAATTAACATGATTACACTTAACACCACAAGTATGCCAAGAGGAGTAAAAAAACTCCCAAGGTTAAACTAAACATTAAAATCAAAGTCCTCATGGCAACACAGATATTGTATATTGAGAGCAGCTGCAGCAAACATTAGAATCAAGTGCCATAGTGCTGATTCAACAGACCTTTACAAACTGTGGAAAGTTTACCAGAGACAACCTGAAAGCTCAAGAAATACTTTAATGTACTTAAAATTAATGACACATTCAGGGCCTGAATTCTGCTGCGAGATTTTGCAGGTACTGTGCAAAAAAAAAGGTAATGCTGTAAAAACTCACATTTATTCAAAACAGCCTTTATGTTTTTGCAGTGACTCAGAGCAGAGGCTGAAAATGCAGGTGAAGATTTTTACAGATGCCAGTAAGAGATAAATAAAGAGTTTTCAAGCTTAGAAAATCATGCTAAGCCACTCTGTGGTCGCAGACTACCATTACGTGAAGGAAGACTAAGATAGGTCTCCTTTATAAAGACTTTCGTTTTGTATTGGGGTATTAACTTTATCTATGAAAACTATCTGTGCTTTATTGTTCACCTGTAGATTTGACATAAGATGTTAGTTTAATTCTTTTATAGTATACTGACAGGTCTAATTTGACAGCTGACAGGTCTAATTTGACAGTTTGTCAAAATATTAAATCCAAAATGTCCAGAAAAGCTTAAGTAGTTTGTTTTTTAGTGTTCTAAACTACAGTCACTTATTAGAGTTTAAATAATGTACTAAATCAAAATATTTGGTACTGACAACAATATCAGCCATGTTTAGCAATATCTATGTCTTCTTATCAATTCATTTGAAATTTATCTACAACATATTACTGACTAAGACGATCTATTTGTACAAGACTTCACTGTAAAACAAATAGTGAGTCTGTACATGGCGTTTTTTGTGTTATCCCAAAATCTCGATTTCAGGTTGTGGATCAGAAGTTTGATTAAATATTGAGTAAATTTCTGCATGTTTTCTTAATCTGGTGGTATTGTTAAATTATGGAAAAACCACAAATGAACAAAATAACAATAATAAGAAAGAAAAACAACACAACAAGCCACAATATTTCTACAAGCAGGTAAAATATGTTTTTTTTTTTTTTTTTTCCAAGTTATAAAAATAATAAATGCAAATATCTGACTTTGATTGGGGGTAAACAAATATGAAGAGAAAGCAAATAAATCTTAATCTTAGGAGTGCATGAATTTCTGTAGAAATGCACATCCTGCTGTCAGGAGCAGGAGACACCTGGTGCTTTATCAATCTGAGACACCAGTCAAACTCCTGCAAGTCTTGGTTGACACCCCATATTAAATCCTGATAGACAGCTCAGCATGTTGTTGACCAGATTGGTCAGAAACCTGAATTTCCCTGACGTGTACACAGTAAACTGCAGGAGTAATTGCACCTCGAGCCAGATGGAAAATAAATGCTTTTATCGCCACCAGCGTAATGTGCAATGATTGACATCGAAACGCAGGGACTGGCATTTCAATAATCTCACTTTAATAAGAATTCATGAGGGCGGTTTGCCTGATTTCCCCTGTTTGGTTGTGTGTTTGTGCCTGTGTGCGTGCGTGCGTGCGTGTGTCTGTATATGTGTTTGAGAAAGACAGGGTGTGTGGGTGCACATTTGTATATGTGCATGATTGAGATACGGCAGTGTGTGAAAGAAGTGATGGAGGAGTGGGTGCAAGAAAGACAGACAGCAAAACAACATCAAATATCTTATTTTCTATCGTGGGCTGCCAGACGAAGAAAGAAGTAATGAAAAGAAGAACAGGCCTCCTCTTTTCAGACAGTTCTCCTGCATGCAGCAGACACTGAAGGCTTGTGTAAGAGGAACTAATGACACAGATGAGAAAACAGCCCTCTAGTTAGTCCCATTAGCTTCACTAATAATGAACTCTGAGACCTTTCACACTGCCTTCTAAAATCCCTTTAGCTCAGGGTGCTAAGGGCCATTTTGCTGTGCATAATGCTAACTCATTAAGTGTCTACAGTTCTCCTTAATCAGTACTGGCTCGCTCTCTCTCTCTCGTGTAATAAATACTGGATTATTTAAAAGTGCTACTCCTTTTTTTTCACAAATTGGCAGTTAGCAAACAAATCAAACCCCACGATTAGAGGGTATTAATTGATTCAACCCATTAATGAGTGCAAACATGACTCCACACGTGCACGCATGCCCCGTGCATGGGATTTAAATTTGGAACTAATGAAGGCCTGACCAACTGTGCTATCAGCCAAGACATGAGATAGATGTGACTCCTTTTATTGCTCCACGGAGAGATGTGCTGATAACTGATGAACGACTTTATGAGAATATTCCAGCTAAAACAATAGAGGCTCCATTTCCAGAGGTTCCAAACAATATAAATGTCGAGGAATTTGCACTTATGATGCCCCAAATCTCATAAAAAAGCAATGTCTGGTGCAGCTTACGCCTGTAGCATTCTCAAAGAGTATGTTTATATCTTTGTGGATATCAAATCACCCCATCTACTTTGGCCCTGCCTTTATTGTAACCCCATCTGTCACAGAGAGATAGACATCAACAATTCCCCCTTTATATATTGCAAAAATGCAGCTGGATTCCTCACATGGCAGCGCTGTTTACTCTCTCGTAACACCCGCCTTGTTTCACTGTCTTCTTTTATCTAAATCTGAGTGCCTGTGAAGATAGGGGGGCATGGATGAGCAATTTGTTGGCAGGAAAGGAAATGAAGCTTCCTGCTTTTTATTGGGATGCTAGTGGGATCACATGACACTGCAGGGGATGTGTGGCTTGTGGGAAAAGAACTGAACCCTGTTGGTTTCTACAAACAGCTTAAGCATGCATGTTTACCGTGTGCACACACATGGAGAGTCTCTTTATGAAGTCAAAACAAATCAGTAATATTATCTCATTTGCTCAGATTAACTGGGTTCCATCCCAGATGCTACATGTTTGGAAACTCTGTGATACCGTTTGGCCTTGGAGATATAGTGAAATTTGACGTTTTTTCATGATGCTCAACATCAGAAATACACGTTTGCAAATTAAAAGACCCCCTTTTTCACTCGAGTGAAATTTGAAGAACCCATAAGTTTTTGTTTTGTTTGTCGGTCTTTGTCTTAAGTCTCGCTAAAAGTCCACTAACACTCACTTGGGACTGTAACTACTTGCTGTTGGTGCATTCTAGCGGGTGATAGTGTTTCACCCTGCATTGTGTGGGTAGGCTCTGTATTTTCTTCAGAGTTGCAGTCGCAGACTTCAGCTGTTTCTATTCTATTCCTAATGTCTGCAAGCCGAACTCTATTCCTCTCACATGATTGGCTGTTCACCGTCTTCTTCTGTGTCTCTTTCATATCAGGTGGCAACTAGAAATAAAAAGTTTTATCATAATAATCATCATTGTTTTATATAATATATCTATTCTATATCCAGGTTGAGTGACATACATGTGTTAGTGTTAGCATTGTACTTTAAGTCAGCGAACAGGTCAGCCTTTTATGTTAACTGTAATCTACTTGCACACAAAACTTGTCCAAAACTCTTTTTTTTTGGCACTAAAAAAGCTTCACTAAGACACTATACACTACTCATGTTAAGGTTTAAAGGCATCAGGGTATGCTTTAAGAATAGAGGTTAACCTGTTGAACAAATGCAATGTGAATTTCCAATTATACATATTATTATAAATAGAATGTAAGTGTTTTACCCATTTCCAAGATTAAAATGGTTTTGTCGTGGGTGAATGAACTTCAGACTGAGGTGAAAAGAGTGCACAATCAGACATGAATCTGATTGTTCATCACTAAAATATTTAGTTTATTTAGACAGTATCAATATTTATCAGGGTTCTTTGAATGTAGAGCATTTAACATGGCCACTCTGGTATCTTCTACTTGTAATGAACTTTATCTCATCTTTGGACAAAGCCGTAAAGTTAATCGATCAAGCAATGCTGATTGGCTGCTAAACGAATCAGTCTAAACACATGTAGAAATAGAGCTAGTATACAAACACAACACACAAATAGAGTATGGCAGCTCACTGTTAAGCCTCAGGGGAGTGAGACTACCAAGCAGAGTGACACCAAGCAGGCTGACAAGCTAAGTCATTGAAAGCAATCTGTAGTGTCATGAAGGGAGTTAATTTTCTCAATTGCCCAACATTCACTGAGATGGCAAACACTCATTAAAAGCACCAGACCTGCCGGAGAGCACTTCACATTCAGCTTCTGTAAAAGGTTTTTCTGAAAGCTTTCAGGACTAAGAGAATAAGATAAGATTTTTGGAGAGTGGAGAGAGACAACACCATGACCTTTACTTTGAAATTGCTATTTCTTGGTGTGGTGGGGACACCAATGACACAGTGTTTTAAAGGGAAATAGTGCTGTCGCAACAAGGTTTTGGTTATGTGGCCTTCAGTTTTACTGAAATGACACAGCAGGGGGATGGAAGAAAAAGAGGGAAGCTGAGGTTGCACAGACTTCTGGTCGTAACTGAAAGTTCAGTATGTGAGGTACAAGAGATGGAGGAGGTAGTAAGGAGGGGGGAGAGAGGTTTACTAAAGAAGGCCGAGGAGAGTGTAGATTTAAGGGGAGGGGGGACTAGATGGGGAGGACAGAAATTCCAGAAAAAAAGGTGTCAAATGCAACATGAAGAAGTGACTATGTTTGGTATTGGTTTGAGCATCATGTGGTTGTGGTGTGTATGAAGGGCATCTGACCAGCAGGTTGTGAAAGACAAATATGCTGACCCAAACCCACAGAGTTCTGCAAGAATAAGGAGTGGTTTCATGTTCTCACACACACACACACACACACACACACACACACACACACACACACACACACACACACACACACACACACACACACACACACACACACACACACACACACAAAAAAAAAATTTAAGTTGACTCACTCTAGCATGTCATGTTCCTCTTTTTAAAGCTCACACAAAACACGTGCTTCTCATGTAGTTTGTATCACTTTTTCTTTTCTAGTGAGTGGATTCCTCCTAAATTCAGCTCAGCTTTTTGGCTGTGTTAAATTACCAACTCTTAGATTTAGGAGCTGTTGTATTATTTTGAATTATTTTATTATTTTGAAGCAAACGTTAAACCACAAAGCCATAATGCATCAATGTAATGTTTACTGTGTAGACATGAAAGTCCATTGTCCTGGGGTTTTACTCCAAACCCTCTAAACCACTAAACAGATGGCAATCCACAAAATTGTTTTCTTCCATCTATTGAGAGCAATGCAAAAGTGTAAGATCAGCCAACACGCTGGAGCAACAAATCATCAGGAAAACTAAACCCTCTAAACAACACCAAACTTAATCATCCTCACACTGGTAGGGTGTGATGTTTGTCTCTGATCTATCGAACTCCTAACACTTTCTGTTCTCCAGCCCTGATTCTCAAAGGAGTCTGCAGCTCAGCCCCTCTCCCGAGTAAGGGTCTGGAACCAGAATCCCAAACCCCCCCCCTCTCTCTCCATGACCACTTCTGCAGCCCACCATAAATCCTTAACGACAAACTCTATAAACTTCTCTGGGCTTGAATATTTATGGATGCCTGTGGTTCCCCCGAGTGCCATTCTCTGTCTGGGCCTCAACACACGACAGAAAGTTTTCTGGAGCAGCTTTGGCCTGTTTCAACTCTCATGGTGGAAAGAGCCTGAGAATACAGACGTGGTGGTCTACTCAGTGTTGGTCATAAACAAAATATTCCCCTGCGGTATGAGAGGAGTAACATATCAGGGTTTATACAAATCCATAACACAAGCATAAACCAACCTCTAAAGCCGCTTGCAGCCCAGACTCCCATGGTAAGAGCTGCTCAGACTTCTTGACTTCAACCAAGCTCAGCATTTTCATTCAACAACAAAAAAAAGGCAGGTAGACCAATCATCTAACACTGTGTTACCTTGTTATCAGATCTCACTCAGAAATCCAATTTCCTGCATAGTTAGGTGAAAAATACCTGCTAGTAACTGTGTTGGCAAAATGATGTAAACACCATCAAGCATGACCTTTATTATGCTTCTAATGTTTTCCAGACAGTTCAGTTTAAGCATCTTAGTATCACATGACCTTGAACTTTACTGTGCATGAGAAAAGGCTTAATGGGTAATTAACTGTAGCATGCAAGTGTTACCAATACTTCACGCTCGATCTGTAACTGTTCCTGCAACATTAGCCACAATGACAGAGGTAATCCTGTAAATGTGATGTTTTTTAAATGTTGTTGGTTGTCTATTGTTTTCTGACCTATGATGCAAGGAAGAGGTATGCATGGAAAATCTGTTTTATCGTTGCAACTCTAACCAGAAGTCATAAATTTTGATCGCAAACACCACAAAGCAAAAATTTAAATAATACTGTGAGAGGACAATGTGCCAAAACGATAATGTGTACCTCTCCCACCCGTATAAAAAGTGTAATATTCTGCTTGAACCCTCTAGAGACCCCAGTTTTATAGAGCTTATTAAAAGGTACTTAATAAATGAGCACTATATACTTTCCATGCAATTTTCATGAGCAATAAATCACTTAATTCTTGCTACAGCTCTTATAACTCAGAGGATATTTTGCGAGAAACCAACTACTGCATGTCTCATTATCTGTCCTGTTTTCCCAGTGATTTTCACTGAAATAGTTTAGCATCTGTAATTTACTTGTGGGTCAAAGCAGGGGTCAGTGTTGTAAGGGACTTCCCCAGGCTATAGTTGGCATGCAAATTCACTAAAGACAAAACACACACAGACAGAGGGATTAAGTATAACAGTGAATACCAAATGTCATTAAGATAGTTCCAGATGAGTAAGAAAAAATGTTTTATATCCAACTGTGTCTCCCTTTATCCTTGTTATACATTTAGGATTAGGAGCAGGGTTTAGCCATGAGTGCAAGTATGAATAGGAATGCTAGATAATTCACAATGTACAACATCATATAACCATATCAAGATTCTTCAATAACTGATAAAGTAACTGAGCTGATAAAAACTAAATGCTCCCTGGGTAAGAGGGAATGGTAACTGTTAACAGTGCCACCACAAGGAGTCTTTACATTGAGATGTAATGAATTGAACTTAAAAAGGCATTCTTAGGGATGGACATATGTTTATGTTTAACAGCAGTATTGGCAAATATCAACTCTGTCGACATACATCGACCCCTGAGCAAATAATGCGCACTGATGTGAGTGTAAGTAGGCTGATGTTTATTTTTAACCTGTATAGCATATCTTTATCTAGGGTGACCATACGTCCTCTTTTACCCGGACATGTCCTCTTTTTGGGGGGCTGTCCGGCCTTGTCCGGGGGAGTTTATGAAATCCTTCGAATGTCCAAGGAACTTTTTGTTTTGTATCGAATTTTTGAGTTTGTGTCGCGTTGATTCACTAAGTTAGTACCACATAAAAAACACTCAACCAGACCTGAAAAACTCTTAAAATTAACTATGCGCGACTCCATAACTCCGCCCCTGCGTAGTCTTTTTGAGTATTCAGAACATGGTTACCCTAGATTATGATTTAAAATCCATTACTCGTGCAGCCCTAATTGAGAACTGTGCAAGATACAACTTCCTGGACGAACAATTAATTCAGCTTTACAAACAACCTCTCGAGGATGACTCAAAATGTTAATCACCACAAACCAGCAAATGATGATACTATTATAGCCCTTTTTTAGACATGATTAAGGAATATTTTTTTAACCACTGTTCATTTACTCACAGTTTCCCTGTAGACAACTTTAAGACTCAATACTTGTATTAATGTTCTGTGAGGCCCCGGGGGCTTCCACTGCCTTTGGATAATTTTTCAGCACAGGAAACAGACAACTTGCCACACCTCATGAAACTCTGACACAACACAGAACCCACACAGTAATTTCATTGTGTTCTGTCATGTGTTTGCAGAGGTGTTAACATGTTGTATAGCAGAGGTGGTACAGCTTGTGCTACTGTCCAAGTTCTGCTGTTAAAACCTCTGACCCTGCTGAAAAAGCTGAACAGCTTTTATAAGTCTCTTAGCACCCCTTCACAGCGGTAATGTTTCACTTTTGCTTTTTCTAATAACTTTCCCTCTTTCTAATAACAGTAATCCCCCCTGTTTTTCCTTCTGATTCATAAGTAATAAGTCTTAAAGGGGAAAACACTTCTCATGGAGGTCTGCCAATACTCTGCTGAAGAAAAATAACTTGCAAGTAATTTCCCCCCAGAGTTGGTGGATGTATTACGCCAATCCGACTGAGCTGAAGTAAATGTTAGTTAGATTATAAGTATAGGGTGGAGGATGAATGTGGTGGGGTCCATGTGTGTACCATGGTGTTTATTTGTCGACATGTAATAACAAATCAGACGGATTCTGACAAAACTTGAGATTCCCACCCAAAATAAGGCTGTTCAACCTCAAACATGATTGGCTGGATTCAGTTGAGTTTTTTTTTCCAATTTCCTGTTCAAACCTTTATGGTAAGTACAAATAGCTCATTGACAGGCAGTTTGTCAGTGTCAGCGAGCAATTATAAAGACGCGCTTCACTAAGCATGTGGTTTCCACTGACAAATCCATCCACAGCCAGAGGCAACCTGCTATTTTTGAAACCTGGCCCAGAGTGACATTAACCTTGTAACACTGACATCAAAATGTGAACCATCTGATTGAGTGTTTCCTTGCAGTCTCAGAGTGACAGCACAGACGGAAATAATTTCAGGAGGGAGTGGTACGATGCTATCACAGACTTGGAAAACTTTTCTCAGTTAAATCACTACAGTATATTTCAGTGAGCAAACTCGCATAGAAAAAGACTATTGTGTCGATTCAGGATGTAGAAGCTTGACATTGGTAGTCCAGGCTCTTACCTCAGAACTCAAAGCTCTGACAGTCAGTGGGTTCACATGTTTTTAAAAAAAATATCACACTAGTCCAACTGAAACTGGACTTTTTTTTTTTTAACTTCTCATAGTAAGGCTAACATACCTGGATACTGCAGTCAGGGGTCAGTTTTATCTGTCATGTATACCCCTCAACTGGACTGAAACTAGCTCAAACGTTGTGTGCATACTCCAGTGTTCACACGCCCGGCTTTTAGCTGGGAGTTGAAAACCATGGATGCAAAGCCAGATAGTAAACAAAAAAGCCTCAATAGTCGAAAACTTTCCTAACAAAGGATAAAGAGTTTCACTCATTCCACGTACATCCCTTTAGTCATTTGCTAACACATTTTGCAGACAATTTAATAACTAATACGTCGAATTGGAGAAGACCTAAAAGTAACAAGCTGCTAATTTGATTTTTGACCAGTGCACGTAAATTTAGACAAGTAAAGCAGTCTAGTTACAACGCCTAATCAAGCTAGACTGTAGCTTGGTTAGACTGCACATGTAAAAACACTGAAAGAGAGTGCTTTTGTCTCATCTGACGAACATACAACTATCCAATTTTTGTTCTTAACTTGAAAAATTACAACATGTACCTAGATAGTTAGTTTTTTGCCAATGTCTAAATGATGCAGTCCTTATATTCACCAACAAAGTTTCACGAAATTACAAATTCACAAAATGTTATGGAGCAGGGTGAAATAGAGCAGCAATTGTACCAGTAAAGGTTAAATTATGGCAACAATAGCAAAAGACCTCATCGATTGATTGTAGAGGTAATAGTATACTGACACATCCAAATGCTGCTTATCGTGTGTTGAAATTTGAATTTCACTAATATGCAAGTTATTCAGAGTGATGCATGCTTCACAATCATGTCAGATCTACTCATAATAGATATTTGAGCATTCACTTCATTGGGCGTTGAAAAGGATTATAATGCACACAATGTAGTAACCACAAACGACTTTCTTACTATCATCTCTTGAGAAACATTCCTCAGTGTGAGACAAAACAACCCAAAGGCACCAGGAGCAACAGCTACACAGTTCAATCGACACCTTTCCAAAAGTGTTTTAACAAACACCCACCATCAAAACCTTCAAGGAGATATGAGGTATTTTATGCACTATATGACTCTGCTAGTTTTATCAAAGAGACTAGCAAATTACCACTGACATGTTTACTAGCTACTTCTTTGGAGACAGACTACAGGTTAATGGCACATAACAGCAAGCCTCTACAGACCTCTGTTGACATGAAGACATCATATTACAGTAAATACACATCCAGGCCTATGCTTATCAAACAAAGGGACCCATGAAAGTCTGTAAGTCCTCTCCTTTAAATAAGCAAAGTAAAAGGTAAATCTGAATAAAAATATCATATCAAGAATAAAAACAATCCCTTTAGAAGAAACTCATCACCCACACACATCCAACTTGTGATTTTAACCAGCAACAAAAGCACAAGTAGACAGGAATAAAAACAAAAGAAATTTTCATGGTTGGTACTTACCGATACTTGGAAGTGAAGTTGTGCTCCTTTTCTAACGTTGATACCAGACACTTTCGTTGATGTTCATGTCACCTCTATCCTCCTTTGCTTCATCCTCTTATCTCCTTCAAAATGTGAAAAAGCCAAGGCCTATCATAGAGATGTACACAAAGGGAGGTGGAGGCTATCATAAAAAACATGGATCACCCACTTCATAACACCTTGATGGATCAAAGGGCCAATGGTGGTGGATGGCTCCTCTCTCTTCGCTGCAGGATGGAAAGATTCAGAAGAACTTTTGTACCCAGAACTTAGCCATCAAACTTTATAGTTCTTCTGTAAATAAGAGATGGCTTGAGACATGACATGTGAGACTACAGACGATTAAATTTCCTTTCGGGGATCAATAAAGTTCTTCTTCATTCTAATTGGGGCTGTCTATGATTAAGACATAATTCTAGGCAGTATTGCTTTTACATTGTTTCTTCCCGAGGTCTTAAATGTTTTCATGTATCTCATATCAATTAAATCTTGACCCAATTCAATTCATCAAAATGTAGTTACCACCAGAATAGTTGCCTTCTGGTATGCAAAATTAGAGTTACTTTAACTTTGAAGCCATAAATTATTTAATATGATATGATGCAATATATGATATAGTTTGTCAGACAATGTATAATAAATGTGTTTACTTTCAGGTACACTCTTTGGTGATACAGTGGGTTAGTGTGATGGCCGAACCCACAGCCACACAGAGGTGGTAGCAGTATGTACACACTCTCAAACACCACACCACATGTTCAGTTACTCTGAGTTGCAGTCACTTAAATTACATACAGCACACATAGTTCACCTTGTTTAAAACTAGCTTATCAGTACTTTGGCAACACACTGTTTTCTGGATGGAGCGCGCACATTTAGTTTACATTGTTTGAATGAAATTATTTGTCTTTTCTTTTGGGTTACCTGGCTGTTTGGTGGCATTTCCTGCTTGCTGGGCAGACAAAGATGGTGCTGAGGGCGGGGCAGGGCTTTATGCTGAGGTCCCTCCCACAGACCAGACCAAGAGGCCCTGCATCATGAGGGGGGTCAGGGTTTTATTGTGTTAGTTTGAGTTGTTGTGTATATAGTTTCCCCCCTGTGTGTTAACTTTGGTCTGATCAACCCCTATATATTTTGCCCCAGTGTCTTATTCAGGCAGGTCTTTAAGTTGAGTTAATATTGAGTTTTGTTAGCCTTATTTTCAGTGGATTTATATTATGTTAACCTCTCTTAAGGGCCCTATAACGTTGATTTCATTATCTTCAGTCATCTGGGTTGTAAAAGCTATTTGTTTTGGAAATTAAATCCCTTTTTTTGAACTTTATATCTGTGTTTTGTGCTTGACTGCTTGGCCACAACATTTAGGTTTAAATAAAAGGACATAATTCTTTTATAGTTTCAATTGCCCCCACACTGACTTCTTTCATTACACAAATAAAGCTGTACTGCCATTATTCATTAAAATGTAGTAATAGCTTTACTAATTAGTGCACATACAGTTGATTTTGTTATACAGTAAGACAAGTCTATTTAAAGTTATCTGTGAGTTATGAAGAAAAATGTGAAAATTATTACAATTTCCTCCAGTCTCCCTGTCTTACCCTTGGAGGATGCTTACTCTTTATTAGATATTATTAGTCAGTACCACTAGAACAAGGTACCATCTTATCATTTGTATCCATGAATACACATGTTGTAAAACCCAGGAGCCTACAATATCACAAAGCTTTACCCGTCTCATATTTCTGAAGAATTCATTAACTCTCCAGCAAACTACACATGCACTAGTTGCATACACATCAATAAATAGACATAAAATGCAGGAGCTCCTTTGAAATACAGCTCAGCCACAATCAACTATTTTCAGCACGAAGCTACCGAGCAGATCAAACATCCCAGGAGTTTATTAGCATCCAGAGTATCTCTGCTAACAACCAATGGATAAATAATTTATAGCTTTTACCCAACTGCTGCCTCACCAACAACAAGAATGCAAAACAAGCCGCTTGGTCCCTGCAAGGCTCAGAGACAGGGAGCCATTTACAGACGACAAGAGCAAGAATACAAATTTGTCAGAGCACAGAGAATATCTTAAGCATCTAATAAACTGTCACTGTAAGGAAAAGACTGCATCATTAACACATTTCTAAAAATCTTGTCCTGATGGCCATCTTAGGATCATCCAAGGGCAGCATCATCTGACAAACAGTGTTTACTTCCATCCTGGTCGACATATGGATGCTCTAATCCACCAGGCACTGAGCGGAGTATTTTTCACAATCATTTGAGCAGATGTTGTGGGACAGGAAGCCGAGGCATTGTGGACTGATTTTATGAACATGACTCCCTGCTTTGCCAAGACTGATGCAAGCTGTGCTGGTGAATCATCAGTCACTTAAAACCCAAAGCAATGATTAGTACGTGACACTAAATTCTGCCAATATGTGATATTATGTTATTCCAAACCACCATTTGGAAACAAAGTGTACAGTACCTGTCAGTGAGCCAGGAATTAAAACTACACCAAAAACAGAAACAGCACTCATTAATTTTTAGAAGACAACATTTGGATGACTGACAAGAGGAAAAGAAAAAAAACGTCCATATGTGCAGGAAGTTTTAGAGGGGGTCTCTGGAAACTCCCACTCAATGACCCTCTGACCTCTTCCCCATCCCACTGTGTCAAGTACAGTGTAAGTTGTCACGTACAGTGTAAGTTGTCTATTGTCTCAGATTTTGTCCTTTCCATATTGTCAAATTGAGCTTTAAAGTAAACTTTTAAAGCCAATTTTACTGATAAGTAGGGTTACTTACGACCCTCACCGACTCTGTATGTAAAATAAACACATCAAACAGCTTAGATTTTGCTGTAATACAAACTGCAAAAACCACTTGGGGGCAGCCATCATGTCTTGAACCCAAGTGATAGCGATACTTTGTAGGGTTGACTCATACAGACATAGATGTAGTCTCAGTGACGTCACCCATTGGTTTTAGAGTTTGGGGCCAACTGACGGCTGCCACCAAATTAGGAATGCTGACTCATCCAAATTTTTGGTCAACCAAGCGAAAAAAACAGAGGCAGAGATCAGACAGGTCTTTGGTTACTGTGTGCCCCCATGTGAGTCAAGTCAGCCTTGTGTCTAATCACACAAAACTTAACCTTAATATCTTTAAAACTAACTAGCCATAAACCAAATTCATTGTACTGTATGTACAAATAAGCTGTATCCCAATTCAGGGGCTGCAGCCTTTAAAGGTCAAATGCATCACAATGGTGCATTTTGAAGACTCCAAATGCTGCTGACAATTTTGTCCAACTTCTGGTTCTTCTAGATAATACACACCAGATTGTGGACTTTCAAACAGCCCAGAAAAATGGTTAAATCACAGTTTTTAATTTGAACTCAGTAGCAAGCTACTCAAATTTTACATCTCAATCGAGTTCGATCTGTCCAGTCCACAGAGGCAACAACAGCAGGACCCTTCAAAAGCTGCAGCCTTGGATTGGTACACAGTAGTGAAATGAGCCATCCAGATCAAAACTCTTTTGTGTAACAGGCTGTAAACATGTTTATTTTTACCTTTAGATGGGTCTTTTAGAATGGTTGTATATGTGACCTTCGAGGGTATTGCAGCCTGTCTCTTGTGGACACTCAGTGAACTGCAGTTTTAACTTCTGTGTTTCAGCTTCATTTCTAGGATTGCAGCTTGGGATGATGTTGCAAAACTTCTGGCCAACACTTTCATGATACTATTCATCAGAGACAGAAGCATTTTAGCATTCATGTGTTGTCATGCAAATTTAATTTCACTTTTAGGTGTTTTTGGTCGACACCTATTCTAATAGAAAACACCAATAAACCATAGTGTGCACTTTTGCAGCTAACGGTCTCTGCCTGCAATTTTGTGCAGTGTAGATCATGCGCAGCGTGTTTATCAAGGCTTCTTTGCATCTGGAAAAATGTTTAGAGCAGTGAAACTAAGTCAAAACAGTGAAGCTGAAAGCCGGAAAACCAAAACAATGAGGCCAAGGATGCTGAGATGTTCGATAGTACTAAAGAGAACTGAAAGTCTGGTGATTATTCTCTGTGGACTTCACTCTCAGTGACCTCTTTCACTTGCAGTCATGTGATTTATTGTAAAAATAAAGATTCTGATTATAGCTTTATTGAGAAGAAGTGAAATTAGAAAAATGTGTGAAGGTAAGGTAATTACAATGTTACAAAAAGTGTCCCAGAAGAGAGAAAATCCACCCAAAATAGAAAAAAGCATCAATGCTGTGAAACTTGGTCTGCTAATTGCTATGTTTTTTCAGTAATTATCTGCTTTCCAGCTCTGCAAAGAAATCTTTAAACACAGAGGTATAACTTCAACACAAACGAGGGATTAAAGAGGCTGTGAAACAATGGAGGTGAAAAATGAGAGCCAATCTAATTAAGATCTCAATCACTCAATTAGACTCGAGTAGGAGAAACAAATGGCAAATAAATTCTTTCATCATAACAACCAGTTTAATTGCTCCAAGACGAGCACTGACATCTGGCATGCCCCCTCCAGACTGCTGAGTGCATTTTATATACACACATACACACAAAGCAGGAGAGAGAATTCAGTACGACAACATGAAGGGTTGGGAGGGCGGGAGTTCAACGATGAGTGTGCTTTTACTGAGCCCTGACTGCGTTTATGAGCGTGAAACTGCTCGGGTGCAATGGAGCAGCAGCCTGGTTTATCCATCCGCACTTCACCCACATGGTCAGCGGAGAGTGGTCGAATTAATGGAATTGGAGGGGGATGTTTGTTCATTTTTACAGACGCGACCTCAGTTTTCAGTCAGAAAAGGAGGCCAGCACTCTTTGAGAAAGAGAAGATGTGGTTTAGTCGACACACAAACATGTGGCCTGATCGCTGACAGACAATCTGAGAGAGTTTGTGGCCTGAGGTGCCGTGCAAAAAAGCAAAAGGGAACATGCACTTCTTTCCCCTTCTGCTTCAGATTCTCAGTACTCAGCTGCAGCACGTCTTGTTATGAGTCTGTCTAACCACTTCCTCATGCTGCTGGCAGAGAGGTCAGGGTTCAGTCAGGTCCTCTGACAGCCAGAACAGGCTGCAATAACAAGAACGCTCTTTCATTCTCTCTGTCAAGCTGCTACCTTTTTCCTCTACCCACAACCCCTCTCTTTCCCTTCCTGTATCCACAAATTATATTTTGAGTGAATTCTTAAGCCATTTTTCTACATCCTCTATGCATGTCAGTATCATTCAGACATTGTCCTATTTTAATAGAGGTCCAAAATAGTCACAGGTTTAGAAACAGTATTCATGCAGAAACTAGGTTTGCTGCCCTAAAATGATGTTTCCTCTAAATAAAGGAGATTTAACGCCTTAAGCAGTAAGGTGATGGATGGTTATTGATACTGGATCATGAGTCCATCCCACTATGACATGATCTTCTCCATGGGGAGTGGCTGTTAGTGAAGTCAGTCTGCTCATTTTCTGCTTTCGAAAGAGAGCTCAGCTGCATCATGGAGTTAACAGATAAGGTTGTGCTGACATCTGCTGGTGAAAAATGATGCTGCAGCTGTAATAAAACAAAACGTTTTAGGTATACTCTCCCAGACTCCTAGACCTAAGTCTATATTGTCTATATTCAAATTTGACTCACCTTTTATTTTTGTCATGAACTTTTAAGATTTTCACAAGTAATTACTTTTTAAAGGTTGAAGGGTTGAATAAACACTTTGTATAAAGATATTACACGTTCTTTATTTATTCATTTATTTTGGTGTCTTTAAACTGACTGCATAAACTTACTACACAAACAGGTCCAGGTCCATTTTTTCCAGCTTTTGCTTTCACCTTCACAGTTGTGCACAGTAAACAGTTTCTCAATCTTCATCTTCTAACAAGTACATTTTCTATGGCCTCTCACGAAACACAAACATGCACATGTTACTAGTTTGACCATTCTGTGCTACTGTAGAAACATTGCAGTGCAAAATGGCAGTTTTATATTCACCATGAAGAGTATATTTCATCACTTCCAAGTCGTCTCTGCTAAATGCGGCTGCTTATAAGTCACAGCCCTTTAAAGGTTTTTAGCTTGTTATGAAACAGACTGTAATTAATATTGATGTATCTGAATGGCAAACAAGCCCATAGACAAGAAGAGTGACTGTTTCTAGTGAATACGTGAAGAATGAAATGAGTCAGGCAGGGTCATCATCATTTTCTTCTGTGCTTGTATTTTGCAATTATAATATTTTAAAGAAAAAAAGGATTTCTGTTGTTTGGTAGCCAATTAAGGGAGTAAACAGCATCATTTCATACATATCTGAGTCACACTCACTTCAAGCATGTTAAAAATCAAATCAAATTAGCCAGACAGCCAGACAAAACCAGGGCTCATCTGAAGAAGAGACGTCAGGGATTTAGCTGCTTTATCACTGAAGTAAGAGACGTTCAGGTTTGATCTACAGCAAGCAGTAACTCACAGCCCCAGAGGGAGTGTGTGCGTGTGTGTGCGTGTGATAAGGTCAGATCAGTGTGTGTGATATATAAGTCAGCTAAGCCGTACAGAGATGTGAATCCAAAGACACTCTGACAGGTCAGCAGGTGGATTGAGAGGTGTATTTGCTCTTTTCTGTTGAGGGTGTCTATCGACCGTCTTTGACCTCTCAGATCCAGCTCAATATTTGTTGTGCAGATGATTTATTAATCTTTCCCTTTGGTCTCGCCAGGGCCAACATATCATGTCAGGGGAAAGCTCTCTGTGAAGTAAGGCCATGAAAGTCAGCTCTGTGAGATGCCTGCATGCTCAAAGACACGCGCACACTCACACACTTCTGGATGCTGTTTCTTTAAAGCCGAATAAGGCCTGATAAAAAAGGTGACTGGGGGCAATTCCCACAAGATTACTCACTGAAACACAGAAAACCTCAGAGTGTCATGAATTTAAAGCAAAGACACAGTTATTAGAATCAAAACTGTGTGTACAAACAATTCAAACAGTATTAAAAAATATATTGTTCCTTATGGCATACCATAGCTAACTGCTATTAATGGTTATGACAGATCAGTCAAATAGTGCTTTATTATTCTAACTAGAAACCTGTTTGCTGAGCTGGTTGGTGTTGTCTCTATCCATCTCTCTCTGTTTCTTCTTCTACCCCACTTTCCTGTAAAATATGAGGTTCTGCTCCAGGTTTCTGCCTGTTATAAGGAAGTTTTTCTTTGCTACTGTAAGTTGCTAAATGCTGCAAAGTGTTGGTGGATTATGATAGGATACGTCAGAGTCTTACCTTTTTTCAATGATGGGTAAAGAACAGATTATTTTCTTGAAGTAGCTTTTTTTCCACATCATGAAACCCCAATACAGTCACTTTTATCAAAAATCCTGAATTGATAAGGTAATCAATCATCAGTTTCTAAAACTGGCACTAATGAAGTATAACATACAGTGAGTAGGCTTTTATCAAAAGTAGTGAAGAGTATTATCATAAGACAGCTAGATGATGTAAAGCCAATCATATGCATACTGTTTAATAAATTACTGCTTAATATTGCATCATTATATGAGTTTAGTTATATGTAAAATCATAAGCTACAATTAGTCATGGCTATCAAGCAAATTAATTAGGACTTATACTATATGAAATGTTCACTAGTGTGGAAATGTTCCTGTTTATATTTTATCCACATGACAAAATCTATGATAAAAACTTCACTTTAAAAAATGTCTTGCATTTAGGTTGTTTTACTTCCTGAAGGGTCAACCTACGCTTTTATTTTGAAGAGTATTACTTCTGATGATTGTAAGTCATGAATGAAAACAGTTATAAGAATGTTAAGAAAGTATGATAGATCTTTCACATAACCCAAACTTGTTTAAGCTCTGAAATGACTTTTGGATTCAGGATAAATTTTAAACATCCGTGTTAGATGTGTCGAATCATTTCTCAGACGGCTACTACAGTTAATTTACTGGCAGTCTGCTTCATCTTTTTAATCTGCCATTATATGACATGTGGTAACAGGCGAAAAAGACTGTTACAGCTGTTGAATCTACTGTATTACAAGTATGAAACCACCAGTTATGGTAACATAAATGATAGTTCAAGGATAAGTACCTAACAGGAGTAAATGTACTCAGTCAAACATTTAAGGAGGTACCCGGGGGGAACCATGGAGCCCCTAAAACCAGATTCTGATGTAACTCATTGTCTTTTGTTATTTCCTGTAATTGTGAAATTATGATTGTGATTTAAAATACTACTATACTGTTGTGTTACTTCTCACAGAAAAAAAAATATTCACACGCATTTATAGACACAAAAATATGACATTTTGGTAACACATTTTTAACGCCTATCTCTATAACGTATTATATATATATATTCAACGCGTTATAATCACGTTATAGCGCTCTATAATGTAGTTATACAGTTATAACAGATTATAATATCTGACCTTGTAAGTCGTGATAAAACGGTTTGTAATGTATTATGATTATTGCTATAAAGCATTATGATCACTTATGAATGTTTATAACTATAGATATAGTGTTATAACATGATTATAACACATTATACATATATTTATAATGCATTATACAGATAGGCGTCAAATAAAGTTTTACCACCTTTTTTTGATACTTTTATTTTGAAGGTCAAAGTAGATATAATAAGTGAACACAAAAAGTCTAAACAGATGCTTTTCTCCTCTTGGGTGACCCTAGAGAGTTAATCTACTACAAACATGCACCATTATTAGAAACATTAAAGACTCAGTACATGATGTTCTACAGCAGATATGGAGACTTGTTTTTGTCTCACATGTTTTTAATAGATGACGAGAAGTTTAATCAAAACTTGGCTAAAAACAACTTCTCCAGCTGACCCTTACCATCAGATCATCTAAACATTTGTCTGGCAAAATTTACCCTGAAGAACTCCTGATTCCGATCCATGCCGACTAAAGATTACCAAATGTGGAAGAAATGAATGCAGATGTCTGCACTTTACAGCCTGTTTACATCTCGTGAACTCCAAAGAAAAGAGTTTCCTTTTATGTGAATAATTAGACGGTGTGACTACATAAACTTGGATAACTCACTGAGCCCTGAACCACAAGCTCAGGCCGATTTGAAGTCAGAATGAGTTAATATCTACGACCCAACATGACAATAACTCAGCAACTAAAACCACAGCTGAGGCTCTGAGCGTTTGACCTTTAACCTCCTTGCTACTGAAGTCCCTGCTCTGTTGAGGAAATGAACCTCTGAACCACTATATCATCATCAACAACAACCCACTACAAAGCCAAGCTACATGCTCACTCATGTTGGGAGGGAGGGCATAAATTAGACCGAGATTTGAGTTCTTTGCAACTCTCAGTCTGGTCTCCACTGAATAAAAAAAACAAACAGTGACTGCTGAAGAACGGCTGGACTTCTGTTTCATCAGTGAAACATGATTTATACAAGCCTGAGAAATTTCAAATATCTTTTACAAAAAAGAGGGACATTCGTACATTAAATCATCTTTGTTCTGATGATTGAATGTCGAGGACCAGCTGTTGTTTAAGGAAAAACAGGAATCCTCTGCAAAGTTAACAACTGTGTTTTATCACGTTTTAGTTAAAATGACCTTTTCTCCGGTTACATTTTTGGGTATTCTTGCCTCTGTTAGAAATGTGGGGAGTAGAGTGTGGAAAGAGAAATGCAACAAAGGACCATGGCGAGGAGTCAAACAAGCGACTGCTGGGATGAGGCTTGTCGCTTCTGTACAAGGGGACCACATAAGTTGCTAAGCTAATTGGTGCCCTTGTTTTAAATCCTTTGGTTTGTTTTTATTGGGAGAGTGACGATCGTAGAGTAAAGCAAATGGCATTTTTCCCTCAGTAGTCTTTCAGACAGTTCTTTATACACTCATTGGGAATTTTTTGGTGAGTCTTACTGAAATATTACTGACACAACAAAACTTGATAAACTAAGCGTAGTCCACAAGCAGCAGGGCACACCTACAAAGAATGCTTTCAAGTTAAAACCTACAGTAACCAAAGGGGTGCCTCAGGGATCAGTCTCTGGATCACAGTTTTTCATTTTTAATATCAATATCATAAATTTAAATGCTGAATCTACTTTTCATCTTTATGCTGATGATACTGTAATGTTCTGCTTGGCATCCACTCCAGACCAGGGTTCAAACCTACAAAAGTCGGAGAAGTACAAGAAAATAATAATCTTGGGTCCCAGGACTTAAATCCAGATTGTTAGTCTCAGTGAGTTTACAAATAACACGACAGAGAAACTTCTGGGGCACACTGAATAACAAGTTCAACATCTCTCTTATTATGCTACATGTACAAACTTGGAAGTGGTTTTACTCAGATTAACATTCCTTTGCAAACAATGTCAAAATTAGGTACTTAGTGCTCTACTTTGCTTAATTCTGTATCGCTATCTTAAGGCTGAGTCATTTTTAACACTGACATGGAACAAGTCATCATGTAGCAACCCTTCATGTCAGTAGTCTGTTTCGGCTGAACTCACTTCCTGACCAGCATGCCATCCCAAGACACCACAACTGAAAATGGAGCAGTTCCCAAACGCCAACAGAGAAGCAATCAGTCCTTCAGACTCTCATCTTTTCATCCAGCCTTCATCATGGAATCAAACACAACGTTTTCCAACCACACTAACAAGCTGGAGCTAACACCCTCAGGCCGAACTCTGTTTTTAAGATGACTGAAGCAGTCAGAGGTGGCCTCCACCATGTATGCAAGCACCAAGAAACCCCAGAAGCCTTATCCTATCAAACCACATACACTGTCATGTGTGTAATGCCACGAGCAGACATGTAAAACTGGAGCGATTTTCCGTTAGAGAGCGAGAAATTATCGTTAAGAAGTGGTGGGAAGGATGACAGTCAGAGGGGAGAGGGAGATGTGGCGGTTTGGGGCCCATCTGGTTCTTGCTAAGTCAATGAAGGGAGGAAGAAAAGCTGAGCAGATACACTGAGTATTAGTGGTTAACCAACTACTAATGAGGGAAAAAGAAAAACATTGAGCTCAGATGAAAACGTTTAGCATGCAGCGGTGTACAATGTCCTGACCGGGCTTCGGGGAAAGATGGCCAACACTCACGTAAGCCTCATGTGTAATAACCAAAGGATAAAAAGAAGTGGGTCTGTTTCTAATCTATCTGTGCGTGTGCTTTTAAAGCCATCCTTAGAGTGAAGGAATCTGATTTAATGCATGTATCTCATACATGTACACCTTTGATACTGTGAATGCACAGGGCACAGGGCTCTGGTGCAGCTTTGGCATGTAAAGCTTGATCCTCCTGCCAGGGTTTGAGGCTTGAGGGTTTTCATTCCTCTGATCGCTGCTCTCCCCTCATACACCCCCACTCTCTCCCCCCTCAAAGCTCTGGAATAAATCCTGGGAAATGAGAGGGCCCCCCAGCCCCTTCACTGCTACTCATTCCCAGGTGTGCAAATCCCAGGTCACCCTGGGATCAGACGGTTACCCTGCCAAAGTGTTAGAAAGAGGAATAATAAATGACAGCACATGAAGAGTACAGTGAGATGTGAGGTGAGGAGAGAGAGGAAAGGTGAGAAGAGAGGAAAGGAAAAAGAAACCAGATGAAATGAACGACTGGAGGAAGAGATGGAGTTTGGTTTTGGGAATGTGAGCCATGCTGAAACCATTCAACTCAAATCAGCACCATGTGTCCTCCAGAGCCTTATTATCCCATAAATGAACTTTATTGAGGCAACAAAGTGCTTTGGAGCTCTGCAAAAACATTAAAGGGGCCTCGCCTGTCTCGGCCCGGAGCCAAGAGTGGTCCGGTTCCTCAGGGGACTAATGAAAAAAGAGGGGCCCTCGGCCTCGTGCTCACCGCCTCCAGTGTAGCCTCACTAGCTGGCTGGCCGGTGCTGCCTGAGTAATGGCTTATTAGAGGGAGAGAAATAGTTGGCAATTACACCAGGGAGACAAATATGGCACAGACCTCTTGTGTGACCTGACCTGTGGAATTACCCAGGAAGGAGGGATGACAGACTGAGGGTAAAACAGCAGGAAGAAAGGAAGGAAGGAAGGAAGAGGGAAGTGGGTAAGTGGGCAAAGAAAATATGATATGATACGATAGCAGGACCCCATGGTGAAATGAGTGACTGTCCCTGTGTTTTCTTTAATTGGACTTGTTACAGTACCTCTTACATATCATATCTAATGGGTCTTGTATTAGGACAGACTTCTATACGTGTGTGTTTTGCAGAGTCCTTTAACATTGGAATTTTTTATCACTTAGCACACATTTTTATGGGAAAAGGTTGCGTAAACTACCATAAACGCTATCATATACAAGTATTATTCAGTAGAGAATGTGTCACCATAAATTATAGTTCCTTAAAATATGAGCAGCATGCCATCCATGGTATGACACATGCACTGAACTAAAAGGGAAACTCTTAAGGTTTTACATGTCAAGATTATTTGTCCTTGATTGTAGTTAATATGTCATTGAGGAGTTAAACTGCAAATTTAAAAAAAAGCTGAACACATGTTTTGTTGTTCCAGAGTCAGGCTGCACATAACATTACATTTAATCAACACCTTGATAAGAGCATTTGCAGTAAACACATCACAATTTAATCTTCACATGATACGCTTTCACACCCTGCATGTCAACACTTCACCCATCAGACAAAACTATAAACAAGCAGTCTGCCCTCTACAGGTAAACAAGTTGGTTTTCTGAGTGTGGCTAACATTAGCAGGGCTAGCACCACTACTTAAGTGTTATCAGTGGTCTTTAAACAGTGACTATGAAGTTTTTAACCAAAATTACGTTACCTGTGTCAAGGTCTTTTCTTCTGCAGAGCTCCAGTAGATCATTAGCAATTCGTCTCTGAGTCGTGGGCGGAAACAGCGCTGCTCTGCACACTCGTCTTCACGTTAGCTTGCAGCCTAACATTGCCGGTGTAGTAGAAGAAACAGGTTATATAGGAGCTTTTCAGCTCTTGGACACTATTGTCTTTAAGGACATGGCTGTTTGGTTTAATAATTAGCTTTCTCAGGAGCATTTCAATCCGCTAACGGCAGACGCTTGTTCCGCGATTGTCGTCTCTAATTCTCCGAGCCTGGCCTGCAAAGCGGGGCTCCGGGGGCGGAGCTTGGATTGGTTACGTATGACATCTCACTCTATCTGATCCTGCTGTTTGGGTCTGCCAGAGATTCATAGTGATTTGAATGAAGAAATACTCTGCAATGTAATTTCGCACTTCTTTTTCTAATGATATGTCCTCTCGTATCAGAAAAATGCTATATGAAGACGTAGACAACAAGAAAAACATGATTTTCATCAGAGTGGGTCTCTAACCAGATCCAGAACAACTTTATCTCCACTCTTCTCTCTTTATATGTGTATACTTGTATTATAAAATAATAAGACCTGCTCAAGAATTGTCTTAACATTTCCATAAACACATGAGTTGTGGAGTCAGACACTTCTAAAAAGAAATCGTACACAGTGCTGGGCTCTGAAACATTAACCAACAAAGCATCATAGTGTGTAGTTGAGGTTATTTGACAAGACTGAGAAAGGCCATACATCTTTGCATGCTGAATAACAGACAGTATAAGCTGTGTTAAGTTATTTCAGTTAAAAGATTTTCTATATACTCTTCAGGCCAACTCCAAAGTGAGCAGCATGAGGTTAGAGCGGACTGGCTCTGAACCCCCCCTCCAAAAAAAGACATTTGCTGGTCCTGCATTAGAAAAAGTCTGCTTCCAAACCTCGGTAGACCCCTCCTCAGGTCTGCTTGAGGCTTGTGGTTACATAAGCTGCAACCAGCATAACTCACCAGAGTATCCAGCAGGGTTATTGGTGGTTAAGTTGCATTATGGGTAATAAAGCAGGTTTGGCAAAGAAAAAAAGAATGTGAGCAATAACAATAAAATATTTCTGGTTCTGCTACATCAATTTTCATCCTTTTTCTGTTAAACTGTCCATCATGAGGCCTGGAAAGGTATGCAGTGTGAAATCTGCGGAGGACTTGAGAACCAGGAGGCAAAAAGTCAATAACTGAGTCATACATGGATACAGTAACGGAACAAAGAGAGTGTGCAGATAAACATCCAACAGAGCAGAAGTTGATAAATAAACATGTTTTAGATGCCTCATGGTCACAACAAACAGTTTTTACAGCACCTGTTGGAACATGAAGAAGACCTCTGAGGGTCTGAATAGCTGACAGTGCAGAGCAGCTCCCTCAGAGCCTCAGAGGTGCTTTACTGCTGTGTAAGACAACAAACATTCGTGACAGCTCACAGGACATGAAGTAAAGATGTGGGCGTGTTTCTGATGTGTATATAACCACCCGCCTGCTTCCTCAGCCAGTTTACTGCTCATGTGGCATGCGGTGGACGGCCGGGGCTTCTTCCAACATAAATAAAGTCTCTGATCCTTCTCAGGATGACGAATTTTATAAAGATGGGATTCTTTGTGGCCGGGAAAGGGGTTACAATGGTAAACCAAACAGCCGCAAGTGGATGTATGGGACTGATTAGGAGGCTGGAAATGAGATTAAAGAGAGATCGAGCAACAGATTGAATTGTATTTGCCATAATTGCTGAGAACAGCTTATTCAGTGCAGACCGCAAGAAAGAGAATCATAAAAGCAAGGAAGGCGGAGGAGTGGAGAGGAGGGGATGACTGCCACTTAAAACCAGCAAGCCTTTCTCAAAGAAATCAAACCCAGCACAAGCCTTGTATCAATTAAAGTGTGTGTGTGTGTTATGTTTGTGTGTGTGTGAACAGAGGGTAGGATAAAAGATGGATTAGCACACTCTCGTAACCTTCAAGTACTGCTGAAGCTTGTATTAATGATTTTTTTTAGTATTGGTAATCTTGATTTTATTCAAAGGCCAATTCAAACACGTTCTACTTCTTAAATGGAAAATCTCCCTCAGCTCAGAGACTGTGCATGCCAGGAATTTATCTGAAATGAGATAAGTGAAGCAGCCATGACCTCAGTTCTCAGCATCCCGCTCAAGAGAGCTTTAATGAAAAATAAATCTTATAAGGAGAAAAAGAGCAACAGACAAATCAATAGAGGCAAAGGCTCAAAGATAAAAGCGAGCGCCGTGTGCCAAAGAGCTCCTCGCCCTCATTCCTGGGTTGATTGTACTTCAAGTGAAACCACATGAACTGAGCTCAAACCACAAGGGAAGTAACAGAGTGTGGACCTAAAACACACATATGTGGTACAACTTAGAGCCCTTAAAGACTTGGCATTTCTCTTTAACACTGAAGACTCGCTGCTGACGGTACAACGATTCAATATAACGCTCAGGAAAAGAAACAGCAGTAATCTGCTTCATCAAATCGAAGGGGGGTCCACTGATCAGATTTGATTGATGTTGGTGATTTCGAGATGAAATTCAACCTCACAACTGTCATCAAACTATGATTGAAATCACTTTCAAATGATTTCCAATGCTCAGAGTTTGTGTAATCACAGTTTCCCGACAGAGCCTCTTTTAAATCAAACTGCAGAAAAATATTCGACAGAAAAACAAACATAAATCTCTTGGAAAATAACCAGAACTGTTTAGACGCTGATGTTTAATTTGTGGATTAGACTGTGAAGAACTGCAGGCAGCTCTGTGAGCCTGAATTACAGAGCCACTTATAGGGGTAAATGCAAAAATCAAGGCACTCACGTCCTATTAAAGAGAATGCAAACATACTTATGTTTAGTGTGAAGAGGGAAGTTTAACAGCAGCTCATTAGATTTGCAGTAATTTGTTCATTAGTGAAATTGCTCAACAAGAGAACACAGCACTCCTTAAAGACCCACTCCAATGAAAATCATGTTTTTTATATGTTCATACAGAATTTTTCTGGTGCTACAGGACATATCATGAGAAAACTAAATGCGAACTTGCTTTTCTGAATATTTCTTCATTCAAATTGCTGTGAATCTCTGGCTGACCCAAACGGCAGGTTCAGCAACAGTGAGATTTCATATGTAACCAATCCAAGCCCCACCTCCAGAGCCCCGCTATGCAGGCCAGGCTCTGCATATAGAGGAGAAATACAGAGAATGATCGCAGAACAAGCGTGTTCGTTAGCAGATTGCAATGTTTGTAAAAAAGCTTATATTAGCTTTCATTGTGCCCCTTAAGACGTTAGTGTCTGAGAGCTGAATAGCTCCTAAGTAACCTGTCACTTCACCTAATGTTAGGCTGCACACTAATGTGAAGACGAGTGTGCGGAGCAGCACTGTATTCGCCCACGACTCAGAGGTGAATCGCTAATGATCTACTGGAGCTCTGCAGAAGAAAAGCCCTTGAAAATGAAACAGGTAACATGATTTTTAATAAAAACTTCATAATCACAATTTAAAAAACCACTGAGAACACTTTAAGTAGTAAAATAAATAAATAAATAGATTAAAAAACGATCGGATTGGGACTTTAAAGAAAAGTCAGGAAGTCATGAGGCTAAGGCTGGTTCTGCAAAAATAAAACGAAAAATATGCAGGATGCTGTGAAGCTCTGACCACTGACAGTCTATGTGAACATCAGTGTGTGTCTTTTGTACCTGTCAGTGAATGGGATTTGTTAGGCAGTAAGTGAGCATAGAGTGGCTGTGGCGTGCTTGGTTGGTCGTTCCTCAATGAAAAGCTCATCCAAGGTCTCAGGATTACGTGCTGAAGTGTCCGACACTTAACCCTAAAACTGCCCCTGATGCTGTGCCATCAGTGTGTGAATGGAGTTAATACCAAAGGTTTCTTTCCACTGCAGCCTCTTCATACTCCTCTTGTATGAACATGAGGGTGTGATCTGTAATGTAAAAGTGCATTGAGGGGTCAGAAGACTACATCAAGTGCTGTGTATAAATAGTTATTCAACATTTTGTACTTGAAGTCAAGAAAAATAGTCAAGTGCGATGATGTGGGAAACTTTGACTGGGGTTAAATTGTGCTGGCAAGAAGACTTGATCAGAGCATCTTTAAAACTGCAGTTCTCATGGGGTGTTCAAGGTCTACAGAGTTCAGCACCTTCCTAAAGTGGTCCAAAGGGGGAGCTGTCTACAAGGTCGCGAGCAGCCGAGGTTCACTTGATGCATGTGAGGAGTGAAGGATGGCCTTCGTAGTTCAATCCATTAAAAGAGTTTATGGAGCTCAGACTGTGGGAAAAAAATCAATTGTTCTCAGAGACAGGTGTCAGGACAGTGTGTGTGGTACAATTTTCAAAAATCAAAACATAATACCCACCAAGAGGCACAGGGAGAGAACAGATTGTCCTGGCAAAAGCTGCAGTTTCTCAAATAATTTGGTGTCCTTGTGCTCCGTTAGCATCTCCTTTGCCAAAAAAACAACAAAAGCTACTTACTGAAAATTTTTAATCTTACAAAACAATGGAAACGGCTCCAACACAAACAGTTTGTAGGCACTGTTTAGCTGAAGACTAGCAGTGAGAAAAAGGAACTGGTATGAATTTCACTGCTTCATAAACATATTAAAACTTCTCATAGGAGCTTTAATGATTAAAAATGTGTCGAATCACCAGACTAAGTACTAGTGGGTCACAAATTAGTAAATTTTAACACTAAGGAAGCCTTTTTATGAATGTTTACACATCCTTATCTAGTAAAGTGGATCATAATCTATCAGATACTTTCATATACCAGCATGAATTTAGACTTTCTGTTGGACTATTGTGCTCCTGAAGGAGAAAAAGCAGATGTTTCTTCGCTGTGAAGATTACATATGACACTGGACACAAGTGTAGTTTTCTATGTTAGGCACTTTAATTGAATTTGTATTAGAGATTCACAAACACAAATATTACTGCCAAAAAAACAAACAGATTGATTACAGTTTATTGATGAGGAAATTTACCTGCTTTCAGTCTATAGTCAATGTTAACAGTCAAGGGAAGACAGAAAGAAATACTAAAAAAAAAAAAGATAGTGGTACCCCCCAAAAATCTGCATTATAAAATGCACAGGCTGTCGTTTTCCAAACTTCCAGCTCATGTAAAGTGATTTGGCCAAAATATAAAAATAGAGCACAAAAGATTTTTCATTGTAAAGTGTGTTATTAGAATGAAATAGACAGGAGTGCTTCAAATAACTAATCATTACCACATAAATAAAGGGGATTTGATCAATTTTTTAATGGCTTCCTATGGTAAATGTTACCCTGAACGTGTTTGTGCCGTTCTACTTCCAGACCTGCTGAATATCAGAATTTTCACACTGTAGTACAGTAATTAAAGAAGTACAAATCTATGAAAAATATATCAGTGTAAAGGCATGAGAGACTCGCTCAACAATCACAACACCACTACACTACACCGTCACAAAGAGTCACAAAGAGCGGGCTCAGGGGTACGCAACACTTCATCTAGGAAGGCTGCCGAAGTCACTGCAGCAGAATCAAGTTTTTTTTATGAAGTCAAGCTTTAGTTCAAACATTTTTTTTTTGTATTTGTTAGGGGTTTGATTTCAATAAAGATAGATGAAGCAGCATTTAAAAGCAGATAAATTCATGTTAATCATCACATTAACTTCCTGTAAGATTGATGTCACATTTCCCTGTTCTTGAGCTCAAGCACGCAGACATCACAGCTTCCTAGAGCCACTGCTGCCTACCCCTGGTCCACACTGACTATTACATTTTCTATCAACTTGGCCTGCCAAGTTTCACCACTAGAGGACACTCTGGATTCAACAAACAGGACGACGTGCCACTGCAAACTGTAGGACACAGCAAGAGATCTCCACTCCACACCCTGTGACTCAGATCCAGCACAAACCATGTCCAGACTTGATGCTCTGAGTGAGCAACATAACTGAGAGCTCTCCATATCTGTCACATCACAACATGAACCACGACTATAAAAGAGTGAAAAAAGATTTGGATGTTTTCTCCCTCTTCAGATCTTTGGTATTTGGAGTATTTCAATGTGCTACTTTGGACTCCACAAGATGAAAACGCGCCACTGAAGACAGTTCAGTCCCAAAAAAGTAGCAGAGGCGTTACAACTGCTGTGAGAAAATGTGAAAGGACAGGTTTGAATTCTTTCGCCTCCATTTTTAACCGCTACCCTGGTGTCCATAATCACCTGGAGAAGAGTAACAAGCGAGAAAAACACCTGGATATCAGGTGTCTGAGATTGTGGCAGGTTGTTCTTTTTGTTAGTGATTTCCCTGCGGCTCAGCAAGGAATCACTGTGTGGAGGAACACAAAGGGGGATATAAGAAAGAAGCTGCTTGATCAGCCGAGTTCACACTTGTATTTTCGCACAAAGACCTCAGTGCACAGACAACCATCTTAATATTGTATTCAAGGAAAGGATGAGAGTTCTCCCAAGTCTGTTTAAAATCAACAATCTCATTGAAAAAGGTTTTTACATGCTGTAATAGTTCCTCCTGTTGAGACTGAACATTAAAGGGCGACTTACTAATGTGTTTTCAATGCAAGGGGCAAAATACACAAACTCAATCCCTCAGAAAATCTGTCAGATCAGATCAGATCAGATCACCAAGTTTCAGTGTTAAGTACAAATTGACTCTTTTTGTCGCTGTTTTGTCCCTGCAGCTCCACAAGGACACAGTTTTAGGGAAAGGGGTTTTGAAAAATGTGAACCTGTTCCTCAAACTCCAGCACACATTGTTCTCAAACACAAACAAAAATGGCCACTGTGTGAGAGAGCTGACTGTCAGGTGGGAATGTGAAAAGTGTTTTTTGTGTTCATGTCCGTTTTACATTCCAGCTAAGCATTGAAGGAGGTTTAATCCACGACAGGGACCTGCGTTTCATCACGTCACGTTGCTGAGTTAATTGGATTAAAGCTGCATAGAAATAAACTGATTGGCTTAATCTTTTAGAACAGATTTAACAGATATGTTCACTCAAACAGCGTTCCTCATATGTGCTGCATAGAAAACGTTCCTGCGTTGATGAAGATCACCAAACAAGATCAGAGTTAATGAATGGATACGAAAGCTTTCTTAATTCATTGCGGTTTCTATTAATGATGACATAAGGCGTTGGTTTTTCACTTTCACCCACAACACAGAGCTTTAAACTTTGGAAGGCAAAGTACGAATGAAGAGGATGGACGTCAGAGCAGCCAGATTGGAGAAACTTTGCTGATACATAAACACACAAATACACTCATCACACAGAAACACACACGCTCCCACACACACACACACACACACACACACACACACACTGGGCACCCACAGGGGCCACAGTGAGGACACACTGCAGTGAGAGATGTAATAATGGAGAATTGGAGTCAGCAGGTAGTAACTTGTGTTTGTTGGGTGAACGCTTTAACACACAAACTCCTGTCTCATGCGGATGATCTGCAGTAAGGCGGCCTGGACGTCCTCATCCATGTGACCCTACGAGACAAAAAGTCAGAGTACATCTGTTCATCTGCTTCTTTGTCTTCTGAGTGTTAATTTTCATGCTGCAGGTGGTTCTGTGATTCAGCCGCTAAAAGCTGTCGTTCTCTTACACCTCCATTATCTCAATCATGTGGGCTGAGTGAGTCTGTGTCTGTTTTGTTAAATGAATTGGAAGCCTGCTCCTAAAAGATCGCCACCCATTTAAGTCATCCATCTGCGTATTACTGCCTCCAACTATCGGCAGTCATTCACACAATTTTTTCTCTATGTTGCTATGATCGGTTACTGTTCTCATGTGCACTGACGGGCTGCCAGACAACCTCAGATCTGATTCAGCTCCTGGTAATGTTGACTGCAAGTGAACTTCGAGTCACGCTGCAGCTGCTGTCTCAGAGCCACCATGTGTTAGAGATGTTCTGAGCTGGTGGTTTCCAAGTTGGACAGACTGTATTTCTCAGCAGTAACTTTGTGCTGCAGGGGGCAGCGGTGGGGATTCTTGATGAGCTAATTATGGAGCTGAAAGAGGTTTTAAGACCGAGCTGACCAATACTGTGTAAGAAACTATTAAGTGTTGCAGGGGAAGGCACTGAGAATGTTGATTTCACACTGAAAAGCTTCGTTAGAAATCACATGGTTAACCAAGGCGAATTAAGTTAGCTGTTTTTCATGATTGCTCTATTGAGATGTTTGTTATAAATTCGCTATTCTGGGTGTAAGGGTTTAACCTTCTTACGGTTTTGGTTCTCGAAATCCTCCTGTCAGGTATCAAAGACTTTATAAAAACTGAAGTATTTTAGAAAAAGAGAATGTGATTGTTTGTAGAAATGATGTTTAGTCCAAAGAGGAAAGTGAGTAGTTTGGCCTTTACAAGAGGTTTTTAAGCTGAACTTACCTGTGCTGCACTGAGGAGATGAGTGCGGTAAATTGAAACCACCTCCCTGTGTTGCCTCTCAGCATCCTTTTCAAGCAGAAGAGATAGAAAAGAGAGAAACATTGTTATGAGTCCTTCACTTCTCTGTGTTTGTACCAAAAATATGACCGTTTGATGAAACACAACATTTTGCATTTTGTTAGTGCACCCTTTCTTTTATTTTTCGGGGGCATTTTAAGACTCTGTTGATAAGAAAAGACAGTGGACAGAGAATAAAACTGGGATGCATGATTTTCAGATACCTCCGAGAATAGGAGCGCAACATCACATACATAAAAACTCTATCTACGCTATCTCTATGCGATCGCATAAACACATAATCATCTCCTTTTATGCAATTTTGTTCAATAAGGCAATTTGCAATTACACTAGCACTTTAAATCAACGTGCATGGGGCAAAGGTGCAATTTACACCAACTCCCCTACCATCAAGCGCATTACACCAGCAGTACAGCTCTTTAACGCTCTGGCATTTTACCACCTGCATTTGCACTTCAAGCACATAATTCACTTACACTTAGCATAGTTTTACAGCAACCCTCTGTATTATTATATGTGAGTTTGTGGTTAAGTCGTGTAATTTGCATTGTTTTGCATCTACTTGTTGTTTATATCTGTGTAATTTTAGTTTAGTCATATCTTGTGTACATGCTACCTGGATGTTTATCATCAACCTGCCGGGGTCCACGGATAGAAATAGACATCTAGCTACAATCTGGCATGTTTACACACATATTCATTAATGTGCATTATCCCGTGAAATAAATAACTAACTAAGACAATTAGCGGAGCGACTTTTCTAAAACGTGAAGCAGATGTGTCATGCGTATTTCATAATGTCGTGTGTGTCCGCTCACAGCCAGCTGTTGCTGTAGGCTCTTGATCTGGGCTTGAAGTGTGTCGATTTGCTGCGTCTGTCTCTTGTTGGGTGCGTTGCTCGTGTATGCCAGCTGAGACAGACCGTTCAGCGCCTGTTTTAATCGCTCCACGTCTGTCAGCAGCTCTGTGATCTGGTACACGCACAGACGCAGAAACACAAATATCAATATCTGTACATTTTACATTATTCATTATTCCATCAATCACAGCACATGAAAGAAGGATTTATACCTCAGGAAGAAAAACGGGTCATAGCACTTTGAGTTAAGACAGAGAGCAGCATTGTAGATCATTTAAGCTGAAGATAAAACCACCTTCTTCTAACAAATGCAGTTTAAATATTACAATCAACAGTTGAATTTAAGAGTCATATTCTGGGTACCTTCTTGTCTTTGGCCTCGGTCTGCTGAGCTGATGTCTGGATTCTCCTCTGGAGGTCACAGATGGTGCTGAGCGACTCGTCGTATCTCTCTTTAAGCTCTCTTATCTCTCTCTCGATGGCGCGTCCCTTCTCCTGGACGGCCTCCATCTCTGTCCTGGCTCTGCTCTCACCCTCCCTTGCTCGCTTGGCTCCCTGTTGAGCCTCCTCGCACTCCTCCGCTAGGCTCAGCAGTTTGTTGCTCAGGTTGGCAGCCTCCTCCTCCAGCTGCTGCTTCTCCTTCTTCAGCTGATTTATTTGGTCGTCCGTGTAGTGGATCTCCTCCAGAGCCTGAGTGGCCTGAAGGAGCTCAGATTGCAGGGCAGATACATCTTCAGCTCTCTGGGCACTGTTCTCCTCTTCTTCACGGAGGGCCAGCTGAAGCTTAGAGACTTCAGCCTCCAGGGTGTCCTTGGCTTTGGAAAGTTGTTGCAAAGCAGCCTGGTCGCCGCGGCGCTCCTGCAGCTCTTTCTGTAGGGCAGAAACCTTCTGGGCCTCCTCCTGCTGAGCCTCTCTTGCTTTCTTGCAGTCACTCTGGGATTGTTGCACGGCGTCATTGAGGGCTTTAAGCTCTGTGTCATACGTTGAAATACGAGTCAACTCTGATTTCAGACGGTCCTGAAGATTTTGGATCTGAGACTTGCAGAGGGTGTTCTGCTCTTCAAGTTCACCTTTCTGCAGAGTTACCTCCTTGTGCTGCTCCTCTAAGTTGACCAACTTCTGGGTCAGTTCTTCAAATTTATTCTTCAAGTCTTCCTCTACATCTTTGTGCTTCTCACTGCTGACCAGAACAGAGTCCAGTCTCTGCTGAAGTGACTCTGCCTCAGCTCTGAGTTTATCTTTCTCCTGTTTGTTGCTCTCTCCAGCAGACCTTTCTTTGTTATACTTCTCTTCCATTTCCAGCAGCTTGGCTGTCAGCTCCTTCACCTGGGTGCTGTACGAGCTCTCCTTTTCCTCAGCTGCTGTCAGTGGAATAAACTTCGACTGGATAGCTTCCTGGATGGTATCAAGTTCTTTTCTTTGGGCCTCCAGTTCTTGGGTAAGTTTGATGTTTTCCTCCTGAGCCGCCAAATGCTTGGCTGATGCTTGATTTGCCTGATTCTCTGCCTGCACCACAGCAACATTCAACTTGTCTATTGCAGATTTAAAGTCTTTTATGCTTATATGCTCTGTTTTCATCTCCACCAAAACTTTTTCCAACTCTTTTTTCAACTTATCGTTTCCTTCTTTCACATTCTTCAGTTCTTTGTCACTTTCTCTCTCCTTGGTCTCCAACTTCAACATCTCAGCTTTAACATTCTCTAGGGTGGAGCTTAACTCCATCTTCACTTGCTCATGCTGCTGTCTAGGAACATACTCTCCATCCAAGCTCTGTTTCAGAGTCTGGCTCTGTGTGCTTAGCTGCATACACTCTTTGTCTCTGTCATCGCATGTCTTCTGCAAAAGTTCAAGTTTCTTCACCAGGTCAGTATTCTGAGATCTCAGAGCGTCCATCTCGCTCTGCTGTTTCTCACTGCTGCTCTTTACGCTGCTGATATTTTCCTGCAGCAATGCTCTGTCAGTCTGAAGCTGTTGGACTTGTGCCTCTGCTTTTCCATATCGCTCGCTGGCTTCAACCAGCTTGTCCTCCAGCTCCTCCAGAGCCGTCACCATGTTCCTGCGGGCCTCATCGTGGTCTTTCATGGGTATAAGGTCAATCCCAATCCTGCTATTGAACTCATCTAGCTGCTCTCGTAGGATATCTCTCTCCTCTTCACCCTCCTCTACCTCCTGAATCAGAGCCTGGCTTTTTGCAGTCAGATCCACCAGTTTCTTTTTCAGTGTAGCATTCTGCTCTTCCAATGCTTCCAGGACCCTCTGCTGCTCCTCGGTTATCGCCTCAGATACTCCCTGTGATGATGGACTGTCAAGCTTGCGATGGAGCTCTGCTACTTCCTCCAGCACACGATCGTAGTCTTCCCTTAGCTCTGCGATCTGCCGTTCCTTCTCATCGACAGCGTTGGTCAGCAGGTTTTTCATGTTGTCGAACTTCTCTGCAGGTACTGTGTTGCCGTGTTTAGTCTGGGTATCCTTAAATTGAGCTTCCATTTCTATAAAGGTTTCTGCTAATGCGTCCCTCTCTGCAGCCAAAGCTCCCAACTCTTGGTTCAGTCTCTCCGTCTCTGCAGCTAGCTGGCTCTCACTGGTCTTGTACTCCTCCAAAGCCTTCTCACTTTGTTTGAGGCGGTTACGAACACGGCCCACTTCAGCTGAAGCACCTTCATACTTGGTTTTGATATCCTGCAGCTGGGCACGCAGGTCCTCCGTCCCCTGGCCTCCTAAATGCTCTTTTACAGCAACTACATGGGCTTGGAGTTGCTTGACCTTACACTCAGAATCCAGCATCCTCTTCTGGACCTCTCCCAAGGCGTCCTCCAGGTCCTGAACTTGCTGGTCAGCCTGTTTCTGGATGGCGTCTCGGCTCTGAACTAGCTCCTGGCACTCTCGGTTTTTACGGTTAAGGGCGGACTGAAGCCGTGCCGTCTCTTCCTCTGCAGCCTGTTGTCTTCTCTTGACTGCCTCAAGCTCATGGCGGAGAGCCTCCGGTTCACCAGAGAGATCCCAGGCCGCAGCAGGTGGACTCTTCTCTTGAGGTCTGGACATTGACCGGACCATGGAAACTTTCTGGACTCTCTGCAGATAGAGAGAGAGAACACTTGTTGATGGTACAACTCATCAAAAAGGTGGAATTAGGCTGATTCCTGTCCAAAGATGATAAGAGTTCTCCTTCTCTTATTGAGGGTGATCAAGAAAATTTAACTTTTTTTTAAATGTACATATTTTTGTTTATGTAAGTACTTCACAGATTAAAACCTACCTGTTCAGAGTCCAGGCTGTGAGCTTGTTTGATGAAAGAGTTTTCTTTACCTGCAAGAAAAATAATAATAAATCAGAGCTAAAATTATTCTGCTGAAGAATTTTACTTTATTATCAAACAGATTTATTTTTGTATTTGGTAAAAGTTCATGAAAACTTACCCTTTATTACAGACTGGCCAGAGTAGTCTCCCTGTGAGTACACACACATGCACACAATCATTAAAAATGGACGAAATTCAAACTCAACTCAACTCGAAATTCAAACTCAACTCAATATGGTGGATTTTCTGACAGCAGTTACAAGTATTTATTAGGAGCACCTAAGTTGTGAAGGTGTTGGATAGATGTTTCTATTTTTGCTCATCCCAATTAAACTCTTAAATTCAGTCCAATTATCTCCAATGAATATCTTCATTTTACAACTTTAGACTTTACCTGTAACGTCTGAGAACAACAAGTTCAACACAGCTTCACAAGCATTTAAAAAAACAAATCTACAAGCATAAAAGGCATCGAGAAGTAAATCAGTTTTATAGGAGCCACTGATTTCTCTGAGGTTTTAGCGCCTCTCAACAAAAAGTACAAATTAGATAAGAACCAGGTTGCTGACCAGCGTGCTCCTGAGCTGGACCTTGACGGTCTCCAGGCCTCGAGCTCCGTCCTCTCTTTCTTTGGCACTGAGTAACACCTTCAACTGCTCCCTCTGATTTAACAAAGAAAACAAAAGCAGAAAGAGTTTGTAAAGTGAGGGTGAGAGCAGACATTTCTGGGTGACTGACTATAAAAAAGCAAATATAGAGAGGTCTGAGTTCACACCTAAAACTACTTATTATAATAACCAGCTCTTTGAATAAAACCCCTTTAATAACTTTTACTCATCTATAAATAAATACTTGTGGCTGCATCTCCCAGGATTTGTTAGAGAATTATGAATGCGATAAAGAATATATTTAAACAGCTTTAACTGTTGACTTTTACAATCTTACGCCAGGCATCTACTAAATTGCTCAGCGCTCTACTGTCTATTTTTGTCATTACTGCAGATGCCTCAAATTCAACAACGCTGCAACAGTCTCACAGTTTGGAGTAAAACTGGCTTCACAATACTACACACACACAACAAGAAGCCAATACTAGCTAATGTCTAAGTCTTAAAGACAAAGGCTGTAGGGAAATGTAGTAATAGGGTTTTTCATCCTCAGCAAGCACAGACATTTCTAAAGTCAATATACTGTAACAGGTAAATAGAGAGAAATTACTGAAGCAGTGTGTCTCAGATGTTGACCTTTATATATAGACAACTGTTGGTCTATTAAACTAAGAAAATGAGATCTCTGCCGCCTTATAAGGAGCATAGTTCCTTGAAGATGTTAACATAGCCAGCAGCAGTAAAGACATGTTGTCTTTATTTGACTCATTTGTACTTTTATCAAAATTAAACGCTCCAGTTACATTTGTCATTCTATCTATCTCTCCATCTTTCTCTTGCTCTATTCCTCTATGACAGGAAATCACAAAATCCTCAGCTGCTGGTTTACTTCACTTGGATTCCAGCATGTTGGGACATAGTGAGATGTTATCCGCCGCTATTGCATCTCAACACATCTAGAAAGAAAGCCTATTACTTTCTATGTGGGCAGTTTTGAGTGTGAACCAGCACAAGCAACATCCTCCCTGAATTTTTCCCAGTTCCTTTTCATTGCTCTTAATTTCAGATTTTAGTGGTCACACAATAACTGAAGACTGTCTATCAGCCGCTCTGATGACTCTTACTGCTGTAAAATGATTTGAATAGAGTGCAGACTCTTCAGAACAGACGAGAGAATGAGTCCCGCTGTGAAAAAGTCATTATGATTGTTCCCTACCTCTTTTTGAGTGTCTTCCACTGTTACTTTCTCCTGCAGATAAAAAGGAAAGGTCATACAGTAATTTGTTAGTAGCTTATAATTGACTAAATGCTGTTCAATGTCATCTGAGTGAGTTTACTTGATCTGTAACAAATGGCAATGACTCTTTTATTTTCACTGAATGTAACGTTTAAAAATAAAACACCAATCTCTCTGAACAGTGCTGCTCTGACAGCCGTTATCATCATTAACTGAGCCCAGGAAATCATATGGTCATATGTGCCACACATACTTCTAGCAGCACCCTCAAACTAGCCACCCCACCGCTCACAGAGGACCATACGCGCTGACAAAAGCAAGCCAGTAAAGGGCAAGCCTGGCTGGAGGGTTTTATTGAATTGTTTGGTTTGATCCAGTCAGCAGCTCTTGTTCTGTTGTTGTTTTGTTTACCTGTGTGAGCTGCTGCTGCAGCATGTTGACCTTATCCAGCAGGACTTTCTGCTCCTGCTGGTACTTTCTGAGACTCTCCTGCATGGTCTCGTTCTGCCTCTCCAAGTCCTACAAAAACATCCATGAAAAAAAAAAAAAACATAAAATTTTGAAACTTAACCTCTCAAAATCCGGCTTTAGTATGAAAAACTACCTTTATATCAATCAATATCTAATAGATTTTGATGTTCTCATGATTATTGAGTCTTACTGGTTTGAGTATCATTAAAATCGCTGCAAAAGTATAAAAGGAGAAGAAAAATATTTTGTTTAGGAGTGATGTTTAAGCTAAACAGCACTTACATGTACGAATTGATCCCTTCTATTAGCCTCAGCTGCCTCTGACCTCTCCACTGAATGCTGCAGATAAAACAGGATCTTTTTAACAGCCTTGTTTCAAAGGTATAACAACACCTCAAGCTACAGAAGAGTCCAGAAGTACTCTGTTTTCATCAGTAGGTGGCAGTCGTGTTCATCTGAGCACCAGTCCGGGGAACACTTGGCAGGTTCAGAAATAGATGAGGAGGCTGCACTTAACTACATCAAATACCAGAAAAATGTCTGAAGTTTATCTCAACAGGATGAAAAGGCCGAATATCAAAACACAACCTTCAAAGTATCTTGGCATAGAAACCCAGGACTGGATATCCTCTGGCTTCATAATTTTGAAAAGGGCTTCATAGTCTCAAGTAACCTTGATTTTTGAATATTTTGGCTGTTTTGACACAAGGGTTCTCAAAAATATGCAAAGTTGTGCAGAGAATAACAGCAGCTGCAGGCTAAACATGATTTTGTTGATGGATGATGTGAGTCTGAATGCTGCAGGATTACCTGTCGCTTCCACTGTTCCATCTTCGCTGCCTCTTTCTCTGTAATGAAGACAAAAACATCAGTTTACACTTTAATTTTCCCTCCAGTAGTGTGTTATTGAGATTAGATAGGAGCAGGTTTGTTCACAGAGCAGCATTTTTCTAAGCAGCTCTGTAAATCATCATATGTGGGGTGATTGAGGAAAGTTATGCGAACAAGGAGAAGGTAAGCAATCAACCATCTACTGAAGAACTATGAAATCAGGAGACAATCAAATTAAGACTGTGGCTGTATTTAATTATAGACACAACTGTATTTTGTTATAACAACACCTTTGTGTTGTCTTTGTATAATACAGATATCACTGGTATTGAAAAGTTATACAGTCAGTGTAGAAGTAACCCCTTCTAACACTCGGCTCACAGCATGTTCTTCTGATGCTATTTACTTAATCACATTTTCTATATATATTATACAAACATAGAGTTTATAAAGTATTCTTTTTTCGTTTTTTTAAACTGAGAAGCGCTGAAAGAACTGGAAAAAACCCATGCTTGTTGTATGTAATGTTTTTAAAAATCCATGCACAGAGTGAGCAGAAAATATACATTTCCTTATTCAATGAATAAAAATGAATACATCCTATAAAAGAGATGTTTTTACGATACATGAAAATCAATAGTGCAGCCCAGTACAGTCAAGTGTTTATAGCCCTTCTTTAATAGTCTAATCAGTCATCATTTTTACCTGGGATCATGTTCTTTTTTTTAACATTTATTTTAAACAGACAGCAGGATTGTTTTGGTGTTCAGTAATCTGACCTCTGGCGGCTTTGTCGAGGTAACTTTTGACCAGCGCAACAAGCTCCTGGTTCTTGCTGAGGCGAGCGTAGTGATAAGCGTCGTGGTTTCCACTGTCGACAGCCTTCACGTCGATGCCGTTCTTCAGCAACACCTCCACTGCATCCTTACAGCCATACTCACAGCCCAGAATCAGAGCCGTCCTGAGGGTCAACAAAGACAGTTTAAGAGCAAAACTGAGTATACAATCTAACTTTGAAACAGCAGTGCTATTAAACACGAGGCACAACCTAGCTACAATAAGCTGTGCATTTTCAGTGAATATCTCTGAATAAGTCACAATAAAAACCCAAGAACATGAGGACATCATACAGTTATGACATTACCACCTCAGACAGCCATTTGAGTTTGCTGTGTTTAATATAAATGTAAATTAGACACTATGCAATGATCGTAATGAAACTATGTACTGTAGGATGTTTGACCTTTAGTATGCAGTAAAGCCAGACATGCAATCTTACTTACTTCTATTCAAAAGCAGACATAGATCTCTGCTGAACAACTTGTTAATGTTGCAGACTTCAACCTTTAACCTAAACCTTGCAGATTGCATGTTGATAGTGAGTCTGTTACATCTCTGTTTCTGCAACAGCGCATAATGGTAGGGTGAAAATGTTTGCCTGTGTCACTCCAGCCCCATATAAAGCATAACAAAACAGCTTGAAATGTCTGTTAGGTTTATGGGATACCAATATTACATCATTGTAGGGTTCAGTGTAAAAATGCAGTGGTGTTATGGAGACACCAGAGCTCAATCCTGACACTGCAGCAGAATCTCTGTAAAAACAGCCCGGAAAAAAACCTGCTCATATCTGACAACAAAGTTATAGAATATACTGTGACATGATGTTAATGTCCGGGCATACTATCAAGTCAAAACTAGGAAACCAAACAAATCCAAAGAGTAAGACCTTTTCTAGTTTTTAACAAATGCAACCTCTCAAAAGTTGCCTTTTTCAAGTAAAAGGTTTTTTCAGATATTTTCCAGCCTTACCAAAAACAAACTTTATAATAGAAAGTTTTTTTTTTACTTGTTTTGTTTGTCCCTGGTGGTGATATCAGCCCCTCGCTCCAGCAAGAGCTGACAGATGCGTGGATGACACATCTGGGTTGCCAGAACCAGAGGTGTTCTGCCCTCCTGGGGAAAAGAACATGGAAATTAAGATTTTAAAACACACATTCAACCTGAAGAGCACATGGTTTTAATACAAAACCCTACACAGTCCACTTAGCCTGTCAATTCAAAGCAGAAACCATTAAACCAACCATTCAGGCAGGTGATGACTGCCATTGACAGGGAAACTGCCTTTCAGCAGCATACAGACCTTGCTTTTCTACAGTAATAACTGGTTGTAATGGTCTATTCTGAAACTTAATTTCTTTTTCCACATGCTCAGAGAGATACAATATGAATTCTTACAAAATCACTGGCATTCACAGACACCCCGCTGTCACAGAGAAGTTTCACGCTGGAGGTGCAGCCGGCCATGACTGTGGACGGAAATAAAAAGAAAAGTCACTTCATTCCATTCACCACTGAACGAACACATGCACATCAGCTGAACCTGCATGTACCTGTGAAATAATACAATGAAAAGCCAAACAGGTACTCCACCAGCACTTCTTTGTTAGCAAACTAGAACTCGTAATTTAACTTAGGAAGTGTGATTATGTAAGCTTTTGGATAACCTGATGATAAGCCAAATTTTTATATGTACACATAAAAAATAATAAAATAAAAAATGATATTTAAGAGTTAAGTCATGTCTTACCAGCATCATGAAGAGCTGTTCTTCCTTGTAGGTCAACATTTCCAACTGGACAGTTGTGCTGTAAAACAAGGGATGCACACGTTAACACAACAGAGTAAATTAAAGCAAAGTCCCTTAATATCCCCAGATGCTTGTAGTATAGAATAAATTGTCCGTTTTTGTTATAGAATACCAATTAAGAAAGCTGACTTTAAAAAAAAAACACAAAAACACTCTTAACTTGCATGACACTGAGCAGAACTCGTTGACACGATTGGGAAAATGTAAGAAACATCAAAACAATAGAGATAAAGATGATGGTTTGTTGTGAAAAACAAATCTGTATTTATTTGGTTTATATAGTTTATTTATTTATAGTGGAGTAAAAAGGCACACTGGCATTCTTCAAAACAATTTAATGGATTTAACAAACTTTTTGGGTTCCAGTAAATAATGAGGCTTCTGATATAATAATGTTGAGTCACCCCCTACTGGAGGTTGACACTCCTGCATAAACAGTCCATGGAACTGACTCTAAAGGTCAAACACGACCAATTTTTCCAAGTGGGGAATGAAGCCGGTGTGATTTGATTGTTGAGTACTTGAACTAAAAAAAATCAAGGTCTACATCACAATGACTAAACACTCACATCGTCTCAACCAAGTTGGAATAAAAACTTAACTTACAACACTGTGTCTGTCTCACCTTAAATTTTTAATGGGTTTGAGTGAATCTTTTAAATAACTTTTTAATCCTAGAAAAACTGTGTCTGTGCCTTCACCTCCACTGGATGGGAGTGGAACCTGAGCTGCACCAGCAGGCAGGTCATATTGGGCTAAGTGGCACTCTGCTGATATGTTTTTGACATCTCTGCACGGTAAGGCAGGTGGTTAAACATGGGTGACTGTAGCGCTGTGGTGATGGGGGCCTGCTATGAGCTTTAAGGACTCAATGCTAACAGGGGCCTGATGTTGCTGGGTAAGCTTGCCAGAGAGCTCTGCCCTCCCCTCCACTATAAAAACCCAACTCTCTCTAGCAACAAGAGCCAAAAATTAGCAGCATGCTCAAGTGACAAAGCCAAGGGGGGGAGGGTGAAAAAGAGCAGTAGCAGGGGCTGATGGTGGAGCCTGGAGGGGGATATCCTATACCTGATGGAAGGGGGATAACAGAGTTGGAAGATGTGTGGGGTAGGGGGGTGTTGGCGTCCAGCTGCTATGTCTGGTGTGATGACGGCACCAAGAATGGACGGCAGGTTTGCAGGAGAGTAGGCTTGTCAACACTGCTGATAACCCTCCTTGCCAACAGCCGTGACCTCTGTGAGATCACCGCCATGCCATGGGGGCAGTGGGGAGGGCTACAACACTGTGAGAGCATAATATTGCAGAGATAGTCCCCTCATTGTAAACACATAAATCCTTCAGTAGGTCATGGTGACTCAACAGGGCCTTCTGTTGACCGATACAGAGTGGGCTCAGCTGCCAGAGCTGTGTGCCAATAATTATTTAAAGGAGCTGAAAGGGAAACTGCTCCGACTGGCCGGTGACTGGGAGGCTACTCTGTGAAACATGTATGCAGCAGTGTGGGGATACAAAACACCAGCCTGAGCTACAACAACAAAAACCCCTGAACTGCAGAATAGGAACCAATATGAAAAATTTAAGTTGCCACAGTTTATCACAGGAGTCAACTTCAATCATCTATGAATAGTGGGAGAGCAGCACAGAGAGGCTTATCTGTACTTTACCTGCAGGAGTTTCTGCACGCACAGTGAATGTCCATTTCTGGAAGCCAGATGGAGGGCATTTTTACCTGAAGAGATAAATACAGCAATTGAAAACAGTGCATTCAAGAGTCCAGAGTTTGCACAAAACTATTTCAGAGCAGGAGGCCACAAGTGCAATTTTATTTTTCTTGAACAGTGTTTCCAACAGAATAGCAGCACACCTGTGGCTTTGTGGTAAACGCCCCACCCCATGCAGAGTGTTTCCCCTCATTTCCCTCCACAGCATCTTTGGTGTTGCACTTTTTTTATTCTTATGTCTAGGCCTGTCACGATAACAAATTTTGCTGGACGATAATTGTGCTACAAATTATTGCCGATAAACGATATTATTGACACCGTTTTTTAAATTATAGAAAATGATAATATATGGCATAATAATGCGAGTACACCGTGTCAAAAGTGATAAACTTTAATTTCCGCTGTCTGTCAGCGCGAACCATTTTGCACTGTTTTGTTTATATTTGCTTTGCTTACCAAACGCTTCAGGAAGCGGTACCTGTCGGGACGATGGCTCCGCAGCACCTCCGGCGGTACTTTTTTTGCTCAGTTGGGAAAAATGGACGGGATGATTGTGCTTGAGGTGCGCATGCATGTTCGTCGTATTCCCCTTCTTTGTCACCACAACTTTGGAACAAATATGACATATCGGCTCGTCCGTATTTGTGGGCTCACCTCTTTCATTTGGTTTAAAGCAGAAATATTCCCACACTTGGGCTGTTGCGTTCGGTTTAGACACCAAAGCTGTCGTGTTCATTCTGTTTGCTTGCTTTTCACTCACGACGCTCACTTGCAGCACTGTATCCAAAAGTCTGTGTCTGTGTGCGCGCCTACGTGTGCCTGTGCGCCCCCCCCCGTGACAAAGACTCTGAATGACTGACAGGAGGGTTCACTAACTCCGTTCATTCCGCTATAGAGCCAACGCCCCCAGGTGCCGAGAACAATGCGCAGAGTGAGACCTCTTCTCTCATCCAGCGTGTTTGGTAGCGAGAGGGGAGGAAAACAAACGCACGTAAATTATCGAGGCTGGCAAAGTTATCGACCTCGTTTTTATTTATCGAGCGATAAGGCGATTTATTGATTATCGCGACAGGCCTACTTATGTCTTTCTCTCCTGACGACGTTACTGTTCATAACCTCAACTTGCATGCTGAGTGTTCTCACGTGAAATGCTTTTTTTTTTTTTTTCCAGAAGCTGTATATAATTAAGGCTTACTGATGCTGACACGGAGCATTCAATATTAAAACTGTCAGACTATAATAAACCCAAGTAGTATACATGACGCTGTATGACTGCTTTGTTGCTGTTAAAACCTGAACTGTGCTGCAAAAGGAATTACAATGATGTCAACGTGTGCACCACTGTTTCAGCAAAGTCTTAATCCTAGCCAATCAGAGGTCAGTAATAATTCACAGTTAGACATTTGTTTTGATTAACACTGAAAAAAGCATGTTGAAGAGTTATGATAAAAATCAACGCAGCAATAACATTCATCCTGGAGAACATACACAGGATTGGTTTTGTCTCTCCAATCAGCAAGACTTTATTATCCAGAAATAAATACCTTCACCACTGGAAGTACATCTACTTAATTCTGCTGTTTTTCTACCATGAAAAACAATATTCTTACAGTTTCACTAAAATGCATTTGCTAAATATCATAAAAATCATCATCCATCAGTTTTTTATGCTGATTCTACTCTCTTATGGATGAGATTTGAGGCGAATTTTACCAACATTAAAGATTGAGCAGTACTTTGGCTTCATGGCAGCTCCTATAATCCTACTTGTTGATGAAACTAGGGGTATAACAGCTAATGTCCCTTGCATATTTATGAGGTCAAATCTTATAAAGCAGTATTTTCTGCCACTCATGAAAGAATTATCCCACAGCTGTTCAGCAACAGTCTGCAAAGTGAAAAGAAGAGGAGAGAGAGACAACTGTTCGCACCAGCTCTGCGCTCAGCGCATCCTCATCACCCCCCAACCGAACCAAATGTTCTGCTACAGATCTCTGAAACTTTCCTCATTTCCAAGATAATGATGCTAATTTATTTTCACAAACACTGTTATGAAACCATTGTGGACTGTGTGCTTTGTTTCTCAAGCAGGAAAAAGTAATTTACAAAGTCTACATAGAAATTTTGTCTGTGAACCCCTACAGAGAAGTGCTTCTATATTCGTTGACCACCACTTATAGGAAATTGCCAGGTGTTTGTGTTTTGAAGCAGTGAGATAATTTGTCAGGCGTGCGTTGACTGAAACAATGAGAACAGTTTTAGAAAAACTGCACCTGCCTGAGCTGAACTCACCGGTAGCATCAGTCGCAGTAATGTCAACATTGTGTCCCAGGATGAGGTTGAGGCATTCCAGGTGTCCTCGTGTTGCAGCTAAATGAAACCTGAAAAACAAAGAGAGAGTCAGACAGAGAGAGAGAGAGAGAGAGAGAGAGACACATTAGGGGAGAAAACTAGACTGAGCCATGAGATGGAGGATGATTGCAAAGCCTCAACAGCCCTCAGTGGAGTAGAGAGAGGTGCCAAAGTGAAAGGGTGTAAAGAGAGAGGAGGCGAAGGTGTAACTTAAGGAACCTCAGGGCATGTAATGTTTCTATGGCAACAAAGGGGAACACAGACAGCATTTTCATAATCTATCACTAATACTGTTGTATTTTTGACTACACCAGAGGTTTCAGAAGTACACCAGCTCATCTGTTTTTTCTTACTTTAACTTATTTTGTACCTAAAGGCTCCGATCTGGACTCATTTAAAGGGAACATTGTGTTAAAGTAAGAGAGCTCAAGCTCATGAGTATTCATATCATCAAACAGTGACAATCATTCCAGTTCTTTTGTCTGCTCCTACTTCCCAGCTTTCATAATATGACCAAACTCTCATGCCCTCCTGATAATAAACAGTATAACTTCCTGGCCTCCTCAATGACCTCATTTTTTTCCAAAGTTTATTTTTACACACCAAAACAGTTTATTAAAATCTTCATCATGAATGTGAAATAAATCAAACATTTCAAGTAAGAACAGAACTTAACCATTGACAGCACATCAAACTTCCCTTGTTGATGGTTAGATTGTACAAAGTTTGCATCTTCCCTTGTTACTCAATTAAGCAGTTTCCCACTGCACGTTTGCCAACAAGTCTTCAATCATCACTTCTGACTGGAAACATTCCTGCTCCCCTTCTCTGGTTTAACCCACAGCAGCACTGCCGCCACTGGCTGTCAAAGTCTGTAAAGCACTTGTGTGTAAACCAATCTCATCCTGTCACCCATCAGGCCGCTTGGAACCGTTTATACACTAACCCCGAGGTATCTGCCAAGGAGACAGCGAGGCTGTCACCTCAACATTGGTGTGGGTATTAAAAGCCGTGTTGATGGCCAGGAGATGCTGCTTCTCGGGAGAGCGGAGGAGGGTCCTGACCTCCGGGGGCAAATAGCAGACAGGAAGCAGAGCTTTCAGAGTGAAGGGGACAGAAGTGATGTGACTCCACAAGTTCATGAGCCAAAGAACTCTCCGGAGAGTGACTGAAGGAATGCGTCTGAGCAGAGTCAGAACTATACAATGACAAACTTGAACTGGGGTCGTAAATTTGTATCAACTTTTAGGACTTAAGACTCACTAACAGGCTGGAAACTGCACATTTGCAACAACATTCTGGTCTTTGCAAGAAATAAAGAGAGATTTTATTTAAATATGCTTGTTTCCAATGACATACTCTCTATATACCTGCTCACAAAAAATGAGAGACAAAAAAACACCTGACAAAAGCCGAACACCAAGATTTGGTGCAGCTGTGATGATGAGCACTTCACATCTCTTTCTCATCAAGGATCTCTGTAGGATCAGAGATGATGTTTTGCAGACTAAAGAGTCTGGCTTTGAGACAGGATTCAGCTCTGATATTTCATCTTCACACCTGCTCCTTGGGCGACTTTTAGGTTGACAGCCTGCAGGATGGGCTGCTATATATAGAGGGCGGACAGGGAAGAGTAAACCACAGAGTATGTGCTAGTAGCTAAACCATGTACAATATTTTGTGTCTCCAAAGGTGCAACTTTCTACAACCATAACATGTACCTGTAATTTTCTAAAACTGTTGGACACCCAGCACTGGCTGATTCTAAAGACTCGGCCCTAAAATCAGTACCTGGATAATGGGTATTAGAAGATGACCTTATTGTTCCTTAAATACAAAAGCAAAATGAGTCTTTCTCCAGTCTTTTCTCTATAAGTAATAAGATCTGGCTCCATATTATGCAGGGGTAAAATTCAGCTTGCTATTGTTATTGTTGAAAGACACTTGAGCTGAAAATTCATTACTGCTAATCCTGACAAACAATGTGTGAGTAGCAGCCAGTGCCAGTTTTGCGATGTAGGCCAGACTGAGCAATTGTCTCGAGTGATGTGCCGTCATACAGAAGACTTGGGCCGCTAAGCCCTCGTCAGCGAGCTATCGCAGCAGCACCGAGTGAGCAGGTGTGACGGGTGGGCCTACCTCACCGGGGTCACGCTAATGCCATGACAGAGATGTAAACCGTTTACTCAGCTGGAAGCCATGATGGAATGGTTACAGCTGAATTCATTAGCTGAACACAGTGAGGCTAATCCAGGATACAGCAAATTATATATGAGGGTGTTGCAGTTTGTAATTAGTTTCCCCACAGAGGTCCATGATTACAAGGGATCGCCATGCAGCATTCCTTTGTTGGTCAAAGAGCTGAAGACACGCGCTGGTCTGTGTGTGTGGCCCACTGAACTATAAGCAGACTTGCTGAGTTGTGATTGTGGTTCACTTTCGTTTTGGCTACAGTTGAAATACGCCTGACCTCTGTCTATAAATGTTCAGTTAAAGTGTTGATTTTATGGTTAACTAGTTGCAGGCAGCGCTGCAGTGTCTCATTAAGCAGTAACTGTGCTGACTGTGTCGCTGCACAACAGCCTCCTTAAACAGTCTGTCAGAGCTACATTGGCAGCCATTGTCCTTGATTTAGTCCTGACAAATTCTAGCACCTTATTATGAGACCAGGCATTTGTCAGGTTGTGTGTTTAATTCTGTTTACTTACATGCATGCATGTATGCAACCATTGCTCTTTGCAATGGTGCCACCAAAGAATTTCACACTCTGCTGAAAATACTCAGCAAATCTGCTTCTGGGATCTGGTGCTCCAAAGTTATATGGTCTAACAAAGCCTTTGGTCGGTGGCCTGCACTTTAGGCTTATTTTGACAGTGACTTATTCAGATAAGAGGGATTAAAGTGAGGGCGCCTGGCCTCCCAAAATGCTGCAGTTGGAATCTGATTTCGTTTTGGATGAAAACAAAGTACCTGCTTTTTTAAAGCAGCTCTATAGATTTCTTTTTAAGGCCAGGACATGATCATTAATAGGAACAAAGCATGGGTCTGTATGAGATACCTGAAATATATCCGCTGTCCTGGCTGGTTACGATGCAACATGTGAAAATTCCTCTGACACATTTCAGTGCAGTTGACCTACTTTCCCCCTACACCTTCCATTTCTCACAACTTTATCCCTCTGTTAACCCTCCTCTTTCACTAAAACCTAATAGAGAGCGTCCAACTAACCCTTTGCAGACAAAAACCTAAGGTGATAACCTAAGGAGAAATCCTACCACATAAACAATGGTCCTTTAAGATGTTAACTGATACTGATAATAGCCTGCAGCTGGGCCCCCATGTATTAGCTGGTGTTGCAAGCACAACAGTGGATCTGATCTGATTTGCAGGGAGTCATTTCCTGTCAGGACTAAGTAAACAGACTCCGGCCGATGTGGTCCAGCCTCCACTCGCCACAAACATTCTTTATACCAACTCCCACACTGACCTCCCAGTGGACACTGGAGGGGAAATTTTCAGCATAGATAAATGTAGACATAATACACTGCTGTACCTTTCTATGGGAAATTTGGGGAAGAGTTGCGTGTGTGTTTTTTTTTTTTTTTTGAAAGGTCGTGCAGGGAGACACTGACGTCTTAAAAAGAAAGGCTGTTTATCTGTAATCATCTATAATTCTGGAGGAGAAATGTTTGGTATTTGAGATCTGAAATTCTTCAACTTTATTAGTTTTGTGTAAATACATAAAGATAGCCTGAGCGCACAAACAGATACGTGAAGTATTACCGATGGTAATCATAGGGATGTGGACTTTTAGTTCATCATCACCCTCACTGTCTGGCACCAGAATCACTGGTCAGTCTGTGAATAATTAATATCTGCACTGTCACAGACCCAGTAGGCTCATATAATGAGTCTACCACAGTGACAGTCTGGGGCTTGGTAATGGCTTCTGCCATAATACTCTACTCTTCTGCTCGACTACCTGGATGTAAACAATATCACATGACAGAAAGTCTCTCGTAGCATGGTGCTGATTAGTTGTATTTAGATCTAGACAGTGAAAATAAAACAGAATATGGGCTGTTTCAGGTTAAACTAGCATATAACTAACTGGAATAATGTGTAACCAGTAGAGGAACAAAGTTAATTGGTATTTTGACTCTTTATAAAACAACTACATAATCAGTCACTTCAGGACCTCCCTAGTATAGTGTAAATATAGTACAGTAGTAGTGCGTGTTCAGTTTGATATCTGTTTGTTGAAGGTGTGTCATCACTCTTTAAATATTTTTATCAGCATACTGAACATGGATGCATACGCGTCTTAGTTTACTCACGCAGAGCGTCCTTCCACGTCAAGCTTGGTGGGGATGATGCCCTTCTTACTGAGGACAGCAGCCACTTTGTCCACCTCGCTTCGTTCCACTGCCTTCATCAGCCGGTCATCATATTTGTTCCAGTCTGTGTTCTGGCAATAATGAAAGTTAAATATTAGACATAAGATGCGTTCATGGCAATACTTCTCAAACCAAACAGTTCAGCTGAGCAGTTATAGAACACAGTGATTTGTTATGATCTTAATTCATTTGACCTTTTCGGCCTCACTGATTAATGCCACATGCACATGAAACACCATTTATGGCACAAATACAATGAAAATAATGACAATTTATGTTCTCTTCTTTTGGAATTCAATAACAGGCTTCACTTAGTGCAGAATGTGCCAAGAGTGAGCTACCCTGCAGTTTCACTTGAACCCCCTTGAGTGATGGCTACCAAGTATGGGAAGAAAGAATGCTCAAAGCCTCAAGAAAGAACATTTTTTTCCAGTCATACTGAACAAAGATCATGAACATAAATCAGGACTTTATCTTCGATTTTATCTGAAGCATTTATACGCACATCAGTATAAACTTTAGACTTCCGTCAAATAATGCAAAGATAATAACACCATACATACATCAATTTCACAACATGTACAATGTAAGGTAATTACTGAGCCCATAGGGACGCACTAAAGTGATGATAATTGGTCACTTTAGGTGGCTCATAAACAATTTCCTTAACATATAAAAAAATCCTTGAAGAAAATTCATTCTGAGGACATAAATAGAAGAACAGAAGAATCAGTAGCCATTAGAAAGCTGTTGATAAATGCCAGAATGACGAAGAATACCTACAAAGTGCATGGAAGTGCATTTCAGCCAGCGGCTCATCCTGGGTGAGTGCAGCTGGTCCTTGCACCGTGCTACTGAAAAGGTTGCCAGGATTTCAGTTTACAAAGCAAAAAAAGAAAAACGAAAAAAAGTTTATATAAAAAAAGTCTCCTCTGTGTCTTGGTGCACTCAACCAGTGAGTGTAACACAAGAGGGAAACAAAGGGGGTGACAGTCTAAGCTGCACTGGAGGTCCTCCTAATGAAGGATCAACCTCTGGAGTTTCCTTCCCCTTGAGGCAGAAAAGTTCATTTGGCAGGATTTTCTAAGCATTCCTAAGTTGCTCATGGGCTCTGCCTGGAAGTTCATCACTGCACAGCAGCTTGGTTGATGGTAAAAGGGAGAGGAAGGAGGAGTAAGAGGAGGAAGGAATGGAGGTGGAGAAGCAGTTGGGCCAGCCCTGCCAGCCCTGGGACCTGCCCTGGCCGGCAACTGCAACTCCTCCTCTGGAGGAAAAGTCAGCTCAGCCTGGCTCCCTTTCGCCTCCCCCAAGTGTCTTCCCCTCTGATCTCGCTTCTATCCTCGTCGTCTTTTTGAACTTAATCTTCTTTTGTGATATTCTTCCTCCTCCTCTCTGGACTGTAAAAGCAGCGAGCTTCTTGCAAATCAAGCAGTAACTAAGAAGCGTCTCCCTTTGCCTCTTCTCTCCTTTATGAGTGGTCTCCAGTATCTTCACCCCACCAAATGGCAAGTCAGTCAAGCTGAGAGGGGTAAATATGTGAGCTCTCCCAGGTTTAAAATATCACCCCCTCCCCGGTAAACAGCGGTGGTGCAGACAGCCCTGCAGACTGGTTACCTCTTTATTTTTTGACCCTCCAACCTTTCTGTAGTGACTGATAGGAAGACAGGGGCTAAGAATACATTCTGGACATGCCTGCACCATGAGTAATGGCTTTAGTGTCTATCACCACTGCCAGCATGAAACAAGGCCAGCCAAAAAGACCTTGCTTACATTGCCACCCCCCACCGTGCTCCCTGCTTGCTCCCAACTGAAAATATTAATGTCAGGAGGGGATTATGCTTTGCACATTTGAAGTGGTCTTGGCTCTGACCCTCATAGGACACTGCTGTGTTAAGAGCTGCTGTAAAACCATCCATCTAAAGAGGGTGGTGTGGCTCCAAAGCCTCCTGATCCGAGCAGTGAGGTAGCAAGGTTAGATGTCAGCCTTTTTACAACCAGCTGTCTGGGACTGCGACCCCCACCAAATACTACATTCACACTGTAAACACTGCACAACTTTCCCTTTTACTGTGTAAAGTATCAAAGAAAAAAAAAAAAGAGAGCAATCCAAGGACCTGTTTCGTCTACACACGCCATCATCAGCTCCCTGTGTCCTCGTGTTACTGCCTGCTGCCAGGCTGGCATTAACAGAGCGGCACTGATATCCACAAACATGCAAAAAGACCTCGTCCACATGACATGTCATATGAAGAAGTAGGTGTCAACTTACGAAAGCTGCTCAGCCTAGCATAGAAACAAAGGCGCCAAAATGGCACCTAGCCATGCAGCATACTGTACATAGGTCACTTAAATATCTCACAGGAGAGTGCTGGTGTGTGTGTATTTGTTAGGGAATCTGTTAATGTACTAGTTAATGATAGGGCTGTTAACGAGCCACTGAAAGTCACCTACAAGGGGAACTCTACAAAACAAAGCAGTTTCATTGTTTATTTAAGACCAGCTTAAAGTTGCAGCACAATCTTGGTTGTTATGAGATGTACCAAGTCGGCTATTTGAAAATCAAACAGTGTTGACTCAATCACAACCTGCACCGCAGCTTTTACGAGCAGGAGAGTTAACGACGAGGACACATGACGATATCTAGTTTCATATCATGACGTCAATGTGAAGTCAAGGTATCTCCCATCTTGAATTTCATACACTGGAAGATGGCCCTGCAGAAACACTGGCAACTACTTACAACAACATCAAGCTCCTGAATGTGGGTGAAGTTCAACTTAAATCACTGCAGTCAACAACTTTTAATCAAAACAGAGTTAAGCTTTACATACAGTGGATAATATATCCAGTTTAATATCCTGGTATTTTGAATTTATCAGTGACCTGATACAAATATTACATTATGCACGGAGCAAATAATAACACATTTCAGTACTGTAAAAATTCACTTGGTGTGTACTTTGATGGAAATTAATAAGTGGAAAATCCAGATTCCCAAAGAGGTCAGCACTCAGAACCATCACTTAGGAAACTACAGCATGTTTACTGCCATTACTTGGACAACATTTCAGCCTCTGAGCACAACTGAAACTGAGGGAATTGATTTTTGGATGGAGAGGATTCTGTTGCTGCATAAAAACTTTCATAATTTCCAAGTTTCTAATCAATTTCAAAGGAGTAAAGTATGCGCCCAGACCAGTACACCCTAATCCATCTAAAAGATGACATGTTGTGGTTTTGAGAGAAGTATCCAGATAATTTTATCATCCAGCACTTAGTTTCAGGGCTACAACCATATCTGGACCAAAGTTCATGGCACGCTGATTCCACAACCATCATACTTACAAATAAGATATTTCCTTTTTTTTTACTCTGCTGTGGCTACAAAAGAAAAAAAATTTATTCAATACAAAATGTTATAGATATTTGTAGTAAAGGCTCAATGTGTGCCTGAATCATAGTAGCAGGAGGTATAGAGGGAAGAAGAACCTTGAACAGACATGCTCTTGATATTAAATTGCATCCTCCACAATGATGGTATTGAACATACAGTACAGAACACTGTGATAATGTTCAACTCTTACTAAGCCTGTCTGCAACAAACACATTACCTCAAATGTCTATTTTAACACAGTGTCCTTGAGGACAAAACACCGCCTGACACTGGATGAGTCGGGTCAGGCCTCTACCTGTCCACACAGATTATTCTGGGTCTGATAATTCTTCAGCCAAAGACTTGTCATAGTCAGTTCAGGTTTGCTACGGCTGTCAAGAGGCTGTAACTCATTCCAACTCCACAGTTTCCTGCCCGTCACAGCTCCTGGCCAGACTAATGGGTCGTTAATGCGTCTAATGTCCTCACGGATGAAATCATCAGCAGAAAATATCAGCGAGGTCATCCGATCACAGACCGATGCCAACACATAGACATAAAACTATACACCAACATGTTAAGTGATAGTCGTGTCAGACAGCCAAGCTCCAGTCACTGATGGGGTTTCATAAGATTATAACTGAGTGGACGATCACGATCATAGGCGACGTCTGCGAGCAGACAGTCACATAAATTAAAACCTTTGACATTTTGTAGGTGATAGCGCGTATAACGATTACCATGACCACCACATTTCCAATTAGCTCTGAACAGAAGTACAGCTGTGTTTAATGGGTATGTCCTCAGTTTTACAAGGTAGAGGTGATGATGGTGCAACATGAAGAGTAAAGTGGACGTATACAGAAGTTTTAGTTTGTCAGTTTATTTGTTTTTTACAAGTCAATTAGATATCATATTTCACTTAAAATGTTGGATTTTTTTTTTTTTTTTTTCCATACGAGTATAAGTATTAGACCAGTTAAAAATACCTACACCAATCCTCTGTGGCCTCTGTGTCAAATAGACTAACATTCTCATAAGGGTTGGTGTTATTCCAGGAGAGGGAGAGTCAAGTGTATCAACAAAGTGGGATAAGGGCAATAAAAGTCTACCAACAAACTAATAAGCTACCAATAAGGCTGGACCTTAATGAGATCGTTTCGAGTGAATCAGATTTAAATGTGCAGAAAGGTTTGACTCTGAACTCCTTTTCTTTTACAGCTTTAAGTCATGTTTAACTTCTATATCTGTTTAACTACATCAAACAAGTTAAAGGTTATGGTCAGCTAAAGTGTTGCTTGGCTATTAATTGTGAGTGAAAGTGAAAGCCCCCCCTAAGTGTATCATAGAAACACTAATTAGTATGTATAACGACGCACACTGAAATTAGAAGTTCAAGTATTTGACAGACTAAATCGTAGCAGAGGTTTTTTTTTTTTTTTTTTTTTTTACAGATGATTAAAATAATCTATTTTTGTTTTTCATTATAACGTACAGCACAGCAAACCACAGTAAATCACATTTCACTGCTTGAACAGAATAGTATACTATAAAGGTTCACTGTGTAAACTTTAAAATATTAAGCGATATCTAGGAGTTAGATTCTGGGGTGAGACTCATCCCTCCTGGTGGCCTTTAAGGACAAGACACTCCAGTGACACATGATCAGTATGATCCTCCATCCGGGGCCATTTCTGATAGTCTATTCAGCACGACCGTAAAGAGATGGTTGTGCAGAAGGTGGTTTGGAAGGAGTTCTGCTCTTATTGGATATAAAAGACTCATTCTGGGATAACAAAAATACAACCTTTTTATCTTCAGGCCATCATATGAATAAAATCAAAATACTGACAAATATTATATTTCACATCTACCAAGTCTGATCTGAAAAATGCCACTAAACAGTACACACTGTGCTTTTCCAGCTGTCCTTAACTGTGCAAACTGATTGCATGTTTTAATTTTAGCTTCATGCAAGACTGATCCTGCCTGAATAAAATCTACTCAGACTATGTTAACTTATGATGACGTTATTTCATACAAGTCATTTGCATGAAGTTCAAACATCTCTCTATTCCATACCAATATAGCACAAGCTGTAGTTGAGACAAATGACAGTTTCAGTCCTACTAAACACAGTCTTCACTTCTTGTTTATATAGAGGCCCAACACCTCAACACCAATCAGTCTTTTTTTATTTTTATCATCTATCCTCAGTGATAGCTGTTTGTGACATTAAAATAGCTGCACACAGTGTGAATATCTCAGTGACAAGTGATTCATTGGTGCAATATACCCGGGCAGCTAACAGCCAACCTCTACCTGTATCTGTGTTAATGAGAAGCTTCAGAGCAAAAGAACTATGCCAAAGAAACTTCCAGACATGACGTGAGTCTAAAAGTTGCATTGAGGGGGAACAAAGTCACCAAAAATGTGTGAAACAGTGTGAGTCCGTGGATTATGTAGAGGGGGTACAGAATAACATGAGACGCAGGAGTAAACAACGCTAATCACAGTTATTATTATACAAAATCTGACGAGAGCGCTTTTAGAAAACCTCTTACTGTTTTCTCAAGTCATGTCTAAAAGTGTGAGTGCGTGGTGGTCTGCAGCACATTCACTGAGGGGGACCATGACTCTGTCTTTTTCAAGCAAAATGTTCTCCACAGTTGATTGTTGGATTCAAACTCCTCTTTTCTGCTGCCACTCAAGCAATCAGCAGGGTATTTCGGGGGACTTCTGTTAGCACTAGCAGTTTTACACTCACCAACTGCTAATACACACAGACACCCACCCAATACACACCTCTAATCTGTGACCATAGACCTGTGCATACAGTGGTGCAACTGTCTGGGCATGTAGAGTGTAACTGAAACCCCTCAGGGGGCAGAGACAGAGAGGGCGGAGAGAAACAGAGGGAATATGTGCGGTGAATAAATATGTAAAAGAGGTGAGAGAGCAACAAGATACAGTGTGATTGCGGTCAGTCTGTCACTGTAAAACAGGGAAGTCGATGCTTCAGAGTCCAGTCCAAGCCTTTACTGATGGCTGAGGCCAGGTGTCTGTTGGATGGAGGCATTCTGGTTCTGGTGTGTACACAGGTACTTGTTGCATATCTAGGGAGAAGCTAAACACAGGACCAGTCCTGCAAGGCAGAGTGAGGGCTGGATGCATGAGGACTGATATAAGCGCCCTCTGGTGGTAAAGAGAAAAATGACGGCACAAAGAGGAAGGGAACACATAGGAAGGGCTGACCAAATGTGTGGGCCATGTTGATACTTTTAGTTTTAGTGCTATGTCAGTCCTTAAACTACTGCCTAGAAGCATAAAAAAATAAACAGTCTGGTAAGTACACGGACATTTTGAAGAATTAAATATATCTGATCAAAAGCACAGTGAAGAAATCAGTCCAGAGACATTGGCCCTCAAAAAGTGATAAAAGCTGATAACATGAATCTGTTTGTTAATACTTGACTTAGAGGTGAGCCTGTTGAAACCACAATGAATCCCATCTGCTGAAGTGGGTAAACCGAGAGTTTTGTGGTGACCTCCATTAGTGATTTTCTTCTTCTTGCTGCTCAGAGATCCCAATTTGGGGAGACTAATTCTTCTCACTGCTGAGACAAACCCTTTTAGATGACTCATGACCCAGAGGGCAGAACTTTTCCTTTCTATTTTCTCTTACTCCTGACACTTGCTACTGGGGCAGTGGATCAGCTATCCAGCTGCTCAAACCCTGTGAACTTTGCTCCTGCCAGCACCACAGCAAAGACTCTGCGGATTCAATAAAGGCAAGAGGGCTCGAACAAAGTTTTTACGCCACAGCCGCAAAAATAACTGTGCCATTCATAAGAGAGATGTCAAACTGGAGCACTTGGATTGTGAGCCTGATGTTTATGAGAGAAAATGTTTTTCAGATAAGGCTTTTAAACTCTGCTGCTTTTACCTCGAGTAGATATTGTGATAAACGGTTACCTTCAATAAGCTTTCTAACCTTTAAAACCCATTAAAAAATGTGTCAAGCTGCTTTAAAAGACTCATTTTTATCTCAAAAGAGAGAAAATCCACGTTTTCAAAGGATCCTGAAGGTTTTTACAACCTGGTTTTTTAAAGAATCAGTAAGCTAAAATAACAGGATTGAGCACCTGGACAAACGTAATGCAATCCAGTACAACAGCTCTACCACAAGTTCTGTTGTCATGAAGCTTCTACATCTTCAGCTTTTGTGGGCATGGACAAACAGGTGACTCATTATCATGATTCATGCCTATTAATGAAGAAAAGGTGAATGATATAGAAAGCCAGCTTCATTAAGAAAGAAGATTTTACAAGAAGGTGTGTCATACAGCTCCATTTATAGAGCTGACACTGTAAACACAACAATACATGTTGTACCTGAGAGCAGTTTGCACTGCTCCCATCTCCTGTCCGCCATTATTACCCCCTTCACTCCTTTGTTGTCATGAATACACACGGTCTGTATCACATAATGTGATTTTGTAAAGCACAGAGAGCTGAGTGAAGGGTATCAGTACAGAACAGTTGAGCAAAAAAGGAAATTATATCAAGGGTTCAAACTAGCTGGAACTAGTTTTCGTCTGGAACTGGTTCTTGAACCCTTGATTTAGTTGAAAGCTATTACTTGTATGTGCTTTTAAATGTTTACAGACGGTTGAATTTGAATATGTTCTCTAATTTAAGGAATGTAATGAGGCCGAGTGCACAGGGACAGGAGTAAAAGCAATGTGATTTTAAACATATTCTGAATAACAAAAGCAATAAGGAGTGAAACTACAGCAGAAAGTGCTCTCCTTCTGTCCTTGTATACTGAATGTGGTCCACAGTCTTAAAGAGATTCACTGAATCTTTGTCACATGCCCTGAAGCCAGAAATAAATTATTCTAAGCAAAAAAAATGTCCAGGACTTATCACAAATGCACTCTGTAGCTTTTGCACGTGTGTTTCCTGTTAAAACGTCAGCAGCCTAGCTGACACGTTTTAATGGCCATCACTGAAATAACAATGTCCTGAGGCAGGGGAATTAAAAACACGGAGGGAAATGTGCTTTAGAGGAATGAGAGATATTATTCCAGCTGGTGGATGTGATGTGGAGATAAAAGACAAAAACACAAAGCAGACAGAGCTGTGGGGCTATGAAATGATTTTCAATAATGAACTATTAAGGTCACGAAGGCAGAAACACTGATGTGAATTAACAAGGTAGTGGTGTCTATAAAGAGAGACTATAGCAGCAAAAACACCATCAGCACTACGTGGGAGATGGGAAAACAGAGGCAAAGGCTGAAATATTACCATCTACCCCCCATGTTTATTCATGTGACCAGGGTACATTAATGTGCTGTGGCTGAAGGGAGAAATGTGAAGAATGAAAGCTATTGTTTCAATCTCACCTAGAGAAAATGATGAGGGAAAAACCACAGGAGCTTTACGTCCAACATGCCCGTATTTGGTTAAATGACGAACTCTGAGGCATGCTGGTACTTGGGCACAAATAGCTATGATGATGCTTGTTTGGCCAGCAACTACGAGTAATCACACAGAGGCAGGGCGAGGAATGTAACTGCAGGGATGGTCAGATGTGCTTGGCTGTGTAAGAACAATGATATCCTCAGAGCTTCATTTTATTGTTTGATGACTGTGTTAAACAATGTTTGCTCAGTGCTGAAGTACAACTTAGCCAACGACTTCTAACAACACACTCGACACATCTTGACAATAACATTTGTCTCACCCCTAAAGTGAAAGACCTTCAATCAGCAGTAAAAACCATTTTAAGGGAATAGAGTTTGTAATACACCTTTAAAAAAAATGACACTTGAGCTCCCGAAGAGAATCCAGGAAGGTAATCCAAGACCTGAAGACCGCACGTGACTCCTGAGGTGTAGAATAAAGAGCAGGTCCACACAGAGCAGGTAGTAACTTGCCTCTTTGTTGAGTCAATCTCTCCGCCTTTTCTTTTACGAGGTCTAAGTTGTGTAGTACCAGAGCAGAGCGTCCCCTGATACCACATTTACTCTAATCTAGTTTTTTGTGGGACTTTGTCATTTAATATGATCTCATCATGGCCTCATAGTATTTCTGTTTCACATCTTTTGATCAATAATCTATACTCTTACAGTCTTGCTCCTGCAAATCTCAAGAGACTCTGAGAATCTGAGAAGAAACAAACTAGCACACATAAATATAGTGAGTAACATAAACGGTCTCACACTGAGTTTTCCTGTCATTTGTTGAGTTTCGCCTCAGGCACAGCTAAGCTGCTACTATCTCACATTTAGAGTTGAAGACACCATGACAGCTGAACTAGCTGCAGCGCATGACAGCTTCACAGGTAATAAAAAGAGTGTGATAGTTGACATAAAATCTACTGTAACAAGCTCCATAAAACCTTTCAGTCATTACCAGTCGGTGAAAAGTAAAATGTACATCCACTAGATACAAGGCAACATTAACACAATACAAGACAATGCACATAAATTAGAATAAAACAAAGAATCTAGGGCTGTACGATATATCGATGAGATGAGATACAGTGCATGTGACTCTGTGCTGCGATCCACCAATCACATTCTTTCTTTACTCAGATGCCAAGCAGACTACCCCACCAGCCGTCAATCAAAATTGGAGAGGAAAAAAACCACGCCCCTGCACATGGAGTGAGTCGCTGGCGAGAATTACTTTCGGAACATTACTCATCACTGTTTAGCCCCACAAATATGAATTGTATGGGTTATAAATTGTATGTTTCTGTGGACCACTCTAATATAAGCTGTGCGCATTCTCGCAGGGTGCATGCAGTTCTCAGCGGACATCTGCTCCTCGGCACAACACCGGTAACATCAAAAATGAACACAAAATGAGCAACAAACAAGAGAAAACCACCGAAAATGAAGACTTGTTGCCAAAAAAAGAAGCAACAGTCAGTTATCTGGAATTATTTCGGTTAAAAGAAGGATGAAGTCGACCAAAACACGTGTTCTGTGTCTGCAGTGCCTTTCATCTGTTGCCACAATGAGAGATAACAATAAAAGCAAGCTAAAATATCTCTAAGACAGACAGAAGCCACTTTACTAACATTCAGAAAAAGAGGTGAGATCAGTGCAGGTTAACTGTCCTCAAGATTTCAGCAGTGCAGCATTGCGTAAAGTGCTATTCAGGTCACCTGGTGAAAATTCCTGTATTTTTGCAAAATTGCAATGTTAGTTTTTTCCAATATCATTCAGCCCTACCAGAATCCATTAAAGCCAGCGAAACTTCAGATGTAGCAGTTTGCTCTAATATTCACTTCACACAGTCTTGTCTGCTAAAAATATTCTCACACATACACTTAGCAGACAAATTAGGCTGTCACTGTCAGAGATACGGAGTAAACTGTCGAAGGAAAAATAGTCTTTTTTTCTTCCTGCCTGGAGTGAGTGACTTAATGTCGGCTGACAGAGTGAGAGTGTATAGTGTTGTTAAAGCTGATGGTTCCTTAAAAGTTTAAAAACAAGTGACTCACTTAATCCAGCATTCAGCAGCTCATCATGAGTGTGATAATCTTTCAATAGAGTGTTGATGTAATGTCTCAAAGTGGGAAGAGCCTAAGAAATGTCAAACATGATTGGTCCAGTTGACCCATAGTAACCTTTGAACTTTGCTTAAACTGAGAACAAAATCAAGAGCTGTCCCAATCATTTTCATACTTCATACTCACGTTTCTTTCAATGAAACAGCGACAGAAACTAGCTGACAAACCACATGTTTCTGATAAAGCAGAGACACCTGTCTAATCTGCTAAGAGACAGAAATATAAAAAGCCCACACCGAGCACAGCATGATGAGGCTTAGTCTGAGCCATTTCACAGCAGTTTGTCCCCATCAGCAGAATCTTTGTGCTCCTGTTGCCCAGCAGGCATGTATGGGTGTCAGCTGCAGACCACCCATAGCCAGTCAATAATCTCACCCCCATCCCATATGCAAACCTCCCCTAACACTGATAATCTCTTCATCATAAACCCAAAATACATGCAATTCATCTCAGGACACAAACAGCGAGCAAACTGTACTAAGACCCTCAGCAAAACAGGCCCCAACAAAGAGGCACGTGAACTCTTGTGCATCGTGGGTGCTCTCCCACAGAGTCAGCTCTCCACTCCACGGGGGCCGTCACCGGTCTAGCATGGGAACACAGGCGGATAACACCGCTGAGATGACCTCATGGCTGCCTGCTGCTCCCATGGAGCCAGACGCTAATCCTAAAAACACAGACCGTCACGCTACCTCCTACTCTGCAGCCACCACAACATCCAACCTTAAATAAACTTTTGCTGATCCTGTCTGAGAGTGGACTTCCAACAGTGAATACATGTTCAACGCCTATGTGAACAAATACAGTGTGATTTACATTATTTTAGAAAAACATGCAGAACTGGTTATAATTAACACAAACAAAGAATAGAGAGCTCAGTGGGAATCTTTGACCTAAGATACCAGCTACTACTGTCCACAGAGCCATGAGATCAACTGATGTTTGTTTTTTTTCCTGACCCCCTGATGGGTTCAGTGATCTCCAACATGTCGGTATCTCTCATGAGTTTGGCAGCATCACACGTCTTGCTATTCTCACCTACGAGGAGGAGTTGTAAACTCATCATGAACAGGCTGATATTAATACTGATGTTTGTGTTTAACTCGCAATACAATCAGGAAGACGACAACATTGTATGAAGTTGTATTTAGTTTGTTACTTCCACAGGTATGTTGGGGACAGACGGACCACAAGGGGCTTTGGTTTCTGTTGAAAAGAGTCACAGTGGGTGTAATATTAGACAATAAAAAAAGAGGCAGGAAATAGATTTTCAAAAAATTAACTTCTTACAAATATGAAAAAAGACGTGCAAAAGTTTGTGTGGTTCAGCGACCATGACCTCCATTTTTTTAAGGATAACATTACTGTATTAGTTTACTGAGGTCAAGAGTGCGTGGATTGGCGAGGTCAGACTGAGAGCGCTCTTTACTGGATCATACACAATCTACTTCAGGTTACCTGACATGCTGCCAAACTGTATTATTATGATTCAAACAACTCATTACAGTTTGAATAAAAAACTTTTACGCACAGTTCAAATGACGGTTTGGACTTTAAGTAAAAAGTGAAGCCCTGAGACGCTGATAGCCTAGCAGTTTTTAGCACCCCATGTATAGAGTCCTTGTTGAAATGGTTGCTGCATCGACTCCAGTCCTCCACCCTTTGCTGCATGTCCACCCTCTCTTCCCTACATTTCCTGGTCCCTCTTCAACTGTCGATTTAAAAAATAGTGACAGCCCTAATCCTCAGGCATATACAGAAAAAGATAAGTTATAGACAAGCAGTTTTGAACATGGTCTGCCAGTACACACTTTTAAAAAGTACATTCACAGAGTATAATACTGTCTTTAATTAGATTTATTCAACTTGTAAGCATGCGCTTATGACACAAACTATCATCCTGTACATATCACTGTTGTCAACTGCACAGACGTGAATCCTCTTGGGCAAATGCTTTGACTATTATGCTACTGCATGACAGAAAATGTTCTCTTTCGGATAGTGCACTTAATGTACTCTATGTATAGGATCTCTGTCAACTTGGGAACATATGTCTTTATGGTAAACCCACGAGGGACATAGGTCACCAAACTAATCCATCACCACTTGCAGTTTCAGCATCCTTGAAAGGAAAAGTCTCTCTTTCATTATTGTTGAGAGTCTGCTGCAAGTCAGCCAATGCCATCTATATATTCATTGAAAGGGCAGGTAGAATAAAGCTGTCTTTATTCAAGTCAAAATAAAGTGGAAGGCAGTATTGTACAACAGCATAAAGGTCAACAAGGTGATTATGTTCTGTAAAGAAGTCATGAATAACCTCTTGAGCCTCCATGCTATGAGACACAACACAGTACTTGAATGGAAAAGTGTCTGAAAAACAAAAGTGGTTACAGTGACAGTTATTTTATTTATGTACAGCAATCTTTGCTTCATTGTGGACCAAGAAAAAAAAAACATCTTTTCAAACCAAACAACAGACGGTCCAGTAATTCATTCTTACAGATTATTATCAAGTGAAATTCAAACAGCCTTGTATTCTGACCGAGTGTACTCAATAAACATTCAATCGATACCAAATTAAATATTAAACAGCAAACAAACTCAAACTTTGAAAAGGAAAGAGAGAGTAAGAGTCTGTTTCTAAAGCCTTTAAACCCCCATCTGCCCTTCTAATTTAAAGCCTAAACTTGCTGTAGGAAGTTATAAGTCCAATTATATTCAGTAAGTGCACAGGGGCCTCAAAGACTCTTCATCATCTATAAAAAGATTCCTCAGGGGGAGGATGATACAAAATAAAGTCAAGGATATTAGTCATTTTCATAAAAGCAGTACATTTCCCGTCCTGCTCCAGTATTGGTGTTTCGAAAGTATTTATTTTTGAATTATCTGACATGACGTCTTTTGAGCTTTTCATCACATGTGCCTGCTGGTAGAATATATCAGTAATTCTTTACCAAATTGGTGCACTATTTTTGAATAATATAGGAAGGAGGCTGGAGGCAAACTGCCCGGAGTTCAAATTGCATGCAATTGCAGGTATGTTGGAGACAGAAATATAACTATCATAATGAGTTCTGTCTTGATGATGCACACAAGCTAGAAATAGTGCCGTTGGTTGTATGTTAACACAAACCATTTCAAATGTCATTTACATTCACATGTCCGCCCCCTGATGATACTGTGAGTATAGAGGGTAAGAGAAATGTCTGCACTTCATCATTTTGAAAAAAAAATAAAAATAAAAAAAAATATATGCACAAATGTGTTACAAAGATCGGTAAAGAAGAATGGAGCTGAATCTCGGATCAAAAGTACATTGAGGGCCTCTGGACCTGCTGCTTGGAGCTGAAATGTTGTTTCTGATGGGTGTATCTTTCTTTATTTGTACTTTCTATGTCTTGAATGGAGCTGCTGTGATGCAAAACACACCGTTGACAACAAAGTCAGTAATCAATCGATTTACAATTATTTAGATTCTTTGTACAATTTTAAAGTTAAAGTGTTGATGTGAAACTTTAAACAATTATTATGGGTTTTAAGTGGATCACACACTGTTCAAATGGCAACCATGTAAACAACAGCAGAGACTTTATATTCAATATGTCTTCTGAAATACAACAAAGATCTAACATAATTTTATACAAATGCAATACTGTGATGTAAGGATAGATTGAATCAATTGGTTGATTAATTTGGCCATTAATTGGCATTTTAAAGTCATCAAAGTCACACTGACATTGGCCCTCACAAGACCGATATCACCATTATCTTCCCAAATGAAAATGCACTTGATAGTATATCAAATCCTGAACTGGACAGTGTTTGATATAAATTCTGATGACTATGATGCATAGGGGACTGCAGTTTAACAATATCATTAATATTTACCTTAATTTCAAAATTCCCTTGTGACGATTTTACTCAGCCTAACACTTAACTGTATAACTATATTTATTTAATAAAGATTCACCTGAATTCAGCAATATTGTTTATTACTCATTATTATATTTACAAAAACAACGTGATATCGGCATTCTATTGTATATCAGCCATCAGCCAACCTGCTCCCTCGTTATTGGTATCAGCACTGGCCACTGAAAAACTGCAATGAAATTATTGCTGCTATTCACAATACTGGGGCTTTCAACAACTAGGGGGTTGTATGAGAATAACCAATCGATCTTGAAGCCACCAGCTCCCCCATCATTCTCCTTGAAAACACAAACAAACAAACAGAAAAACCTACTGGAATCAGAGGTGAGTTCAACATCCAAACAATTCAGTCTAACCCTCAATGGCTCCTCTACCCTACCCTACAATCAGCAGCTCCTCCACGCCCTCCTCTCTACTTTGTAAAATAAAACCACCCACTTCAAGGGTGAGGAAGACTCTAACATTTCACCCTTCAGGTGCTTGGCCCTGGGGGGAGAGGAGTAAAAGAAAAGAAAAGAAAAGGTGTGATCAGGACAGGAAACAGGAAAACATACAGGAATCCTAAATTGTAAAACTATTCAAGTAAATGGAAAAAAAAAACAAGCAGCAGGAACATCAATGTTCCTTTTAGGTACACATGAAGTAAATAGCCTTGTTGCTTTCCAAGCTGTGATTCACATACGGTGTTTGCAGGGCAGCAGATATTTTAATGAATGCTTTGTCCTTGATTCACCCTCTTTATTACAGCATACCATGTCTTTGTCTGAGAGAAGCCTTTCATCAGGCGAGTACCAACTCTCCACTGATAAGCGTTTTCCAAACCAAATGACAAGTTTAGACACTCCGTGTTTTAGTTCGAAGCAGATAATCAGGCAGGCACACCAGGACAACACTAACAAGTCTGAACCTCACCAAATTATGTTTCCTGAAATATTCTCGAAAACTACAGTCGGGACAAACAAAACTGTTCAAGAATAGGAGTTGTCAAACTAAAACAGGAGCAGCAGAGAACATAATTATTGGCAAGAACACTGGCGCTCTATTGCAGGCAGAAGTGCTTATGTGGACAAAAAAAATACTTAAACATCATCAAGAAAAAACCTCTCACCCTCACTCCTTGTTGAAGGTAACAACTGAAGCAGTGAGCAGATTTAGCTCAACACATCTTGCTACCAAGAAGGTTAGGCATTGAAGGTTAAATTCATACATATAATGATTAATCCCAGATTAGACCAAAGGTATCTAACATGTCTAGAACCAGGATTCAGGTCTAAAGATGTCTCACTGATTAAGTGCTCCAGGGCAAGAAATCGCCCTCTACATCTACAAAAGTTAGCGCTTGCCTTGTCCAAATATAACAAAGACAAGGCAAGCGCTAAAATAACCTTCCTAGATGTAGCCATCTTGTTTCCGCCTCCGATTTTGCCTTTTCCAACTTGGTAACTGAAACACTGACAACTCAGGTGGTACGTCATTTTCATCTCTGACATCTGACTTCCGAAGTAATTCAAACGCAGCATTAGATTCCAGTTTACTTGAATGGTTGGAATGGAATTCCTACTTAAGATGACTTATCTCAAAGTTTCTGATTTCTGAGATCAAATGAATCATGTTTGCATGCCACAGTATCTGTTTTTTATCAGAGTTCTCCAGAAAGCAGTCAGGCCCATAATTTCTGGACTCAGCATACATTTAAATTAACAAAAAACACTCAAATAATTATTTCCCCACAATTCCTATGTTGCAAGCACACAAGTTACAAGATGAAGTAGAAGCCAACACATAAGCGAGCTTTAACTATTGAAAAACCACTTATCCACCTCACATAACCGCTCTTATAATGAGGTGAAAGTGATTCTGCTCAGCATCAGTTTCAGTGAGATATGTCAAATATTATCTGACTTGTAAAATAGAATCATCCTGACAGAATTATGTCTCTCTGTCAGATTAAGTTTAAATGGCACATGCATAGGAGAAAGAAGGAGCTCTTTGTGTGATACGAAAACATATTTGCATTAAGAGCTGGACTTCCTTTTCATAACTATGAACACAGGTATCATTTCAATCCTGAGGTTATTTTGAAATACGTGACTGAAAATACATAATATAACTTTTTCTGGTCTCGAGATAATGCTTGTATTGAATTGGTTTTATAAATAAACTGACTGGAAGATTGGAATCTCATGGAGCATGCAGTCGAACATTAAAGTCCCTTTATCAGAAAATGCCTGTCAATCATAACCAGATTATGATTTATCTGAAAAGCACATTGGTTATCAGGGATCCTTATCATTAGCTGGCATAGACGATTATTTTTTACACCACAGGGTGTGCTGCACAAACTTCAACATGTCCCTGATGATTAATCCTGAATGCCTGTGGTCCAGCAGGGTGTGGATCTGAATGACTTTCATTTCAACCCACTTAATCCACATCACATTTACACATTACTCAAACCCTTTTCTATGTAAGAGGTTGCATTAAGTGTTACAAACCAAAAGTAAAGTGGGATCAGTCTAAAAATGTGTTTAAGAGCTTTTCTTCTTAACAAAAAGCAGATTTTGACAAAAGGGTGAATATTTTGACACTTTTTTTCAAACCTCCAGTTGCTTTATTTCAGGGTTAAGAAGATCAAAAACTCCAGCCACTAGAAAAAGAAAACTATTTGAGAGCTACACAATTGACAACAATTTCATTGACATCAGGGTCAGAGCATTCACCATGAGCTCATTGTGAGAGTCTGAATTAGCAATAATTAAGGGATTTTATGTAAACAAGACAAGCGACGTTCACTTTGAGCCGATGCACAATTTATCTACTGAGTGGAGACCTGAGGTGGGAATGATTGTGCCAATTTAGTAGAGAAAAATCAGCTTTTGTGATTTCCTACGAGTTCGGAAGAGACATGTTGGTAACACAAAGAAAGAACAGCAGACAGACACACTGTGGAAACAGTGAGTTACAGCTATCAAGTGCTTTTGAATAATGGTTTAGTCAACACAATTCATGAGAGTATCTTTATATTGAACAATGTTCTCACACATTACTTTCTTTTATTATGTAGGCCTGACTCTGTGCTGTACATCACTACCGCCACTCTTGAGTTCACACATAGTTTTTCCTCACTGTACTTTCTCAAGTAAACAGCGTGTTGCATAAAGACAAAGCATCACTTGTAAACAGACAACGGTTGAGGTGTTTTTTTTTTCCTGAACATCCTCCAGGCACAGCTGTAGCACAGGTCACACAGCAGCAAGCCGATCACAGGCAGTCTATTAATGTATCAGCCCACAAAAACAACAGCAGAGCTTCACTTGCTGCTCTTTATTTACACAGTTAGACGAATTATCACGAAAAAAAAGTGTGTACCTATCTACACCTGGAACCAGATGCAGATCACAAACTGAGGATCTTTTCCTTAACCCATGGCCAAACTTCACTTTTAGTAATTCAGCATTAATATTCAGATATGACACATCGAAATGCACCATCACAACAGATGACTAGGCTGTGAATCACTCCTGCATATGGATTCAGTGCTTAACAAAACAGAACTCCTTGTTCCTGTTCAGCCGGTAGTGTTTTAAAAAAGCTTGAGAGATGGATCTTTGGGACATGAAAAATAAACTAAAAAATGAAACACAAGCCAGACTAGTTCTTTTCATTCACTGCAGTCCACCAGGTTCTACTTTGAGTTTATAGAGAAGACAGATTTCATCTGGGCTTGAAAATAAATCATTTATAGCAAAGGGAAGGATCTACCTCACACTAGACACAAGCAAGAACTGTATGTCTTTTTCATTATATTTGTATGTTACTGTGTATTTTATGTGTATATTTTGCCACACAAACACGGTCAAGTCCCTAAAAGAGCAGATGTTTGTTGTGACAACAGACTGAGTATGTGACAGCTCAGGCTAATCCCCGAACCAACCAAGAAATCCAGTTTCTCATTTTTTCCTCATAGAGCTCCAGTCTCTGTAGATACAAGGTCTGAACAGACACGTTTTGCTGAGGCTATCATTACCTGTTTATTTACTGAAGAAACAAAATACTAACTCCTGGTTACCAAAAATTTGAGAATTTCTTTGTCTGCAGACACTGCTGGTTAGGAATGTTCTGATCCTCATCTGATTTTTAATGATGAATGTCTGTCGGTACTAAATCCTCCTACATTATTTTTCCCCCTTTATTCAGTTTTAATTTTATTGTATGTTTTTTCATTTATATTTGACACAAACTGGATTATAATATCAGCTGACCTGGATCACCTCAGTGCGCAGTGAAGCTCAGCAATGACACTGGAGCTCCAAATGTCTGTTATTAAACTAACAGTCACATCATGTTTTAAATCACCCTCGATGTTGTCTCGGTGTAATTGAACAGCTTTGGCACAGCGGTCAGGGAGATGTAGTGTCAAGACGGCAAGACAAAGTGTGGATCCAATAGATTAGTTGTCCAGAGCGATTGATTCAGTAACCTCCGCGGTAATCGTTTTGGCCTTTTCACTCTTTTGAGGATATCTATCCTTCCTTTTACTGCAGGTCCCTGTATAATGGTTGCTGTAATACCGTTTTCTGTGTATGTGCAATAAAGTTTAAGTAGTGGCTGAAGTTCCACACTGATGTCCCTTCTACTATCAGTTTCTCATTAACTACTGGTGGGCAATCTCAAAATGCTAAGTTCCCCCGTCACTCGCTCACTTAGAACAAAACAAGTCTTTTCAGACTACATCTTCTGCCGTCTCCTGTTTTCATGTATGAAAAGGGCCATCACATACCACTTTCATTTCTAACAATATAACAACATTTTGAATCAAAAATCATCAGGGCTGTTAAGAATAAATAAAGAGTTATCTGTAGTGACTGAATGTGAAATATGGGCTGCATAATGTACCACAGCACTGAGCTCTACTGGAGGGTCTTACAGGGTCTTTTCTTTGGTTTTGAGGCCCAGCGCAGAACTGTTGAGGTTTAATTTCTTCAACGAAAATGCAGGATAAGTATGAGGTGCATGATGACTGCAGGAAGCTATGATGGCAAGATTATTTTGTGTACACCAGCTGCTAAAAGTGAAGTAAAAGCTTTCTGCGGGTCTTTTAAGTCAAACTGTCAACAAGCTAGAGTAACCAACTATAAAGCAGCACTAAAGTTTTCAGAAAAGTTTATCAAATTCTTATCTGTTTTTTTTTTTAATGGCAAAGTCTTTTAAGTTTATTGTGTACGTCATGGTTTGCCTTGTAATTAATCACCCTGAAAAGAAAAATAATCTTCCAAACAAGACAAACAAAAACTGGAGCCCTGCCTGTGCAAAGCTGAGCCAACACTCCAATCCTTATCCTGTGTGGTGTTAAGAAAATAACCTGGCATTTGCTTCCTGGTGATTACGTGTCCAGCTAGAATGGTTTGGCAGAGAAGTTAAGATTAGGCCAAAAAATGTGCTTTTGCTGAACTTGAAACAGTAAACCTGGTAGAAGAACAATGACAGACTGACACAAAACAAGGAAGAGTATATCTTGTAGTCTGTGTCATGGTCGGTTTCTGGCTTATTTGCTTAAAAATTCAAAAGAAATCCATAAGTTCTTACTTCTGCAGATAAGATAAGACTTTTACACTGTAGGAGTGAAAGAGGATACAGTTTCTTCTGCAGATTTGTTTTCCCTGGACGGATAAACTTTGTTTGTCTTGCATTCCCCCTCTCTTGTCCCTCTTATGAAACGCTGTGTATTTTTCTTGATTTTTAATCAGTTACCAAACCAGGAAAGAGTGAGTTTTTCTCCCAGGCACTGTGGCAAGAAAAACATGCATCACAAAATTTCACACTGAGACTCCCCTCCTCTTCTGTAACATCATGAATGGTTTGATCTATTTGTTTTTTTCTGAACTGAAAATAAGTGCTGATGGTGTGAAATCTGATGAATGATGATTCTGTGTTCATTTTCTGCTTTGAATAGGGAGGGAAGCGGTTCACCTGTATTGATATCTCAAAAGTTTCTTCTATTCTGTCTGTTTTTCAGAGGAATGTAGCAGGAATCATCACTCAGTCCTGCGTAAATGTCATGTCACTTTCCTCCACAATGCACTTCTCGAGATTCTCCTGAGCTTGTTTTTTAGACAAATAATGCTGAAAATGCTGCAGGGGAAAAAACAGATGGAGTTTTAAATGGTTGTCTCTGCAATCTTGCAAGAGAGGTGAGGCAACTATCAATGCAGACAATACCATTTCACTCCTGAAAGGCTGCTCCCTTTAAATAGGGCTAGATAGTTTACCACACACTGCTCTTCTGGCTTTGTGCCTTTCTCATGGTAATTACTGGGAGCGGAGAGTAGAGAGCAGAGCCAAACACCCACTGCATGTTGAACTGTGCAGAATTGTAATGACTGTCTATTCGGGAAAGTTCAGTGGACATGTTTATGAATCGGGAAGAAAAAGGAATCTCTTATTATGGCATGTGACAAGACAACGGTTTAGAGGCATGTATTGATTCTTTTACACACAGTATCATATATTGTTCTGAGTTGTTTATACAGGACTGTGAGCTGTTGTAACACATGCAGACTTAAGTTGGACACAAAATCACTGTAACATTCCTGCAGGGGCTCAAACTGTAGCCATGGTGCCATGAAGCCTTGGCAGCTAATTAAGCGTTCCCAGGTCGCACCCCTCCAACAAATATTAGGCAGGTTAGTACCTAGCAGAGTGTGCACTGTGCCATTATCTGTCATAGCGAGATACAACAAATGCAAGGCTGGTCTATGTTGTAAAAACAGTGAAACTTGGGAGAAGGTGCAAGAGCAAGAGCAACACTTTATACCCTGACTGTGAAAAAGATGTGGTGTACATTTCAACTCTAAAAAAGAAAAAAAGAAACAAACAAAACATGCAACATATATTAAATTTCTGCATAATACTGTGTACTGGTTTCAAGGCTTTAGAAACTATTGTAGAGTCAGGGGAGAAAAGCAGACATATGCCCAGCAGGTCCTGAGTAACGCTGACAGCCTGAACATCCTTTCGCCTGTTTGTTCCCATGTTTATAAAAGTTAATATCAGTTCTGGTTCTCCTTTCAGTTCTTAGTCTTGAAGAAACCAGCAGTAGCATTTTCATTTTTGTCTGGCTTGTGACAGCGACTAAGGAGGAGCAGGACCCATGACAGGTTAATTGTCACAAATTCTACAGAAATGTCACATTGCACTGTTTATCAGCATTCTGTATTCACGGCAGTGTTTCTTTAGTACAAGGTCATCCACAAGACTTTCAGTTTATGAAGTAAACAAGCTCATAGCAAATGCAATCCTGCAATTAATGTGACCTTTATATGGTCGTAATGTTTGTTTTTGTTAAAGCTTCTTCTAAGAACATCTCTTTCAAATTGTTAACACTGATCAAAGATTAAAAACTCGACCTACTAGAGCCTCCTTCCCCGAGTTCAGACATCTGTTCTGCATTTAAAACCACAGCAAGAGGTCGAATACTCACCAGCAGGTGATTCAGTTATTTTTAAGCCATTCCCCAAGCACAAATGTGTAATGACCTTTGTGTCAGGCTTTCAGGGGGAGAATCTGCTGCTTTCCCCTCAATATAAAACATTTTAATAGGCGACTTAAAAAGTGCAGAAATGCAGAGGTAAAATTCAGGAATTCAAGTTTTAAGAAATGATGAGACTGCAGCTACTTAAAGCACACTTCTCTTCTTTACATGAGTCAGAATTTGGAGGGAGTTTGGGACTGTTGTTCAAGAGATAAGAAGCTGTTTTTAGTATCTTATAGGGTTCTGCAAAAGTGCAAATGACATTTTCTCCAATTAATCAGCAATGAAACTGATAGTGAAATTTAATTTGAGTTTTTAACATGAATATTACTCCTCATAAACGTGTAAATCTTCAATCTGTAAGGGATCTAACATCCATTTGGGGGCTGTTCAATTAGGGATATCCTATTTTGACCCCATCCTCTACAGGCCACGAGTATGATCTTGATAACACACATGCTGCTCAGTGTTTTGGAGAGCCCGCTCATAACAGACAGACACCACACTGCTGCACTGATTTGCTTTCTGCCCGGCCACGCTTCACCACGAACAAGACGGTCAGCTGCTTTAGATTAAGACCATCCCATAAAACCAACCTGAATGTAGGCAGTGTAGTTTAACAGTGTCACTTTACATCCAGACCCTGCGCAGAGGTGCAGGTGCTGAAAGTTGCTGGCGGTGTGTTTTCCAGCCACACAACAGCAGCAGCAGCAGGCTCCGTGGGAACATAACCGCGGATAATGTGGTTGTTAGGGGACAAGAGGTCAGAGTTACACACGGTAACCCCCGCGGTGTCCAAACACAACTGCCAGTGTTATCAACGCTTTATATTCACGGTTTAACAGAAAGCAGGTGAGTAAAATGGCAAAACCTAGCTCAAAACAGATTTTAAAAACTTACAGTGATGGTAACTTCGTGCTTTTTCAATCGATACTTGAGGCTCTTCATCTTGTTAAATGTTGGTTCCTGGTTTCAAAAGTTTCCTTTGGTAGTCCTAATCATAAATAATACAAAAAAAACTTTCCAGAAAGTTCGACGAAGTGAGTTTTCATCTGTCCCTTTTTTCCTCACACAGACGAGTTTCACCTGACGCCTAACCGCAAACTCTGATCACATTTCGATTGACAGGCGGAGAAGCCAGTCAGACGGGAACAATGCATGTTCGGTTCAACTGTAGCCCAATCGGCTGCGTTGGGAGGCGGGACTTCCTGTGTGAATTGTCGTTGGGAGAAGTTGGACACATCCTGGGACAGGGAGGAAAAACCTGGAGTGACGTCAGTCTTACCTGAAGACTGACACACCTGGAGAGAGGAGTAATAAAACTTCAAACAACCACGAGTACAACTTTACAACTGTGAGGACTGCAGTGAAGCTATTATAAAATACAGTGTAAGAAGGTGTTATGTAACACCCACTTTACTGTACATAAAGTAAATTTTTAATACATTAACCCCAGAACACTATCGCTAAAATTAGTAACACCATTACTATGGCCAGGTGATTTTTCCCCGAAATAATATACCTAAGAAAAAGTGTCATCAAAATATATCAAAATAGAACAATACATGACAAATTAAAGTAGTTTTCTTTTATCTTTAACTGTGCAATGTCCAAAGGGAGGGGAAAAAACAGCTACAGGAGAGAGAAACAAAATATAGCAGATTTTGAGTGAGTAAAAATGACCAGCTGACTAAAATATTTCTTATCACCATATGAATTCACTTGAAAATCCCCTTGAAATTCCCTTGAAAATCACTGCATCAAATAAAGATAGCATGCAAATTCCAGGACCACTCTGACTGACCTTATTCCCTACATATGCAGCTATCAAATCCACCCAAACCTACTTTACCCTCTATCACTATTGCCAGGTGAAAATCACCTGAGCACATACCTGTAGGAAAAAGCAGGTTTTGGTTCAGGGAAACAAATATGCCTTCAAAGATGTCAACGGCAATGCTGAAGCTACCCAGGGGCACATGATACTCAGACAAACGCAGCATCATGAAAATCACATAAACACGTTTGGTCGGGTGAAAATCACCCAGGGATAGTGTTCTAGGGTAAACGACAAACATGGTTGGCGATTGGTAATGAATAAAATCATCCATCTTACATAAATGAAGAGGTAACATCAGTTTAATCTAATATTGTGTTAGTTGTATTCATGAAATGGTTAAAAGGCTATTTTCTTTACTTACCTTTACCACACTTAAGGTTTTTTTTTTACAGGTAACAAAACTGATTGAAATGAATGTTGACTTTTCTCTCTGACCTACAATCCATACAAGACCACCTGCAATAATACAGGAATTTTCTTTTTAGTTTTTCAACACCTGAAACTGCTGCTGGAGGGGTAGGCGTCATATGAAGTGATAAACAATCCTCTGCACAAAAGAGCCTTTTGTAATGGTTTGTTGTGCTTTATATTGACAAAAGGCAGCAGTACAAGATATTTCTGTTAAAAAAACAACCTACATTTATGCAGGACAAATCAGCAGAGATATGAAATACCTCTTTGTCTACGGGGTGCAAAAATCAACACAAACTGAGGTTTTTCACAGGAGTCTTAACATTCACAACTAACAGCGTAATTGTATGGATTATTTTCAGAGAAGTCATTTTTTTACTTTTTATTTGTGACAAAATGTTCTTCAGAGCTGCATGGACACGGACACACAACATTTATGATAAATAACACACCATCTTAGATTGTCAGCGTTACACTGGGAACAAATTTACACAAACCAGATGAGTCCTTATCAAAAGACCTTCTACCGGAAGATTTCTGAAATACCAAGGCCGCTGCTACACAATGTTCAGAGAATACTCAAATGCCAGAACAAAACACACTGCTGTACAAATTGCGTAGTGTATCTTTGTGTAATCTTAGAATGAAAAGTAAGCGGAAGTCTTGGTATGTGGTGCACCAACCAGCATATTCATAGAATAATCATTGGCTACAGTAAATTATACTTTACACTGCACTAAAAGGCATTAGAAATCTTGTGAGCAGAGAGAGATGACAGATGTTAACATAAAGATTAGTTTTGTTCGCTGTCATGTTACAGCACAATTAAATCCAAATAAATAGCTTCTGATACAGCACAGATGGGGTTTTGAGTAAGGACCACTTATTTTGAATTATCTTACTTTTACTACATTCATAGACTTTTAGTTTGGGAGTTATAATGGCCTGTTTTTTACACACAATTGTTGCTACTTTTACTAAAATAAGCAGCTAATTTATTCACCGATGAGCTGTCTTTCCCATCTGTATTCATTGCCTCATGCAAATATTCATATCTGCATATAAATAGAAACACCACAGATTTATTATCTATCCACATCGACTGAGTTAACAGCTCAACTATCTCACATGTCACAATCTACTTTTCTAAACAAACAACAGACTGTCTATTATTTCCAGTAAACAGGATGGATGAAATCATGAAAGGTGTGCTAAACTGCTATGCAGTAAAGCATGGATACAGGAACAGTAGAGCTATGCGCTTTATGTACTTTTACTGCAATAGAAATAATCTACAAACCAACACTTTCTGAGCACAAGCCAAGCAGACAGCTGCCAGCAGATAAAAAGTGAGTGAGAAGACTTTGTGTGATGAATTTTGTATTTATGTACAATCTTCTGTATGTTTGGTTTATGTATTATTGCTATCATGTTCAGTACTTGAGCATTGGTCACAGTTATGTAAACCTGAACCAAACAAATTCTGATGGGGTATATTATTGCTCTTAGTCTGACACACAGATACATAAGACATAAAAATACAGCTAAAATGGTGCGGTGTTTTGCCGGTGCATGGACCTCTTGGAGTGCCTTTATCCGATGCATCATTCACTCTTTTCACACATACATTAATGACCAGGTTACGCAACTTATTTATGCCACACAATAGAAGATAGCTAACGCCTGCATGAACATAAGAATTGGACGAAATCACCTTCACTTAGTTAACTTGATGAGCTCATTGCACTGCTCACCTATTAATGTATATATGAAGGTACATTAATAGGTGAGCATGAAGGTACGAGTGTATCACACCAACCGTCATACTGTGACAGGAGAGGACAGGATACAAACCCTGTTTCTTTCAATAAATTGCCAACCCATGTAACAGCTGTCCCTGAGAGCAGCGTATAAAAAAGGAAAAATATAATTTTATAATAAAATCTGATGTAATACCATGCAACCACATCAATCTTATGTTCCATAACTGGATGAACATACAGCATATCATTATGTACTGCAGTGTTAAGCTTTGTCAGTAATGGGTGATACAAACCAAATGATGGACAAAAAGTGATGTTTAAAACAAGCATACTGTATGTCCTTAATTTTGTTTTGTTTTTTTAAACGTTTGCTGTTGGATGTTTTAGATGACACTCACAGTGCTGCATTTAGTTCTTGACCTGTTGAGTTTTTACTGTTACAGTTATTCACTGAGCTCTGCCTTACTTCTTCTGTCAAAGCACTTTTTAAATACCTGTTTAGAGGTGCGGTACAATTGCAGCTATTATTAATATGTTAGTCATAACTTCATTGTAATAATCAATTCCTCCTCTGTGAGAAACCAAGATTAGCTCATGGAAAATCATGAGAGTTCCTCCTCCAAAGTACATCATGTAGATACAAACAAGTATAAAGGTGGACAGCAAGTTTTTAATGAGAAAAGACTTTTAGGAGAAAAATTAAAGGAGGGGAAAATGACGCCCCCTTGTGATCCTTCTCCTGAAATAACACTTCAATAATTAAAGAACAGGTGCATTGCATTGAATTGGGTTTCAAATATGAATAATTTACCTTTTCTTAAAATAGAAACTATGAAATTATGCCAAATCTCCATCAAACATCACAATCAAACAAAAATGAATTCTAATAACCAATAAATGTTTCTTTACTATTTAAAATAAATCTAACTATACACTTCATGGCTTTTGTAGTTTTCTTTTGTAGTCATTGTCCCCTTGCAACAGTGTTACCATGGTGATATCGCTGCAGTCTGAAGGCTGGGATGAAGGATAAAAAAGTAGCTACGATACCTAATCAGAAATCTGGGATGCCATGAGGGTTCCAGCCATCACTAAGCTCATGTGTGCTTATCACTATCGCTTTACTGCTCAAAGTCAGAGGCAGCTGTGTTCATTTTGACTACACAAAAATTATTTTGTAAGGCTAAATCATGATATAAAATTATAGATTTTAATAGAATAAAACACATTTTAACAAGTAACTTAGCAACACCTATTAGCTTTGACTGGTATGATTAATTAGGATGTAATGATACTGTAGCAGCAGCCCATCTTGTCTTTCCAGCAACCTTGCGTCGTTGGGACTTACTGATTCACGACTTTAAACTGCATCGTCAATTATGACCAAAGATGATGAGACCATTGGATTTCATGAAGCCTGCTATATTTTGCAATGAGTCTGAATTTTGAAGTCCCCATTCCAGGAATCATTTCAGTGTGATCTTGTGAGAAGCTGTCTGTGCTTCTCCACGAAGCTTCAACATGCTACAGAAGTCATATTTTACTGGACTGTTCTGCATCACTAGAGATATGAATTTTGCTATTGTGACCTGTTGTTGTTTCAGTCCTCTTTTTAAGAACCTTTGTTTGCACATAGGTTTTAATTTCCTCTCTGTATTTGCCTGTATTGAATCCCTGTCCTGTTGTCTAGTATCTCCATATCTAACCTTGGTGTGCCTCAGCGGGCTGCCACTCTTTTATTTGTCATTCTATTTTTAGCCTCTATACAATCCTCAATGCAAATTCAGGAAACATAGTTATGGCAAATAATGGGCACACGAGCATGAAAACACAGAAGAAGTCAAGGTTGTGTAGAAACATCCTTTAACAAATTGGTACAAATACACAAGTTACATATAAAAAACATTAACTGCTGAGTGTTAACCACATAGTCCAGCTTTAAATTGCACCACATGTGGCAAGAAACAGTCCAAAATACAAACATGCAACAGTAACAAATATCTATCAGATGGAATGCACAAAAACACCAAAAGAGCTGCTTGTTGAAACTTGTTGACAGAAAACACTTTAAGTGCAAAGAACAGAAGAAAGAGAGAGCGGAGACAAAGCTAAAAAAAAGTTTTCCCCCTCCTTTTTTTGTCTTGTTCGTGACAAGCTCCTGAGACCTTTGTGGAGGAAGCAAGCAGTTCAAGTGAAAAAATCTCATCCAAGTGCAGTAATGGTTGTTTACATGTGGAGAAGAGGGCTGACGCTGTGGGCTGGGAGCTCTCACACTGCCTTGCGGTGATACTCTGGAGGCGCAACCTCGTAGTCTGTGGCACTGAAGAGGGTTGATGAATTCTTCACCAGGTACCTGAAGAGAAAGTGACAGGATTATCAAAGTAAGACAAAATATTGACTGCCTCCTACAGAGATACACAGAACTGGTCTCAAAAGAATTGAAAATTATTATCCTGTCAAATTGAGAGTCCCATCAGGTGTCCTGTCCTGTTAGAAATACAATAAACACAAGATGTGACAAAATAATAGCTCTGCAGGAAAAATTAGTACCAGTAACTGTTTGTATTTTTCATAGAGAAAACACAGTAAAAGGAGCTGACAATGCTGTATCTAGGTAATGTTGAATGATAATGCAAAAGATGAGTCTTTGCTCTGATAGACAAACAAGCTCTCTAGAAAACGAGTTGTTTTGATAAGAACATGTGAATTGATTCCACTACAGCCTGATAATTACAGATTTTCTAGTATGATGGTCAAATTGAGCTCACAAAGAGTAATTTTCTGCTTAGTTCTATCAATATTGGTCAGAGAAAAAACATGCGGCTGATGACTGGGAAAAATGAAGGTGTGTCAGATGTCAGTGCACATATATGACATGTCTGAGTTAATATGGGGGAGGGGGAAAAAACTGTATTGGACTACTCACCGCCACCTTGGGACTTAATTTTTTCGTTCTCATTTCTATAAAATTTTAACTTTGTGTTTTTTATCATGGCTTTTGATTTGGTGGACTTCATTTTTCATGCTTACATTATAAATTGTAGTTAGGTTACATGTGACAGTCGTGCAACCGTGTCTTCGGTTATGTTATACTAAAAATCCAATTGAAAACGATTTAAATATTATCAGTGTAATTACTGAATTCTCTAATGAACAGTTTTCCAGTCTGTTGCTCTGACAGGAATGAAACCAGTTCAATCCATATAAAAAAAACACACACACGCAGAAACTGTCTCTGTAAGCAGAGTAATTTCAGAGCGTACGGGCTTTCTTGAAAGAATGTAAGAGTTTCAGAGAGAATTGATTTTGTGGTTCATGTTTTGAGGCTTCCGTATAAGCATGGCTGCACTGATGTGAATGTGAATGCAACATGACATTTGAGAATCTGTCAAACCTGACAGAGTCCCGGTTGTGTGGCGGGTGTTCAACTTACTTGAGGAAATCTTGGAGGTAACTCAGCAGCAGAGCCAGACTCTTCTCGTCTAGAGGAGTGTAGGCCAGCATGGCTCCAATACGAACTGTTAAAGAACAACAACGAGACAGAAAGGAATAAAGGGGAAGAAGAAGGCTGAGTATGAGATGTACCCTTAACATCCTGTATTCTTAATGGTCAGCAGGGGGCAACTCTAGCCCTTCCAAATAGCAGTCACATTGTAAACTAGAAAAGCACTCGGAGAGCGCAGACCTCCACCAAGCAGCTCATGTCCCCCCTTATATTGTGATTCACACCAAAACTTTTACTGTTACGTGTCTTTTATTAACTTTTATTTGTGTTTAAACTGGTATGTTCACTGTTCATAATGTTCCTAAAACAACAAAGCTCATATTAGATACATAAATGCATGATTTATTATGCAATATTTGTAAGTGTACACTTCCTTCTATCTTCATTAGTTTTCTTTCCGCATTGAAAATTCCAACGACACCCATAAAGTAAAATAAAGAAGCTGATATTTGCTGCTTTCCACTCATTTCCACAACCAGAAAAATGCAGGGAGCACAGCCATAAACGGTGTCTTCCTTCAGGAGTGCCAGGTTGCAGTTTCTGGAGGGTCTTATCTGCAGGCTCTTAAAGACGTGTACAACGAACCATGGGTATGTAGGAAACTATGGCAGCAGTATAAAGTGCTGCTATTCTTGAGTACCTCTCTGCTGAAGTACTAGAGTTGCTGGGCAACGCCTCCAAAGACTTGAAGGTAACATATGCTGCTCACTATTCATGGGGATCAGGGTTGAAGTCCCTTAACAAAGCAACAATTATAAATCTTCATCTCAAAAAGGACAGCAGAACATTTCATAAGTGTATATATGTAGACATATATGTCATATGTAGACCAGGAGAAATTGTTCCTTTCTTTAAGTTACTTGTTTAGGGATATCTTGCCTTCATTTAGCGGGACAGCCAGAGAGTGATAGAGAATATCTGGGAGAGGAGAGAGGAGGATAAAATTCAGCAAAGTCGAACCCATGACCGCTGCAACGACAACTGTAACCTCTGCATAAAGGGTGCACACCAACTGATGAAATTAACCAACACCTCCATCACCATTTTTTTTAACATCACAGTTTACATTGACTTTTGAACAGCTACACATAGAGTGAAAAAAGGGGGGAAATGGCACTCTGTCCTTCAAATAGAGTTATTTCTGTCTCCAAGACCCAACACTTTCATGACACAAAATATTAGGTTTTAAATAGTTGGGAAAAATGCAACTGTTAAAGTCAGGGTGTACTTAAACTAAGTCTTTTTTTATTATAGGGTAAGGATAATAGAGGAGGAGGTGATCTGGGGCCAATACTGTGAAGCAAGTTCACCATACACTGGTTTCTTTGGGCTGCTTGGCTAAACACCAGCAAAAAAGATGGGGTTTTAATTTTTTCTTTTTTCCAGGGTGGTCTCTAATACTGAACATTACCTGCTCAGGAGCTGGTGAAGTGTTCAGCACAGGTTACCACAGTGGTGAGAAGTGACCCGTTTTTGTACCCAGCGTTTACCCTGAAGTTACCTCTAAAACTGAAATGCTTGCTTTGTGGAACAGACTCAAGCTCAGCTGATCAAAAACCCAATCTCTGCTGTGAAGTGACTTTTTTTTTCTATCAAAAGTTTTTAAAGTCTTGAGACTTCAACAAAAGGTGATTTTCACACTTTATGCTGAAAACAAGTCCAGCTTCATTCTTTGATAAATGGACAATAAGACGCTTAGCTGTGATGGGTAATTCATCCCTTTGACACACTGTTAATGTCACACCTTACTAATGTGCTGTATTTAAGTCATGTACCAATTAACATGCGCAATTAAATAAAAATGAGTCATCTCAGTGCATAGCGTTAATTTCTTTTTTTTATCAAATGTCAAAAATAATTCACTCAGAGATTTATTATTGAGGACATGGTTATTATCCAAAAGAACCTCAGATGTCACAGCCGACGCTGGATGTATTAAAGACAACAGAGAGGAGGAGTACAGGGGCCTGGTGAGGGATTTTGCTGTCTGCTGTCCACAGGAACCACCAACCCCTTGAAGACTAAGGAGCTGCTCATTGACTTTAGGAGGTCTAGACCAAGGTCAAGACCTGATCGAAGGAGTCGAGGTGGAGGCTGTAGACTCAAACAAGTACCTCAGGCTGTAGCTGGACAGCAAGCTGGACTGGAAGGAAGGGCACATTCAAGAGGGACACATCCAGGCTGGAAAAACTGATCAGACAAGCCAGCTCTGTGGTTGGCATTAAACTGGACTCTACGGTGATGGACAAAGAACTGGACATCATGGATGATGCCAGTCACCCTCTGCACAACGTCACTATCAACCAGAGGAGTCTGTTCAGTGACAGACCACTCCTTCCCAAGTGCAGGACCAACAGACAGAAAAACCCCTTTGTCCCTCATGTCAGCAGACTGAACAACTCCTCTCTGGGGAGGAGGAGGGTAACAGGAGGACAGAAGATGGGAAGGAGCAGTAGTCGTAATAGTAGTAGCAGTAGTAATAGTAATGTGCAGATGTACATGGCTTTATACATTACCTTTTATATGTAAATATTTAAATTATCTTAAGTTTTATTAACCCATTTCAATGTCCTTGAGTAAACCAGGATAAATAAAGTCTATCATATCTAATCTAAATTAATGTTATCTGAGTACATGACATAATTACTTGATTATAACTGTGTTTGTATTGTACACAGGAGAGAGAAAGCTAATTTACACAAGACGTTGTTTTCCTGTGTTATCTCAAACTGGGTGTGTGTGATGTCTAATGCCGTTTCAGTAAAGCTTCATCCGGGGTTCATTTGCTGCTTCATCTTGAAAATAGGATTGATTTTGCATTGGACATAAAAGTAGCAATATGGAAGACAGTCCCTAATATATGTCAGTACTGCTGACTGCTATCAGTTGCCTCCTGATCGATTTATCTGCAGATTTTTTTATAATAATCATGGCAGCGATGTCTGTCTTAAACATCACAGTGTTAAAGTTTCTGCACAGACTTTTTCCCATGTCACTGACAAAGACATTTACAAGAACAAAAACCCTGGAGCTTTTGAGTTATTCCTACAGCCACCGTATCTCCATGGAGACCATGTTCTAAAGAGCATATCAAATCAACATACTCCACCATTTGGGACAATTTAATGAACTATTTAGTCCCTCAGCGCTGATTTTGTTCATGTATGTGAGCTGCATGCATACTGATCAGCTGTTGCAGTGTGTGATGTTCTGAATACAAGTCTGTGTTTCACCGAGTACCCAGCTCACCTACCAAATAAACGCAGCAGGTGTGGAGCTCCATACACCTGAGACATGGGCAAGTCCGGGTGTTCTGCCAAGATCTCAGCATACTGTGGTCTCTCGAACTTGTAAAGCAGCTGAGTGCCCAGCATGACATTGAAGTACTCACGAATCCCCGCCACGACCTCATTCACAGCATACTCCCTGAGTGGGGAAGAAAGTCACACATTAAACTTAGTCAAGACTCTCGCAGAGCACACGCAAAGAACTACAAGTTTTACAGACTTGTAAACTTTTTTTTGTAATAGGATATCAATACACTGTTTCATTTATTATGGCTAGGAGACATGATCGGCGTCATAGTAGCATCAGCTATCAGAGGGATGATATTGTTGTTACCTTTCCAAATAAAAATGCATTTGACAGCATATCAAACCTAAGACAGAGTAGTGTGTAATTGAAATTCTAATGACTATCATTTATAAATAATAAATACTAATGATATAAATATCAATATATAGCTTGTATATGCTTTTCTTTGTTACTTATTTCTAATAGCTGGGCCAATATCCACAAATACTTTGTGGTTATATTTTATTGAGCCTAATATTTCTCTGTCTATATTTATTAAATAAAACACTCACTGGAAAAATCAATGAATAATAATCCCTCTAACTTTCAAAAATGTGCATTTCTGATCTCAGGGTATGAATATCAGGAGTCTGATTTACTTTTAATTTTTTCTGGTTTAGAATCGTATAAAAAGTCTTTGATTAAACTTGGAATGATTATTTCTCATTTTGAGAAACATTCAAACCTTGCCAGTTGATTTTCTTCACTTGTCTGCAGAAATAAACCACGGCTTTGATACTGAAAGTGATTTTCTGAGTAAAATGGAGCTGTTTACATAATGTGTTTTAAAACTGCTGAAACATAGGCAACACATTCATAATAATCATCTCAATACTTAAGCCTGACCCAAGACTTTTCTGGGGCACTAATGTGCATTAACGACACCATGCTGGGTAAAATGCACAATGCTGATTCAAACCATTACTTACTCCATTTAGGGAAACTTAAGACACTGGTGGGAAAAAGAGCATTTTCACAGAGTGACAGGAGACATAAGTGGATTCTTTTGGTTCTTTACAAATAACTACAGGACACTGACTGATCTCCTTTGAAGAAAATGTGGGGTTTTCATCCTTACTTGTTGTCAGAGTTTCCTTTTGATTTCTTATAATTTGCATAGTCCTCCAAGACAGTCTCTACATTCTTCTTAGCAGGCAGATGAAATAACTGCAAGTGACAGTGAAAGCACACGATTTGTTTAAGACACACACACCATTCCTGATTATGGCACCAACTCACTAACCTGTACAAGTCAACATAGCTCGAAAACATAACCAGAGAACGTACCATTTGACCACTGATGGTTTGTGTTTTTCCCCCCTCACCTGTTTCTGTCTGGTAATAAGGTCCCAATCGTCCACCAGCCAGGGTTTCAGCTCCTCGGGGATCTTCACTTTCACCTCCACACGGTTGGTGAACATCTCCTCCTGTTAGAACAAACATTAATAACATATTTCAACTCTTTTTTTTGATTGTTCTTAATGTTTCAACACTGAAATACATCTCCTTTAAATCTTAAGTTTAAGGTTCACATTTCTCTGTTGCCCACAGGAATGCTGTATTTTCAAACATTTTGACAATTTCTGAAGAGAGAAGCTCAAAGAGGTTTAAACACACATCAGAGCAAAAGTATGCACTTTGCTTGAATGTAAAAATATTCCAAAGCACATTTTTTCTGATCTTTTGAATTACTTGCTGAATCAAATACTGAAGTTTTTAGATAACATGAGAGTTACTGTCTTATATCTACACACCCCAGGTTTGTGCAAAGTATAAAATTATTTCTACTTCTGGCTGCATGGTGCCAACATTTTCTGCCGTTTAAAACTCTTAAAAGTCTCTGCTGGGAGAGACACTCAGCAGCTGCCCACTGTGGAGCCACATTTCATGCTTAAGTAACTTACTGAAAGAATTGAAAGAATCATTTTCACAGCACCGTCTTTCACATTCCTCATTTAATCTAACATCTTAATGGTGCTTTTATACAAACATGTTGAATATTTTCTCGCCATTCTTCCAAATACAAAAGGAAGATATCTCAGCACTTTTACAAAAACATCTGTTTTTTTGTCCAAGAGGCAGTTTGTTGTCACTATGACTTCGCAAAAACTCAGCGGTTTAAAAAGGTGTCTAAAACGCAGCTTTTTAATTATAAATAAGTCCAATAAAGGATTTTTACCAGCATGGATGTAATATGCAATGAATGGACCAGGCTGATTTTGTACATGTAGGCATGTTTTTACCAATCACTGGTGATACGTACACTCTCCACAGTAGGATCGACCCGAGCCCTCTTCTTCCGTGGCCCCTGTGGCGTTTCTCCACTACTGGTACCTTCCCCCGGTCCTGGGGCTAAAAGAAAAAACCCATTACAGCTTGTTTATTCCATGAAAATAAAGGTTGGTGGTGTAAATAAAACACAGTGAATCTTTTTGGACCAAACAGGTTAATAACAGGTTCCTTATTGTGATGGCGCACTTTGATATAATGGATGAAGAGGTAACGTCTGCTTGATGTGTTTACGGTGAATACACACAGAAATACTTCATTTCATTTATTCCACTTCCAGGAACTTGTAAGTATTTTCACAGGTACAGCCTGCCTCCACACTACCGATTGTGAGCATGTTATCTAAAAGGCTGGTAATGACGAGTGGTTCATCTGAAAAATACATTATCTGTAAGACACTCCAAAGTGATGCTAAAGACCTTTTAGAGGTCTGTGAAGTGGCTCTTTTGTGCAGTCTTTCCAACCACATAAATATTGGACTCTTAAACAAAGCTACTGGACTCATTAACAAACAAAAAACAAGTTTATAATAATACTTTCAAGGTGGACTGAGCCTGAGGACTTAAAAATGTCAAGTCCAGATATACCATCGACTATCATTTACAATAGTCAATAGTCAATTTATACATATAGTTTGTATTCCCTTTAAATGATAAAGATCTGCAGTTGTTTAAATGTTAATGTCCTACTCCGTCACTTAAAAAAGATTACTTACTCTTTTGTTTTGCCTTTTTCACTTTCCTAGGATGCAAAAAAAAGACATAAGTGACATGCAGAATCAACATTTAGTACATGAATGCACACTTTTTTTGATGATAAAATACAGTCCTCCACTCATAAAGTAAAAAATGTGTCCCAGTTCAAAAGCTCTGCCATAAGTTCTGCTTGTACAAAAAGCCTCTCTGATTCTGTTGAATACAGTCTGAGGATTTCAATTTAACCACAGCTGAATCACTAAAGTTCAAGTTCCCAATTGTGTTAAACAAAAATGTATTAAATTCAGCTTTACTTTACTGTTCCATATATCAGGGTTGCAAAATATTAAAATCACCTTTTAACACTATGGACCACAGTAAAACACAGATGTCCATTCTTACTCACCTCACTGATAAACCTGTTTGGAGAGCTGTTGTAAGGGGTCACATTGCAGGTACACAATAACATTACATCAAAAATTCACAAGTGTTAACAAAGAAGAGTGATAGCAACTTACAGATCAACATTTTTTTGCTGCACAGCAGCAATCTTCTTACTTGGTGCTAAACCCCTCATCTTTCCCTCAACATAATGATCCCTGTAGAAGAAAATGAGAGAAGAACATTAAATAAATACTTTATACAAAATCTGTTCATCTGGGGTGCTGTCTCAACTCACAGAGCAACTGACACTGAATTAAAGGTCAAATATAATTTACAAGGAACAAATTATGTCACCCTTGGGTTCCTGTAAACGTCATTAGATGGTAAATTAGAAAAGATTAATGATCTGCGGGTTATTGCAAACGAAGGAATACAATTCCCACCAAAAAGGCTTTTTCTCCCTGCGGTGCAGAAGAATAATAACTCACTGATTGGCCTTTTGAAGCTCTTTTTGTTTCGCAAGGTTGCTGTCCACATATTTAAGAACTCTGCTCTCGGGAACCCATTCATCCCAGCTGTAAAGAGATGACAGTATATCAGGCCTTGAATCAGCATCATCACAATGAAATCAAAAGTACTTTCTATCTGAAAGCAGGTTCTCACTTTTTGTTCCATCCGCTGTAATGAATGAAGTATTTAATCTGCTTATCCTTAATGTTGATCTTTACACACTGGAGGGAGAAAAAAGACACATTGATCTGCATCGGTCCGCATTTCTGTTATAGGTAATAACTTACAAATAATTCTCATTCATGTTGACACAAACCTTTGCCTCATAGAGCAGTGGCCCATGAAAGCACAGGACTCTTTCACCTGCAGAGACACAACACCAATGAGAGGACAAAAGCACACCCTGCTACACAAAAACACCAACATACTGGATATTCTCAGGAGACAAGGCCACCACTGGGCTGAAATAGTGTAGTTAATGTGGTTTAAGGGACGTCTTTGTGATACTCATTCAGGTTTTATTCATACATGAACATACTGTTAGCAGCTGAGCCGCTAGCTCGACGTTAAGGTCCCACTTCAACCCCGAAATCCGCCCTAATGTTATAAAATTTACTATATCCGTGTTTGGTATGTAAAAAACTGAAACAAGGAGAGAAATAATGCCTCAAATGCTTTTTCTGCATCCCTGGAGACCACTATTGTCAAGCCTGAGCAGCAGTATCAACAACAACAAACCCGCCCCCTTTCCAGACGTTTACCGCCGTGGGTTTTTAACAATACCAACCTTCTGTAAATTTAGGTTTAGGGTCCTGTTTTGGCGCCATTCACAGACTCAACTGATCGGACCTCTGAATGATCAAATTCGTGCATTGCCAGTGTCCATTTCTTCCAGGCACAAACACCTCCGACATCGGAGCCAAAGCGAAGGGGACGCCGAGAATGGCCTTCCTGCCGCGGGGTCACCTGACCAACATGGAGCCTCTGAGTTGCGGAGCGTTCAAATGCTCTCTACGGAGCTCGGAAAAAGCAATACTTGAGGTGAGAAGTAGAAGTAGAAGAAGGAGTAGGCTACAGCACTATTAGAAGTCAGACATTTTTTACGGTGGCCGAGAACCTCCACCGCTGCAAATAAAAAAGAATGCAAAACAAAAAAAAAAGAAGGAAAGAAAAGAAACCGAAGCCCGGTGCAGATAGAAAATGAATAAATAAAAAAGAATGCATGATAGATGTGGAAGAATGGAAGATAAAAAAAGAAAGGAAAGAAACCAAAGCCCAGTGTAGATAAAAAAAGAAAAAAGAATGCAAGATGAAGATGGAAAAAAGGAAGATACAAAAAAAAACAAGAAACCGAAGCCCAGTGCAGATAAAAAACAAACAAATAAATAAATAAATAAAACAGAATGCAAGGTGAAAATGGAAAAAAAGGAAGATGCAAAAAAAAATAAAAAGAAACTGAAGCCTGGGGCAGATTAGCCACAACAAAAGTTAATGACACAAAAACATTGGCGATGCAAAAAAAAAGTTACTTCCTGCGAAAATAAACGGATACAAATAGAAAAAGGCGTAACGGGATTAGTAATTATTTTTTTTCCATCGACCACTTTTTTTTTGTGCTGTTAACTTCTGTTGTGATTTTTTTTTTTTTTTTTTTTTTTTTTGCATTCTTTTAAAAAAAAAAAAAATATTTGCAGCAGTGGTGGTTCTTGGCCACCGTTCATTTTTAAATGTGACAAAACTTAAGTTGGTTGTGTTTTCTTTGACTTAACTCAACCTTATTTCATACAATTATTGCCCAAAACAACCTCTGTCTTACATACCTGGAACATTAGTTAGATGACCCCTTAGGACAATGAAGTGTTATCCTCTGGTGACTGTTTCGGTGTCCTCGTTGAGGATGAGCTGGACTTAAAAGAGGAGACCCGGTACAGTCTTGAAAGGGCCCTGCCTCGGCTGATTTTCCTCAGGTAGCACTGGTACTGTGATGTCGGCAGGTCACTCCTGTATCAAAGCGTATTTGCTCTCCTTTTATGACAATGTTTGTATCTTTTTCATTTGACCCACATTTATGCGTTTCATGTTGCATTGCATCATTAAAGGCCGCTCACCCATTTCCAAAGGTTTCCAACATGCCCAAAAAACTTTGAGCTTTGGTAAATTTAGCAGGAGTTTAGAGTTGTTTGTCAGCAGCCTAAAACAGAAAGTGTACATTTTTGTGTAAACACTTCAAGGTTTCTCAGCCCTATTTTGGTCTGTGACCATGATTTAAGGTCACAAATTTCTCATGAACTCAAGATAGTTGTCAGACTATTATAAGAATCTGATTGTGGCATACTCGTGTCTATCAAATGATATTTTATGAGAATTTTGTTTTTTCTCATGCACTCATCACAGTCGAACCACAGTCCACAAACCACAGTCCGAGTGTCTCTGCAGATTCATTGATTGAATAGAGATAAACCAGAAGGACTTGGGTTGAGAAGATGTGTTGTTAGGTTGAAGTAAACAGCATCAACTCACAGATGGAGCTTCACTGATCCAGAACTATATCCAGTATGTCCTTGGACGAGAAGACAGACCAAAGTTTTATAACAAATCGCCCTCTCAAGTCTGATAAACATCTTTTTAATGTTCTAAAATTATGTTTACATTTTTCTGGGGTAGACAAGTCGAAATGGAACCATCGCACTTCGTGAGATAACCTAGTTTAGAGATAACTGATGAGGGACTGCATGAGAAAATATAGAGGATCATTTTGTGAAGTCAAAAATACCAGAGAGGACCAGAAAAAATAAGATCTTTAAAATTTACTCCCTTTAAATGCTAAAAGGTTTAAATTAAGCATAAAAGAGCCAGAGAGCTTTTTTAATGTGACCTACACTGATCAGCTCCTTCTATCCTACAAAAGTGTCAAATCTCTGTTTTTACTCTTTCTTCCTCTTGAAGGCCTGTCTGATTAGCGTAAACCTCATTCTCCCAGCGAAGGAAATTGTTTTTTTCCACAGTGTTGCTTATTCGATCTTTTTTAATAATAACGCTTCAACAAATCTGTTCCTGAAATTTACATAAGACTGTTGAGTTTTGTTAAATTTGCATTGCAAAAGACAGAAAAAACATGGAGAGGTCTTTGGCATCCCAGGTGCCACCCAAAATCTCAAAGCTTGATTTGTCAGATGTAGGGTTTTCATTAACATTAACTGTTAGGATTGTGCTATTAATGTCAGTCTACAGTTTTCTTTAAATTTGAAGGCATCACATGTAGTTTTGTTGGTATTTAAACGGTGGAATAATAGCATTTTCATAAGCTAGGTATATAGGAGAGAAGCCAGTCTGTTAAAATTGCAGGAAAACTACATTCCAGTTTTCGGGAACAAATAGGTATTGAAATGCTACCTTTAAGTGTAAATAAGACAGTTCAAAATTTCAACTACTTTAAAATAAACATTGAAGTACATTTATTTGCTTCTGCAAGTTCAAAATTACACTGAAGAAAAGAACATCTGTTTGATCCTTTAATGCAGGTAGTCAATAAGTTATGATAAGTGGCTACAGAAAGAGTGAATAAATTCTTTTTATTTACGCCTCATGCCACCCCTCCAAACTGGTGCCTCAGCTGAGTCACCCAATATCTTACAAAAACACACTCTGATGTTGAGAGTCTGTTTCTGAAGCTTATTCCACAGCACAATGCACTATATGGCTGTGTTAAAGGAGAGAGATCTGTAAGATAAAGGCTGTTAAAGACAGCCATGTCTCCACACTGAGTGTATGTGATGTGTAGAACAACAGGTCTGTCCTAGAGCACAAGAAAAAACACAAAGATAGAGAGGAATGAAAAAAATTCAAACCAGGCTTCACTTGGTATCAAATGGTACCTGTGATCATTAATCCAGAGGTTGATGATTTGAAACCAGCCTCAACAGTCACACGTCAAAGTGGACATGTGACTTCAAGGCAACACACTGAACCGTCAGTTCTCCCACTCAGATAGTCAGTGTTTTGTGAATATGTGCGCAGTCCCTCACTAAAGCATCCTCTACAATCAGTGAATAAATGTAGTGTGAATGAGTGAATGTTATCAGCACTGTGCATTGAAATCTTCCATTCTTTGCCTGTAGACAGTATTGGTTTAAGGGCTTACAGAAAGGCTTCGTTTAAGTCATGAAAGATTATTTTTTTTGCTTCAGCTCAGCCAGTAGATACTCCACATTTAAACTGTCTTTTTTCATTTTCCAGACAACACACTGATTCTGCCATCTGGAGCCTTGAAAAATTGTGATGATATGAACGCTCTTCTACCCAAGGTATTTTCATCCTATTACTCCAAACCTTTTGGAGGGAAAAGAGTCATGATACGCCCAAGATTTTTTCAATCACAGTTTTTACAGCTAACAAAAGGGAGTTCCACAAGGATTATTTCTGGGCCCTGTCAAATACACAATGGTTGATAGTGTCTATTCAACAAATGAATGAAATACCTGTTTTCTTTGGTTTTTTTTGTGTCTTGAACCAGTTATTTATGCCCGCACAACCAAATCCATGCTTTAATCCAGAGCATGACATAGGAATTTTCAGATTTAACTGATAAATCTACTAAAAATGAATAACAACATTAATGTGTGTTCTCTAAAGTCATGTGGAGGCATCACTGCTGAATGTCATTCTTTTTTATAATCAACTAAAATCTCCTAACAGGACCTTTACTGTGACTTTGACCAAATAAGCCAAATAGTTTTCTAATCAGCAGTTTAATCTTTGTTACTGCAGTGTTTAATAAGCCTTTTACATGTAAAGATTTATCACAGAATTATAAACAGTAAGATAAAGGCCTTTGAGCATAATATTTGCCTCTGTAATTCAGTAAAGTTGAAAGAATATGTCGCAAAAAGGGGAAATAGTTACACAAATACACTTAAGTAAAGTTGTTGATTGTATGTAATTATCCACTCCAGCTGCTCTCATATGTAACCCACTGTGTAATTAGAATTATGTGGCTCTAGTCTAAAGGGATCATTTTCAGATCTTATAAAGATGTAGAAATACAAACCATTACAGGAAATGAACAAAAATAGTCAGTAATAGTACATTTCCCTCTGAAACGCAGTGAAGTCTAAATGGCATGAAATTACAGCATCTACTTAAACAGGAGCCTGTCCAGACCTTTTTGACTGGGGTGGCCCAACTGAGACACTGACTCATGCAAGGGTTGCTGAAGTAGGTGTAAAGACATGAAAATCAGTCATTAACCCTCTTTGTCTCTTCCAACCTTGTCTTAGTGACAGCTTACATCAGAATATCAGTATACGTGGGCTCTCAGTAGCCCCTTGGCCACCCATTTGGATGTGCCCCTGCACTTTAAGCATAGATAGATAGATAGATAGATAGATAGATAGATAGATAGATAGATAGATAGATAGATAGATAGATAGGAATGAAGGTACAGGTGTCTAAGAAATGTGCTGTACTGCCTGACTCAATGAGACCAGTGAAAAAGATAAATAAGGAACATTTTCAGCCAATTAAGTGTAAAAAAATAAAGTGTATAAAATACCTACATGTGAGAGTGCATGCTTGTGAGAAACACTAACGATTCAACAAAAAGAGTGACGGTTTCTGTTCCCGCACCTGAATAAAAGAAATAAAACTGGAGTTAACTGAACGATTTACATTCAGTGGTTTTACTTAACTTATTCCAAACTCAATAACCAATTGTGTGTGACAATTACTGATCTTTCATATTGTATGCATGTGGCTCTGAGATGAAGTGTACCTTATGCTCAACCATTCAGTGAGACCTTTGTGCACCTAACTCATGCACATGTTCCTTCATGCAGCTACTTCCTCTCATCACATAGTTTTATTGCACATTTAAAAATCATGTTCTATTGTATAATGTCCTCCCCACAGGGGTACTTTTGAAAGTCAAACCCTGTTGTGCATCATGATGTAATACAGTTCCTATTCTGGTCAATGAACCTTTACTCTGAATGAACTCCTGATGAGCTTCGATACATGCATATTTCACCTTTAATAAAGAAAAACAAAAACATGTGACAACTTAAGAACATTTCGATCACAACATGTAGTTTGTTATATTTACAAAAATCTGATTTTACACATTTAAATATATTTTGCGTGAAAAAGATATTATTTTCTCTTTTATTTAAGCAGGTGACGGTGTTGCATTCATGATGATCTTATCAACACTGTCATTTTTACATTCATTGCTGAAACATTCATAGGTGTAAGTAAACAGCGATTAGATGTTTTCCTTCTACTCAGCAGCAGACAAATCAATCACAAGATAAAAATGGATTAGCGAATGGCATTCTTTGTATATAAGATGAGGTGAACAGATATGTTGGATGTCAGCAGCACATAGAAGAGGACATCTAACCCCACAGACCAGTGTTCACACGGATAAAACGCAAGCACACCAATGCTGATTAGTTCCACGCGCAATTACGCACGCACTTACTCAGACTTTATATGCATCTGTAACCATTCAATGGCTTTTAAAAGGCGATGCCAACACGACAGTAGCTTAAGATCTAGACATGATGTTAGCAGGGTTTTGCGAACAGCCCTAAAACTATTTGCGGTGGTTTTTCTCATTCAGATCTCAGCCAAATACGCGAGCTTTAAAACACAGAAAGCATTAAGAGGAGTCACTGTTCTCGAGATAAATGTCCTGGTATACTGTTACCCGTCCACTTTAGCTCTACGATCTCACGCCACGATCTTTTGCCGTGCGCACTCGACGCGTCTTGGATGCTGTTATGTACTAATTCAATTTAACCACAAAGAAAAACACCCCCTTATCCTCTGTGGACGAGACCCTTGAGTTTGTTCCTGAATTCCTTCCTCATCAAAGAGTAAATAATCGGGTTTAGGCAGCTGTTGGTGTGCGCCAGACAGACGGTGAGTGGAAATACATAGGTGTGCACTATGTAGTAGGCGCTGTCCCAATTAGCTACGTTCAGTTTGACCAGGACACTCCAAAGAGTGATGGCTTGGTTTGGCATCCAGCACAGGAAGAAGGACAGCACGACAATCGTGATGGATTTGGTGACTTGAGATCTCCGTTTGGGGTTGCTTGTTTTCATGCTCCGGTTGCGGACGAAGCGCAGCAGCATTAAGTAGCTGATGGACACAATTGACATTGGCAAAACAAAACCTACAAGTATTTTTTGGATGTGATAAACTGCGAGCCAGTACTGTCCCCCGGGAAACCTCAGAAGGCAGAGTTTTTCTCCGGTCACATTGCTCACGGTGGAGAAAATAGTCGTTGGCGCAGTCGCCACAGTCGCCAGTGTCCAAATAATCACGCAGGTCAGTTTTGCAGAGCAGCAGTGGTGGCCTGTCCTATTCTTCAGGGCAGAGGCTAAAGACCAATAGCGAGTCACACTCATTGCAGTGAGGAAAAACACACTCGCGTACATGTTCATCACTGTGACCGAGAGGATGATTCTGCACATGGCGTCGCCAAACGGCCAGCTGAAGTCCAGCGCGGTGTCCACGGCCCAGAAGGGCAACGTGAGCACAAACTGGAGGTCCGTCACAGCCAAGTTTAACACGAAAAAGTTTACTCTGGACTTCCTCCTCTCGTGTTTGACTCTGATGAAGAAGAGGACGAGTAGGTTTCCTACCAGACCTGCAGCACAGACCACAGAATAAACCAGGCAGATCAGGAATCTCAGAACCGGACTCCCGTCTGCTGTCACGTCAATGTCCTCCAGGTTGCTGAAGTAGTCCATGTCCATCAGAGAGCTGTTAAAGCATGCGCTGTCATTGTCTTCATCCATGTTGTCACCAACACACTCTGACTCTTCCTATTCTCAGCCGGGAAAAAACACCTATGAGCTACTGCTAATAGAGCTCGAACAAGATGCCAACAACCATCCTCTATCTGAATCCACCCCTCCCTCCTGCCTTCTCTTCCCCCTCCTTTTCACTCGAAGATACAATCAAATGAATGTTGGGCCAGAGGTGCTAATTGACGTCCATTAGTCTTGTGCGTAATGGACCCTCCTCTCAGAGCGAGACTTTGGCATCAATTATAATCCCAAAATAAACATCCAGTGATGACAAAAGGAAAAAGACAACTGATAAGGACCTAAATAGTAAACTAATGAAGGAGGTTCATGTTTGGTGTGAGGAGTGTCAAATCTATGGAGGCTGACAGGAGGTGGCAAAGCGTGCGTAAATTGTTCTGGTCATATGATGAAAATGACTCTGCTGCCACCGTGCGCTCAGTTCTCAGTATAACAGCCACACAGTATTTTCAAATGAAGAGAACACAGAGAAGTTAACAGAATGCATTTTATTACATCTAAACTTTTCTACATAAACAGGTAACATTCAATAAGTAAACAATTTCTTCGAATGCATGTAATAAATATTTTTCACTTGGTATATTCATACAAACTGACAAAGGTCTACTGTACACTGTCTCCTCCTTGCCCTCTTTGAAAAGCCTTTTCGTGATTTTTCTCAGATTTGGAGCCGATAAACCGAACCTGTGAATGTTTTTAAGGCAGTGAGTGCAGATGTCAGCAGGAGTCTGACTGTCAGATTATTTCAGTTGTGTGAGACTCTTTATTGGCCACAGTCCTTTTTTATAATAGTACAGCTTTTATTTTCTAAAAAATATATAAATTAATTTATTCTCTCGCTCTGAACGGTCACACAAAAAGCATACAAACAGACATCAAACATCCACGTTGGAATCTGAGTTTTCAGTCTTCAGGTTTTGATACAGACATAATATACACATTTCCCTTTTAATTAAAGTGAGAACCAAAGAGATCGTCTACTTTTTCAAGGTTGTCTTCAGATATTTTGAAAACACTGCAAAGATTTACTGATAATAGTGGCCTCATTCCTTTTACTTCAGCCTGTGCAGGCTCTGTTTTGTGTCAAGCTCAGCTAACAAATACAGCAAGCTGCTGCTGCACATTTGTGTTCACACCTCTTTGTGGCTGAGGTTGGAGGGGCGTAAGAAGCAGCAGCCATGTGATTCACTCCTGCATGTGGACCTTCACTCCCTGACCGAGAAAGGAGGTTGACTGTCTTTTTTTAGAAGCCAAAGAATGATCCCTCAAGCTGTGCCGAATAATGACTTCTTCTCCCTCAAAGAACCAATCGTAGTGAACCGCAGGATAGGGCTGTGGACACTTGAAATAATGAAAAAAGTCAGAGGGTGAGAAGAGTGTTATTTTCTCGGAGTCTAGAATAGACTCTTGCACATATCTACACATTCAACACGGTCTGCTCTTCCACTTCAGGTGTGTCAGTGTGACCTGCTGCACAGGAAAGAAAGTTCAATAAATAAAATTGTGATCAAACGTGTTCAGTTTCTGAGATCACTTCATCAAGTATCCAAATACTGGTGATTAATATTCAAACTAAGAGGGGGAAACAGAAAAATCTAAATCCTCATCAGTTCAGAAAGTCAGTGTAACACTCTGAAACAAAGGTACAAACAGGCACGACTAACTAATGGAGAACTAATGAATGAATCATGACAATTATTCAGCATGTGTGCAGAGATCCTGCTGCTCTCTATGAAGACATTATCATTCACTGTGACGTTCAATAGATCTCCTGTTAATGGATATTGACTCCAAGACACTTAATACATTCATTCATGTGCAATGACAGAAAGATACAGTACAGTTACGAGCTGCAAGCACAACAACCTCCCTGCTCTCACTCCACTTTTAACTCGTACTGACTTGATCAAAAACTGTACTCCTGTTTGAAGTTGAAAATAGGACAAATGTTTTATAGCTTTATGCTTTTCTTCACCCATAAAGGTATCAATAGCACATTTTTTTTGCATTTGAATGGGACTGGTAAGACTTGTGACTTTAATCAGCCTCTTTGAACACAGAAAAAAGAGACGCTTTATTAACTTTAAGTCACATCTGCACGATGCTCTGTCTAAAAAAAGAGAGACACTTCGGCATGCTGTTCACAGTTTCATTTTCTGCTGTTAAATGGTGAGGATGAGAACGAGGCAGCGTGACCTAACCTGAAAAAACAGGGAGCAGGCGGACTGGACGCACACTTTAAATCAGCAAGCTTTAGCGAGGACCAATAATCTACAGCCATGCTGGCTTCTCTGCTGAAGGCTTTCATAAGGATGCGAGTTTAATCAGGTATACTGTATGCAAGGTTAGTTTGGCATGTTCTCATGAAAACATTAGCTGATTAGAACTGAACAGAATGTACAGATGAGGTTGATGGAAATGTAATTAGGATTACAGGAATTAAGGCATAAATTGTAGGACAAATTAAAACACTGCAGCAAGGTGAAGGTCTTATGATCATTTGCGTCAGCCGGACCATCCACTGGGGACCGTGTCACGCCAGCTGTTGAAGTATTTTAATCTAGGTAAGTGTGCCAGTTTATGTACACTCACTACCATCCTGCTTGCAGGGCTGATGTTAAATCAGAATTTTGACTTCACTAAAGATGATCTCTGTTTCATAAAAAGCGTGATATTTCCATAAGAAAAAATACTGCAACCTTTAAAATGTGTCTAGCTTGTGGTTCAGTGACGGCTTAAAGAGTTATGGTTGACGTAACAGCGCCTATCTATAATTAACGATCCATTAATCATTAACTAATCAGAGAGACTCACAGCGACGTGATCAGTTCTTAATGGTGAGCCACAGGAATCCATTACACATCCTGAATAAATAAATGAATTACACCATGAAGCACACATAAATTAAGTCGGAGTTGTTTTGTGCCCTTGTTATGAAGTGTCACACACGTTATCTCCCCAAAAAATACACACAACAAATAACTAAACGGTACCTTTTTTCAGAAATGGCTGCTGGCAAAGAATATTAAAATACGAATTAAATAAAACATAAAATAAAATCTCCCCGAGTGACAGTGAGTCACATGTGGAGATCAAACAATATGTAAAAATATAATATGTAGAAATAAGAATACAAAATAAATAAAATACCACACAACACAGGATATACACAAGACTTGTTCTGACTGTCCAGGAGCAGATGTGAATGAACTCAGAGAGGCTGAGACCGAGGAGAGAAGGGAAAAGGGGCGCAGGGGGGTTATTCTCCCACTTTGTTTCAGGAGGAGAGGAGAAGAGATGTCTGGTGATGGAGGTTTCTGTCTGAAGTGATTATCTCATCATGGTGAGGATAATGAGGCTTTGAAGTGAGCTGCCAGTCTCGGATACTGAAAGTTGAACATCCAGGAGAGGCTGATGAAAGGGGATTCTGGGAAAGTTTCAAGGACACAGGAGATAGAGGAGGGGGACCAGGTCTAATGTATGTCACCCATAATGTGACCAGACTACAGCCGATCTCTCCAGCACTGCCTCTGTGATCAACCTAAAATGAAGCAAAGACTGTAGGTGTGTCCAACAATACATTCATGATCACGCTGCGTTTCCAGCTGAATGGCGACAAGAGTGAGGTTCTCCCAAACCTCCGCCTTGCTTTGACACTTCCACATCACTCAGCAACTCAGTCACAGACAGGTATCATGTATTTCTAAACCAGCTGGCTTTGTGCCCAGTCTGACTTGGCAAGTTTAGACCTCCTTCTTCCTCTGTGGCACTTAACTGTCTGCTTACACTCTTGTACGCTTCTTCACAAGCAGTTTACCAGACAGAACTCCCAAAGATAAAGTCAAGACCCCTAAATGCATCAGTTTTTGACCATTTAAGACAGTCTTTGATCGAATCTTCATCCCAAACACGCTGTAAAGCATGCACACAAACAGGCACTGGTATAAACTTGGTCACGTCATAATCGCCTGTTTCTTTAAAAAAGAAAGAAAAAGAAAAGGCCTAATGCTGCTACAATAGCTTGACTTTCATATGAACTCCTTTTTAACAGTCAAGCATAAAACATAGACACAAAGACGACGAAAGACAAAAAAGACCAAAGTTGAAGTGTCAGAGAAATCCACCTGCTGAACTGACAGGAGTGGAAACTTGACTTCAAACACTGGCGCACAGATTCTCCTGCACTCCCACTACTGTGACCGTTTTCAGAAAGTACTGCGTGTCATTTTTGGCATTGTGCAAAGAAAAAGAAAGAAAATCTTTCAGCTCAAAGCTCTTGATTGGCAAGTAAAAATAGGCTAAAAGTCGCCTCTTCTAAATGCTGTAGGCCTGCAGAGTCTTTGTGTGAAGGTGGAAGTCAGGAGAGGAAATTAAAAAGAAAAAAAACACCTACGCACTCCCCACAGCATCAACCTGAAGGTCAGAGGGAATGCATATTTCTATACATACATATTTGTAAATGTTTAAATAGTTTACATAACTTAAGAATAAAATTATTAGTACATGAATTATCTGTAAATTCAGTGTATGAAAAGGTTTGTCATAGCAGAGGGGTTTCCTCGTTAATTTTTAAAGGAGCTACAAAGAGATAAAAGCAAGAGAGAGAACTGAAGCATACATTGGAGAAATGAAAAAATTAAGCAGGATAAAGCTTAAAAAAGGAGAAAAGATAAACACGTGGGAATAGGCATATGTATAAGCTGTCCTGGGGAGGGGAGGTAATCTCAGTCTTCCACTTGAAAAAGCGATTGAAGCAGCTCACTGAACTGAAAGTGTTCTGATTTAATATACAAAAGTAAAAGAGGAAAATATATTTTGTTTTCTGTACACGATGCCACTCATCCTTTTCGTAAAAAAAGAGCCATCCATCTATGTGTTTTTGCTCAGGTAGCATCCCTGCGGTTTGTGCCAGTAGGTGCCAGTATGGCAGTAACATCCTGCACTGGTTTCCGCTGCTCTGAAGTCAACCTACAGCTGACCCCGTGAAGAGCCGAGTCTCTGCTGTTCTCAGGTCAGTCAGTCAAACGGAGGGACCCTCGGCACTGTCCGACACTCGCATTAGTGCACCTTATAACTGCTCCTTACATGAGTTTCTTGACCTGGGGCCGGTCTAATGTCTGGATCAAAACTTCACCCTGCAGTCAAAATATGTGTTACCAGATCATAGTTGGGCCAAAACTGTAGTCTTGACTCTCCTCGAGTCAGTCCAACGATATAACATCCGGTATCCCGCCGTAAATAGCTGCCACCGCCGCCTCAGTGCTGCTCCGGCTGGCCACCACCCCAGGGTGAGCGTGCGAGGAGTGTGAGCTCGAGTGCGAAGAAGAGTGCGTGGAGTGGGTGTCCCGCAAGCTGCTGGACGAGACCAGGCTGCTGCTGCTGCCTGAGTTGCTCGCCCCGTTGGTGGGCCCTGTCAGGGAGTTGGCCGAAGACACTCCTGATTGGTCGAGGAAAAGCTGTGACGAGGAGGAGGAGGTGCTGTAGGGGAGGAAGCGGTTAAGAAGCAGCTCGTGGTCTTCTGCTGAGGCTGAAGCTGCGGCCGCTGCTGCCATCACCATGTTGTAATGCTGAGTGAAGGGAGGGACACACCAGAGCAGGAAGTGATTATCAGAGTTAGGTCAATCTTCAGCGCCGACCATGTTTTCAAGACATCCAGACACTCAAGGAGTAAGTCTGTTTTCAGTCGGAAATCCTGTTTGCTAGGGTTACCTGCTAAGACCCCCAAGTAATTTGTAATAATTGCTGAAATTATCTTTGATGTTGAGACCTTGCAATCCCCTCTTTGTGTCTTTTATTTGCATCTTTCTTGGTTATAAAACCTGTTGTGTCAATTACTTAAGGTGCTATCCGCTCAAAAAAATCTGTCTGCATTTTGGGCGCAAATACAGGAGTCTGATCTCGCTGTACAGTTAGAAAATCGATTGACAGAAGAAACCCTCGGAGGTGCATGAAACAGAGTCAGAAAAAATGATGAGAAGTGCCACAAGTTGATTCTTTTTATGAGCACAAGAAAATGACAAGTTATCTTAAACATCTATTTTCTTCGACAATGGGTATATTTCATCTTGATGGTATGTTTGAGAGATTTTCCAAACTCAATATCAAACACTTTGTTTTGATATCAATCTGTTGTAGTGTAAATGTCGTCCACCATTCCTCCCCAAGCTGAATCACTGCTTTATTCATCTCTGTGGTGAAGTCATAGACTGTATATAGAACGAACGCCGTCTGCCTCCTCACTGGGTGAAGCCACCATGGGAACAGCACCCTCTGGTGACGGGCTGCAGTATAGGTCATAAATCCCGCCTCCTCCAGCCATCATTGTGGACAAACTTTAGAAATTTATTACACAGAATATAAACTTTTCTCCCCCCTGGTTGTGATGTTGACATGTAGTTACAGTAAGACTGGTTTGTGCTCAAGTCCTCTTTTTTTCAGTACAGCTCCGTTTTTAAAAGTTATTGGGGGGTTCATGTTTTCTATGATTGACACTTGATATAGCTTATGGGCGTACCAAGATTGTGCAGCTCACGCGGAGGATACGCTGTTTGAGCCGAGCGTCATCAAGGCGACTCTACTGCACAATGTTGGTTTCAGGAAGTGAAGAATAATCATGGAATAACCGAGAGCTTTTCAGCTTCAAATCTTATACTGGCGGAAGGCGGAACCAAGTTGTCCATAGTATATACAGTCTATGAGTGAAGCTCACTAACCCACAGTCACCTAAATTCATGCTTTTGGAGCTCCAGCATTTTCTATGGCTCATATCGACAAAAAAGATGGCAGTGAAAAAGATCTACTAAGAATAAACAAGCATGATAGAGTCCGAAGTGAATGTAAATGCTTTTTTCAGCACCCGACACAAAGAGAGAATACACAAGTCACAAACATGTTATCTTGTGCACCAAAGATCTCAACCAACTTGTGCACGTTGATGATTTGTACACATGAGATAATCACTTAGTCGTCTCAGTGAAAAGATCGGCCTCAATAGTTGTTCATAACTCTCTCTTTCCCTGACATTCACTTGTGAGACTGGGAGGAGTTCGCGGTACTCTGGAGAACTCTTACTTAAAAGCTCTAACTGATCCCTCTACGCTTTCAACTCCAGCAGACTACGAGCCAAAGTGCTTCAGAGTTTCAGAGCAGTGCAACATTTATGAAGCTTTAAAAGCCGACTGTGATGTTGTCTGAGGTAATCTCGACCCGTCCAACTCATAGACAACATTATGTTTGAAAAGTTGGAGAGCAGCATCTTCTCAGAGGTGAGATCGGCTCATATTCTTCATTAAGTAGCTGCTTTTTACATCATGGAAAACAGAGAAGGGTTCACATCAGTGCCTGGAGGTTGAGTTGAAGTTACTTTTTACTCTCACTGGAGTAAGACTCAAAATCAAGCACATCTAAGCAGCCGTGGACATATTTCAGGATCTTTTATCTTTGCTCAGTTCACTCCTCAGAGAGGGTTTGTGTCAGACACTCAGAGAAGGGCTTATTTTTGGTGTTTTCAGTCAGCACATAGAGTTTTATCTAAGTTGTGTTTTGAAGTACTTCACAGTGAGTCATGGTTACATGTTCACATGATGTGAAACTCTGTTGTACGTACCTGATGATTGTCGCCTTGAAGAAAAGAGAAGAAGTTCAACTCTGGAAGTGAAGCAAAAGTGACATTAATGATGAGCATCAGAAAAAAAACAGTTTGATAAACGCAAACACAGGAATGAGTTTTACAGTAATTAAAAAACAAGTTTAATTGCTTTTAATAAGAAATACCATTACAACTACTCCACACTAAGTGACACGTTTTATACAATCAAATAAAAAAAAGTTATGTGTTTGATTTAAAATCATCAAACAATGTGAGGAAGGTTAAAGTTTCACAGCTTCTGGGCTCTATTTTCGTTCGCGCCGGTGAGGCGGCGGAGGGCGGCGAGCCCCGCGCAGTTGTATTTTCGTCTGGTGGAGCCCGGCGTAAGGCGAGTTCGGTATTTTCGTGGACTGAGTCGCACGGAGGCGAGCCAAGATCCGCCAAGCTGGGCGTGGTGGCGTGGCAGGGGGAGGTGTTGACAGAATCAGCTGGCGCAGTGACATTTTCGTGCTCGCCACCGGCGTGTAACGTGCGCTGAAAGCTCGCCGATTCAAACCTGGTCAGCTTTCAGCGCAAGGGGGAACGCAGCTGGTCTAGTAGTATTTTGGTAGACCGGCGGCGTATCGACATACGTCACCGATGCCTCACCGGCAGGTTTCCACAGTGTCAGGCAGATTTCAGTGCAATAAATAATCATCAACAACTATTAATCTGAGTCAGCACATACATTTAGATCTATATAGATATATTCTGATCTATATCTGATCTGATGAGCGCGTTTGGCACGCGTTTGGGCACACAACCTGACCGAATCAATACAGCTGAAACTGCATCAAATTAAATTAAATATCTAGTAAATAAACACACATGATGAAGTTAACAAGATATGTAATGTGTCTCCCTCCTTTTCTTTCTTCCTCTTATTTCTCGCACAGCTTGACCTGGACACGTCTCCGTGTCCTCTGTCCGTCTTGCTGCTGCTGCTGCAGCTGAACAGATGATTTGTTTCAGTGCTCAGATGCGTGATCTACTTTAAGCCGACATACGGATATTATAATATTCAGTTTTGTGGGCCAAATTTATTTTATATGCCAACATCTATGAAAGAAAGAGCCAGGCCACGGAGCGCGATGCGTCATTTACGCACAGATGGTTCCGATTTTAATGCCATTTTTGGAGTTTATGTTGTGATCTGTACGCTAAACCGACCTTTGTCACGTGAGGTTTGAATATATGCAACTTTATGTGACTTTATGTCTTTTTTGTGGAAAAGGGTGTTTGTCTTACCAGTGGGTCCAACATTACGCACACCAAATCCATCTGTGCTCAGATGAGAGAGTGTGGAGGACACTTGTTGAGCAACTGCCCTCTGTCGCCATCTCGTGGCATAACTGTCTTCAGACATCTCTTGATCTCTTTGACTACTTCATGAAAATAGTAATACGCCTCGCCGGTGGCGGATTTAAAGGCAAGGAGAGGAGCTTATGTGATTGGTGAAAACAGGTCTCGGCTGTGTTAAACCCCCTATACGCCCTCTCTCCTCCCCGTCTATGATTTATGCTGCCGGGAGGAGCTGAGTTAGGGAGGGGGGATACTTACGCCGGGCTGCGCGGCTCACCAAAATACCAAAATGTGCTTGGGAACGCCTTGTCAGCGCGGCGGATCTGATTGACGCTGCGCTTGCGGCAGATCTCCGGCGAGGCACCAAAATAGAGCCCTATATCTTCAAATGTGTTTTGGACTCCAGTTTTCTGCATCAAGACTTTATTCTGTCATATTCTGCTCAGCTGTCTCATCAGAAAGTCATTTTAATCATTTCAATGGCTTCATAGGTACACCTGATGAAAGTCATCTTTTTATTTATTTTTTTTTTTACAAATACCTGAAGATGCCCTGAATTCTGAGTTTGCTGTGTACAGAGTATTTCTGTGTTTGTACCTGACAGCTCATTGGGGGTGTGGTAGTACGGTCTGTAGTCCTGTATGAGTGGAGGGACAGGAGGGATGTAGCTGGTGTCTACAGCTGGTATGCTTGGAGCCCGGCTCACAGGAGACGCCTGGTGGTGCAGATTCAGCACTCTGAAGGAAGAGACAAAAGAGGAGGTTTAGATAAAGTGATCCGTGTGAAGCATAATGACTCCTTTATTTCATGTCATGTTCATCAGGTCAATCATGAGAATGACGTCTCCTCTGCTGACCCTGAACACTAACATCAACAGGCCTCAATCAAATGAAAGGCAGTGTCTCTAGTTTCTGAACAGATTCGCAAAATAAATTCAGATTTAACTAAAAGTGGATGTTTGAATTTTACAGAGCTTCAGTTTAAATATTCAACCACCTCCAGAAGTTCTTCAAATATTTCTCTGCATTTTCATTTCAGTTTGCTCTTTAAACAAATCCTCTGTCACCTTACACATTCTCATATTCTACCAGCCTTCTCGTATTTAGCAGATGTTCAAATAATCAGTTTAAACCTTTTTTTCTTCCTCTTTTATCAGTCAGGTTTGCATTTAAAACATCCATGAGCCCTAGCTTCTGTTGCCATGGAGAGGAAATCAAATGAGTACATTGGAGATTTCTAAAAATATTTTATTCATATTTTATTTCACAAATTTTGGCACCATATTTGCTTAAGCTGTTCAACTTTGACCTCAAAACTGGAAGTGATCAAACTAACACACAGTCTGCTCTCAACGGCACGCATGATAAAACTTCAAGGTCGGTGATTGGATGACTCCCACAGGACCTAAAATGTCAATGCATACACAAGGCAAGTTATATGCTTTTTGTTATGTGCTCTTATATAAATGTAAGTTCCTTCTGTGGCTTTAGAGTTTTATACTAAAGAGGAGCTCAGACTGTTAGTGACTGTATACTGAAAAGATGAGAAGAAATTTAACTCTTTAAAATCTGTTTGATAGTTAAAAAGTTCCTAAATCATTTATGAACCTGAGAGTTTATTGATTATTTAACTCAATCAGCACCTTATATGCATGTAAACAAATATTAGACTAATTTTTATTCCTCTTTATGGAGTTTATTTTTCAGAAAAACATGTAGATTCAGTGCAGTCATCTATTTAAAGCCCTTTCACCCAGTTTAATCTTTAAAAAGAAGTTTGTACACAGATCGCCCTCAGCCAGCACTCTCTGCTACCTTCTGTGAAAGCTGTTAATGAAACATAAAAACATACTTGGGAGTCCAAGTGCAGAACTCATGAATGATTTAACATCTAGACACACGTGTCAGCAGCTAAAACAATCCTCATTTCCACGTTTAATCACAGCCAAAGTATGTAGAAAGAAGGATGCACTGGCAGCATGGAGCGTGTCTGTGTGTGTGTCTGACCCTTTGTTGATGACAGGCGGTGAGGTCGGGGACAAAGAGGGACACGCTCTTTTGGGTGGAGGAGGGAGCGGAGGTGGAGGAGGGGGCGGTGAATCTTGTCCTTCATCTTCCGAGGAGCTATCAAGCGTCAAATCGATCACCTCCACTTTTTTGCTGTTGCTGCTGTCGTTACCGCTGTGGCCGGATGACGTGGTAGTCCGCTGCTCCGAGGCTGCAGATGTCCGACATGAACCTGCGGAGAATCAACAGAAAAACAAAACAGTTTGAGTGATTACATTTATATTTGAAACAGGATTTCGTGGCTTCGCTCTTGTTACTCCCTCTTATAAACACTGGGTCAGAGACTCAACACAACGTCTAACTTCCTCTCAGGATAACTTTGCAAACTTTCATTCGCACGTCAACCCAGGCAGCAGTTTGACAAAAGCGCTCTATTTCAAAGTTTATGGCTCACTTTTACTAAAACACTCATTTATCCGTTCTGATTTAGTTTTTCCTTTTCTTTCCTCATTTGTCTGTTAACATACTGCTTCATTAGATTACTTAGTTCTGTTGTCTATCTCTGTTGTCCCAGGGGAACCATGTCATTTTATTATCTTTTTATGTTTATCTCTTTTTGAAAGCAGTAGAGGAGGCTGATTGCGAAGTGTTATACCTGCATTTTTATTCTTTGTTATTATGAAAAAATCAACAAAGGTGTTAAGATTATTTAGGACTTTTTGAGGGTGTGGAGTAAAAACCAGAGCTGAGGCTGCAATGAGGCTCAAATGCCCGCATGTACATTTTCCCCAGCCCCGGTATGAGATACAGTATGTTTGTAACCATGGAGACAGGCAGTTTACTCTGTGGCTTTTTGATTGATGCCTCACCAAATTATAACTGACAACGCATAAACAAAGAGGGGAGGGGATGTAAACGCTTGATCCCTCTCTTTCTTCCTACTGCGCCTTAGTAATCCTTCTTTAATCACTCCCAGCTTTCTCTCTCTGCCGTCATACAGAGGTAACCTCTCTTCTTCACAGCCCACCCTGTCCCCACTCATCCCCTCCTGAAGTATCTCACCATCCAGCCCGTTGTTGTAGGAGGCAGACGAGACCTCCTGCACTTCCTTCTTCGACCTCATGGGGGCCCAGCTGCCATCCTCCTTAAACTGGATCTCATCGCAGTCCATGCAGCTGTTCAGGATCTCCACAAAGAGCCTGAAAGCAAACACACACTCATCATGAACAAACTCTGCCGAGAAAACATAAACAAACACACACAGAAATTAGCGAGGTTTTCTAAACAAAAGGCGGAGGAGAGGGGGGAAGACCCTTCACTTCGACTGAGTTCTCAGAAATATTAAATCTACTCTAAACAGGCCAACATTAACACTGCTCTGTAAACACTTCTCTGCATGAAACACATGTCAGTGTTTCTCTTTGATATTATACACTCATGTTTTCTTAAGCTCCCTTTGGTTAATGTCCTCAAAAAGCAGCAAACTCAAAGCTTTTCAGAACCACCTTTAGTTTCACAGCAAGCTCATCCCCTCCTATTATAAAATTCAGTGGTGTTCATGCGGTATTCTGGTCATCTCTGGTTATTTTAACATGTGTTGTATTCAGGAAGATAAGATAAGATAAGATAAAATGTTCCTTTAATAGTCTCACAGGGGGAAATTCCAAATTTACAGCAGCATACAGACACACAAAGAGAAATTAAAGTATAAAGAAACTTAGAGTTAAGAAAAAAGAAAAAGATACATACATGAGTCATATTTACATGTGTACAGAATATAGATAATGATATGGTTTATAATTTGCTTTATGAGCATCAAAACTTGCTATGAGACAGTTTTGATGCTTATAATGCTAAACATGATGAGAGTTACACTCGCTTTCAGACTCAGTCTTCAAAGTGTTTTTGTAATAACAAAAGAATTTTTTTATTCTGTGCATTTAAAAAGTTACAAAATAAACCTCTTTAAGTTAAGACAGAGCTGAAGAGAAGAGTTTCTTTGGCCAAACTTACTGTTATATAACCATAAAAGCAGTAAATTCCAACATTTAAGAACCAGAAGTAAAACATTTTCAAGAAAAAAAATGTCAAACAAATCATTCGTCAAATAAATCTGTATTTGTTTTTTCAGTTTTTTTTTTTAAGTCTTCATCATAACACCAATTTCTTAATTACAAAAATAACCATTGAAAGTCTTGACCTGAGATTTCTTGGCCAAATAATTTTCCACAGTGAAGATTTTAAAAGTAGTTTCTGGTAAATGAAAAACAGACACTTAAACATGACATGTCACACTCACACCTATATCAAACATGAGCTACTCTCACACTGTAATTCCACATCGGCACTGTCATCACAGCTTTACACTTACACATTCAACTTCACAACTACACAATAATTGTGTCCCGTTGTGAGATCTGCAGAAGCTCCAGAGGCACGACATATTAATGCAAAGCAGGAGCTCAACGTAGACACACACTGAGGTATGTGCTGTCCTGCCCTGCCAGCTCTGACACTACACATAACTAACACCATCTTTCCCCCATTACACCAATGTTACTACATCCTGCAGCGGATTGGAGGAAGAACCAACACACACAAGAACAAGCACAGTCACACACAGCGCAGTGTTAACCCTCGAGTTGAGAGGTGAGCCGCTCTGCCGCTGTGCCCCATATTTATGTCGTTACATCCATTTATTTAACCTTAAATCACTATTCAAACTTATTCCAGTGAATTGTTTGGCCTCTCAAACTCAATCACAGCAGGTATTCTGTAAAAGATAAAAGAGATTTTCTTGAAGCTTGTTTACTTTCTTGGCAAGACTAAGAAAAAAAAAATCAATCATCTCTCAACTGTGGAAATGAAGCAACAGGCAGAAGCTTGTTAGCTGTCCTTTAAAAGACCAGAAATAGGAGAAATCAGCAGGACTTCCTTTGTCCAAAGCCGCAAAATTCTCCTACCAGCACCTCGCTCATTAGCAAGTCACTAGAAACGCTGCTTTCTAGTCAGTTTGTTCGGTTTTTTTATGCTTGTTTAAAAAAAGAAACCCCATTCCCACTACTTTCTGACAAGTAATTAAGTGTGATATCTATGAGGAGGAGACAGGGGGTTGGATGACTCACCCGTCAATGATGAGGTGCTCATAGGGGGCCTTCTTGTCACACACAGGACACACCCAGGTGGGCTTCTTCTCATTCATCTGGATGTAGAGTGTGGCGTCAAAGCACTGCAGGTGGGAGCATGTTAGCGCTCGGCACGGGATCATCAGCCGCATCTTCCCCAGCTGTACAGAGCAAACACACATGCATGAGGAGGACACGCACAGAAATACACACTTAGAGGCACACACACACACACACAGCAGGGATGGAGGGTATAGGTGATAAATGTCACAAGCACACCAGACCCACATGTGCCAGATGCGTGATAGGGGATGAGGATATAAATTGACAGGGGTATGGTGTGCACAGATGGGAGTTAAGGACGCACAGACATGTTGAGACACGCACAAAGGAAGCAAAAAAGAAAGGAATGGACAGACGCGTTTTGACACGACTGAATCTCAAGAAAAGCCGTAGAATTTATGAGGAGCAGGAAGGATGTTTACCGGGCAGAGAAGCGACACTCGAAGGCTGGTCGTGGCGATTTCACTGTCTGGGTCTGCTGTGAGTTTCTCTTTGACTGCAGACACACATACACACAAACACACACACGCACACACACACAGACAGGAGGGAGAGACAAAGAGAGAGAGAGAGAGAGAGAGAGAGAGAGAGAGAGAGAACATACTCTGTATCAGTTCCAGACTGCAACCTCTTTACTTTTTGTTCCAAACTCAGGCCAGGAATGAAGCAGCATTCAAGAGCTCTTCATGCTGCATGAAACTGATAAAGTCCTCTACGCACTTGATTTTCGAACAAATGGATGCACACAGTTTGCAAATAATCTGAAACATCTGAAGGGGTTAACGTGCAAATACAGGAAAAACAATGAATCTGTGTAAATAAACTGAAGTAGCTCTCCCCAACTTATAACAGACTTTCACACTTTACCCCACCACACAACTTTAAATGAGTATTTAAGTAAAGAAATGGTTTTATTTCAATAGAAAAGCAGATAAGATAAAATACTAATATATAGTATAAACACCTGAATAAAATAACAAATTAAAACAACACAAAAAGTATCATAAAATTAAACTTTAATATCTTAGACGGATTTTCATGACAGGGCCAAAAAGATTTTTTTTCATTTTTCCTGCAGTTATTTTTTAATGGGTGAAAATCTATCTGCCCACTTTAATGGATGTCATGCATTTGAGGTTATATTCAGCCCATTGGGCCTCAAATGAGATATATCTTATCCTAAAATACAGACCGTTTCACTATTCTTCAGATTTTGCAGTTCAGTACAACGTTAACATATGAACGTTTAGACTTGTTGGGATGTGTGTGCATGAATGTCTTTGAGTATACAGTAAGCAAAAACAAGCACAGAGGCTGAGTGAGATCCTCGTTTTAAATTTTAAATGTTTTTTTTTTTTTTTTGTCTTAAGTTGTTGTTTTCTTTAAAAATGTCCCCTTTATTGCTATTGTTTTAGATATTTTTTTGTGTGTCCAAAAGGGACCAGTACAAAGTCCCATTTAAATACTTGTATTCTTAGATGTTCGGTGTCCTCTGCAGTAAGATGAAGCATATTTCTCTAAATATGAAAAAAAAAAGGTACTGACATAATTCTTCATGAATTTGACAAAAAACAAACATCTAATCCCAAAGTATCGTTGATACATAAAAGGGTTAAAACACAGCATTTCTCTTTTGCTTTTGGGAGTTATTTGAGTTTGTTTGTGTTCATAAGATCATTGTGTGGGTGTCCTGTGTGTGTTCCTTTACACTAGTGGGTCAATACCTGTACTTTGACAGTATGTGTGTGGGCTGTATCGGCGGTTTGTGTTAAGGTCATCTCATAGATGAGATTGTGAAAATGTTCTGCACTCATTTGTTGATCGTGTTTGTCTGATTTTTTTTGTGATCCGTACAGCACAGTTACATCACGTCCGTATCAAATGCATCAATAAGATTATATTAAATTGATTTGAGTTAGTTTGTGAAAATGACTGGAGCCTTTTTTATGTGGGACTGAAATAAAGCCAGGGGCTGATCTGAAGGCCAGTCTTGACTCAAGCAAATTTATTCATAATGACTTCTTTTATGTGTTTCTTTTTGTAGTGATTTGGTTGTCAGCTGAACACTTAATCACTTAATAAGGTCAGCATCTGCCCTGATATAAATCTGACATTTTAGATTTCTAAAAAGAAAGAAAAAAAAAAAAGCTTGGCGGTCCTTACTGAGAGCTCTGGAGTGGTCTGGGTTTCTGATGCCTTTAGCCCGTAGTCTCTGTAACAGCACTGTGGAGGACTGCTGCTTCACCAAGTACACTGCCATGGAGTAACTCTGTGGAAACACATGAATGCACAGTGCGGTTTAATAATAATGTGTGGAAAGATACTTAAAAATTCACACAGACACTCATTGTGCTTGCTGACATCAAAGGTCTGGGCCAGCTACAAAGACGGTCCTTGAGCGGGGTTATTCCAGGTCATTTCAGCAGGAAGGATGCTTACATTACAAAGCAGATCTTACTGCTCGGGGAGTTACTCATGTATGTTTAGCCTGAAAAGAGGGATGAGAGGACTTGTGCGCTGTACACTGAGAACTTTTGTCAAAATGACCCTCATCAATAGGAATCATTTCTATAGATGTTGGCGGCATTCAGTCAGTCTTCGGCTTTGAACTGATGCGCACAGATATGCGTATGATCAGCGAATACCACCGTTAAATCTGTAAGTCTGTGAGGAAAATTTTAATTATGAGAAAACAAGTATGTGCTGGCAGAGGTAGATTAAGAAATTCATGAATAAATCTTGAGTTTTACCAACATCACAAAGAAGCTGAGAAATTATATGATAATAAGAGCTTACTGGATTTACTTGTATGAGCTACATAGTACACAGAAAATTACAGGAAAGCTTATCATGAGTCAACAATCTCCAAATATTTACATTACCCTAAACGCATGGATGCATCTGCACGGGCTAATATTTGCCCTGTTGAGAGATATCTGCACACCTGCAAGTAATATGCAATGAACTGATGTTAGACGCAGAGGTTCATGTTGTGTTTAAGGATTGCTAAGATTCTAGACGACCAAACTACAAAGTCAGAAAAGAAGCTTTTACCGGGGAGGAGAATTCATAATTTTAGACACACTGATTGTGTTTTCATGGTGAAACAATAAAATGTCAGTAGTGTTACTCTGTCTCTGAAAAATATCAGCAAAAGGCAGTTTTTAACAAATAAATCAAACTCATTTAAAATGACAGACTGTTTTACAAATAAGAGTGCAATATCAGTTACAGGATAAGCTGTGGGCTAAATTGTGATATTCAACATAAGTGTCAGCCTTGATCTTCTCAGCAGGTGAATCTGGGTTTAAAACAATCCAAAAACACAAACATATTCAGTTCAGAAAGAAAAAGTAACTAAATAAAATATGATTAATTTGATCTTTATTCTCATAACCGTCAGTTCAGAGGTAAGAAAGTGTAACACTTCGGTTCCTACCCTTCCGATCTCAGCGGTCCACGACACCACAATGGTATTAGGGACTGTGGTGGACAATCTGACCAGTGAGGTAATATTGATGGGCCGGCTGGGCCGCTTAGGCTCCACGCCATTTTTGGTTGGAGGAAGATAACCCTGAAAGACAGATACGATTACTTTAACAGAGGAACTGCTTTTTTAAAGTCTTACATTAATTAAGAGAGATGCTGACATGAGAGAGAACAGAAAAGGAGTCAGAATTCAGAGGTCATCTGCTGTTTATCTATGATGTTAAGACGCAGCTCCTTACCGGCAGGTTACACGGCTTCCCGTTGACTTTCACGCACAGATTGGGAGGGAAATGGTCTTCCTGCGGACAGCTCGTCTCTGACAGGCAGAACCGCAACTGCACTTGAACTGAGAAGTCACATTTGTTCCCCGAGATGTCCCTGCGGGCATGGAAACAAATCGATCACCACACATCTGCAGAAAGTATGTAACATATATGAATTATTTATGCCTTATGCACGTTCCCCTACTGATGGAGCACCGTTCAACTTACATTGAGCTGCTGATCTGCTGGACTTGCTGTGGTGTTAATGCAAAGGCGAAACACGTCTCCTGAAATCTCTGGCTGTTGTCTGATGCTGCAGAAAGAGGAAGGACAGATATCTTTAATACATGGGAAATCTGAATATGCACCAAGTTTTCCAACAGTTACAAACTGTGTGCCAACAGTTCAAAAAATATGCGACTGAAAGACCGAGAGAGAGAAGGCAGAACAAGCCTCACAACGGTTTTAACCTTCAAATAAATCATCTGCATGAAACAAAGAAAGAAGGAGGAGAAGTGTGTGCACAGCAGTGTATCAGCGGGTGTCTCCTGCATAGACATAATTTGTAGGTAGACCTCGCAGGTATAAATTTAGGAAAAACTAAAGCACACCTGGATGTCAAAACCAGACCACCTCACACAGGGGTGAGGAAGAGGAAAATGTGTGTATGTGTGTGTGGGTGTGAGTGTATGATCTATTTTTAGGCCCACTGAGAGGTGCTGGAAATAACTGGTGCTACTAACCCAGCCTTCATTAAAGAGACAGCAGGTTCTCAAAGGCAAGAAAAAGTTTGTGAGTGTGTGTCAAAAGGAGGTTAGGAGAAAACAGGAAACTGTGAGCTGTGTTCAGAAAGACATTTTCTGTATTCATTTCAATGGTGAAGCGAATATTTTTAAGAACACTTTTAATTTATTCTTTCAGAGGGAAGGGTGAAAAGATTGAAACCATTCTCATGTTTGTTCTTTGGGGCAAAGTTAAAGCTGAGGGAGTCGCTAGCTTTTAGCATTGAAGGGATATTCCGGCATAAAATTCATTTTGGCTCAAACACACCGTAACACCGAGTTAGACACCCCGTCGAGAGATGAATGTTGTCGACCGCATGCTTTTCTAGTTATACCAACTTTAGTAACGACTAACGACCCCACAATAGCAATACAGGGAGCCACACGCTCAACCAAAACGCCACTCTATAGCCACAAATAATGATCAGAACAGCACCTAACTTCATCAACAGTACATATAGGGTCCCAGCCATAGTACTAGCCACCAAACATCTTTCTAACTTTGCCTGATTTCTTTCACAAAGATACGAAATACAACTTACGTACTCTCTTCCAGCAGCCGCTTGTTTGTACAGAGATCTCCGGGCGAGTCCATCGACTGCAGCGGGTTGACGCAGCTCAAGGAAGAACATTTATGATTATTACTTTATCATTTCCTTAAAGTAGTAATCATCATATTAATGATTTTGCACTGCAGACACGGTAGTTCTTCTGCCTTAGTGTCTCAGTCTAATTGCATTTCCATGTAGAAATAATCATAAATGTTCTTCCTTGAGCTGCGTCACCCCGCTGCAGTCGATGGACTCGCCCGGAGGTCTCTGCAAAAAACAAGCGGCTGTTGGAAGAGAGTAGGTGAGTTGTGTTTAGTCTCTTTACTAAAAGTTGGTATAACTAGAGAGGCAAGCGGTCAGCAACATTCATCTCTGGGGGAGGTCTAACTCAGTGTTACGGTGTGTCTGACCCTTACCTAATTTTACGCCAAAATATCCCTTTAAAACAGGAATCATGTGGACACTGCTAGCCTGGCTTTCTCAAAGTGATAACACACTTACTACTATCAAAAATATCTTGTAAGCTAAATGTGTAGAGAAAAAGGACAAAGTAGTTTGTTGTCTTAAGGTGCGAAAGTAGAACCATCTCTCTTTAAAACACCTGTGAGGACCTTTCTGTTTGCTTTTGCTCTCCGTACAAAGCACCTTTCTGCCAATTTCCACCTGCACGTGTGTGAATAATGTTTTCTGACAAAATCCTCATCCTGTTCTTTAAACTGTAAATTGCATCACTCAGGAATATCTGTGGTGGGAAAATCAGAAGGAGACGCTGTAAATCATCTTGTCTGGCACCTGCCCCCTCACAGTGGTCACAAGTTTTCAAAATGACAATATAAAACCCACCAGTCTTGTCACTGATGTGTCTTTTAAAGTCTTGTTAATTTTAGTCTGTATCATACTCAGCTAAAACAAAACAGACAGATTTATATGTGTAAATGTTGTACATATACAAATGTGTGTGTGTGAGGTCGCTCCTTTAAAGGTTGCTGTAGTACTAGCGAGCTGTGAGTGAGCCAAACACCAGAACAAAGGGATGCATGTTCTCAATCTAGAGTCTGAGATGACAGTTTTACACATTATGAAACAACACAGATGCAGCACACTTGTAGACACCATATTCAGTCAAACCGCATCACTTTGTCGCAACTTTGACGTGTATGAGAAACAGAGTTCAGTTAACCGCTGCTCATTTATTCAAACTCTGAAGGAAAGACAAATGACTCGACTCTGACTCTGCAGGAACCCGCACTGCTGCTAAACTGAAACCGACTCAAATCCTTACAGCTGAGGAAAAGCTTTTAGCGTTCACCACGAGAGCGAGAGGTTCATCCTGCCTGGTGCAATACCAGAGCTTTCTCTTTGTGCGTGCACATCAATTTTTGTGGGACCTAATTGCTGAATCTTGGTGGGAATCACTTTGCCTGAAGGTTGAGCGAGCGAGTGAGTGAGTGAGTGAGCGAGCGTGTGAGTGAGGGGGATGATGAGCTTCAGAATTACCTGTCATGAATCGTGACTGTTGCTTTAATCAGGCTGAACCGTCGGTGAATGACAGCTTATAACACATGCAGAGAATTCGTGTGCATGCAGGATTACACACACACACAAACACACACACTCTCTCAGCTCCATAAAGTGCACTAAGGTAGTTTCAATCCTTATGAGGCACCAAGAGGGGGAAAGTCTGTAGTTTTTGTGCATGATTCCTGGTCCAATCACGCCCCTCCTCTCATCAAGCCTGTCAAACAGCCAATAATTTTCTCGGTAATGACCTATCTAACTACCCACACAGTGTGTAATTTGTACTGCTTGTATATATACACTATGTTTCTATTCATGCATCTTTTAAGAGGCAGCCTGTATACTGCAGAACAAAATCATAGGCACTGAGTGTGCTTTCGAACAACAGTCTCCTCCTCTCCGGGCACACACGCTATAAATAGAAAGTGCTCTCTCACTCTCTCTCTCTCACTCTCTCTCTCTCCCACTCATCATCTCTCCATCACTCCCTAGCTCACTCTCTTCGGTGGTGGGATTCTTTCTGGTGTGTGTGTGTGGTGAGGAGAGATATGAGACCGGTTGAAATGAGCCTAAATGGATGTCTTCCTCTCTCTCTCACACACACTCATAAAAACTTTCCTTAACCCCCACCGTCAGAATCCCACTGTGGCTTAGATAACTCACATAATCGCAGATGCATCCAGAGCGTGCGACATCAAATTCAGGGTTTTTGACAAGTTTGATGCACAAATAAAAGCCGTATTTCAGACCATGACTGCGTCTTATGTGCCCAGTTCATTATTTATTGCGGAAAAATTAAACAAACCCTGAGAAAACCTCCCTGTTTTAAGAATGAGGCTGTTATAAAAAATTAAGTAGACTAAATCTCATGCAGAATGTAATTTTAATAAATGAAGTCTCTTTAACTTCACCGAAATAAGACTCAAAATTAATGATGCTATGAGCAGAATTGTAATTACTGTTAAGCACATTTCTGCCTCTGCAAGAAAACTGACTGCTGCTTACTGATGACTGCTGAGGAGCAAACCAGCATGAGTTAATGTTAGTGATTTAAAATGAGACATTGTGATTGCAATAAAACAAATAAGGAGAATAATCAGTGAACGTCTCTAAAGAGTCAAGTACCAGGACTTTGGTGGTGGTGTTGAGAGACGTTTTTTTAGGAGTTTAAAATGGATCTCTGCAGAGTGTGATGAATTACGTACTTGGTGCCATGCCTCAAAACTATCATAACTGTCTTGTGATAATAATTATCTGTCAGAGGTTGTGTGAAAGGTGTTATCAAACTGACAGTGTCCCGACGCAGTGACTGTGTGACCTGAAAACTTGAAGACTCTCAGTCCTTCAGACCCTCGCTGCACAGACCACTATTTACATTGTCTTGTAACGCGAAATGTGTGTTAGAGAGACAGATGGTGGGAAGAGTGACAGATGAGTGAATGGCCTTCAACGATGATGTTTACGGTGGAGAGAAACAAGCCAAAACATACAATTTGCTCCATTTTAAGAGGTGATCTATAATGAGGGGTATTTGTACAATACTGTCCAGGAAATTACTGTCAGATTAATTGACACACTAATGACAGTAATCACCAGCTGCAGTCTGGGTTTGTATTTGATTTTAATTTTATTGTGTTTGGTCAATATTTTATTAATAAGTCTGTCCTCACTGAGACATCATGAAAACGTTGCAGTTTCTTAAATCACCAAAACTTTTAAGTGAGCTATTGGATTGATTTCATTAGACTGAGTTAATTTAGCAAGGATGGAAACTTTTGCTACAGCAAAACTGAGGGAGACATGAATTAAAGTCTGTAAATAAAGCTGAGTAAAGTTCAGCATCTGTTTTGGACATTTTAAATGACATTACCACAGAGGGCTGGATGATAAAACGATAACATCGAAAACTAAAATCCCTCTATATCAATACAAAACATGGTCAAAACGCTTTTCAATAGTTGGCATTCCGCCATGTTTTGGTAGACTATACAAATAGCCAATGAAAAGGGGAGTTGCTCTGTGTCCGCTTCGCGCTGAACCAATCGTGTGCTAAATTAGAAACAAGTAGCAAACAACTGCGTAGTAGCAGGCTGCAGCTACATGCAACAACGGCACTTAAACATGTGAAGCCGACAGCACTGTTGGTGAGAAAATGGGTGCTACCCCCCGACAGAAATGCAGATGAAGGCTGAACAGATGATGACATCGTTGACAACACTGGTGGTGTGGAGGTATTTTGGTTTTTTGAGGTCGGACATGAAGCAGAGTAATGTGCACTGCAAATGATGTCGAGAACATGTTCTCACAAAGTCAGCGAATGCCTCAAATCTTTTTCACACCTGAAGCAGTGCCACTCAGCAGAGCACACACAGTGCAAACGGTTACAAACCCTGAGCGGAGCAAGGAGGCCATAGCGCCTGTGCAGCTGAAACAGCCGACCATTCAGTCCGCTTTCTGTAGCGCAACGCCTTACGACAAAACGTGGAGGAGACACGGAGAACTCACAGATGCAGTAGCTTATTGTATTGCAAAAGACATGCGACCAATAAGCACTGTTAAATTTCATATTTTTTATTTTGTGATATATATCGATATCGACAGATACGAAAAAAATATATTGTGATAAACTTTTTTTCTGTATCGTCAAGCCCTATTACCACAAGTTACATTACTACAACTTTAAAGCATATCATATATGTATTTCTGTTATGTCTTAAAACTACTGCTTTACTGTATGTTATGGATACATGCAGTACTTTGACCATCAGTGAATAAATAACTGTCATGGTTAGTCCAAAGGTGTAACCTGTCTTTACAAAATCTACATGTTGAGCCTGTACTCAAATAATCAAGTATGTTTATATTTTGGCTTTTGTAGTAGGTTTATTGTGACTGTAGTTCTGACTAATCACATACCTGGAAGCTCTGCTGTATCCAGAAAAGAAACAGACTGAATGGAGAGCTGGAGAAGACGGGAAACAAGCCGCCCTAACAACATACTGGTGCTCCTCTGATGCCTGTTTATTTATCTATTCAAATATCCGCAAACAAGTGATGTTAATCCATTCTGAGGCTAAAATTTCAACTTGGAAAACAAACCTCTTGACACAGCGCCTTGAAAACCGATCATCATTTAGATTTCCTGACCCCCGGCAATGCATCACGTACGATTGATCCAGCTCCTATCCAACAAACAAGCATTTTAAATGTTGTTTTTTCCCCTCCAAGCCATGGGGGCTACTTCAGTGGATGTAAAGACGCAGAAATGAGGGCTTTTATTGTGCTACCATACAGTATCTTGAGGTGGGGAAATTTCCTGAGCTATTGATCCAAACACACAGTTGGTTCTCAAGTTGCTAATTCTCATTCTCAACGATCACCACAATGAAGATCTGGAGGAAGTATAAAGCAGCCTTTGTCAGGTCTGTCCTCTAGAGGAAAAGAAAACAACGTTTGTTCGTCCATGAGACTTGGCTGGAGTTTGTTCAACTGTAAACTACACCAGAGCGCCTGAAAAGCTGCATATAATTCCTATCATCATTGATAGTATTTCAATTCTGGAAGGAACAAAGATAGATATTAACTGATATTCACAGCAGTCTGTAGATTAATCAAAGTTTGCCCCTCCTTTACCGACAGCAACATTAAGCTGAGGTACAAGTTATTGATGTTAAAATGATAATGAAGGTAAGAATTTTACTTGTTGAGATAAAACACAATCATATTTCTACATTTTTATTTCCCCCCAGAAAACTTTTCAAAATGATTCTATCTGAAAATACAGGGTAATTACCAAAAAGCATGAAAAATTGGACAAATATTTTCACAATCTTGATTTTGACAGCACCCTGAGAAAAATAAAACCAGAAAAGTCTAGGTTCTGGTTCGAAAAGAAGAAGTGTGAGCTCAGCTCCGGAGAATGTGCTCAGCTCTGCAGCCTGAGTCCTCAGTACAACAAAGCCCAGCTGCACTTTATTAACTTGTTAGTGGCTTTGCTACTTTTTCTCTGCTTGGTACACCGCAGGCAAACACACACACAAACCCACTAACACAAAAAAACAAAGACATCCACACATACGTGCACAAACACAACATACACCGTTATTCACAGGCGGAACAAAGACAAGCGTCACTCAAATTGACAACTACAGTGCTAGAAGGATCCACAACAAAGGGTCAGATCTAGATGTCACACCCACATTCAGGGACGATAGGAAACTTTCCAGAAGTGTCACTGGCTCTCTCTCTCTCTCTCTCTCCCTATAGCAGTGATTACCCTTTATTATCTGCATGCGGGTGTTGCATGGTTATATATTGACAGGGCTCATTAAGGCATTCCAGTGTGCTTACAGGACTGCTATAATAGGGTGCCATTACTTTTTCTCAGTCTGGCAGCTGGCCTTCCTATCCCCATTAACTTATATTCCGTAGCAGCCATTTCACAATGTCTTCACAGCTTGGCCTCATGCCAAATACGCACTTCTTTAGTCTTCAAGAAACAAACTAAAATACATTTTTCGGCGGTGAGAACAGCGATGTTTTGTTTGAGAGCGGCCCAGAGAGTGACACCTGTTAAAATTTAAAAATCAGGGTTCGGTTCGTCTAATCAGGCGACTCTTGAGGACAATGACGGACCAACCCAGGCTGAGAAGAACATAATGCTGGTTTTATAGGGCCCTGAGAGGAGTGGGAAACCATTTTGTGCAGCATGTTTATGGTTCTGAGCAGCCAGGGGCTTCTCTGTTGATGTTCATTTGTTGTGAGGAGGCAGGCTTGTTTACAGTGAGATAAGGATTTTGCTCGGGATCACAAAGGGGTCGTATGAATCGGAGTTTGAGGATCTCAGGTTGTGTTTTCAGGGCTGGTGAAGAGGAGCAGCTTTATTGCTTTCTGTGTGGCAGATGTTTGGGAACATGACCATGATGACCCGTTGTATACGGCTGATAATGTACGTGATATACTATCTTTACTGATTCCCTGAGTGGACATGTTTCTGCCTGCCAATCCAAGGGCAACACAACACACAGAATATCTGATATATGATGGTGTGACAGTGTGCTGCTCAAGGACACTCCAGCAGTGGGGAGAACTGCTGTTATGAGAACTTGAACTTGGGAGATTAGATTGTTTTGACTTCTGTTTACTGACATCAACTGTTCAAAAATGATACTGTGAGGTCAAAAAAAAATAAAAAACTACAGTGACCCCGACATTAAACCCCCTACATTATCCTGACATTTTCTCGATAACTTCAGGACATTCAGCATCAAAGAAGTTATAAAAATAAACACCATGACGTTTACTCCTGCTGGTGTAACCTTTCCATTTCCTGAAAACATCAGTACTCATTTGTTACTGATTAGCTGGATATTTACTGTTGCCACGGTTACCTTGAATAGATAAAAGGCAAGCACAGTCCATCGGAATCGATTTATTGAGCGTACAGTGAAATCTCAGATAACAAACAGATCTCAGACATGCTTCATTAGCTCAGCATTGATCATGTGTTACCTTTTTGTCCTCCTGTGTGCTTATAAATGGTCTCAACATCTTCAACTGAAGTCTCCTTACATTAGAGAAAATAAATCTGTTGCTGTTTTATGGCTGAAAGGAAGAACAAATTTCACCCCAGTGAATGCATCTAAAGATAACCAGCAGATGAGCTAAAGGTTGAACATTCAAGTTGTTCTCTTACTCAAAACTGCGATCACTCATCTTTTATAATGAAGTGTGCTTACCAAGTATCTTTATTGGACTAACTAATGTTTAAAATGTTCAAGCAGAAAACTTACAAGCAATAACTTACTGCTTCAAAACAAGATTTTAAAATGAGTTTCTGTAAAAGATGATGAGACATTAGGGATGGGAATTGATAAGATTTTATCGATATCGATGCCATTAAAGATTCTGCTTTTCAATTCAAAACTTTTAAGATTCCCTTATCAATGCCTTTCTTTGATTTAAAAAGGTAAACTATAGTCATCAATGTTAACTCAAAATTTTATTGAGTCTCTGATAAAGACGTATGCCACCTTCATTGAGAGTCTAAAAATGATCAAACGACAAATTATCTGTACAGCATTTGCTTGGTCGGTGTTAAGTCAAATTAGGGTGACCATATTCTGGATCCCCGAAAAGAGGACAAAGCTACGCGGGGTGGAGTCGCAAGCAAAATTTTGAGGGTTTTTTTGGTCAGTCGAGTGTTTTTTATGTGCTTCTAACTCAGTTAGTACACGCTACACAAACTCAAAACTTCCATACAAAACTTGTTGTTTTTAAAATGAAATGTAACCGATGTCGATGGATTGAACCATTTGGAACCGGTTCTCAACAAGAACTGGTTCTTGATTCCCATCCTTACAAGACATGGTGAACAAAGCAGAGGAAAAATAGGACACGAAATATAGTGTTTGAGAGTGAAATTTAAGAAGGTGACAAGCCCAAATACAAAGTCTTAACATGTGTGAGTATGCCCATTACATGTTATCCATCATTTTTGTGGTGTTAAAGTACCAACACTAAGAGAGGTTAATTTACAAATGTGATCACATTTTACTTGATCTGAATGTGACATGTCAAAGCTTCTGTAAGGAACTTTTTTTCTTGTTAGTTTTGGCACCTCCTGTGGATAAAATGACACCTCCCGTTTATTGTCCTGTACATGTTAAGTGTTTCAGATTAAAACTTCATCCTGTTGTAGTTAAACAATGAACTAAATCACTCACTCTTACAGCATTTTAAAGAAGTGTAAAGCACTACAGGGAAATCATCAGACTTGTTGCTGATGATCTTCTTTGCTCTTAGAGGTCTTAAGAAGCCGATGTATCCATTTCAGCACTCAGTCTAGACAGATTAAAATACAGGAGCTTTATTTGTAAGCGGCATTAAAAAAGCGTGGGTGTTTTTCTAAAAATAGGCTTGTGAAGGGGTTTAGGCCAATGTTGTATTTATGTCCTGGTATTCAATAAGTCACCCAGTCAAGCAAAAATGACCCTGCTAGAAAAAGCCTTTTTTTTTTTTCCAAGTCAAGGTTTGCTCCTTTGTGTTCATCGGTTATGGCAAATAAAAAGTATGCAGATTTGACAGTAAAACCAAAAATGAAAATAATCATAGTCCTTTCTACAAATGAAGCTAAACTAAAGCAAACTTTATATAGAGCTGCAGAGGCCTTTAAAAATAAACCGTAGGCAAAAATGTGACCTACTAGCCTGGATAGACAACAATATGATGAAACCCAGACATCTGGTCGAGGTTTGCTCAAGACTAAATATACAAAAATATAATGATGGAGTGACTCATCTTTGGAGGAAGCAAAGCTCCAAACTAATGATTGCTCGCAGATTTTTCCCTTTTTTGTATGAATATCACAGCAATCTTCACGTGTAACTAGCCATTCTGCCCAAACGCTCATCAAACCAGAAATAGCCTAGCATCCTTTTACTGGAGATGTGGTGATTAAATCATGTATAATGCATGCGAGCCACAATGAAATCCATAATGAGCAGAGACATAGTTCTCCATGGAGGATGGATAATGATGGAGATGAGACTGGAGTCCAACCAGCGAGGTCACCATGGTGATGCAGAGCTGACCAGTTTAAACTGGCAGGGCTAAACTGTTGGCTAACCTTTGTCGTACAAACTGATCAGACTGAGCAGAGAGCACAGGGCTGCCCAGGAGGAAGGGAGGAAGGGAGGAAGGGAGGAAGGGAAGGAGGGAGCAGGCAGGATAATGACAGGGAGAGAGGGAGGATGGTGTGAGATGGATAATAACTACGTTTACATGCACACAGGGAACTGTGAGAAATCAGGTAAAGGCAGGAAATCTGGATCTAAATACAGTCATGTTTCTTAGTACTTCTTTTTTTTTTTTTACCTTTCTTCAATTTATGAGGATGTGCAGTTATTTTGGGATATCTAATGGAGATTTATGCTGCTGCAGATAAAAGAGTTTGGATTGATTTCACCATAAGAGAGCATAATTTCTCTGTGAACATGCAATACTATAAAAGGCTTTTTACGTGGAGCAAGAGTAACCTTGAATTTATCACCTTCCACCAACAACAGGACACTTTTCACTGTATAAAGTGCAGGAAAATTCATTTTAGGCACAAACAAATCCATTTTCATTTGAGAGAAAGAGGATTTCAGACAAAAGTTGTTATCAAAAACAAACACTGCCAATAAAATTGCAGGTCCAACATTTAGAGGCTCAGTGAGGTCTTAAAACAGCACAGATTGTGTTTAAAGCAGGAAAAAAAACTGCCAGAAAGTGTCCAAGTTGTTCAGAATGAGAAACTAACATGAGAGAAAAGGAATAATGAAATAAAAGGTTAAAAAAAACACCAATGTCCTCAAGTTACTTTATTAAAGCGATTTCGTGACATAAGCACAGTGCAGAAGTTAAGCTATGCAGCACACTTTAAAAGAGTTAAAAAATCCCAACTTTAACTCTCTGTGAACAAAGTGTTGAATTGATGAGGTGGAATTTTGTCCTTTGTCAGTTTCAAACGTCTAAAAGTTGTTTCATTTAAAACTGGCAGCGTAATAACACTGCAGCCTCAGCCTGCACCTTTTCAGTCTGTAGAAAATCATGAAGCGACCTGCACATGTCAGCAGGAGAGCTTGACAGACAGTTGATCATCTCTGAAAACCTGGTTGCGTCTAACTCTTTTTTTTCTGTCCATTACACGAGTTTTTCAGGCAATTTTGAAGCGTGAAGCCAATCGTAAGACTTCAGTCTTTTCAGAAGAGACGGAATAAATCAAATCTGAACAATAATCGCTTCATCCCCTGTCAATGATGACTCACATCACGCCTCATCCTTCGTTGTAATGCTTTGTCCTTTTCTGTCTTTTTCTAGTCATGACCTTTTATTTCTTTGTCTCTATTGTGCCCCAACATTTGTAAAATGACGAATAAACCAAAACATCATAAAAACACAGACGACAGGAGGAAAAGCTGATTGGATTGGACTGCACTGGGTTTCCTCTAGGGCCCAGTTTGGTACAGCATCTCTTCCTCTCACTCTGCCAACCATGTCCTGAAGACAACCCAGTGTAGTCACAACCAATAATCTTTTCTCCTGTTGTCTGTTTTTAAAATTAATGTCCTGTTAATTAAAGACATGGTAATTGTATCCTTTGCTCGCAGCTTCAGAGGCTGACATAAGCACCGGGCTTTCAGCAAGAGTCTGCTGCTCTTCTACTGAAAGCACTCCGTACCCTTCTGTTTCCTTAAATTTTAATTCTACCCGTCGTGGCTGAATCGAACACATAAAACTGCAGTGCAGCTGTAAAACAGAGCAACTTTGATATATCTATTCCAATTTAAGTTGTGAGAATGCACTAAACTTGTTGTAATCTTTCCCTCCTCTGTTCTGCACATGCACACCCGTGCAGAAACCCTGCAAGAATTGTGGTCGAGCACAGACATGGAACAAATCTGCCTCTTTCTGCAAAAAAAGAGAGGAATCTTGCAAACCAGGGAGAACCAAGCAAGTGGGGGAAGGGAGTCAGTAAGAAAAAAAAAAAAGATAGTAAGGAGAGTGAGAGTGGAGGCAAGGCAAGAAGAAAAGCAGCAACAATAGGGGAGAGGAAGAGAAGGATTGAGCTTTACCAGGAGATCAGAGAGAAGTAAACAAGAAGAAAGGAGACAGAGTGTGTTGGAGAACGAGACAAAAGCTGCTTTAAGATAAGGGAAAAATCAGCCAGTCTGCCCATGAGCACAGATATACAATTAATTAAGTCGATTCATTACAGACTTTCATTATTATTTGCACAAAGAGGGTCATCACCTCCAAACTGAGGCTCATACACGAAGCAGTTTGAAATTGTCAGGGGAAAAAAAAAAAATAGGCAGAAGCTTTTTCTCAGTCATCTCTTCGCTTTTCTGAGAACAACACAATCAGCCTACATTATTTATTGGTAAATCAGTGTTTTGAATGGACACTGTGTGCAGTAATGAGTGCATGTGGGAGTGATGTGAACATGTGATTCAGATTCAAATGGAAATAGGGTGTGTCCTGCAGGCACAGGTGTATGCACCAGGGACTGCATCACTTTGCATGCAAATTTTCACCAGAGGTAGCCATTGAGACAAGGAGCGAGGGCGGAGAAAGATGGAGGGACACAGAGAGAAATGGACAGAGTGAGACAGGCAGAGGAAAAAGGAGAAAGCTGATGTGATGTCAGAGCTGCAGGCACTGTGTTTGTACATGTATCTGCAGGCAAATTAATCATGAGATGGTCTCTCTTACTCTATTAAAATGCTAATGTAGGAAAATGTAGACATTTACATATCTTTGCAATACATCCCAGAGCCCAGAGAGTTATTATGCTAAATGCAGGCTGGGTGCATTATGCGTCTAATATGAGGGCGAATCTGATCAAGATAAAACAGAGATTAAAAGTCTCTTAAGAAGCGAATTAAAGGCAGACTTGATGTACAGCAGTGTGCTTAAATATGGCAAATATGAGCACATAAAAGGCCTTTCAAACTATTTCTCAACCCCCCCCTCTTTCCATTGATTAAATAAATGCACAAACACACAGTTTCCTCCTGCAGTTGGGACAGTTGTGCACTTATTTCACAGGGAAGATGTGTGTTTTTATCTCTATGCTAAAAATTATTCTGTTGTACTGTTGATGGAGTCTGATCCTTGCAGCACCAATGGAGCTGAATAGCATGTAACTTCTTAAACAGAAAATAAAAACCAAGAACATATTTAAAAAAAAAGTTAAAATAAAAACCACTGAACTAGGTGCTTTAAATGAGAGAGAAATTTCATTTAGGACATTAAATTACAGCCCTGTGTCATCACATAAGGGGTTAAGCTTTGTTCTTGTGCGTGGAGTCAGCATAGCCGGTACAAACCATTCTCCAAGCTGTCCCTGCAGAGCTGCAGAGTAACAACTATACTCATAAATGCCTGTCCTATCGTTGCTCGCTATAAATAGTATCCTCAGAGACATGTGACTGTTTGAAGATAATAGATAACACTGTCAATATATGTTGTTGATGGTCCAAATGTAGCCATTCATTTACATTTAGAGGCCTCACACAGATCTACAAATGGTCACAAAGCCTGAACTATAACGTACAGTAAAAACATAACAATTCATCATGCAGAGATGTTCAAGGATTGGCCTCCCCTGAACAAGTTCTGGCAAAGCAATCCATATCAATATGCAAATTAGAGGGATTATTCACCCACAATACATGTCACTATTAGCTCCAGATAAACAGCAACAAAAGACTACCGACTACCTGACACAGATTATGATATGAATTTCAAGCCTGGGTCTAAATTAAGGCTCTTATCCTGATCAAATTAAATTATAACCACTTTGAGATAATCAAGGTAGTGAAAGCAAATTTCAGAAGCCAGATTATTATCATTATTACTATCATTTGTATGAAAGGATGGTCCAATAACCCACTCAATCTTTTAAATTTCCTGTTTTGGAAACCGTTTGAAGCTTGTATCTCCTCTCTCTATCTGTTTTTGGAAAAACTGCATTTCTGCAGTAACATTTCTGTGCTGTGTTGTAACATCTGCAGACGGCACAGCATCAGCTTTAACAGGAAGATTCTCCACCACAGAGATATCATGAAATACCAGCTGTGACGTCTGTTTGGAGTAAGATATGCTGATATAAATATTGACAACCCTGAATTTGACTTTTCTTGGTACTTTGAATTGACTGGATAGTTAGAGGGTAAAGAGAAGAAACATACGGAGAGGGAGATAGAAGATGACACGCACAAAACCCCCTTGGTCGGTTGCAGTTGCTATAAACGGTTGTGTGTCTTAACCACCTCCACAACCTTCCATTTATAGCATATTCTTACATTTCTTGACATAGAATTTGGCTTCTGCGCCAAACTCTTCTCTGCATTAAGGAAACAAACATCTTGCAGTCATATACTTTGTTTCTTAGAAGCCAAACTCAACATAAAAATGGTTTGACTTACTGCTGGATACGGAGACCAAGTTTGACTCTATTTATTTCACCAAGCAGCAAATTCCTCCTAATGTGACAGACACTCCATTTATCACTTTTAGTTATTTCATATATCCTGCAGACACACTCTGAAAAAGTAGCTTAAACACAAAGACTGAATGCGCGTATCTTCCATCATTCCCTTTCACACCAACAGACATGAACACCCTTACCTAGACTGGTGGGCTTGATGAGCTCGTCCAGCATGTCGTAGAAGGGCAGCCTCTGCAGTTTGACATCTGGGTGGACCGGGTGCAGCGTGGCTGAGTTTGCCAGGTGGTGCGTCAGCCCGGTCAGCTCATGTTTCCCCGGTCCGAGCAGCGAGAGTGGCAGTAAGGCGGCAGGAGACGGAGCGCCACCGTGACCAGCGTGTCCCTCATACGCCAGCTGTGTCAGGCCAGCAGGAAGTGCAGCACCGCCTCCTCCGACCACTCCAGCCGAGGCCGGGTGGTGTGATCCGGGCATGGCCAGCTCTGAGTGGGATATCATTTTGGCGGGAAACCGTCTTCGGTAGAGCTCTTTGATCTTCATGTGCACAGCAGGGCTGCAGCCGGCCTTCAGCAGGTGCAGTGCCTTTGTCAACAGCTCATGCTTGCGTCCGTGCTTGTTGCGCCCAGCGTAGCCCAGCAGCACCTGCAGCTCTGACACTCGCAGGCTCATCACCATTTGCTGTAATTAAGGAGGGAGAAAGAGGAGGAGAAATTAATTCTTGTGATGCAATGCCCCTTTCACTGACACAAGAGTGAGCAGTTCTATAATGGTAAGTGTGTGTTGTTGAATGAGACTCAGGCCTCAAGTAGAACCCTCTCACCATGAAATAAAGACAATAACTGGTAACCGCATACTTAAAACTCACGGAAGTACGTTTTCCATAAGTTTAAAAAGGACCAATCATTCTGATATGTATTTAAAGGGATATTCCGGCGTAAAATCAATTTAGGGTCAAACACACCGTAACACCAAGTTAGACACCCCTCGAGAGATGACTGTTGCCAACCGCTTGCTTCTCTAGTTAGACCAACTTTAGTAACGACCGAAGGATAGCATTACACAGCGGTCTGAGGAGCCAAGCAAAAACATCAGCCAAAACGCCACTCTAGCCACAAATAATAGAAGACATGGTCGCTCCTCATGGTGGATTTATTTTTAAGCCAAGCAAAGGGTACAGGGATTCAGGAGAAAAACTTAACCAGGACTCTGCAGTTTGAGACACTTTTCTTTAGAGGGGGGGTCCTGGGTAGGGCTGATTGTATGAAGACCCCCTGTGCAGAGCCAGGACACAAAGCCAAAGACCCGGCATACATCCAGACTTAAAGCTGGGACTGTAACAGACTGCTATTCATCATGAAATGTGTTCAAGTGCCCCAACTGAGCCATGTAGAGATTTTTTTGAAAAGCGCTCAGCAGCACACAGAGACAAGGCTGAAAAATCGGAAGTTCATGCAAATTTCTTCTGGTGCAACTGAGCGACAATCAATTGAGAGCAAATTACACTCAGTTTGATTTCTTTTAAGTTACTTTTCCGTGCGACTAGTGGAGCGAGAGTGAGGTTCAACCACATCACAAATGCAGAACTGCAGCACCAATTATCTTTGCCAGCTCAGTTGTTGTTTTTTTAATTAAATTGTTTCAATCAGAATTTAAAAAAAAAATGAAATGAAAAGACAGCTGTTCTGTACCAGGGTGAACGAACTGTGCAGAAAAACACAGCAACTTCTTCCTTCATACTTTAACAGCTGAATCAGAAAAACTCCGGTCAGAGCTGAGTACATAGCAGAGTATGTAAATTATGTGCTAAATGCAACACACCCAGCAAGCTGCTAGTTTATGAGAGGCCAGAGATTTCCTGCAACTTCTTTTTTCTGCCAAGCCTCCTGCCACTGTCAGACAAATGAAGTGTTTAAATGAAGAGGCAGATTGAATTTAAGTGCAGTATTCAAAGATCTGAATCTGTATTATTTGTCCTGATCTGGTCAAATGTTGGTGTATAAGACAAGCTACTTCAACAATAAGATGGAAGTGATTTCCTGTCGGCTGGATGAGCACCTTTCCACTGAAGACACACTAGCTGATTTACATGGGCACAAACAATCAGAATAAATGCCTGATCGGAATAAAAACGTGTCATGTAAACGTGTCGATTGGAAGATTCTGATCTAATTCGGCTCAATCGGGAAGAAATTGTATTCCGATTGAGAGGGGTGGTTTATGTCGATCATTATTCCGAAACATGTTCATGTAAACCATTATTCCGATCGTGACTCTCTTACCTGACTCCATCTTCACTCTTAAGCCTTTTGCTTATTTATTAAGGTCAGTACAGGAGGTTTCATTATTAGCACTTTGGCATAAAACACAACCGCAGGTACCGTGTCTGCTCTTCCGATAACTTAACAAGGCGTACATACAGCGTAATGATGTCACATCTGCACGCTCAACACAACCTTTGACAGAAAAGTAAAATAAGTACACAAGGGCGCCATCAAGTGACAACATTACCAGGGGGAAAACTCCTAAATTGGATGGAGTGAGCCACTACTGCATTTGTTGGTTTGTTGGTTTGTTGACAGCACAGGCGTAAATACAACTCTTCTTCTTCTGTGGTTGTTTTAGCGAAATCAGACAACCCTGCGCATGTCCAGATGCTTCTAATCTGAATAAAGATTGGTTAATGTATGCCAACGTCATGATTGGATCGTTTAATCTTGCACCCATATAAACAGTGGATTCAGATTATCCGATCCCTCAACTTTTTAATCGGATCAAGAAATTTTGCCCATGTAAACGTGGCTACTGACGGTCACAGAGAGTGGACTGGATTGAGAACAAACTTAAACCATCAAAGTTTTTTTGTCCTGATTCAACAAGAGGCTGAGGAGGTAACTCCCAGGAGGACGTGGACTTTAGGAGCTGCTGAAGGAGGACAGGGTGTAGAGGCTGCGTGCACTGACTTCAGATTTAGCTCTTGAAAACAACTGCACCAATACTTAATGTGACTTTTCCAAGGTAAAAAGAAACACAAAGGAAAAGGAAGTGTCAACCCCCGTGATTGTCTCTCAGCACTTTCTGCAGCTCAGAGATGAATAAGCAAATCTGCTGCACAAAACGCTTAAATTTCCCAGCCCAAATCATCAAAAACCAAAACACTCAGACACCCAGCTTGAGACTGTACAACCAAACATCAGGGCTCATTAATATTGAAGGGTTCCAACTACCAGGACTGTTCCCTCAGTTTGCACCAAAGGTCTCGCTGCTGCAGATCCCAGGTGTAAAATTAAGGGCTTAAATCTGACGCTGGAAGGTTTGTGTTACTTACAGCCTCAAACAGAAAACAGACTGGCTTAGAAGGGAAATAAGAAAAACTCATTCCCCAATACCACCAGAAAATAATCAATATTTATGTCCGAAATTATTTTCTGAGGATAGAAACAAGCGTTTATGATCAATCATCACCAGTATTTAATCTTTGCATGTTGATGATTTATTTTTTCAATTTACTTTGGGGGAATTTTATATATAAATATTCATATTCTTATATTTGAATTGACTTTAATCTAACCTTTTTATTTCCTACATTCGCCCTCTTCTCCCGTACAGATATATCAGTAAATGTACGCAGTGATGTTTTGTGTGTAAGAGGGAAACAATCAAAATCTAAATGGAAAATTCAATTACAAAAGTTTTACGTCGGCAGATGGTCAATTAAAAGAAAAAAAAACTGTTAGAACTTATTTTAAAGGGACACCCTGCACATAGACCAGGCAACTACAATGATTCAAGTCAACATCAGGGTATTAAATGAGCTACTGGACTCAGACATTTCTTTGAAGCTGAAATATGAATAAATATACAAACACAAACTCACACAGGAAATAGACATAGATGTGAAAATATAGAATAAAAACAGATACATCTACAGGCCTGGGTGGACTTGTAAGAGTGTCTCTGACAAACCTCCTCCCTACAGCTCCTTTAATGACAGAGCAGAGATAAAAACGCACACGACGACACCACACATCCCTTTAAAGACAAAGCACACAGGGCTGCTGGCGCTCTTGTGTTAGTTTCAAAAGCTGTTAATAAAACATACATCTGTTATCTTTATTTACTCAACTATAATCTTTGTGCCGTAATGTCTATTTCAGCATCAACACCACAGGACTGCTGATCAGAGAATTATGTTTTCATGAGATAAGGCATAGTCTTGTTAGTTTACATTAAGGTTTCTGCATTTCATTGACATTTAAAGATGCATGTGTGACTGCTGGGGGCTCCGTTTTGTGTCCTAACTATAGCAGCGACATTTAAGTGTATAGTAAAAACGCACAAACACTTCTGGTACAGAATTCCTGTCTCTTAAATAACCTTAAATGGTTTCATTTAGTCTCTTTTTAACTTTTCTAAGAGGTCTTAAGCAAATCTGAACAATAAAACAAATGGTAACTTAAAACAAACACATTTTATTTGCATTTGTAATTGAGCAAGTTCAAGTTTTCAAGTTCTTATGAAAGGAACTCCTTACCTCGGTCTTTAGCTTTTGCTGTAACTCCTCTGAATACTCTGACATGGTTTTATACGTACAATCTCGAATGTAGATGACCAATCCAAATGACTACCTTACTGCCGTCCAGCTTTGCTACAAGTCATCTCTGAGTGAAAACCACCTCGTACTACTTTCACTTTTAACCTGAGTACCTTTGACTGGAAAACAAAAAAACAAAAGAAAAACATCTCACTTGGCCCTGACCCAACCACGGCGCTGCACTGTATAACTTAACGTGGTTTGTGAAGGAACTGAAACCCTCGCTGTGATGCAGGTTACTGTAAAACTTGTCCCACATTTGCATTTACAGAACAAAGTGCTTCTTGCAGAGGAGCCCCTCGTATGCTTCAAATAAAAGTCAGCAGCTGAAATATCTAAGCCATCAAGTCCAATATCTGGAAAATGTTTGGAATATTTTTTTCATCAGCAACACTTGAAATGAGCAACCCAAAATAGTTTCTGTCTGACAGAGGTAATTAATTGAAAAACACATGACTAGCAGTCCAAAGCTCTGGAAAATATGCCTGTGTTTAGTAACGGTCTGTCAGAGTGAGGTGAATACAGAGGATACAAGGGTCAGGATGAGCCGAACGTCAATTTATTTCGATCTAAACGGAGAAAAACAGTTTAAAGGACAAACAAAACTATGCATACAATTTTAGGTGGTAAATTTACTTTATAATGCATTCAGAAAGATGGAATACATTAGCATTAATATTTTTAAAACGAATGAGACAGATTTTGAAAACCAACACCTGTACAGCGAGCGCCAAAGAACATGAGATGTCAGCTTCTTTGAACTTAAACAAATGTTGGGAACTGCAGTTTTCAGCATTTCCACATCAGCTTCACTCCTCAAGACCCAAGGGTTGTCATTTAGTTCTTCATGTTGAAGGAAGTTTGCTATTATTTCCTTTATGATATATTGACAACAAAATGTGTGGCATTGGGACATTTTTGTACTGAATTCCCTTAATAAAGATGCAGATATGATGCCTCCATCATTTGCTGCTGACAGTGAGTAGAAAAATAGGAAACGAAGTCGACTTAACTTAAATTTAATCAAGGTAAAGCCATCAATCATCTCGTTTGGGCTAAGTTCAAAGACATTTGGCTAAAGAAGAAGAACAAAACAAGATATCTGTAATAAAAGTGCTTGAACCATTGAACAGCTAATATCAACGCAAAGTAATTTCCTGTCGTTAACTGATCTTACGGCTTTATTAATAGTCCACTGTACAGGAAACCCAGGTTATGTGGCTAGCGAGTTTCCACGTTGAGAAAACCATTTCAGACCATCTGGGCCAAAACCAATCTTCACAACGCTGAAAGTGACAGAGCAGAGGCTTCTGTTTACAGACCAAACACTGCATCCTGTGTACAGCTGCCACATATGCAGAGCAATGTACACACACACACATACGTACACATACAGAGTCACCACTCAGGGTTAGGCCCGTCCTTGTCATTTCTCAGTAAAGACACTCAGTAAGATACATTCATTCATAGAGGGAAAAACTGTCATGAGGCAGCCCCGACTCATAAATGTACCTCTGATCTCTTCATCTTGAACCACAGAGCAGATATAAACAGACATCCGTCAAACACAGACCGCTCCTACAGCAGGTGATGAGGCTCAGACACAGGTGCAGCAAACATACAGCAGCTGTCCTGCACCATTTCTGACATCTAGAAATATTTCTTAAATGAAAAATTATTTTAATTATCATACATCATATTTAGTCTGCGCTCAGACATCACACAGGGAGAAACACACACAATATCCGCACACTCACAGACACACAAAGTGATGCGGTTTGGCCAAGAAACTCTCCTGCTGGCGACATAAATGACCGCTTCCATGAAATATGCATGTGGAGGAGGAGAGGGGTGTGTGGAAAAATGATGACACTGGCTGCTCCCCATTTTTCACACTAACACACACACACAAATACACACACAAACACACATCTTAGTAAAAACCCACACTCAAAGCCCTAAAAGCCCCCATCCCTTCACTTTGCAAGGCAAACACACACAAAAGGCTGACAGTAACACATAAGCATAAACACTGGCTCATATAAATACACAAAACCAAACACACAGGAAGCCTGCAAAGACACACGCGCACACATACACACACACACACACACACACACACACACACCACACTGCAGATGCGTAGCATTCCTCTGGCTTCAAAAAGGAAGGAAAACAAATATAGGAGAGAAATGTTGGAGCGGGCGGTGTTGGAGGTACATAAAGCTCAGAGCTCACGTTATCTTTTTCTCTCTTTCTTTCTCTCCATCAGTCAGTCTGTCTCCTTCCCAGGGCAGGTGGCCCCTAAAACACCCCATTTTCTTGGTTTAAAAAAAAAAAAGCTTTGTGGATATAAATAACAGGGTGTACTCGCAGCTCAGAGGTTCAAATCTGAAAGTTCAGTTTCAACTTGAGCAGAAATAAACGATCACTAAATATAACCAACAAAGCGTTTACATTGTTTAAATCCTGAAAAGTTAGACGTCAGGATATCAAAAAACATTTACACTAATGAAGCTAATACAGCAGAATTTTAAGTTTTGTTTCGTTTTTTCTAGAAGGTACTCTAACTAAAAAAAAAGTTGTCAGTTGTTATCAGCTCATTAAAGTCAGAACCGATGGCAGCTTTTTTGTACAAGAGTAAATATGTAAGTAGTTCAAATTTAAGAGGCAAACATTTGGTGTTATGCTGTAATTGCAGTTAAACTCAACAAATTCACTCAGGACTACAGTGAACTGATCTCACAAGAACATCTTAATATCGGTACATCTCTCAGCTCCTTACACCCCTACAGGTGGGGGTGTCCTGATACAACTTTTTGACTTCCAATACGATTCCGATATTGTAGCCTTTAGTATTGACCGATACCAATATTGATCCGATACTGGCACAAAATTGTGCATGACAAGTTTTTCACTCAGCTGCTGCAATGTCTGCAATGTCTTTTTTGGGCTTAAACAAAAAGTACTACCACAAGGCTAACCTCGCTCTTACTCCTTGCTACTTTATTAGTACCTTAGCACACACTGTTGTTGTGATTTTGTGGGTTTAGCTCGCTGGATCAGGGCGCTGCTAGATAGAGGTGCCATAGCGGCGTCTGGAATGGACTGCTTGTATCAGAATGCTGATATCGGAGATTTTTAGATGCAGCCCGATATAATCTGATGCTCGTTTTTTTGGCTATCAGACCTTTATCCAATAACAATATCATATCGGGACACCCCTAACTACAGGTCTCACCACTATTTTTTACCTTTACCTACACACTTGAAAACCACTCCAGCAAACTTTGAGCTCTTGATATCAGGAAAACTGATTTTAATAAAACATGCAAAAAACAAGTTGTAAAACTTGGATGCCAGAGAACCACACGTCATCTTTTTATTGGTTTTTCAGGCTTTTCTTCAAAAGACAAGACAGCTGATGGACGAGGAAAGTGGGAAGAACTACTGCTCTATTTATGAATCATGTGTCCAACCAACCTGCTGTATCTGAAAGCTTGGCTGTGATAACAGTTCTAATGATGGGTGTAAACAGCATCAGCAAATCCCTCTGAATTTCATAATGAAACAGAGTCCTGATGAATCAACTAAACAGCACCGCTATCAACTGCCAACTCTAATTAGTTCCGTTTTAAAACAATTACACGCCGAATATTTCAATCTAAGTGTCTCAGTCGGTATAAAAAGGAAGTAGGTGATGCAGCTGATTTACTGAATACTTTATCTTGAACAGTTTTTGATTAGTTAAAAATGACCTTTATGCTGATCTACACAGGAGCACAATACTCTGCATCATACCATCAGTCTGCAGTTCAAGCCAGGTGTGAACAAAGCTCGCCTGTGTGAGGAGAAGAAGAATGCGCTCTATTGTATTGTTTTACTGAAACAACTTGACGTGGAGGTGCAAAGGGAAACTACAACAAAAGGAGAGAGACTGAAAGAGGGAGAAAGGATACAATACAAAGAGTGGTGGTAACAGGGGAGTTCACACACACAAACACACACACACACACACACACAGCACGCAGACCTTTGTGTCCTGTGGTTTTGAAGCTCGTGAGGAAGTTTCAGCCTTGCCAGCTTGTGACATTTTGCACCAGTACACCAATATATCCAAACGTGACCGCTTTGGCGCCTTAAGAAAAAAGCGATAATTCACTTTGTCCACCTCAGAGATATTCTCATCTGAATGAAAGGCCCTTAAAACAATATCTTCACCAACACACACCACTACAACTGGAACCCACAAAACCCAGGAAGATGAAATTTCTTCAGGCAAGTAAACCGCTGCACCAAAATTTCATTTAGAAAGAAAAATACCACACTGTGAGACAGACAGACTGTGTGTGTCACACTTCACTGCGCTGGGGATGAACCCACACAGTCAAACTTTGAGACACCTCCAATGACTTGAAATGAGAACTCTAACTTCAGTCCTGTACTGTCTCCTAACCTTGAAGCCAGGCTGGACATCATCGGACCAAACTCAGGTCCACCTTGAATTTTAATCACAATCAGGTCTCCCACAGAATAGACACATGCTTCACAGAAGAGCAAAAGTCGTGCACACTGAGTAAAACTTTTTCTGTGAAACTTTCTCCTTGCAGTAATTTTGACAGAATTTTTTTACAGAAACTGGGGAATTATATCAGCATTTCAATGCAGTTTCAGTTTTATTTCCCTGAGGTTGTGACAAACCCAGAAGCCTGCAGAGATGCAGACTGGTATAATAAAAGCGTGTGACAGCAGAGAGTGGTAATCATCACCAGTCTGAGCATCAGGTCTCAAGATGAGAGTTTTCTGAAATGCTTTTAAACAATTATTGACATTTTCCAATGTTGGCAGAGACACAAGGGTTGGACAAAGATGCAACCATACACTGTATATACTATGGACAACTTGGTTCAGCCTCCTGCCAGTATACAGATTTGAAGCCGAAAAGCTCTTGGTAATTCGGCGTTATTTCTTCGCTGTTCTCGGATGGATGCAACAAATATCGTAAACTGAATATGATATTCACCTGAACATTAATAGTTCAGGCCATTGTTACCTAAGTTTGGTCAACGGTCTACACTTGTGGGAGCTCCTGATTACAGGTTGACATTTTAAAACGGATTAGCTTATCGCCAATAGTTATTATGATCAGAAATAAAAGATTGTGTGTTCCTTGGCTCTGTGTATCCGGGCATGTGTAAATGAAATACTGTGTGAATAATTAAAAACAAACTTTGGTAAATATGTTGCTCACCGTAGGAATAACACTGCGCTCGGAGGAGCAGGTGCTAAATAACCACGAGGCTTTGACAGCTCCAAATGTTAGATTTCTTTTCAAAAGTCAGCACAAATAACCTTTCCAAAAAGTTTTCAGCAGCTCCTGTTAACAGATGGAGGGATGAACAGATGGAAGAGGATGGAAATAAAACCCCTGTTCGACTCCACTGGCAGAGCAGTGAACATTTTAACATGTGCTGGTCTTTGCCAAGCACCATTTCTCACAAAGAGCAGAGACATATTTCAGAAACAAATTGACTGAACATAAACTTAACATCTTTGTGCGGCTGGCAGATTAATAAAAGGCTCAACTGTGATTTGTCTTTGTGTTTGGGTCTCATGCTCTTTCTCGCTTTTCTGAGATGTGCTGCTTCCTTTTTCCAAAACATCTGCAGATGACTCTGTTTTCAACCCAGACAGATTTTTCAAGGTCTGGATAGACCTATGACACCCAGACTTAAACAAATAAGACATAACAGAGCTGTAACAGATTTATTTGCATCTCTAATTATGCCCCAGAGAGTCAGTGATTCATGTCATTTGTTAAGAGAGACACTCATTTTCTCTGTGATTCTGATTTTTCGCTGCATCATCTTTAACAAAGCAGCGCAGGAGCAACAACTTGGCAGGCTGTGAACTGAAAAAATCCCTCAGAGTTCATCATTCATAAGCACTGCTAAGAGCTAGATTATCACCAAAGTTAGAAACAGGGTTCAATACAGAAAAAAAACTGTCTCATGATAAGCTGCATGTGTGTCTGCAGCTGGGGGTCAGAGTTGTACGTTAAAATGCTCCTGGCTTCAGTTGAGTTAGTTTTTCTTTGGGAGTACAGTTCCTATGATTAAAATCTTTCATCTGAGTAAATAACATAAGAGGGATATAATGGGTGTGACTCACAACAGATGAATTAGTCAGACAGAAATGTCCAAAAGCCTCGCAAACATCTAATGCTTATGGAAACCTACAATATATGCAGGATGTCACTCGTGCAGACTGATGAAAGAGTTAATCTGAGGAGATTGAATCAAGCAGCCAAGGCAATCTTCTTTGACTCAAAGTAGGGCTGGGCGATAAACCGAAAATCTACTGATGCCAAAATTTACGGCAATAATCAAAGTCATTTTGCTCATGTCAATATATTCAGTGTCAAAAAAAATAAATAAATAAAAGTTGGTTTTGGATGTGTGTAGGTAGGCTATGGTCTCATGTCCCTTTAAGACGCTGTCCTACGTCAGAGATATGACTCCACCCCATCCAGTCCGTAACAAAGAGGGAAAAACAGGAGAGGAGATGAAGGACGGTTCAAAAGTTATAGCTGCTGGAGCAGCGGCTTAAGTAGATGAAGTTAGTGTGGGAGGAGGTGAGCAGCTTGAGGAGTAGTTATCGTCCATTTATCGTTATCGAGGTGAACTGCTCAATATATCGTGATATTGATTTGAGACCATGTGGCTCAGCCCTAACTCAAAGTCAGAAAAATGTCAAGTTCTTGATCTTTCACAGATATTTCTTCTTAGTTGTATTCACATTAAATCCCCAAAAGTCAAGTCATATTTTGTTATTATTCTGTTATTTTCAATCTTACTTTACCCAGAAATATCCTGTCAGCTTTCTGGAAAAAGTTCCAAGTGAAGTCGAAGTCAAGTTGAGCTGATGTATCAACACAGCAAAAAATCCATTCACTGCAAGAATTCACCACAAGCAAGTGGGAAGTGAGGTGGTGACAATGAAATCATGTGACTGGAATGGACCCAAAAAACAGGCACTGAATTATTTTCAAGATGAAGACAGCAAAGATGTCGGTTTACAGGCAGCGTTCACATCACGGCAGAAACTGTTACTACAGTGTCTTTGCTGCTCTCCCCACCATCACACCGTCAACATTACCCTCTGGCTTTGAGTGCTTTTGATGTCATGTCCTGATTCCTGAGGCTTGTGCCCCCACCCCCGTCCACCAGCTCCCTCGTCCAGCAGGAGGAACTTCATGTTCTGAGGGGAATGTGTGAACAAGCAACCCTGGAAAATTTCTAGATTGGAGCCGATAAAAATTTCAAGAAATAAACCAGAATTGCATTTTTTGAAAGAGGCTCATGATAACCAAATTCAGATTAAGGACTTCATGCTCTAATGTTTGACAGCAGGAATTATAAAAGCATTAAGTACAATCAGCTGCTGTGAGTTGAAAAGCAGATTAGGTGATCACAACGAGTCAGGAAGATGAAAATAAGGATTTCTGGTTGATCATTTTTGTTCGTAATAGAAGAACGGAGGCTGACTGAGCTGAGACACATCAGTCCACTTCACTCTTCATCAGTATCTGCATTCTGAGTGTTTCAGTGTGGGGTTAAGATCTTCATAAATGATCATGGAAACTGTAGCAGCTAAACAGAAATGTTATTAGCAGGCAGTTTTCAGTGGTCACTTCAAACATGAATGATGGTAACAACAGTCTCATCTCCTCTGTGTTCCTGTCAGACTGGGGAGTGGTGTGTGTCTGTGTGTGTGTGTGTGTGTGTGTGTGTGTAGGGGGTAATAATTTGCTGTGTCCAGAGCTGGTGAGATGACTGATGGAGGGATGAAGCGGAGGGGGATGGGAAGAGAAAGGGAACAGCTGAGCCTCTACACTAAATGTAATTCTCCACAGCTCGAGTGAAACAGGAGGGAGGACGAGATTCAAGGACCCGACACTCTCATTTTTAAGTGATATAATGCTCCTCGTCAGAGATGGTGCCGAGTTTTTCTAAGCTTTTACAGCTTTTAATCTTTTTTAACATATTGTAGATTTTCAATCCAATCTTTTGACCTTCAGTTTGATTCTGGTGACGCCTAAGTAAATATGCCACCCCAGCCTAATATTGAAATAAAGGACAAAGCAGCCAAGGCGCACAAATCAGAGCTACGTAAACTTTAAAAAAAACAACACTGCTTTATTGAGGCCAAAATAAAGGACAAAAATCATCCAAAAAGAGACCAGAATACTGACAAAAAAAGATGTTGTTCAGAGGTTAAAAATGAGATCTCCACACACCTCACTTACTTTCTCCAACAAAGAGCCGAAATCTGGAGATATTTTGTTCAAATCGAAACAAGAAAAAACAGCCTCTCCACATCTTGGAGGAGCTGTGACCAGAACATGGTGTGTTTTTCTGGTCATTTTTAATTAGCTTATCAATAAACTGCAGAAGCTTTTGCGTCTTTTAAATGCAGCGAGGTTTACTGGCTTGAACATTAAATCTATCTTGCCAAAATACACACAGGGTAGATTTTTTTCTTTTTTCCAGACTCTTTAAAGACTTGGACTTTTGCTTCATACTTTAAAAAAATGCTCTCAAACAGAAGCCAGTTTTCATATTGATGGTTTAACTGAAGAGATTCATTTTTGTCCCAGCTTTAAAGTGCTTTATCTTGAAATTCAGCTGGATTTCACTTTTTCAGATGATTTAAATAAAGCCTCCCATGACTCAGCTTCTTTACACCGCTCTAAAAAATGGACAAAAACTGAAAATGATTTGTCCCAGTGAAAATAAAGATCTGACAAACCCTACATCTTCTTCTCCATAAATCTCCTCACTCACTGAGACTTTAATCCATGCTTTAATGTTCATTGGAGTAATCATGGAGCCGTTCTTCCTTGACCATGTATAGAAACACATAAAGAAAGGGAGAGAGAGAGATGAATTTCCTGATCATCTTCCTGGTTTCTCGTGACAAAAACAACAAACCAGACTTTTTATCATCACCATCGACCACTATGTTTTTCTGAAATAACAAACTCTTACGGAAGTTTGCGAAAGCGGTTAAATCATGAGACATGTGAAAAGCTGGGCGACAAACAGAGTTGTGTTGAATGAAATCAAACAGGCAGCAGAGGGACTCTTTGATAAGGAGGGACAGTTAGGAAGAAGCTGAATGGACGGCTTTATCTGTCGAGATAAACCCCAGCTTTCACTCAGACCAGCTCACAATGATCTTGAGTTTCTGAAAAAAAACCTTCATACTGCAAAGCCCACACTATCTGTCCTCCATCTTCATCTTCTTTCTTTTATTATCTCTTGGCTGCACTTTCAATCTGGAGCGCGGTTTTTCTGCACCGAGTCTTTCGTCTTTTGAGTTGTGATGTCTTTTAAGCTAATTTGTCTATCCTTATAAAAAGGAGTATTGATTTATGCAATACCAATAAACCAACAGCACAAATTTTGAGGGGGGCGCATTCCCACAACAGCTTAGACACACCAACAACAACAAACACAACGCGCTCCAACATGCTGGCTTTATGAAAGTATTTTGATGTGCATGAGTCAGAGAGTATTGCTATTTGCAATGTTTGTAAAGTAAAGGTAATGCAAGGAAGAAAAACACGACATCAGCACAGCCAATATTTACAGTCTTATATTTTTAAAGTCATTTTTTCTTTATAATTTAAAAAAAGTGTGTTATCTATTGGTTTGAGTTTATGTCAGCTTATCTGATATTGGAAAAAAATTCTATTATGTTCAAGAGTCTTATTTTGTAGAACCAACAATCCCTTTCATATTACAACTCAAGTGTACGATATTTGCAAGGAGCACAGATCGCCAAGCGGGTTACAGCGCACCCTACATATGGGGACCATGATCCCTGCAGCAGTCGCAGTTTTAAGTCCGACCCTGATCCTGTGCTGCATGTCATCCCCCCACTCTCTCTTTCTTCCATATCTCCTCTCTTTCCTTTCCATTAAAACCAACAAACACCTTAAAGGACAGAGTTCCAATATCTGCACCCCTGTAATGTCCCACCTTCAATATAAATGTCCTGGATGGTGGGATTGGGTCATGATACTATGTCTGCATCTGTGGGAATGACAGAGACAGTCGTGGAGCAGGCAGGGCAGAACAGTACCGACTGTGTGATCATATCTGAGAGTATTAATGTGAAGCTCATGTTATGTATTCACGCCTTTGCGTAATCCCAGCGATAAAAAAACACTATCATAACGGTCAGTGATTGTTACAGCCGGTTTCAGGATCAGTATGAAAGTACAAAGGCGTGACGACAGCAGAGCTTGGTAAGACCGCAGTGGTCGACTTGCAATATAAAAGAGGCCCAGCCAGAGCTCAATCATATTGAGTTTACCTCCATAGAAGATTGAAAAATATCTTTATATTTTTCATAACCGAGACAACAATTCAGGGGTGTTCGGGTCAACTTTACTGATTTCCAGACTGAAATTTACTAACTTAAGATTCACCCTGAGTCCTATTTTTATCCCCTGACTAGGGCTGGGCGATATGAGAAAAAGTTTATGACAATATATATATTTTTTTCATATAAGTCGATATCGATATATATAACAATATAAAAAACAAAATTTAACAGTGCTCATTAGTAGCATGTCCTTCGCAATACAAGACGCTACTCCATCTGTGAGGTCTTTGCGTCTCTGGCGTTTTGTCGTAAGGCGTTGCGCTAGAGAAAGCGGACTGCATGGTCGGCTGTTTTGGCTGCAGAGGCGCCATGGGCTCCTTGCTCTGCTCTGGGTTTGTAACCTTCTGTATTGTGTGTGTGCTCTGCCGCGTGGCACTGCTTCAGGAGGTGAAAAAGATTTGAGGTATTCCCCAACTTTGCGAGAACATGTTCTCGACATAATTTGCAGTGAACATTACTCTGCTTCATGTCCGACCTCAAAAAACAAAATACCTCCACACCACCAATTTTTTCGTGCCAGTGTTGTCAACGGTGTCATCATCTGTTGAGCCTTCATCTGCATTTCTGCCGTGGATAGCTCTCATTTTCTTTTTTTCTCACCAACAGTGCTGTCGGCTTCACGTGTTAAAGTGCTATGGTTGCATGTAGCTGCAGCCTGCTACTACACAGTTGTTTGCTACTTGGTTCTAATTCAGCACACGATTGGTTCAGCGCAAAGCGGACCCGGAGCAACTCCCCTTTTCACTGGCTATCTGTATAGTCTATTGAAAAGCATACTGACCATGTTTTATATTGATATTGAGGGAGATTAATTCTCGATATATATTGTTTTTGTTTTATCGCTCAGCCCTACCCCTGACTTATTTATTTTTTGTCTTATATATTACAATTATCAGATCTTTTAATGATTAAAACCACGTTTCTCATAACCTTCAGTCCAGATGTCTGTTGTAAGTGTTATGTTGGACACAGTTATTGTTCAACCCTCTTTGATTATTAACTAGTTTGACTGAAAAGTTGCAATAAGTCCACAGATGTTTTTTATCATCTGTTTTGTTCAGAATGCCAAAATATTTACGAAAAGAGTTGGTAACTGATCTTTTTCTTTAGCGTGCAAACCTGAATTAAAAACTCACACTTATCTCTAAGAGGATACAACTGCAAACAAATGCAAACAGAGATGCACTAATGTACAGTCGCGGGGCCCATACATGCATTACACACACTGAATATTACACAGCTCTCATGCGAGGTGCTTCGGTTCAGCTGAGCTCACACGCAGGGGGGACAGCCACAAACACCGAGCCTGCATGCTACAGATCCGACACACAAAGAGCTGGCATGCGAGGGGGGACATGTTCACACACACAAACCCACGCAAGTGATCATTAACATGGCACCGATCGCATGTGCTGACCAAATGGCTGGTGTGTGTGCAAACCTCGACTACACCATTCAGCCACGTGATTATCATATGACATGCACACAGCGACACTTTTTGCATGTGTGTGTGAATAAATCTGCAGAGAGTCCTCAAACTTCCCACTCCACAGCCGTGACTGAAGCAGAAGATTAAAAAGATTTTTGTGATAATGATTAAATCCATCTAAGCTTGGAAAAAAGGAGCCAGATGAGAATGGTCGGGTAGGGAGACAAATTTAAGGTTGTTTTTTTCCTCCGCCTGAGGCCACACAGTGCACTATAAATATTTTTCACTACTTATGATGACATTTAGAAGTAATGCAGTGAAACAGGAGTCTCTAGACCACACCTTGGTTCTGAGCCCAAGAGGCAATCATCAGCAATATGATAATTTTCAAGTATAAATATTCAAAAATAGTGAGAAAAACATCTCAAGGTGTGCTAAAACATTTCCATGACTGACTCCATTGCCTCAATTTACAGAGATGGTTCCAGCTCCAATTGTTTTTCAACAACAAGTAACACGGAAATATTTAAACAGCATTTTATTGTAGCTCCAGCTTCTCTCTCCTGCTGCTCTGCTCTCCACATGTCTGAGCTTCATGGAGTTGTGCTGACACACACGAAGAAACACCAAGCTGCACCATTTACCAAACTGAACAACAGTGTGATTATTGTTCACCAGGCCCACAAGGTTGCAAACAACATCATCCCTTCCTTCCCTTTAGATTTGAGAGCATTTTGTTCATGGTTTTCTTGACTTGTAATATCATTATCATGGACCCTGTCCAAGAAATCATATTGTACCTTCAGTTATACCGCTTTCCAATAGCAAAAATAGCATCCCACACAATCAGTGGATACAGGGTATTACAATTGCTCTACAGGTTTTAAAGTGGTCTGGCCATGAAGCCAATTCCCATCATACATCCTGGTCTATAAAGGTAAAAACCAGACGCATATGTGTTAGTCAGAATAAAACTCACAGAGGAATTTGTTTCTGCGCTAAATCACATTTAACGCCAACCCTGATTGGACATAAAAGGAGAACCCAGAGACGAAACGGATACCAAAACAATTTGTGGTACTTTAATCTGTGGTATGTCAACTATTTCTCCTGAAGCCAGACATCTCAAATACCAGGTGTCGGCTCTATAGAGGTTCCTGCCTAAGTGATTTCCACTGTTTACTGTTGGGTAACGTTACCATATAAACCAAAAACTGATCATTTGATTCAATTCCAGCTTTCACAAAACTTCACATATCTTTTTTTTTAAAAATACTTTTCCATCTGTAAGCAAAGGGTGAAAACTTCTCTCTGGCTTCAACACAACATTCATAAGAGAAGGACTACCAACACTGCAGAGTGGTTATGAACACGTAAACCATGTGAGGATATATCATCCTCTATATAATGCTGTGATTGTTTATGCAACAGTGCATTGCACATCACCGGCTGATCTTCTGTTATTTGGATGATGCTTTGCAGTTCCTGTGCACGGATACAGGCAGCAAACTGGCCTCAATGACATGCAAGTCGTTTCTGAACCAGCACAAGTTTCTGACCAGTCAAGACAGAACAAAAAACACCAAACACAACCGACTAAAAAAAACGACTTTTTCACTCCCCATTTCTTCACTTAAACTTAAATGAGACTGAAGTGAAATTTAAAAACCAAGATGAGCTGAAAGTGAGTGACATGAGGTCTGTCCAGGTTGGGATCACTGTCATAAACAAATGCGAGCTAACAACTGCTGACCCATTCAAATCCTTTTCCGCAGCTAATCACATAAAAGGGGACCGTTTAAATCTAAAACCTCCAATCATCTCAAAGCAGAGCTGGTTAAACTAAACCAAAGAGTCTGCTTTTAGGGAGCAGCGTGGTTTCTCTTTCAGCTCCACATGTTTGTAAGCAGGGTATATAAAAAATCTGCAGCACTTTATTTGGTTTTGAGGAGGTGAACAGTAATGCAGTTCTGTGGACTCTCAGGGGACTGGGAGATGGTGAGGCTAATAATGTTGTGCCAAGCAGTTTCTGCAAAGGTTCTGCAGGATGTGTGTGTTTGTGTGTGTGTGGGTGTGCAGAGGTTGTGTAGGCGGATGAAGGGGGGGGGGAGCTCGCACACTACCTGGCCATTATATAAAGCTCCCACTCTCGGCTAGAGGTCTCTGTACTGAGTGCCAGCTCCCTCCCCATCCTCCTCCCCTCTCTGTCCTCCCATCCCCCCACCTCTTACCCTTCCAGCGACTCTGACTCAGGCTTAACTCTCCGCCTGTTGTTTTCTCTCCCTCCTGCCTCTGTGGTATCACAATCTCAGCGCGCATTGAGGATCAAACAAAAGACTGAGTTTGGCACTAAAATATGGATCGGGCGGTTCCTCTCCCAAAGCGGTTCATGCAGCCTTGCTGGACTGAGTTTGAAATGAGTTGCCTTTTTATCATTAGTACGTTAAATGAAGTGCCACCACACCTGAGGCTAGAGGTCGAGTCCCAGCTCGACCACATGCTGGTAATGAATCTAAAAACTCATCCCCTTCAGTGCCGAACGGCACAAAGCTGCAGCAATGACAGGAGAGTTTCTAATGTGGTTCCAAAACAGTGAAAGCAGATGCTGCAGGTAGCAACCAAAAAACACGGGTTTTATGGCGTGAATGAGGACAGCAGGAAGAACTCGGACAGAGAAGTGTGATTGAAAAACACCTGCGAGACAACCACCAACCAACCCTGAGGGTGGAAAAAAGGGAAGGGGGTGAAAAAGTGTCATTTGTAAATAACTTTTTCTGATTTTAGCTCTCAGACGTGACAAATTCCCACAGCGCAGAATTATTTGCACGCGTGCTTAGTCTGGTTAGTGCCCTTTAACAAGTTTACCATAAAAGAAAACAGGACAGCTTGGAAACTTGAAGAACTTGACAGAAAATCAAAAGATGTATTTTTACTCACGGTTAACTGTAAAAGTTGAATAATACACACCATTTAAGTTACAATTAAAGGGTCTGTCAGTGTTAACACATTAATCTCATAGTGATTAAGACCCAAATGAATGTGTTATTTTCTTCCTCACGTGTTATTCTTTGTCCTTTTTGGCACATGACCACAGTGAAGCTGCTACCGCGTCTTCCTACTTCCTGCTGCCACAGTGATGGAAAATAACACCACCGCTGTGCTTTTGAGAGACATTTCACTTCAAAATTCTCCCAGAGGACACAGCTGACGGGTCAAAAGTAATATGCACTCTGCGTCAAAGGGAATTAAAATGTCACCAAAGTATTCCCAGTTCAAGCTACCACCTACAAGCCACTCATACAGGTGCAGCAAATCAAACTGATATCAGCGGGCAACCGCATCACAAAAGCCGGCAGAGTGCCATTTTGGAGCGTGAGAACCCCCATAGACCTGCGGGTGATACTAAATTGGAAAGCTGACAACAGTGCTTGGGAAAAAAGTCACAACTGACTCCAGGTCTGTCAACAAGGTTGAAATGCTAAAGCTGTCTTTCACATAAAAAGCACTTTGAAGCCATCTCCTACTGTTAGGTCAAGGTTTTCAGACCACACTGATGCAGCACTGCAGCGTTTATTTGAATAATACATCAAAAAGTCAAGGCCAATAAGTACATCTCATGACATTCATGTGATTCTTAAAGCAAAGGACTGATAGGAATCGCTTTACTTTGTTAAAAAATGCTTTATGCAGAAAAAAACAGAATTTTAGTCGTGTAAAATTTTGTTTTTTCCCTGCATAAATCCCACCAGAAAAAGCAATGCTCTGACAGACCTAGAGAATCATTTCTAAAACATCTCATGACAAACAAATGCAGAATTTAAGAAAGCACAAAAATAAGTAGTTCATTTTCAGAAGATTGTCAAATATGCATGAGAAGAAATCTTAGGGGAGAAACATTTTTAATTGCCAAAATCCACTGATAAGATTTTAAAGAGAAAATTCTCCAGAGAACGGTCGACTAAAGATGCCCACAGACCTGAGACACCACAATGCCTTTGCACTGGTCTGGCAAGACATTGAGGAGGAGGAGGAGGAAGACTACAGTGAGCCGCACTCGCCCTCTGCACCTTTATGCCGAGTTGGCGGAGGGTGGCAAACACTGAGATGAAGGGGGGATCGCACAGACAGGCTGCAGGCTGTGCAGTAAACATGAAGCTGGTAGAGAAGAGAGCACAGACGCCTTTTTTATCACCAGAGTGTCCTCTTCTGATGCTGAGCTCACGGCCGCCTGGGAAGTGCAATTATATTAGTACAGACTAGTTCTGAGCTTCATTCAGAGAAAGAAAGCATGAAGGGCTCTGTGCTGAATGAAGTCCCTCCAAATTCAATTTACACTCTGCTATACATTTACGGCTAATTGATTTCATCTAATATCAACATATGAGATTATCATCATAAATCAGCTTTGGGTTGTTGTTGTTTTTTTTGCAAGGCAGCTTTAGTGTATCACTTTTAGAGTCCAAAGGTGTTCATGTCTTTCAGGTAATACTGACAAAAAGTACTGGATAGAGAAATGTACATTTAATCAAGAATTAGACAACAGATATGCCTGTTATTAAAATTATTCTGAACAGGCACAGGACTTCATTTTTCACTAACCAGTACATAATATTTACTCTTCTTTATCATTCACTGAAAATCCAGTATAGGTATACAATGTTTCACGGGGGCAAACTAGCTGCAGCGGTGGAGGATGACTGGCTAAGAAGTGCTCATCCTCCTTAAGTTATCAAAAGTGCCACAAGCTCTGACTTTATCGCGATGGATGGCGGATAAATATTTCAGCAAAGGACTTGATGTTCCTCCACTCATCAAAAACTTTATGAGGCAAAAGAGATTAGCTAAACAGAGATAGCTAATGAAAGATTCAGAGAGGCATGTATTTGGCTGAGCAGCTAAATACATTTCTGGGTGTTTCACCAACTCAGAACAGGGTCCAAGATAGAACTGACTTATGTTAGGATGACTTTATAACACAAGAGGCAACAGGAAGTTAAAAACTGAAAATCTGTTTGCATGATGGAAGTTAAAGGATAAGGTTTCATGTAGCACATTATAACCAGTAAGACTGTGAATGTGTGCAGTCCCTTCAACACCTGAATACTGAGTCGGTTAAAGGTTATGTTGTGATGTATCATCTGCCACAAACCAAGCCTGTAGCTCCTGTTCACGGCTACTGCCAGAATGATACAAAGCTTTATACATTTCAATATGACATAAAGGCAGAGTTTCAGTTGTATGACGTACGCTGCGTTAAGTTACCACATAACCACTCGTCTTAGTCAGCCCAGGTGTGCTGACCTGCTAACAGGACCCAAGGCTGGTGGTGCTAGCTCTGCTGGCGTTAGCAACAGTCCTCTAATTTGAACTTTATAGTACCAAGATGACAGTTTTTTTCAGCAATATAACACATAAATATATGAATACTATTCACTATAAGTCTGTGGTTAGTTCGGTACTAAATGAAATAATTTTTGTGTATCAGAATCTATCATAACTGGACTTGATTTAAAGATGTTTTATTGTTTTTGGAGGTATTTTCTGCCTTTACATAGATAGGATAGATGAAGAGAGGCGGAATGTGGAGAGTTAAAGTCCAACTCTGTTTTTTTTTTTTAAACAGCTACTTTAAGTGTTTTCAGTGATCTTTAAACTGTGATTATGAAGTTTTATAGCCAAAATCACATTAATTGTGTCATTTTTAAGGGTTTTGCTTCTGCAGAGCTCCAATACATCATTAGCAGTTCGCCTCTGAGTCGTGGGCAGAGACGGCGCTGCTCTACATACTCCTCTTCACACTAGCTTGCTGCCTAATATTGCTGGTGTAGTAGAAGAAGCAGGTCACATAGGAGCTATTCAGCTCTCAAACACTAATGGCTTTAGGGGTTGAAGCTTGGATTTGTGACATATGAAATCTCACTGTTTCTGAACCTGACGTTTGGGTCTGCCAGAGATTCACAGCGATTTAAATGAAGAAATACTCAGAAATGCAATTTCACACTTATTTTTCTCATGATATTTCCTGTAGCATCAAAAAAATGCCACATGAACATGTAGACAACAAGAAAAACATGATTTTCATGGGAGTGGGTCTTTAAGAGTGGAGGAAGCAAGTGTTCATGGTCAGGAGTCCAACCATTGGCTGCATTGGCCAGGACTATAGCCTCTGTTCACTGGGCGCTATGCCACTATGCCAATGGTGCCAACCCACCAAACATGTTGTTATCCTAAATCAAACTGCATACTACAACTGAGAGTCTGTTTCATACTGACTAATTAATCAGCCTGAAGATTAAGAAATCAAACTTAATCCATCTAAGAAATCATATTATACTGTAATAAGACACTATTGTGGATCAGACCACTCCCTAACAGAGATTTACTGATTCGTTTTGACAGGCATTTTAATTTGTTTGCTGCGTAAACAATCAAATGTACAGAGTACAAAATTAACCAGAAACAGAATTACTCCACAGGCAGGCAGTGACACTGAATCATCAGAAGATTTTCACTTCACTTTATCCTCAAACCAAAGTGCACAAAGGATGTTTTTCACATGAGATGCAGGGGGATTTTTCACTTACAGCACGCTGCCTCTTAGTCTGGCCAGTGTTAGTGAATCAGTGTCTTAAGCTGCAGCCCCTCAGGTCAAAGGCCACCGGAGAGAGGCTAAGGCATCTCACTTCTATTATTAGCTATGAAGCTTTTCAAGTCCACAGTGCAGGGCTCAACAGAAACATCTCCAGCAGCAGCAGCAGCAGCTCCACTCTCCCAGAAATCCACCACACTAATAATTATTCATCACCTGAGACAGGAGGTTGCAAGGCTGCAGGTGTCAGGGTTTGGCATTTAACAAGTATAAGGGAGGAAATGATTTGCCCTGAATAAGAAACAGCTGGGCATTTGCAATCGTCTCCACTCTGTTTTTTTCTCTATTTCTTTTTTCATTTAGAGACAAAGCCTGACATTAGTTGTAATTCTCACTTCACATGAAAGAAGAAACAGAAATGCTTCTTAATGATTGCCTCTGCCAAGTCAAGTCACAGTTCACATCCATCAGAGTTTCCCGCTAAGTGATGTTTTATGTGTGGCTTCATTAGGCAGGAAAGGTAGCACCAAAATTTTAGTACTAACACTTTCTCTCCAGCGGGGAAAGTTTTTCCACAGACAAATAATAAAATATTAAAATCGATTTTACAGTCATATTAAAACCCCATCCTGTAGATACTGGGAAATTCTGTTCATGGAAATTAGACGACCAAAATTTAATCAGATTATCCTTCTGTCTGAGTGGATATTTCTGCAAAATGGATTAGGAATACCTCTGCACTGCTAGAAAACAAGAGCAATGTTTATGTATTTTGGTGCAATCTAATGCATTGTAATCTAACTTATAATCAATGGCAAAGAGGTGAAAGTTAGGCTTTCAGTGTATCAGAAAGAAAACAGCAGTGAAAGTGTCATTTTTACTAAAATGTCAAACAAACAAAAACAGTCATAGATTGGATTTTTCTTGCCATACTTAAGTATAAAATAACACTTTATGGCTCTTGGACCAGATCTAACTGAGGTGTAAAAAATAAATTTAATTTGATAAATACCAAATAGTCCATTCCAGTAACCTTAAACTATATGTTTGAATCAAAATGGAAATACATATCTGATAGGTAGCTTATATTAAAATTCATAAGAGTTGAGCCAATAATTGTGTAATCAACAGAACCTCTAACCACTGCAGCTCTATCCCAACTGTCGACCATTAACATCTAACTAGTCCAGTTCATGTAGATGTCAGCGTTGAATCAGAGGTCATGCAGAAAAACTAAAGACTGAGGGAGGTCAAGGGTTTTTTAGAGGTTCTCCAAATAATTCACGACATTTGGACTCAAATCCTCTTCTATATTTAGTACGCATATGTGCAGCTCCACCCATATTGAACTGGTGTTAATTAGCTTCTTATTTTTTATTTAACTTATATGCTACAGACTAAACTTTTTACTGACTGGTTGATAGAGAATATGTGTAGACTTCTGTCCGCTTACACTCACCTGAATAGCCCATCGCAGGTAAGACAGCCATTTACGGTACTTTCTCTTTAAATCAGTAAGTTTCCATCTGTCCATACTGATGTTTAAATTCTACGTAACAATAATAAATATTAAAATGAATTATAAGTAGAAGTTTGAAGTGATGGTTCCTCCTAAATTTCCAGCTTCAGGTGTTCAAATATAGTTTCACTTAGATGTCTCTATTTGAGTCATCTGTGGTGCAGATGCTGTCATATGTTATTTGCAACACAAACAAACATCCTGCACCAAGGTAGGGAGACATAAAACTCAGGCTTAAGCTTTATAGGAAACAGAGGCTAACCCTGATGCATGTAATACACGACAGCTTCTGACACACTGCTGCAAGTTTTAAGAGAATTATGAGTCACAACGAAATAAAGTGACAGTAAAACTAAACTCTGCACGCAAGTTACAGAAAGCAGCGTGCCTTGGGTGAGGAGATTTAAGAGCTTCAAGGTGAGGGTCTGACAGAGACACCAGACTGCTGAAAACTGCAGCAGCAGGACACAAAATATATTCAAATGACTTTCACAAGACACCTGCATTCATTTATCGGCCCTGATTCAGAACAACCTCTCTGATTTTTCTGATTATTGAAGTCCAGAATTGAAGTCCAGACTGCTACCTACTAGTGCCGATCTCAAATGTGACATGTTTCCACGGCAACAAGACCATGTAACAAAATCACCACAGGAGTTAAGAAAAGCACCGTCTCGCCGGAGCCTTACAGAAGTCGATGGCTGCTGAGAATACGCACTCCCACAGGGCAAAATATTGGACAATAGAGACGCTGAAATGCCAGTTTTACAGGGATGAACATACGAAGCAAAGATGAGGAAGCATGTTGGTGTAATTATCTGGGGGCATATACCATAAACTTAAATCTTGGGAACAAGGGAAGGAGCAATGAAGTATCTCTAACAGTTTGTTCCAGCTGGTTAACACCCCTGACATCTCTGTAACAGATGTGACATGAAACATCTGTGTCATGCTTCACACTGTTAGCTTTACTCTCTGTTTAGTGCCGTATAGTGTACATCCATCTTTCCTGCTTTACCATAACAGGATGCTGTGAAATGCCAAACCTGTCCCCTAATATGAGCCTGATACACCCTCAAATTACCAGCACATGCATGTCAGCTTTAAACACCCCATTACATTAGAACAGCTATCATTCACTGAGCTGATATCCACCCGAACGTCTAATCCCCCCTCCACTGATAATTAACTGCAGCGATAATGACGATGACAATAAGAGAAAAAGGCAGGTGTTGAAAGGATGTAGAGGAGCAGAGAAGAGGGCCTGTATCATTAGGGATTAACCTAGCCACAGGCTCTACAAATAGACTGTCTCCACCTATAAGCCGCCAGCGCACAGACACTTATTTGTATTGCCAGGTTGCTGCTGCAGCAGCTCCACAGAAGAGAGAGAGAGAGAGAGAGAAGAGAGTTCAAAGACGCTGAGGCCGATCGCAGCGCCTGTGAAACAAAATGCGATGCAACAGGACACATTTGGAGGCCTGGCAACATCTGAGGATTTCACACGCACAGATTTTTGGCTGAATCACAGATGTGTGCTCACATTGCTATTATACAGCCTGAGGCAACATGAACCAAACATGCAGCACTGCAGTACAAACCAATGTACAATACAGATAAAGGATTAGGTGAAGAACTAATTAGACAAGGTACAAAACAATTAACAAGAATATATTTCTCAATTCATTGAATAATCTTAATATTTTTAGTAGATCGCACAAATACTTAAAGATCCCCTAAATGTGAAAATCCTTTTTAACCAAAATAATATAACATCAGTCACTTCGTTCAGAAAAGTGACAAACGGCGACCCAAACTGAAACTCTCCAAAACTTAATCACAACTGTTTTCCAGTCAAAAATATGAGTTACTGATAACTTTTTTGCCTTTAAACGCCTCTCTGAGTACAGCTTTGAAACCAGAACAGTAAAGCAGGTAGCACCAACATTTTGTGTTTCAAAAACTTCCATGACTTGTGAACAAAAAGCAACATTTTTGATTATCAACATACCACAGTTTTACCTATTAATTCCTGGTTTCAGCTTCTGATTTGCAGGATGCCTTTCATTTGACAAACCAGCCCATGGTCTGAATATGAGTAAGAGGAACAAATTCATTCATTAAAATAACACACCCTTAGTTTGCTCAGGCGTGAAAGAGCAGCAAAATGCTCCAAAGTAGCAGAAACACTGAGGTTTATTTTTGCTTTAATGGGAATATCCACCAAAAAAATCTTCCCGGGATGTTAGGATGTGAATCCCAAACAATATCCTCGATCGTTCTTTGAAAATGGTCTTGATCGGGTTTTGATCACTCGTCAAAAACATGACTCAATCACTTTGTTTCTATAAGGGTATAAACTGTTAAATGTACAAATATCATCATGCAGAGCAGGCTCAAATAAGTAATGATTGTAGACATATCGTCACGTTGAGCGAGGCTCAAACTGCTCAAATGAATGTTGCAACAACAGATCTGAACAGAAAAGTATTTGAGATTAACAATAACAGCTTTCTGCTTACGAGTTCTCATTATCTCATTAAAAAATGAAGTAAGTCCACATGGTTGGCTGTAAATTGGGACAGCAACTGGGTCACAATCAGCAGAAAACATGCACGTAAACAGCACTGATGTTGCTGAAATGCAGTTACTAGTGTGTTAGCTACGCCAGTCTGGGAAATCGTTCTGCATAAACTTTACACCAGTCTGTTGGCTTTATATCCAAAAGTGGGTCATGTAAAAGTTCTCAATCTCTGTGTCCATGTTGTACGCAGCAGGAGCTGTTGTGTATTCGCCCCTAAAAAGAAGAACCATTGCAGAGCATGTGGCTGCAGCCTCAGCTGAGCAAAGCTGCAACACCTTCTGCTCGTTGGTTTGCACTGAAACACGCTTAAAACTTAAAACACCACCCTGATAGACGTGAGAGTATGTGATATTTTTATCTCAAGTGTGTTTGCGCATTTCCTCCAAAATCAATCACTCAAAACTCAACAAATTGTTGATATCCCCAACAGAGAGGCAAGTCTGTCCAACAAGATATGAGCAATCCTCCATTTTCTTTTCAATTTTACCATCAATCACGGCAGATATTTTTCAGCAGTGACTCACTAAGTACAAAAGCATATATGTGTTATTGATCCATTCTGTGCTCCTGTAGAAAAATGGCCAAGCAAAATGGCAGCCTCTGTGGAAGGAGACCCATTCTTATGAAAGGCTCACCCTGCCCAGTCTGTTCTACCAAATGCCACTGAACACTAGAGAGGGTCCTTATCGGCAATCTTTGATTATTATCAGGATAATATCTTGCAAATCAGTTATTCTTTCAAAGACAAATGTCACATGAAGTTTTGATATTGTGCAAATTTGAACCATTTAATGATCTCATAGGGAAATCTAGTGATCTGAGAATTGAGAGTTATGCATTTGAGGCTCCGACACTAAACAGAGCCTCTACTGTGATGTCTGTGTCAAATTCAAATTAAGTACAATCATCCGCCAAATAAACATTCCTCAAAGTGAAGCTGTAAACAGATATTTGGCTCCCGCAGTTGTGACCAATCTCTTCTTTATGTTTTTTTTTTTTTTGGCTTTCAAAGAGTCACTCTCTGATGAGGAGTTGTATCAGCTCAGGGCCGACATATTTCCACCTACAACTGAGAAAAAGAGCTGTTGCTATTGACTCATTAAATTCTCTAGAGATGAAAACTGCAAACCGGCGTTTCACACAGGGCTGCTGTCTTCTCTCATGTAGATCTCACACCTGAGCAGAGGTCTGACACTTCTTTGGTAGAAAGCAAGACAACGTTCCTGGAACCATGACAAAAATATAATTAAACAAGAAGAAAGTGTTGTTAGACCAAATGAAACAGCAGCTATAATCAGCAACCCTCATCATTTCCATAGTATCACTCTGCTTAATCGGCTCTTTATGAATCAGAATATGCCTGATATTACCCTCGACAATCTGTCTGCTACACAGTTTAATTTAACTAAGTTATCCTGTTTTCTTCACATGAACGCATCACTGTCTAATACCTGTTATGTCAGGTTACAACAAGTCTACAATACACAATTTCAGCCTTGCTTTACTGAAGACACCTACAGCTCAGACATATCTGATGAAAAATGTCAGAGACAAATTGGTGCTTGCTTTATTCACATTTCAAAAAAAGTAAAGATGCATGCTGATGCAGATATCTAACAAACTTTTTTAGACTAGAGAAATGTCTGGTAATGTGAGTCACTTTTCTCAGCAATCTCTTGACCCTCCTCCTGTGTTAGGGTCTGCACTGACCCGTTTATTTTACTTCTTAAAAGAACCACTTAAATCAGCTTTTTTGCATCAAGACTTTTTGACTTTGTCAGGAACCTCGATTTCAACAAAATAAAAATAAATAAATTTAACTGACTAGATTATAAAGAGCTGTTATTAAAATTATGTCACTTGTCATGTTAGGGTCGCTGTTGACCCGGTTAGATTAATATCTAATAATCAGAGTAAAAACTGAAATCATAAGTGCACTGGCAGGCACCACACTGACAGTCACATCCTCTTCCAATCATGTGAGATTTAGGAAATTCTCATTTTGCTGTGTTTTTCCCTGCACGAAAAACAACGTCGGCCAAGTCCAGACATGTGAGATCAATTCAGTATAGATGTCTGTGTGAGGGGTATACTGACAAAGAAAGGCCCAGAGGACCACATAAAGCCCAACAAAGTAATCTAGAGATGAGAACCAAACTGGATGATAGAGAATTGTTTTTATTGTAACTTACAGCTAATTTAAGACACAGGTCAAAACCGACTTTGAACATGGTGGGTGCAAAGTAAAAGCTAACACACGGAGGAAGGTTAAATTGTGCTCAAACCACACCATCTCAAAGACTCACTATTCATAGATAGACAGTCTTGTTGTTCTACGATCAACAAAGCAAACTGACCACTTTGAAGGTCATCCCGTCTGGTACCAATCCAAGCACCAGGAAATCTCTACTCAAGCCAGACCTCAACAAGTCCTCAGATCAGGCTGTCAGATCCTACTTCAGAACCCTCTGCAATGCATATATGATGCTCAAAGAAAATAAGACTTCATTTAAAAGCTTCCGTGCTGGAGTAAGTGAAGTTTCATTAGTGGTTCCCTCTTAGTTTAAAGCAGCGTGTGGGGTTAACAGTCTGAAACCAGAGCAGCATCAACAGGAGAAAACTTCATTTCAGCGAGAAAGGCGTCCACCACACAATAGCAAAACCCATTCTCGTCTCTGAAATGCACTTTTTTTTAAATCATCACTCAATTTGCCTAAAAATAAAACAGAGAAATCAGCATTTACCAAAATAAAATAAAAAAAATGCTATCAGAAAAACCAAGCAGATGTTTTGTTTTAAGAAGCTGTGCCACATCTTATTAATAAGAGGAGAACCTATAACACTAGCACTGGGATGATCCGCAGCAAGAAGACCACATCTGGCTTTTCAAAGAGGCAGAGTGTGCAGCTAAAAAAAACCCTGTTCATTACAGAGAGTGGAGCTGAGCAGCAGCTGGCTCCAAGAAGCAGGTACTATAGATCCACAGACCCCGAGCAGGCAGGCGGGGAGACACACCAGGGAAAGAGGTCTAAAAATAGCCCAAGACTCGGATCAATTTCTGCATAATATGATACAACTCTGCGCTACAAAGTTCAATTAATGTTAGGGTTCAGTTTAAATATCACAAAAGAGCATAAGAGTAGCAGCAGAAATAAGGAAGAGTTGGGTTAAACAGCAGACAGAGCACCGTTATGTGAGGAGAGGCGGGTTTCTACTGCAGGTATCAACAGGTAAAGTGAGTCACAGCAGGTAAGAATGAAGAGGCCAGGTGAGCCGGCTCAAGCAGCGGACACACTCACACTCTGCAAAGACGCGATATATCAACTTTATATCCACATTTATGAGCAGAAAATCAGGGTTTCAACTTGACTCAGCGGGGTGATGCTGCTGTCACTCAAAGTGTCTGACAGTCTGAGCGCGAGACAGACGGTCGCGAGCTCGTTATTTTTTTATATACCAAAAAAAAAATGATCTAACAAACCTCTGAGAGAGAGATTAAAAGAAACGAAGAGAAGAGATAAATTGTGTTTAAACAGACTGAGAGGATAACGTAAAACCCGCCCTGGCTCGAGCTGGTGTGCTGATGAAAACGGTCCGTTCAGCCAAACCAGCGCGCGGCTCAATATCAACATAAACACGCTCGCGCAGCTTTTGGCGCTCGCGGATTCAATAAAGTTCCTGTTGTGTTTGCACGGAAAATAACAAATCTGACCACACCTCAGCCCCCCGAGGCTTAAATATCCGGCACAGTGTTTTAACTGACAACCGATGGCTTAGTAACCGAGTACATTTATAATGATTTCAGGCTGCGCCTTACCTTCAGTTCCGCACTCTCCGCCATCTTGTATTTGTTTGCGCAGGCGTGGTAAAGTGTTGTCACATGACTGGGACGCGCAGAGCGCTGCGTGAACGCGCACTCAAGCGGCAAGGGTGCGTTCAGGAACACGAATGATAAAAGGAAATTAGGAGGTAGAATAATGCAGAAAGTTCAAGAGAGAAACAAAGAAGTGATATTAATATCAGTCCTACTGTTTTTACGTTCTGTTAAAAGTTTGATGCTAATCGAGTATTTGAGTTTTGATACAAGGATGTTTTTTTCTTGACACTTTGATGCAAACAAAGTCCCAAAATGAGGTAGACATTTAATTTAAGTCAATTTAAGTTCATTTCAGTATCTTATTTTATTAAACATAGAAAGAATCTTTCAAGAATAAATTACCATCAGAAATAAAAACGTTAAAGGACCCCAAAGTCTTCAATATCAAAACAAAACTATGGTTGAAACAAAGACAAATCTGTGAACACTAACTTACATATATGTACATTATGGAATGTATGTGTGTCTATGTGTATGTATGTATTTATGTATCTATGTGTGTGTAAGTCACATGGATACATATATATATGTAAGTCTGGATTTTTGTCTGCTTTCTTGTTGTTTTTTATGCAAACATATTATTGCCTGTCTGCACCTGCTATAATGCTAGTTTTTATTTAGTGGTTTATGTATTGTGTGCTGTATTTCCTGCTGTCTAACCAAGGACAAGAACTGCAAATTAGCCACGGCTAGAAGTCCTGCATACGCAGCACCGGCTGCTCTTTAATTAGATGCAACAATGCTTGATGTACTGTCCCTGTCAAATAAACAAATTTTAAAAAAGGTTTAGCTTTACCGATCTGTATTAATAATAATAATAATAATAGTAATAATAACACAGTGACACTTTGAAGGGATCACCCAGCTCAGGTTTGAGAAAACAAAATCTGTTCATTGTAAAAGACATTTCAGGCTAAATAAAATCAGTGAACTCTATCATTGCAGTACATTTAGAGAAGTGTCTTAATGATGGATCAAGTTTGGTCAAATTTATAACAAATACACCTGTGTATGGCATTTTAGGTGTAAAATAAGTACCTTCTTAAATGCCTCCCTGGTAGGTAAAAAGGAATTAAGAAAATGCTCTGGCTGGTGCCCTTGCAAAGGAAGTCGTGAAAAACGTGAAGTGTCCTCTTTGATGCCTCTTGAATATAAAATGAGTGAAAGTATCTACAGGGAAGTTCCCTTGATTATAAATGTTTGGTTGTTATGCACAGTCTTGAGGTTTAATATGAGTGATATGAAATCACCACCGATAAACACTATGCTCGACAAACTGCAGCCACTGATAAGGGACAGAACAATTCAACAGAAATCCCGGGGGCCTTTACTTGAACTTTTTATCAGACTAAACTTTTGAAAATTATTTTTGGGGAACCTTTGTGCTCAGTTTGACCTACTTGAGATCATAGACATTTGCAAACAAACAACCACCATGCACCAAGAATACATGAACAGGCCTTAACTTAATTTCAGAGTGAATCAGTAAGTTTTTTTGTTTGAGGGGTTTCTTTATCTTAAGTCTAACAAAGTAAAACAGTTAATGTCATGTTACTTTGTCTTGACTTTCAAATCTTGCTCTTTAATCTTTTACTCACTGTGGTCATTGTTCTACACCAATGAACCAGGCCGAATTTGTAATCATCAATATCATTTATAGATGAGAAGCAACTTGGCAATAAATTGATAAATAAACAAACAAATGAATGAATGAATAATTGATTCTTCCTCTTAAGTTGTTGAAAAGTGGCCCATAAATGATTGACAATGAGGTGCATTAGAGCAGGAAATACTTCATGAGTCCCCTGAGGGAAACACTGAGTGCCATTAAACACAGGACAAAAGGCCCACATCCAAATGTTGTCCTTGAAAGAGGAGGAGCACACAGCACTGTTACTGTGTCAACATTAATCTGACTGTACTAGTTATGTTCAAGTGGCTTTATGATGGGACATAAACCCCCAAATTCCTATAATCTTACATATAACTACCGTGTGAACCATCAATATCTGATAAACATCATTAAAAGTGACAGGCTGCTTATTGGTTTAGTACTTTTACAAAGTTTTTCCAACCACTTGAAGCGCTCTGCACTACTCATCAAATTCCCTTATTCACTCTGAAGGCAAAGGTTGACCGTCAATATCAACTGATCCCATATGTACTAATTCACAGAATGCTGAGCATTTTGGGTTCACTGTGTTGCCCAAGGACACTCTGGCGTGTGACTGCAAGAGCTGAAATTTAACCAACAACCCTTTGAATAAGAGACAACCCACTCTACGACTGAGCCACAGCCGCTCAGTGAACTCTCTCATGGCATGCTAAACAACAGTGTGTAAAAAAGGCTCAAAATTTATTTATTTAATTTTTACTTGTCATTCCTGTCTTTGCAACCATAAACTCTGAAGTGAAGTGATTCTGATTAAAGTTTCATACAGAGATGTCCAAACAACTTGGCATCTGTGATAATTTTACATAACTTATTGCTGAACAGTAATCAATGAATAACGTGGGGCCTGGCATCCAGTTGAACACAAATAATCCAGCTTAATCCTCGGCTAAAACAGAGTGACGATATGGAATTGTTAAGGGTGTAGATCTCCTCTATCAAAGTAGGCAAAGTGTTGAAATGTGGTTTTGATTAATTGTTGGCTGACTTATCTGATGATAATTCACTCAGTAACCTGCAGCTGTAATCCCTCCAGTACTTCACTCATATTTGGGCTGTTTAGAGTGATGAAAACTCTAAATGCTGTCTACTCTGCACAACTGAACTAAAAAAATAAAAATAAAAAAAAAATAAAAACAGTCCCTCTCAATCTGCTCGGCCAAATCCAGTCTGAGAAAAGTGACTGGATTTGGCGTTTGAACCTTTTTTTTTGGACTTGTCCTGCTGCATACTTTCATGTCTCTTTTAGTATTTTATGTGAAAACGACCTCCTTTTCCCAATTTTCAAAATAAGAAACAAGACCAGAGTGGAACTGGAGGACTTTTATATGTTTGAGTGTATTATTGTAGTTTTTTAATCCTGTTATCATTATCATTATGGCCATTTTGCGTAGTTTCATGTTACAATTGTTCTATATTGAGTCGGTGTAAAGAACAGTCACAACCCCAATATTTCTAAAATTCAATTCTGAAACAAACTTTTACTCCTTAAAAAAATGAAAAGATTTGTCACTTAAGAATATAAACTACATATTTGAAGTTTTTATTTTCACAGCATGAGATTTTTTGAGAGTTCATTCAGAGGAAATATCTGAATTACACACAAATAAGGTGGAAAGTGTCCTCAGATAACACTCAAAGCCATGTTAAGTGCTTATAAGGCCAGTAGGTGGCGCCCTATCCTTTCTAATGAAGCCCACTCCAAAATAACACGCAGTGAGGTCTCAGATTTAAATCCTCCTCAGCCTGTACAGACTCTTTGCTCATTAAAAATCACATCCTTGCTCAGTGTAATGGTTTTATTGTGAACAAAAAATCACATCAAACACACAATCAGGCTTCATGTCCATTAAATCCGAAGATATTTGTCCCCTCACAAAGAGTCTATTGACAGAGTATTTATGCAGCTTGTTTCATACAGACAGAATCACCACGGTTTTAATGGTTTTATTCTATCTTTCTCTTTCTCTGCCATCTGCTGTATTGTCGATGGACAGTGATAGGACAGGTGTCCTCTGACCACAGGTGTTTATACAGGTAAAGAATGAAGCAGACTGTAAATACTGACAGACAATGTGTCATAGAGGAGGATAAAACATGATTCCTCTTTAAAATGTTTGGTATAACAGTCGGTGAGTGGATTTAATGTTAGCCTGTGTTTAATGCGCTCAGTATGCAGACAGAGCCGCTTACTGTCAGGATGGGGAAAACAATACTGAAAGTGATCAATCACATCATCCATTACAGCTCCGCATGTGCAATGTGAAGCTGAAATATCAACAAACATGATTCAATATATCTATGTTCGCATGTCTCTTTAACTCACAGTTTTTTTTTTCATTTCATTAGATGCTACTCTACTCATAATGTCGTTCAATAAAGTAAATAATATGTTGTTAGAGACATTAAAAATATGTATTGTTAGTGTCTTTTCCCAGGGTTCAACAACAAATAACTGTTCTTATATGAAACTTTTTGGTAAATGCTAATCACTTGTGTGTTTCAGTTTTCTGCAACTCTTTGAATCTATTCTTTTAAATCACGTTTGGGTCAAACTTTAAAATAAGGTTCAAATTCTGTATTTAATTTATAGATACTGCACAAGTTATCACTATTTGATGCATGGATCAATGCAAGGCGTAACATTAACTCCAACTGCTCCCTTTTAACTTGAAATAAAGTCTCTGTAACTTTGTGAGTTGGGTTAATCTTTTATAAATGATCGGTTCAGGCTCTTTAATCACAGTTGGTTCATACCACATTAGCTGGACATAGAAGTATAATTAAAGACTGTGCATTTGTTTGGTCTTTTGAACTAAAAATATAAACCTCAGAGTTTTTGCTTTAATACTAATGAAAGGAGAAAACTGAGTGATGATAGCAATGATGTGAAAAACAGACTACGCAAAACAAAATGGTCAATAAAACTCTCATAACTAGGATGCAAGTGAAATCACTCATATTTTAATCTTACATTATAAACTCTAGAAAATGTTCTGCACTATTGGTAATATGTAAAAAAAATGAAAATACTAATAGAAATGTAAAGTTCTCATAAACTAGAAGACTGATTAAATGTCTGATCAAAAACCAAATACAGATTTTCAGCTAATGTGATCCTGAATCAAGCTTTCTAAACTCTCAAACTTATAAACCATATCTTTTCTGCTAAATGCCTCTAAATACTCCACACTCCACCTTAAAGCTATCAAATGACTCAGTTTGCAGTTCATCTATAGGGGGGAATGAAAAGCCTAAAATCACTCATTATACTTCTTTCCACTTGTCACTGTACATTGATTACTGGGTATTTTGACCTGCACGTTTAGGGATGTGCACAAACGGCCACCAAAAGACACAAAATAAATGTACAGAGAAGCTAAAAGTTGAAGGCATTCAAAGAGGACGACATAACCATCACATTTGTGATCGTTTGGTCTCACTTTGGTGTCACTTTTTGTCCCTCGGTGGTCATTTCACATCCTTATTGGCAGTTTGTGTCTCTCTGAATATTGATATATTTTCTGTCTTCCTGTTATAGTTTCATAACGCTCCGTAATAACTTGACTCCTCTCGACGGGATTTTAATAATTGTTTTTATCTTTTGGCAGTTTGAGTTGTGTCTTGATGGCAGTTTCACTATTTCATGGTGTACAGACTTGCATTTTTGTCGCTTTTTCTGTTGTTTTGCAACTTTTTTGCGTCGCAGTTTGTAGCTCAAATCTTCAAAAGTTCAAAGAGCAGGAGAAACACGCTGCAGCCTTAATGACATTTAAAGTGTTATTGAATATTCGTATCCTTCTCACTTAAGATTTGAGTTGGCCTTTCACATGTCAATGCTCTGAGCCCTATAATAAATCAGATAATCCAGCCCATTTTATCATCACATCCCGTCTGTAATCTAGTCATTCTTGATGTTAAAGCACCAAATAACATCACAATAAAGCAGCTGATCACTTCCTCAGCAGTGTTCAGACCTAGTTAGTATTCAAAGAGAACTGGTTTTGCCATGGAGGGCAATTAAGCTCTGAGAAAATTAACATTCATTGTGTGTCAGTGACATTATGTGAGTATCTGTCTCAGCGTGGAGCATCCAGGGAGAGGGAGCTGTGTAATCAATATCTATTAGTCGTCCCATCAGAAGAATTAGATTTCACTATTAGATCAGGCCGCTCCCCTGTCTCCACGTCAAACATTATAAGTGGACTGGACATGTCATACGCTGATGTAGTCGTCTAATGAGAGAGATCATGTTGAACTCAAATACAATAAGAGGAAATATGAGCCGTCAGATGAGGAGTTATTCTGCTCAAGGGCCAGCAGGGGGCAGACTCACACCAGTGACAGAATAAACAGGCTGAACTGCAGAAAGAGGCTTTCACGTTTTATTAATATTTGACATGGGTACATACATAAATGAGAAACTTAAGGGTGGATTGTGTCAGAAACCAGGATTTAATTTTTTTTTATTTTAAAGCTGCTCTTTGTGATTTCTACTTACAAACCAAATGCAGCGTCATGATTTGTGAATCATTTCAGACAGTGTGAGCTTCATGTTTAATAAAAAGATCATCAGATGACAAGAAAAGTTTTGGTTTTATCTGTTACAACTCACAGATTATCTAAATGTTAAAAAATAAATAAATAAACAGAAAAACCAAAGGGTTGAGTTTGTGATAAAATATTCAGTTTAAACTGTACATGAAATCTATAAACTGCTCAAGAGCATTTTTAAGGACGAGTTGAAAGTAAATCCTTCAGTGTAGGACATCAAACCTGAACAGCTGTGGATGTAAGTGCTTGTAATAATGTGCTTTATTAAACATAAAGATCCTTATATTTCAATGAAAGAATTTGGTATAGGACGGCATGTTCAAATTCAGAAAAGTTGCCCATTTAAAGTGCTTAGGTCATGAACAGTTTTGCAAACAATCTAAATCATCATTGAAAGCAAAGACGGATAAATGAGAAAAACATGTACCAACTCAAGATTTTCTAACAAGCAACAAAAGCTAAAAACAATGAGATGCTTTTCAACTGAATGTCACAATAATACAAGCCATTGCACATCGTCACATGATATATATATGTATGTATATAGTGTAGTTTTTTTTCTTTCAGAGAAGCTAAAGAGCAGACGACTTTGATTTAGAGAGACTCAGAACAACAACCCTCTGAATCACAACGTAAAATGACTTTTTAAATAAATAAGTGATTTCTTTTAGTCAAGAGTTTTTGTTTTGTTGTTGTTTTTTTATTTTGCAGCAGGTCAAGTCACTGCCAGTTCACTCAAGTGCTAAAATCAGACGTGACCCTATACAGCAGGATAGAAAAACAGGAACTGTGTGTGTGAGAGTGTGGGGTGAGGAGTGTACTTTTTCTCTTTTGGCTGTGCTGGGGTCAGATGAGGGCGGTGCCGAGTATTATGGGGGCAGCAGCGGGGGTTTGAAGGTGCAGGCTCCGGTACACTGACGAGGTGTGAGCATCTTACAGGAGAAGTGGTGAAGGGCGTCGTGAGCTTCTGGGGGGAACAAGTCCATCAGTGAGAACGTGCACACAAACACAAACACCAAAAACTCTCTCAAAATATGAAGGTCTTTGCTTCTTTTGCTTTTTGTACGAGTATTTTAAAGGATGAGTTCACATTTTTTCATGTCTGTCTTTAAACTACACACAAATGTTGATATGAACACTGAGGAGGGTTTTGGTGCCGCAGTTCCTCCAGTCCATAACGAGATCTGCCTTAAAACATGATCTGGATGTTTGTGATCTAGAGTCCTTACTTAATTCAACTGAGACTAATTTGAGTTTTACTTAATTAATTCACTCACTCACTGGACAGCTTTGAATGCTTTTTAAAGCTCCTGTAAGGGACTTTCTGTTTGTGTTGACTTTGGCACCTCATGTGGACAAAATTCTATCTTTTGTGTCTTTGCTGATTTGTTTCCTTGAACATGCTAAAGTGGTGATTTAAACAAAAAAAAAATCTCATCCTGATTTCTTTTTAGAAAGGCAAAAATACGGCATGAATTAAGCAGACAGAGAAGACTGAACACAAAAGGACAAATGACATGAGATAATGGGACGGTCAGCACACAAAGATAGAATTTGCCTTATTCAAAATTGTGAAATTGCACCTAAAAAAATCTTTTTCACTCGCTTAAATCCTCCACATTTTCCCACTTAGTTCCCACTTAAGTCTTCTTAAAGCTGCATGGAATAGGTCATTTGCTCTGTAAGATGTGCTTGCTCAACAATACTTAAGAGGCCAGCAGCAGAGCAGTATTTTTCAGGCCAACATTTAGTGATGCTCTAATTGCTTGACACCTGCAAAATCTTTAGGAGGTAGGCATGTTCACTCAGTCTATCAGGGATTCATCCAAGATGAAGCAAAGTGAAACTTGTACTGATGGTGAAATCTAAATTGTTTTGTGTTGTTACTTCCTTTTTTTCCAGAAAGCCTGAATACGACAAACGGCAGGACTCAAAAATACGAGCGCAGTCAACCATCACTTCTCTTCATTCTCATTTTAAAGTCATGGAGTCTAGATTTCTGTTTGGGGTTTAATCCTGCTTTCTTTTAGATGTAGTCAAATATACCACTCACTGTACTGTATATCTGACATCTGTGCAGCAGCAGCAGCCCCAAAAAATGACTGTATAGTAAAAATCAGTTTCATTGCTCCTTGTTCTGTTTGTTATTTAGCTCAAATTCAGGCATCAGTAATAATGCCAGCCTGTTTCATACTCAGCTGAACACTCCTCACAAAAACACAACAAAATCATCCAAATGTAGCCATAAATTTATCCAAACCTAAGGAAATTTGCTCAGATAAACATCCGTTTTCTACCTTTGAGAAATCATTGAAAAGTCCAATGACGTTATTCTCTGGTGTGAAGCAGCTGAACGTTTACAGGAGATGTGGGTGCAACCGGATGATGATTAAAAAGCTGCTTCCTAAACTGCGGTGAACAGGATGCAGAAATGATGTTTATATTTGTTTTATGAGTTAATCTGAGGAAAATGACTGTCTGCATCACACCACGCACATGTTTTGATCTCCGAGTCTATTTTTAGTCTCCTCAGTGTGTTTTAGTCACATGCTTCATTTACGTCATGATTAATTTACTTAGTTTGTTTCCATTACACCATGTTGCATCTTGATTTTATTGACAAGTATTTTTTTCTCTAAAAAGTTGTCAGCCTGTCTGAAGTAAGAGTAGACAGATCTTTATCCTTAAGAGTAATTTTCACTAACTTTCCACTAAATGGACCATGACTTCAAAAGAGTAATACTTGATTTGACTTACTTTTAGCTTTTAATAAAAGTTTTCCCTTTTTGCACAGAACTGAGACTTTTTTTTTTTTTTTACAATGAAAATGGTTTTCAAATAAAACAATAAGGAACAAGAAGAACATTAACAGTGACCAACAGCACTTGAACTGTACAAATGCTTATGTGAGGATTGTTTTAAGACAGACAAAATATGCGAACCATTCCTTTAATGGTGTCCAGCGGATATCCATCACAGGAGGTGTTTAATAAAAAAAAGTAGCACTTGCATATTTGTGTTTGTGCATTCATGTTCCTCTCTCGGACCAGATAAAATTACCTTTTAGCTTCTGCTGTATTGCATAACGAGCCTTTCTCTCTTGGTCCAACTCGCTGCACAAAGTGTCTATCCAAAAATAATAAGAATAAAGTATGAAAAAATTGGTCAAAATTTGAAAGAGTATATTGAAGTTGCTGTGTAGTGTAGTGGATTGAAGGAGTGTAACGTGTGACGTTTGCCCCCTATGGTATTTAGAGTGACCCCTGTGTGTACTTGAACCCTGTATTTAAACTAGTGTAACATGAACCCAATCCTTTAAGGCTGGCTTTAGTTGCTGTCTACTGCATGTAACTGATACAGCACCACATAATGGTCTGTCTTTTCTATTTTCCAGAGCATGATTTGATAAAAAAAATAACCTTTGCAAGCAAATCAACATGGTTTCAGTTTCATCGTTTGATATCTAATAATTAACCAAACAGCAGGAGGAAAAAAAAAGGAGTTTACAGGAAAAGGCTGCAAACATATCCTGGATATTTGAATATGCAAGTGTCACTTTTCATTTCTTTTGTATTGTCCTGATTCTGTTTGATTCATGTGGCTTTAATGCTCTATTATGGCTCCGTTTTTTTTCTACATAAACTTAAAGAGCATTGATCTACATCTGCTTTACATTCATAGTGTATGAAGCACAAAATAAAGAGAGAGGAAGACCAACCTCGAACAATCTGCAGCTGCTGGACCATTTCCTCTCTGTAGGACAGCTCACGCTTCATTTGATCCTGAAAATTATCTGAAGAGTACCGAAGGCCACATCAGATGGAAACTCTCTGACATTGAGGGAGTAAATTTGAAAGAAACACTCCACGACTTTAAGGACAAAATGACTCATAAAGATCCAAATATCCCACAATATAGTGCCTGCAATCAGACTCACTTTTTGTCCTACCTTTCAAATGCTGAAATTCTCTCTCCAACTTTTTCCTCAGCTCCACCTGCTCCACGAGCTGCTTCTGCAACTCCTCTGCAAAAAGACAAAATAAGTCAGGTGTATTATTAATCATATGAAACCAAATGTCTGTACACTTGCACATCCCTCGTACTAAAACCACAGTGCATCTAAGGCTGTGCGTAAAGACATGATCCTGCACCATCAAGCAAATAACTCACAAAATCAACACAAATATCCTCACAAATCATCGAAAAAAATCTCCCTCATATCATTTATATCCCACTTTACAAGATATATTCTGAATCTGTGCACATAAAGATTTATGTGAGCCCAATAAAGGTGCGTTCACGTCCTCGGCAGCAAGTCCTGTGTGTGCTTTGCTGTGCTCGCTGCCACAGTAATTGCCGCGCACTGCCTGGAGCCTGAGACGATAATAATGGAGTCCCGGGGTTTTTCCAAGCGTTGTAAAATAATTAGCTGCCGTGCCTCGGGGTTATGGCTCTGTTCGTTAAAATATTAATAGCCTCTAAACGATTTCCTCCTACAATAATAAGTCAAAACTCCCACATCTCGTGATTAAGTGGTTTAACAACTATGGAAACACTTTAGGCCCACTAAAATGTAAATTCACATTACGGTTTTGGCACGTCATCGTTAGCAGGCCACAGGCGTTTATCTGCGCGTAAAAATGAGCCGAATCCAATGTTTGACATTAACATAACACACATTCTTGTTTCACTGATTAAACTGCAGAGCTGGGATTGGTTTTTATAAAATACTAAAATTAAATCTCATTAGCAAATAATTAGCTCAGGTAATTAAATTCAATTTCCCACATTAAAAATAAGTATTAGTGTTAATTAAATGTGATGACCAGACCAGCTCAGCTGCTGCGTTCTTGGATTGGAAGATGGGAACTGAACGTGTAACATAGACAGGATTATTTTAATATGATATTAAGTCACCTGCTTCATTTTCTCTCTCTTTTGATTCTGAAAACAGTCTCTCACCTTTGGCCATGTTCTCCAGGTCTCTCTCGTGCACGCTGATGTCGATGCGTAAAGCTCCATCGGCTGCACAAAAACATCAAAACTTGTCATTTTTTAAAAGAGCAATCGTGTTGCAAATATTATAATTATCACTCCAGGATGCTGATCTAAATTTAAACAAATGATTAAAATATTAGGGATAATTGAATTAATAATAAACTGAATGATTAAAAACCTTGTCTGTCTTTCTGCTCCTGGAAAGATGCTGTGTTTCGGTGGTTGTGTGAGTCAGACACGTGATGAACACCTGAGCAAAAAAAAAAAAAAAAAAAGAGGGGACACAGATTGTCAGAGAAAAAAAAAGGCGAAAAAATTTCCATGAAAAAACATGAATTGGTGTAATAATTACCGTTGGATCTATGAGGGCTGCTCGATTGTTTGGATCCAAATGATGGTGGCTCGTTGAGGAGCACGTGGCCGTCCTTTCCAGGAGCATACACCTGTAAAAGAAAGAGCGCGCACGTGTTTGATAATAACGCACAGAAATGATCAACCATTAAGTGCTGTTCTTCACCCGAGTGAGGCCTTCTTGTGATGCAAAAACCAGCAGCCAGATATACTGTGAGGATGGTAACACGACACCCTTATGAGACATTAATTTAGTAATTTACTGTCTGAGAATTAAACAGATCCGTGGAAATGAGCATTTTGATAGGAGACAAATAACTGATCACCCTGGAAACAGAGAGTCAGACATCCCATCAAAGTATGAATCTGATTGTGATTATTTTTACCCCATTTGGACAGGATAGTTTCTCCAAAGTTCCATCACAATTTATACATTTTTTCCTAATCTTACGAAAATATGACCATCCTGATTTTTAAAATCTGTGTCAATTGATCCTGATGATGACACCTTATTGACCTCCTCTCTTCGACAAACTCTCATAAATCTCTCCACTTCTACAACAATCCAGCCTCCCTCCCCGCGGGGATCATTAAAGTTTCATTTAATCTGATCTTACCTCATGAAGAGGAGAGCCATTACGCATCCGCCGATCTTCCTCCGATGACCCGGTGCGCACAGAGTCCTCCGGTGATGCCACCGCCGCTGTTCCGGGGCTGGATGCCTCAGACCGCTCCTGACTGTCCTCAGCACCAGAGGAGACTCGGTCCGGCACAGGGGAGCCACGATGCTCTCCTCCCGGCGAGATCTGGATGGGTTCGTCCTCGTCCTGCCCTCGATTTGACTCCACATCCACGTCTGGGTCGTCGTCTTCTTCGTCAACCACGCTGTCTCTGTCCGGTGAGATGGATCTGTAACTGGAGCCCTCACTGATGAAATCCGGGGACAGGTAGCCAGCAGGACGCGCGCCGTAGCTGTCTCGGTTGCCGTAAAGTTTGGCGATGGTCTCCGCGTCTTTAACCACGGGTCTGAAGGCCGAGATGTAGCTGATTTTCCTCTGGGAGGTCTCGTCTCCAGACTTGTCTTCGTCGTTTCGGGTGGAGGAGGACTGGGAGCTGGGGCAGCGCTCTCCTGCTTCCTGCTGGAGGAGAGGGTGATGATTGGACTCTTTGGGTGTGTGTGCGCCACGGTCGCTTTGGTCAGATAAGTCGAGCTCGCTTTGCCGGACGCTTGGAAGCTCAGGAGGAGGTTTCGGTGGGGATCCGGGGTACGGGGGCATGGGAAGGCCTCCAGCTGTAGGCCAGAACATGGGGAACGCTGGGTAGAGGCTGTCCTTCGCGCCAGGCCAAAACACTCCAGACACGTTGGTTTTACTGGCGTCAGGAACCCCGTCGCTCTTCTTCTGACACAGACTGTAGCTCGGGAAGCCATAGGGGTGGTGAGGAAACAGAGGCGGGGGGATTTTCTGAAGCATGCCAAAGCTCTTGCTGGGCACTGGGATGACTGGGTAGGTCCGCGCACCGCTGGTCAGACTCAGGTTATTACTCCCCTGATCGCTGTCACAGCGTAGAGTTTTGTGGGGGATCTCAGGGGAAGTGCGTTGGGCCAGACTGGATGAGGCCTGAGATTTCATCGAAGAGGACATTCCCGAGCCGTTCATGGGCAGAGTCCTCTTTCTGCTCCCTCCATTGAACATGGCCTTTACATCCTCCCACGCGTGGTTAATTTCCTCTGACTTTTTGTCCGTCAGTTTCAGGTGGCGTCTCCACGAGTTGAAGTTTGCCGCGTCCGGCTGCAGGTACTTGGACTCTGTCGTGCGGTGTGAGTGGAAAATGAATTTATTTGGGGAGAAATACATGTTGCAGAAACTGCATTTGATGCACTTCGCTCTGGAGCTGTTGTATCTGGCGGGGATGAAGCTGCCCCTGCAACCCCACGCGCACTCATGAGTAACATCAAATGCAAAATTTTCTGGAAGCTTGGGGGGAGAGTGTGCCCCCAGGAAGGACTTGCAGAGTCTCTCGGCCTCCCGCTTGGTGATCATCCCGCACCGCCTGGAGGATATGGGCATGGCCCCCGCACGCCGCAGGAGCTCCAGCTGCACGGGGGTGCACTGCACACAGGTGATGCCCAAAGCGACCCGGCGGTTGTGGATCTCGTTGTAGCTGTAGTTCTTCAGCAGGGTGTTAGAAATCTGCGCCAGGCACAGTCGCTCCTTGCCGTCTATGACCAGGCATACGATGGGCACCCCGTACAGGGAGGTCTCGCTCACCTGGTTGGGTCTGAGGGGGCTCGGGCTGGAGAAGCTTTGCGCGTCCTGCTTTGAACTCGGGGATGAGCTGGCGTCTCGTCCCGCGTCTCGAAGCTGTCCGGGCGTGGACTCCATCCCTGGAAGCCTGTCAATCACACACACACACACACACACACACACACACACACACACACACACACACACACACACACACACACACACACACACACACACACACACACACACACACACAGCTGGAGTGAAACAGTGGACAGTAATTTTCCTGCACCATCTTTAAGTCTATGTGGACAATAAAGGTCTATCTATCTATCTATCTATCTATCTCTAGATTACTCAGGTTAAATCGTTGGAATTTAGAAAATAGGAAAGAAATAAAAGAAATGTAAAAATTGTTTACAAAAATAAATAAATGAAAATAAAAAAGGATTCGTCATCGTCTGAAAAAGTGTAGTCCACATTACCTGAAAAAAAATATTTAGCAGGTAAATAATGTCAATAATAATTAATACACTTCGTTGATATTTTGAGGTAAATAGAAAGTCATAGAGCTGTTGAACAGCTGTTTCTGTTGTGGGCCTGTCACTGCCATTAGCAGGTCTCATATTTATACTAATAAACGTAATAGTAAAATTATTATCAATATGCTAATAATGATTAAAAATATATTATTTGAAAAGTAATAAACTATAACTAACAGGCTTTTAGGTTTGTTTAAATGCAAAAGTGAAACTAATCGGTGGTCTTGTAAATAATTCTTCCTCCTTCATTCCTCGGTGTGCTCGGCCTCCTCTCTCAGGTAATCCGGGTTCCTGTGTGGAGCTGGATCTACCGCTGCTCTTATCTCCAAAATCGGCTCAGCGCTTACAGGGCAACTGCTTAAGAGTCACATAAGATCCTTATGCGCGGATAAGGACAGAAGGAAAATGCAGCCTGAGCTGCGCCAATGCGCTTAGCAGAGAGGAAAAGAACAACTGTAAGCTGCTTTCCTGGTAATTACACAGATCCACGAGCGCGTCTTCGCATTGTTAATAAAAGACTAGCCCTATATATAATTAAAGCTTCTGCGAAGATTAACCTCAGCCAGTTGCTCGATATGATAGTGGAGCAGGCCTGTCCCGCGGTCACCTGCGTGTATCTTTGTGGATTTACAGAGGCCGTAAAACACTCTCCAAACAGCCTTCAGCGAATTCAATGACAATTATTTTAATATACTACTACATCTTTATTTTATTTCTTTTAAAGTTTATAAGTCGTGAAAATAAAGGAGCAGGAAAATAAGTGGGAAAAGTCAACAAAAATAATAATCATTTAATGACAGTTTGATTAATCAAGAGACATACCTTTCTCTCCTGAAAAGCCGTCACACTCCAAGCGGATTTGGTTTTACAAATGATGATTAATGTGAATAAATAAAAATACAGGCCAAGTGATTCCAGAGAGAGAGTCAGAGTCAGAGTCAAGGCGCTCTGTCAGGAGAAACTCTGAGCTGGATTCTGGATTTCAGATTATTTGGGTGAAGCAGCAGCAGCAGCAGACAGGACCTCCATCGCGCTGGATCCCAGGGAGGTGAATGTCGTGTAGACAGAAAGCACATGGCACCTCTCTCTCTCTCTCTCTCTCTTTCCCTCCCCTCCCTCCCTCTCTCTCACTCACACTCTCTCTCCTGTCATGCTGATGTGTAATAGCTCTTCCCCTCTCTCTCTCTCTCTCTCTCTCTCTCTCTCCCCCTTCTCTCTCTCTCTCTCCCTCTCTCTCTCTCTCTCTCTCTCTCTCTCTCTCTCCCCCTTCTCTCTCTCTCTCTCCCTCTCTCCGAAAGACATGCTGAGCAGCTACACACCAGTTTTGATAATTCACAATTTTGCAGCTCTGACGCACAAATCAAAACAGGGACAATATCACGCGCAATTAGACCCCCGCTGACCCCAAATGGAGACGCATTTCGGCCTCAGACAAGAGCGCAGGAATATATTTGTTGTTGCATGTAATTAAAACAAAAGAGCACGTTACGTTGTCTTGGAAACATCTGCGTAAAGATGGAAAAAATTTACTGAAATAAGAGCATGGATAATTTTGACTTCCAGGGCCCAGACAAGGGGGACCCAAACCAGACTGGAAAACCACAACATGGCTTATCTGATCATGCTCAGTGTGCTTAATGTGGTTTAAGCATCACTTCTGTGGAAATCATTCCCACACTGTATTATTCCCACCACAGCGGGGGCGAGTTTAGAAACAAGAGGCAAAGCGCGTGGCACTACGGAGGGGAACAAGACAGACAAAAGGCCCGCGCGCATTTATCAAGTTACACCGCCATCTGTTAGGCTTTCCACGACCGCCACGCTGATCAATATGAGGCCGGAGCAAGCAAAGAAAACAGACGGAATTATCATTATAACAAGCATGAATTTGGAGACTTTTGTTCCTGTTTTACATCTTTTTTTCTCTAAATTTGTGTTTATGTATTTGTGTAATAATGTCTCAAACAAAACCACCTCTCCTTCCTTTCCACACACACAGAAAGTGAGGAAGTGGGTTTAATGATGTTTAAAGAAATTAATTCATACCGAAAGGTCATTGATGTAAATGGTTAGAGTCAATCTGATTGGCTGCATCTTCCTCCTTAATTGATTTGTAATAATCGGATCGATGGCTGATCGTTTGATCGCTCTGAGGTTTATACCTGCAGCAGGTGGAAACACAGAAGGACAGAGAGCGTTTTTAAGGTAGAAGTGAAGTAGTGAGTAAATGAAAATCATCATCATGGAGGAAGAATCTGATGAACAGCCACGCCTTTACACAGGAGGACCCCCACCCTTTGCTACCAATGACAATAAATTATAAGGTTTGATTTGGATCACCCAAATTCTCTGTGGAATAAACTCGTGAAGACATAATGTCTCCTCCTAATGTTGTGTTGAAGTGGGTTGATAAATCAGGCCAATTTATCAGCTGCAGTACAAATGTTAAAAGAGCTGAAGTGAATTCCAAGAGTAAATGTTGGTCACAGTTCTAAAAAAAGTAACACCCCCATTAAAATGAATAAATTAATAAAAGTTACCATCTGACTTTTTACAAACAACAAAAATCTAAATTAAAATGACACAGTACATAAACGGTGACAACATTCAGGTTAAGAGAAATATAGGATACTGGAGCCACAGGCGGTTCAGTCAGAGCTGTCAAATCTTTAAATGATTATCAATAATTTTGACTTTTCACTCAATCTCTACAACAGTTTTTGTTTTTGGTGCTGACAGTGATGCAGCTCAAACTTTCATTGCATGTTTTTATTCTTTTGAACACCTGTGTTCAAGGTGTTTAGACAATATACACTAAGAGCAGATACAGCTGGTGATATTTCTCTCTTCATAATCACATTTAATGCACTATTTTGATCTGTTCGAGTGAATTTAGCTTAAAGTTAAAACCCCAATCAGTGTCAGAGGATGACTTTTCAGTGAACCAGTGGGATATTGGGGTCACAGAAATGGGGAAGGAAGCACGACTGGGTGGATCTTTTTTATATGTGTGTGTTTGAGGGAGGATTTGATGTCATTTACAAAAGCAAAGAATGAAATAAAATCCATTTCAGAAAAGTAGTGAATTGGATTTTAAGCGTTTTTTGAATTTAGGGTGGGGGGGTTTAATGGGGAAAATCCCACAGTGGGTCTCACAAATTCTCAGACTGGCCCTGCTTCAGACTGAGGCTGAACATGAACAAACTCTGCGATTTGCTGCTAAAATCAACTGCAACTAAATTCAATAACACCTAAATATTTTGGCACAGGAGACAAGAGGAAGCAAACAACAACCTGTTCAGTACGATCAGGACAATTTAGCGTGTCAGAGGATAAACTAACCACACAAACACTTGGAGAGCTGGAGAGAGTGAGAGCAGAGTATGAAGAAGAAGAATGTGTACAGAGTGTGTGTGAGACATTAGCCCCCCTGAGTGTGAGAGTGTGTGTGTGTGTGTGTGTGTGTGTGTGTGTGTTTGTGTGTGTGTGTGTGTGCAGCCTGAGCTCGCCAGTTTTACCTCCCTGCAATATTGATGCTGAACCCGATCCTCAGCGCGTCCTCTCCTCTTTCAGCATCAGAGGCTTCCCCTGCAGCCCCGCCAATAATTACAATTTTATACTGTAATTATTCCTCTCTTTTTAATTATTTACACCGCAGTCCTGAATGCAGCCATTGTCGCTGCTTATTCCTGAGGAAACGTGAGCTGACGTGTGTGGATCAGCAGCGAGGAGGTTTTAATTAGACATTTCAGCGGTAATTTTAGGCGAGCTCTTTATTATTACTGTTGGACACAAATGACCCGACCCTCATTCATATGCGCTCAATTGTTTAAACAAACCTTTAACCTGAAACGTTCAGGCGGTTCAGGTTGGAGTCAGGAGGAGTGCAGACTCACCAGGTGAAGCGCACCTGATGGATTATTCAACACGCGCACTGGATGGGGCTTTTATTTTGAAGATAACGTTTAACAAGGGGGCTGATTTAGAATCTAGAGAGTGCAGATCCAAGTTCTGCAAAAGACATCCGAGTGTATGATAATAGACATTTTATGAGAGTCAGCGCAAAATATGACTCAGTCCTCCATAAGGTGGCGAAAGTTGTGCGCATAAGCCTTTTTAAATATGTCAAAGTCGTGTCCCTCATTCCTACAGTTTACTGCATAGGGGAGATCGGGGATGGTTGTAACATTTTTGACATTTCTGTCTGTATCTTAAAGCTGTTGTAAGCCAATGCATTCAAACTGTGATACAAACTACCCACTGAGCAATAGACGGCTATTTGATGTAATGTTATTTTTTAGACCTAATTTTAACCGTCTAGATTCTGTATATCTGTAGACGGAATTGAGACATTGCACTTTAATCCATTATTCGATAAGTATTTATTTCAAAAAGCGACTGTGAGTTGCATACCTGATCTCCAAGTACTAAACTAAAATAATTATGATAGCCGTTGAGCAATATACTTGTAGACCTCTGTTAGCTGGCTAGTCTAAACTCGGTCTAAATTTAGACGTCTGAAAACGTTCATTTTTAGACCTGTGGTAGCCTGATTTTAAACCAGTCGTCTAGACTACATTTGGATGTCCATTAGACCTCTTTTAGACCAAAAAATGCTCAGTGGGTAGGTAGATGTGTCTGCTATTAAAGGCTGTAGCAGTTGCCCCTGCAACACAAAGAGACTACGCATAATTTAGCGTCAAACACATTCACTCAGTCACACTTTGGTGGTGGTGAACTACCTTTGTAGTCACAGCTACCCTGGGGCAGATTGACGTAAACATGGCTGCCATTTTGCGCCTGCGGCCTCTCCGGCCACCACCACACAACACTCACAATCATACACCAGTGGAGGACACACACTGGGAGCAAGGTGGGTTAAGTGTCTTGCCCAGGGACGCAACAGACAGACTCGGGATAGGGGGGAATCAAACCGCCAACCTTCCAGTGTGTATGTGTGTGTGTGTGTGTGTCTTCTATTAACATTTGATTATAATAAACTGAACAAAATGTTGAGAGGTACCCCCCGGTAAGTCTTTCTCTTCCAAGACTATTGAATTTCAAGAAAACATAAAGATAATAAAAAGTGTGCTTGGGGGAGGTTGTAACATTTTTCATTGTCGTTACAACTAATATACAACAGACCCTTGTCACCAGGAAGTAGCTTGCTTTACAGCTAAAACTCTGGCATGAACAACTTGCAAGAAAAATATCTACATAGATGTGATTTAAGTTTGATGAGTTCAATGACAAAGCAGGCAATGCCATCATGAAAATATCTGAATTAAAAAAATATATATTTTCTTACCTCAAAATTATTATTATTTTTTCTTATAATCGTCTGAGTCCACCACAGGATCCTACATGTACACACATGGAACAAGGACTAAACTAGGCATGTGCAGAGTGAGTCAGGTGATTTGTAACTTGGTCCTGATTGGAGAAATTGGAAGTGTTACAATTGACCCGTCCCACCACACTCCTGACGTCATCTAGACGTTGTTTTTCAGGCTTAATCATGTTGGCCCATCATGGCCGTAATTTAGCCAAAAAAAAAAGAAAAACGTTGAAAACTGGGCTTCATTCAGACGGTCCGATTCAGTCCCAATCTAGCCCAAAAAAAAGAAGTTGAAAGCTAAGCTTCATTTAGACGGTCCAATTCGGTCTTGATTTAGCCCCAAAAAAGACGTTCAAAGCTTGGCTTCATTGAGACAGTCCAAATATAGACGTTGTTTAAACGTACAGTGACGATTTCTTTTCAACCACTTTGTTCTGGTTGGGGTTACAACCATCCCCGGTCTCCCCTAATAATTAAGCTTCAAAAGTCCACCAAAGCCTTTTCTGCTGCATTTTTCACTCCGTTTTTGCACTATCAGCATCTTCTCAAGTTCAATCCCCTTATTCTGCAACAGCAACATACAGACCATGATGTACTTTCAACCCAAACTAGGACGTAAAGGTGTTAAAACTCTGACTAAAAAACCAGGAGGGGGGTCAGGATGCACAGTAACACCTCAGACTGTAAAACTACAAGGGGAGTGTGTGTTTTAAATGTGTGTTTTAATGCCAGCAGTCATTGATTCAAGTCAGCTGGATCCTGCTTTTCTCCTTCCTTCATGTTATAATAAGAGTATTATTCCCCATCAACACTTGCATTTTGTCATATTAAGAGATAAATCAAGCTTGCTCAATCAGGACAGGTTTAATAACAGCAGCAATTGAGGCCAAATGTTTTATAATTAACAGTTGTATCAGCAGCCTATAAAAGCATGACCCCTATAAATCCCATTTTAGAGAGCGATCAATCCTCCTCGCGGACTAAAGGGCCTATTGATCCCTCTCTGCTCGCCTCACCTAAACGCTTTCTCTGCATCCTTTTTCTTGTTTCCAGTGAAAAGAGTGTTTCGATTGCACTTTTTATTGGAGGAAAGATTCCGCCGAGAGGAGAGCGATGGCTCGAAAATTAAACGGTGACATTTTAATTACAGGACATTGATAAAGGGATGTGGGTGATGGCTGTGTACAGGGCGGACACTCATTGTCCCGCCTGATGTGCTAATCAAGTCGGACTGCTGTGGGAAAAGGTCATCGGCCGATACAAAGCGGAGACGCAATGCTCGCTGGGAATTTGGGAATATGAGGGTCCCGGGCTGGCAGAAATGAAGACGCATCTCCAAACAAAGCGCGGTCAATATCCCGCACGGAGGCCCGCCAGATGAGATCATGGAGCGTCCACATCCTCATCGCAGACATATTATCAGTATAGGTCAGAGCGAGCACCGCCATGGATCATCTGATGACAACATTTACATGCAGCAGGAATCATCAGAGGCAGGCAGAGCTGTCACATCACTGCTGCTCTGACTGATCATCATTATCTGAGCTCCCAGCAGGCTGCAGGTTACTTAAAGAAATCTGTCTGATAGGCAGCTGTGTTAACAGGCAGGTTAGCATGTCACATCCATGATGTAATGAAATAATCAGAGTATTAATTTCAGCAAAGGTTTGACGATACTGCAAAACCCACATAAAACATTTCATCTGCAGGGATGTCATGTTGATGGGCTGTCAACATCATTTTTTAGACTTGTGATTAACTGCTAAGTTTTCATAGTTATTGGTGACTTAAGCATTTTGAATTGGAATTCCACAATTCCAATTCCAATCCAACAAGTTTGCATTTTGGATGGGTTTTAAAGGGATATTCCGACATATACACACCGTAACACCGAGTTAGACACTCCCTCAAGAGATGAATGTTGCTGAGGGCTTGCTTCTCTAGTTATACCAACTTTAGTAACGACCGCACGATAGCAATACACAGCGGTCTTAGGAGCCATACACAAACCTTAACCAAAACACCACTCTATTGCCACAAATAATGCTCAGAACAGCACCTAACTTCATCAACAGTACATATAGGGTCCCAGCCATAACATTAGCCATCAAACATCTATTAGCTTTGTCTGATTTCTTTAGCAAAGAGACTAAACACAACTCACCTACTCTCTTCCAGCAGCCGCTTGTTTGTAGAAAGACCTCAGTTCAGTCCATTACGAACTGCTGCGGGGTGACATAGCTCAAGAGAGAACATTGGTAACATGGTTACCTGCTGACATCAGTCCTATAAGCTACACCAACATGCTTGGCTCGTAGATGGTAGCACAAAGTAAAAGTATTTCAGTGATATGTGAATTTCATTTGACACAAAGTACTGTACATATACATCTTATTAAACTGCACAAGGCCTGAGTTGTTGGTTTAAAAGACCACAACGATTTCATCAAGTATGACAAAATGAGCTGAGCTTTTCTGTCAGTAAGGAGAGTGATCGATGGCTGTCAAACTCCCTACAGAAGTCATCTAGCAACCCCAGCTCCATTCTTGCACCAAACAGAAGGTCTCTGCTGGAAGTCTGTTATTGCTGACCCCTGGCTACACCAGGAGCCATGAAAAGTTGGCTGTCACTGCCCAAGGTTATACCAATGTCAGAAAGTCGACCAAGTGGTAACAAGATGGGAGTTGGTCCAACCTTTTCAGTTCATTTCAAAGCATGTGTGATACCACGTTACCTCTTTGGATCAGACTGCGTTTTCCTGCCAAGCTGCAGTGGAGGCATAGTTGTCATGTTCTTCCAGCCCCACTGAAAGCACCAAATTTAGGCCTTTGCAGAAAAATGTCTCAATAATTCCTTCACATTTTAATATCTCCTCAAGAGCTTTTCAAACTTCTAAAGAGCAGCATTTTTCAGGTCTTCCCTTGAGTAAAAAACTATCTCATTGATCGGGCAGCAGGTGTGCAACTTCAGTATTCAAACGATACTACAGTTAACGCGACAAAAGCCAAATGATTTCCTGCCTGGCTGCAGTCACAGTGAAGGTTTGGATAGATGCTGTTTGTGCGTTATAGACTCGTCCCTGCTGTTATTGACTTCTAATCAAACACTTTCCTGTGACACTGGTGACACAAGGTTCATGAAGTAAAAAAATGACATTATCTTCTGACTGGAGATTTTTGTTAAAAATTCTTTACAAGGACAAGCAGTATTCTGACTCACAGGATTTGCTGTATTTCTTCTTCTGGTGTCCCTCAGGAGGGTAATTGGTGCTCTGACTGCAGCGTAAAAGGGGTCAAATGGCTGCAAACATATCCATCACAGCAGAGGGTCAGTGAAGGTTACACCAATCACAAAATTATTTAGTCTGACCTCGCTTTCATTTAAAGATCAAATGAGCCAGGAAGGACTTTCTGAATAATCATATAAATAATTAAAAAAAGAGCTTAAAATCGTTCGTCCTTCTCTTTCTGAGGCTCCTTTAACAGAGTAGACAACATGCACAATACGACACATCACTGACTGACTTCAGGCTGCTTGGCTGTGTGTCAGGGTCCTTAAATGCCAATGTGGCTCCTCCGCTGAACAAACAGCTGAATTATCATTTTAAAAAGACAGTCTGGCACCTCATGTGAAGCTGCAGTCGGACACAGATTTAGATAAATAACATTAACAAGGTCTTGGAGTATTAAGAAAAGTGAGTAATACAAAAGAGCTGTGAAGGCCACAAAGTCTTCAAAGAAGATCCAAAAAGAATCCTGCCAATTTAAGATTTGTTCACTTGATTCTATAGTGAGAGAGGAACGCTCAGTCATCCTGATATTAGTTTGTTTTTGTGAGCAAACAAACATGCAGGAAAAAACAGATTCTTAAAAGATGATTTTTGGAGAACTGCGGTGAAAACTCATTTACAAAATAAGCTCATTAGATACGAGTGAAAAGTTGAGCGTGCTGTAACCGTGACCCAGAAATGCACTGAAATGTTGTTTGGTGTCTGATATACGAACTTATAACCCGACACTGTCAGAGCTGACAGATTATTACTTAAAAGCTGCCTTTTTTTAAATGAAGCCCTAATAAATCTGAATTCCAAGACTCAGAGAAATGCATCTTTTTTGTCAGGATGGACACCAGTGTCACATCTGTATGAAGAATGAAAAATGTTTTGCTCTTTTAAAAATAAGTAGAGGCAAAGTTTGACTCTCTTTGACAAACTAGGTCATCAAATTGCCTTCAAGTGACTTTTGTATAACAGCTAATACAGGAAATGGGAATTCAAGCTGATGCATGACGCTTTTCATCAAAAAATGAGGATAAAGAGCAGTACTGCTGGATACTCATGTCGGTGCTTTAAGTTCTGGGCTGAAGTTTGGCAGGTTTTAGCCTCCAGCTTGAAGCTACTGAACAACAGCACTTTCCTGTGATGAGCTGCTGGGTTTGTGAGGCTGTTCTTTCACTGTTTCTTTTCTTAGGGTTATAGCCAAGGCAACTCAAAAATGTGACAAAAGGACACTTCTGTCCTGAGCAAGTATAAACTATACCAATGGACGATTGGGATATTAGCATGCAGACATAATAAGCAGTAAAATACATCAGTGTTCATATTCAGACATTTTTGGTTTGATCTTTTTTTTTCTTTTTAAATTTTGTGTTTGTTTTGACCACAGCTGAGGAGACTGTTATATTTCAGGACCATAGATATATTTTACTTATTGCTGGACGTCAAAGTCCTACTCCGATTGTTTTTTTTTCACTATTTAAAGTGTTTTACTCTATTTTACCAGTGTATATGTACTTACAGTTTCAGCAGGTGTGAAGATCAACATCAGGAGCTGAAGGTTTTATTCAGATTCATGTTTCCACTTCAAGTTACATTTCATATTGAAGATAACCTGTGGGAAAAGAAAACATGAGACATCCTTCGTTCAGTCTTTATCTGCACCACATCTGTGTTTTCTGAAGTACTTTTCACAGGTTAATGTAAAAATTAACATTTAGGAATAAAGCTGTTGTTAATTAAAGGTTGACGAAGATTAATTATAAAATGCAAATTGTAAATGAACTCTGGTTGCGAGGTGCTTACAGGTATGGGTCACATCACGCCAGGACATGCAAATGTCAAGTAATTAATGAAGAGACCATCAGTGCTCTTTATTATTAAATGCATGTGAGGAGTTTATACCTGGGCCTCAAGGTGTCTCAGGTCTTCTAATAGATGAAACTGGTGATAAATCTGCTTCAAATTCAGATACCAGGTTATCAGCTAAAACTAATGCAGGCTTGCACGAAATCTTACCTTCATGGTGGCTATGAAGGTCCGACGTATAATGGTACTCCTACTTTTTTTACTTTTAAATTTACAGTCATATCTTTTTCATCTACAAAGTTTTAACTTCTCAAAATAAAGAGACACAAGCTCAAATTTTTGGTCTTCTAGAGGAATTTGAATTTTCAATCTTACCTTTATCTTCAGGCTTTTTCCTCTTCATCAACTTAGAAGTTTCATGCCATATCCCTGCAGAGCAAAAGCTGAAATTCGTTGTTGTATTTCTGTGTGAAAGCCTTGACGTCAACTTCCCTTTCAAAATAAAAGCATTAACATGGGGATTGAAAAAGAGATAACATGCACAGCAAGATGTTGAGGTATTGAAAAAAAGGTCTGAAACTTACCCAGATTATGTTTAAATACAGTTTATTCTGTTATGGCTGGAATATGTGCCAACACAGGAAATTACAGAAAAGGCCAAAATCAGTCAGTAATGCTACAGCACTGATATTACAGCTGAGTCCCATTACTGACATGATGAATCATACTTAAACCAGGAAAAAGAAACAAGTGCGACCACCTGACAGGGGTGAAAAGTAAAAAATAATAAATATTCCCACGTGATCTGTGGATCCATATTTAAAAATCACAGTCAGTGAGTACATCTCCCAACCGTCAAATATGTTTCTGAATATTTTTAGTTAATCTGTTTTCAGGAAAATGAAATGTTTTCTCTTTGTTTGGTTTCATATAACTTACAAGACACGAACACGTGAACGTTTATAGAGATTTTATCAGGGGCTGGTCGCTGTGACAAACTCTCATCACACTTTTTTCTACAGTATTTACATTAAAGGCCGTCTCACTGTCAAGTTTTTCTTTTTAATCTCACAGATGGACTGACAAACCACGAAAACGCCCCACACCTAAAATTAAAGCATGAGGACTGTATTTAACAATAAATGTGTCATAAAGCAAAGTACATTTTCATTCACTGTGCAACTCTCGGACAAACCAATGTTTATGTAAATCAGCCACTGGAACATCTTTAATTTTGCCTTTTGATTTGACCAGTTACCATGGTAATATAATTGTCATTTTGCATTTACGTTCTTCTAAAAGTTAAAGTCTTTCTGTAAACATGAAGGTAAAAGACTGTTTGAAGCTTCTAGGTCTCTAAAGAAGAGAATGGCACTAATATTATTTCTGCATTCAAACCTGGGATGTGTGTTTTTATGGGAAAGAAAATAAAAGGAAACTTAATTTACATGTCCTTTCTTACAGTTTTTCTTTATAAAGCTTGTCTCATCAGATCACACAGGCACTTTCACTGAAAAACTGTACACACAGGAAACAACCACAGCAATGCAAGACAAGAAGTTTGCAGGTAACCGCTACAAGGGTTGGATATGAAGCCGTGACACACTTTGTGGTATTTCACTTTTTAATCGTTACATTGCACTTTTTCTCAATCTCTATTAGTTTTTCGTGTTGATATGTGTTTCGTATTTTGTTGGTTTGCTCAGCTGAGTACAGGACATTTTGCAAAGCTGGTACAACTATTTCTGCCGTTTGATCAGGCGAACATTTCCTTTTAAACCAGACGGTACATGCACATGTAGGAGCACTGCCGTCTCGTCAAAGGACCTGAGCAGAGCCAAGACAAGGCAGAGACGTTTTAAATTTGTTCCAGACCATTTGTATTTGAAAATCCTAAACAGTGCATTATGGGATTTTTGTTCAGTGTTGCCCAAAATAATTCCTGACACCATTTTCAGTGTAAATGTTACAATGATTAAACTGCAACTCTTACAGTTTGTTTAGTGAAGAAAAGTGAAATAGAGTTTGTGATTTATGATGAACCTTATACTGAAATTTTTCGATAACGCATAGCTTGATCTCCTGCTGTAGGAGTACGTTTTTTTCTTCTCAGCACAGAAACTTCATGAAAAATCTGATGTGGAAATAAGAAACTTTACAGTTGAACTGATAGAAAAAAAAAGATCCAGAATCAAAATCTGGAAAAGTTTCTAACATAAAGATGAAAACATGAAATTTACTGTATTGTCTCTGACTAATATCTACCCCACATGACTCCTTATTGCTCAGTGGACTAAAGCTCATTTAAAGACGTACTGAAGAAACTCCTCATCACCTGATTGACAGACAGGTGCTTTCTGCCTTTTCTGTTGTGCTGTTGTCCCACCGTTACACTTGTGCTCGCACTTTACACATCATGTCACTGCTTTGACTTCACCTCTGAGGAATTTAACTATCGCGTTTAAACAACTGCACACATTGAGTCTTTAGGAGCAGTTCATTCTCACATTAAACTTGCCTCAGAAGTATTAATCTAAATGGTTCCTCATTCTGGTCTTCAGCGATCTTTGGTGTCAAGTGCACTGCATTGGGGTCTTCCCTTTTAAGTTCCTGATTTCTTTACTGAAATAAAACTCTGGCTTAAGTATGAATCTCCTGGTAGAGCAGCAATAAAATAATGCAAAAAGATGAGCGGGTTTGTGTGAGATGGTTAAGTTGTGTTGAAAGCAAGAAGAGGAATGTTGAGGCGTTATTTCTGCTCAAACAGCATTAAAAGTCGGGCGTGTGTGTGCAAGTACAAATAAAAGATGTGCGACCAAGTTAAAAGCTGTTTAAACAGAAAGAGCCTGGCTCCTCCTGATGAGTGCGGACAATAAATAATTAGCTCAGTAACTTCAGAACCATAATAACACTTGCTGATGCTCACACTCTAAAACACTGAAAGCTGCTTCATCTGGAAATTTGTATTCAGTTAACACCAACAAAGGCAATGACTGGATACAAACCTGGGTACAAATTCTGGGCGATATTTACAGCGAGAATTTTAGTTTGCTGAGGTAATAAATGACACAGACGGCAATACAGGCACACACATGGGCAGCTACTCACAGGCAAAAACCTTAACATTCAGTAGAGGGCCGTCTATAGTAAAGCACAAGATGGTTAGTAGAGATCCACACGAGAGGCAGACAACATCTCCGCTGATGTATTGTAGTCTCATGCTTTGAGATTTTTATCGTCCCTTCATACGCCTCATATCTGTACACCCCAAAATCTGAGGGAGGAATGAAGCTGCTGAATGGAGACCATGTTTTGAAGAAAGTGCTGATGTCTCTGCCCTTCTGGACGCAGAGTTCAAAAGATGTGAGCCCCCCTGATGCCACATGGATATGTTATGTGATCTTTACTCACATAAAAGTCTTTTCTTGTCCACAAACATTAACTCCCTTTGTTTTGGGCTCTCGCTGTGTAGACACACTTGATTTTGAAGCCCAGGTCCATCGTAAGTGAGCGGCGTCAGATCATCAGACCCGTCCCTGAGCCTGCTGCGCTCTTCTCTCCTCAAGACAGCGACATACCCACATGGACACCACCTCTGCGTTTCCATCATTGTACTGTATGATGAAGGAATGTTCCTACAAAATAAAAGATAGAAGAAAAAGTGAAACATATCCGGTCATTACAAAAAATAATAACTAGAGCTGCCTTCATTTGTCTTATTTTGATGTTACGCTCAGTATCACGATTCTTGTGCTAGTAGTTTCACGTAGCTGACCAGTATAGTTAATCCGAATGAGGTATTAATAGGTGCATGAATAACTCACAACTCAATTTTATTTTCTCTTTATATCACTATAATTTCTGCAACTTGTTGTTGTGCTTTTATCCCATATAAAGCACTTTATTGTGTCTGTTTTGATAAGTGCTGTAAACATACTTTATTATGCCAATTTATTATCAATTTTCATGCAAGCTGTCAACGGTTGGGGCATGAGCAATAACGAGAATAAAAGAAATCCTAAACTTTGACTTCACAAGTTTTAACTGCATCAAGGAGCAACATCAGCAGTAATATTTAAAAGGCAAAAAGGAACTTTTTATTTTTCTAATAAAAAGTTTTTGAATTCATCTTAAATTGAAATACTGTGATTTTTTTCCCCCTAAAAACAAATATTCTCTGTAACGATCAAGATCAATTTTAAAATTCTGATTAACAATTTTGCAGATTAAATCACTGATTTTACTCCACGGGTCAAAACTCAAGCCCCACTTTTAGTTAAGCAGGAGTGTCATAATCACATCCTATTTTGACTGTTTCTACATTATTCTAACCACAATACACCCATACTCATCAATGAACCCCCCCCCCCTCCAATAAAAAAATAAATAAGTCTGAAGCTGCTGTCAAAACATGAGCACTAAACGTCATAAAACAGAGAAAATTATATCCTAAGTAAACGTTTCACCTTTTATGCAATATCATTTTTTATCATCGAACAGATTGAAGCCACAAACATTATTACGTGTTTTATGTGAAATGACAGTTCAGTTCTACTGGTATAATTGTTCTTAATCACGAATCAAGACATAACAATAAAATAGGACTTAACAAAAAATGGAGCATCATTAAAACTCTCTTGAATATTTACGTCCAACAGATTTGGCTTTAACTGTGAAACATTTAAGTAATGGCTCATTACCGTATTTTAACGTAATATAGTTAACGGCAGACGTTAATCATCACAGGTTGTAAAAACAGCTGGTGATAAAAATTGGCACTAACCAGAACCATTTGTCAACCATTCAGGATTACTAAAGAAATGCTGGTTGAAACGTTACCTTTTTGAGTTTTTCTTTCTTTTACAAATAAAGAATAGTCTTATTTTGACAGGTTTGTCTTCTGCAGAACCAGTAAAACCAGCAACTGGAAATTAACAAACACCTGACTAGTCTCTGTTGACTGGTAGCCCATCAAATCTATTAAATTCTGACAGTTTACTTGTTTCTGCTCCTCTAAATAGAGATGTCACTCTTGATATCTTACTGACAACAGTCCCAATCAGCAGCCTCATCTGCGGGGACTTTCCAAACCAGAGACAGAGGTCACAGATGTCACAGTCGGGTCAAAGGTTAAAGGGGAGGAGGTTGTAAATGAGACACCTCAACCGAGACTGACCAGGACTTTTATTTGTGGTGTCTCGATGTCCAATTAGCTAATCAACGCTGTGTTCGGCCAGTTTAAATGAGCTTGTCAGCACTGATTCCACTGATATCTGTCTTCTCAACAAGAGGCTGTGGCTGTTCATAAGAGTTCAGTTCTTATCTGAGCTGAGAGGACACTGTGCATCATATTTTTAATCTTATACACCGTGTTCACATACAAAACACTTGAACTGAGTTTTTTTTTGTTGTGAAAGGTTGTGATCTGTTGAACTATGTGCATAAAGTGAAAAGAAAGATCAAAAATATAAAACCAGAAATGGTTGGGAGATGTTTCTACAATAGGGTATAAAGTATCATGTAGTTTACAAAGGAGCAGAAATAGAAGAACTTGTTTACAACTGAAATTAAACTTCAGGACGTTTTCTTGGCTATTGAGGGTCAAACATCCAAACCACTAAATCAGCCTCACTGAAGAGTCTTTACAACAAACTGTTTATTTACAGCATATGCTTACAAAAAGGAACAAAATATACAAAAGCAGAGGTCTCCAAGTTATTATAGACATCAAATCACTGACCTGTTAACCACAAATGCATAATGCTTAAGAAAAAATGTCAGGCAGACCGGCTTTTAAACACTCTACTACATTTCACAGCTACTTATAAATATCGTTAGGAAGCGTTAGGTAGTCTAGGAACAGTGACACCAACACAAGAAGTTCATGAGAAAACAATGAAAAGGTCATTATTATTATTTTAAGTTTTTTCTTAGGCTTGTCATAAGCTATTGTGTTCTGGGGTGGCAGAACGCTAACCCCCCCCCAGCAAAATTCAAACTAGTGCAGAGGATGTAAGATTAGGACACTAAGTAGGACAGACTGGTAGTGATGGTCCACTTTCTTCCTCCTGGGATCTTTCTCGTCTATTTGTAGTTAAACTAAGATACATTTAATTGTTGTATAATCTGTATAATCTAGAGAAATCTGCTTCTTCTATGTCTGTTCATCTTTTTTCTCCCTTTTCTCAGGACTGATTCTTTAGACTGTGAACAGTAAGTCACCACACGGGGCTGCAGTTTTATATCTGAAAGAAAAATGAAATCACATTCCTGCGTGCTCTAATCCTGCACAAACTTTAGAGATTGTGAAGGACTGGGGGGAGTCCCATCAATCCTGTTGTCCTTCTAATGGGCAGCTGGGGTTAACACAGTCTGAGGTTAATTACTCTCATATCAGTGTGTGAGTATGTGTGTGTGTGTATCAGTATGAGACGGGTGGAGTGGACGCTCCTGGGTGCTCCTATGTGCAGCACACCCATCTCATCAATCATTCTTCCTTGCCTCAGCAGAGAGGGAGTGATACAGAAATAAAAGAGGAAACCCTGAGTGATGCTTTTAAAATCCTGCTTTCAGCCTCTGCTCTAGAAATTAACCCTGACAGGACAGGGACATCTGCTGGAATTTGACCCCGATGATGGTGCGTGGCATGTCACACCAGAGTCACACACCAACACACTGTGAGAACTTCACAATTAAGGGTGTTTTTACACCTGAGCAAAGTCCGAACAAATCTGTGTTTTTGTTACATTATATACATTTGGTTCGGTCTGTTTAGGTTTCACACTGTCATTATTGCAAACGGACTAACAGACTCTACATGACGAGCCTAAGTGATATCGTCATCAAATACCTGCTTTGCGTGTCTCTGTCGTTTACACCGATTGGTCATTTGGCCAGCGAGCGTCTGACATCAACACACTGAATAAGGGAGGTCTTGAATATTGTAAACATGAATAAAATCGTCACCCCCCCTTTATACTATTGTTGATTTTTTAACTACCAACAGCGATAACTTGGAAGAGCTGTACATGAGGCTGGTCCAAGTTCGTCTTAAACACTGACTCTGGAGAGAAAGTTTGTGCTGTTGAACTACAGAAAAGATAAGCTGTCAACAGTGAGGTATCTACAATATTGTAAAATTTCCAGTTTGTGGACAATCTCCATTACACTTAATGACGGACACTTGTACTCCTCGTGTCATTTCCTGTCTTTGGTATGAAGGTCTGAACCTTTCAAAATAATGCTTTCACACTGGGCATGAACCAGACCGTGGTTCAGTTTGGTGTGGACCAAGACCACCTCTTATGGTTGGACCAAGGTCCGGCTGTTTGGTCCGGACCAAGGTCCTGGGGAGGTTTCAAACCTATCATTTTGGTTTAGACTAAACAGAAAAGTCCAAAAGTCCAGACCAAACAACGTATGTGTGAAAGCCCCCTAAGTCAACACAAACTATGATGTCATAAATGTAAAGCTGTGTTTCAAACCTAATTGGACTTCCTCTCAACATGTTAATGAGGTTTTAAGAAATTCAGAGAAATAAAGTCAAGTAGAGAAATAAAAAGTGAACCTTAATGAGGTTACCGTTTGGGCGCATACAGTAGGAACATTACTGTATGCTTATAGGGCACCACACAAAAGTATTTCAAACATATATCAAAGCTGAAGATCCATGTGAGTCAATCCCTGCCAAAGTTTTTTGCCCAAGTGCACATTTATAATAATTCTAAAAGAGAGTCAGACGTATCATCTCTGCAGCTTTTTCTAGCCTCAGTGACGAGGAGGGGCCGAACAAAAACAAATGCCCATTTTGGACACTCCAGGTATCAGATTAGCTGAGAACCCAAGTGTAACACACTCACTGCCCAATACGCAGAGCCCTCGGCTGGACTGAATGGCTTCATACTTGTTAGGACTCTCAACAAGCATGTGTTTGCACGTGCTTTACTGCTGAACCTAATCTTTCAGTTAATGTTTGGGTTTCTTGTTACTCTTTGTTGATGCTCTTTGTTTGAAAACTTTTAATCTTCCTGTCTTGACCAGCTGTCTCTTGTTCAAGAGATTTTGTATCTCAGCGAGAGTATTCCTAGTTTAATAAAGGTTATATAAGTGTAAGGGTATTTGGTATACTTGGAACATCCACTGTTTCATTTAAGCACATATGCAGACTCAGAGTAATTCAATTAGTTGAAACCTAAATTAAGTATGAAACCTGTAAGCAAAGTTATAAATACAGAGTGAATAACCACTCTTTGGATGGGTCATTGTCGGGGTTTTGACACTCCTGCTAAAGCCTTATGTGGACAGAAGTGAAGGGGGTGGGGGTGGGGGGTCTCATTTAAAAGTAACATTAATCACCTTCTGGCCACATCAAAATGGGATAATCACCTGCAACCGCTCCTCTCAAATAGAAATGGCCTAAACCCAGGGGAAATACTACCTAACTCTTTAATTGTTTGAAGCCTTTGATGGGTCTGTTTAATCTAAGATTAATTTATGCAATTTTAAATAACTCAATGTATGATTAATTCGCTCAGATGAAATTAAAAGGCGTTTGAGGCAATTATAACAAGGGACTGGTCATCACCTCATTAGAATAGTGTTAGGAGACATACAGAGTGATAGCAGTGTGTGAATAAGTGTGTGTGTGTGTGTGTGTAAGAGAGAGAGAGGGACAGAAGGGTGTAAAAGGTAGATGGAAAATCTTGCTTTTAAAGATTTGCTTGCAATTTACCTGCTCCCTCTAGAAGCTCTCTGATGTTGGTTGGTGTCGATATGGAGCCACAGAGTGTGTGTGTGTGTGTGTGTGTGTGTGTGTGGTTTGGTGGGAATAGAACCTTTGAAAACTTTGTTTGGGAGTTTTTAAATGCTGCTTCTACTAAAACATGATTTGAACATATTAAATGGAAAAAAATACAAAAAAAAGTTCATAAGGGGAGTAAGGGATTTACATTATTGAAAAAAATGCAGCCTTTACTCGCTGAAATGTAGACTACTTTGAAGTCTCTGAATTTGGGCTTGTGGCCATGAACACATTTGACATTGGAGATGACCTTGAGCAAAGCAGAGGGTTGGTTTATGCAAAAATGTTATAGCTAAAGCAGAAACATTGGAAAGGTTATCAGATAGCTAGAAGTTTGTGAAATTTAACATGTTCTCATAAACATCTGTTGGTCAAAAGAAGAGCTTGGATTGATGACACTACAAGGTGGAAGTATTTTTTTAAGAGTGATATGTAATTTTAATTCTAGCTTTCAATCAAATTGACGTGACAGAACAGGCCCGCAGCAGAACCATACTGTTTTCCCCAGAATGTGTGAATGGAGTTTATGTCAGTGAAGACCCAGGGGTGAAATGTGAAAACATTTGGCAGCAAAGGTGCTGACAGAAAAGTTTAGGGAAGAGGAGGAGACATCAGTGATTTAGCAGAAGTCTGACATGACACAAAAAGCTCTGAGAGGTGCACTAAGCAAAGCATGTGAAAATCCTTTTTGCACATGCTGAGATGTTAACATTAAAACACCTTTTCCTCAGACACTTAAACTTTCTCAAAGTTTGAGAAACAGTAGGAAAAGGACTCATGCAAGATACATGAACTTAAAGCATTACCAAAAAAAGGAAGTTTATAAACTGGAACAAAAGTAACTGAATCAATCTGCTGCCTTCTTGAACCGTAAAACTTCTCTGCCATTAATAATAGCACGGCACAACTTTTGCAGTCACGCAAATGACTATATTTAACCTCAGGCACCAACCAAAAGAAAAGTAGCCCTAAAAGTATCCCTGAAACAGTGCTGAAAAGCAAATAAGGGTATTGGATCTCCATTGGTATGCTCAGGTGTTAATATCAGGCATTTGCATCCCTGCTATAAGACGTGAAGAGTCCAAGTCCAAGCAAACAGACATAGACAAACAATTTCTCATAACAGTTCAGAGGTAGCTGAAAGGGTCAATACCTCAACTGAGTTGTGAAGCTTTTGAGGGTATTAATGACATTATCCTCTCTCTCTTCATGCTCTCTTCTTGACTGTCTACTGACAGCATGTAGTCTAACTCTTTCAAATTCTGTAACTCTGTATGCACGGATCCTGAGTCACTATGAAAGGTCACATGCAGTTGACCAGCAGCTGAACTTGGAGTTGTGTGACAACCGAGTATTTAGAGATCTTTTAGAAGATTGCGTAAGGGATATTGATTGCTGACCATCAGGGTGACCTATACTGGAAGCTTCTCAAGTTTAAGGCGTTTTCTCTTGACAGTGTTTACATTTACCTGTAAGGAGTCTAACTAAAGACAGTTGCTGGCTGGCCTGGCTGTAACCAACTGCATATAATCTGGCTATAATAAAACCTCAAGATAATCCTCAGTCGTTCTACCGTGCTCCGTAATGGACTTTCTCTCATACTTTGCCTGGAGTTTTGAGGATCTGATTGGAAGGACTTTGATTCCACGACTGGGTGTCTGTAGATATATATCAAGAACTCACTCTGGTTGTTCATGAAAATATGGATATCATGGGACTTTGGGCCCATTTAATATCTTATCTCATAACGCATTTGTTTACGTGTAGGTAACTCAAAACTAGATGCGCAGACGATCAGAGGCAGAAGAGGGTTCTTTGTGGGAACGAGGGGCTCATCTGGTGGATCCGGGTTGTAATGGGGGGAACAAAAATTTGTGCGCACGCCTATGAATAGAAAGGCAGAATAAGAGGGCTGCATTGACAAGGGTGCTAAAAGGCTGCTTGAAGGCTGCTGGCTGGGGAATGAGGGACGATGGGGGTGGGGGGTGAAATGTCCATCAAACCACAATCAAAGAATATTAAGGAGGGGGATCATCAGTATGGCTGTTTTTCTCTATCCTGCACACATCGAATGTGTCTCCAAGAGAGCGCACAGGCACAGAAACTGATGTTTGACCGTTTGTGTTCTGTTGCCCCTATCTGGTATTTTAAGGGTTAAGGTAAAGTAACGTACACCTAAAGCTGTCCCACACTGTCTTTTACTGCGAGAGAGGTTGAAAAAAGATCTACGACGAAGAAACCTCAGACAGGTCAAGTCGTCATCAAGAACCTGCAGCTAATGTGCTGGGAGCAAGCCAATCGACGGTCTCCTCATCTGACCGACGTCATTAGCTAATGATGACAGGATAGAGTGTCCACAATGAAAGATGCATATAAAAAGGAGGGGGAATAAAAATAAAAAAAACACTCGCTCTGCTCTCTGACGGCTCATCATCTAATTATGAATCATTCTGTGGACATCCAAGCTTAGATCAACTCAGAGATTTCAGGGTTTTTGAGGAAGCAATCAAAGAAATAACTCGTAGTTCGCTTTCGATAGTGAGATTTGAAAATTGAGAAACCTTGTTCACGTACCAAATGTTTTATGTGACAAATTTCTCATACCCTTGGGTCTAAGAAAAGGCTTTACTTTTAGGGTTTTAAAAGTTGAGTCAAACAGGACTAAATATTGATATTATGCACAAAACCCCTTGAACAAGTAGTTATATCGCATCGTGTAAAGCTTCAGGGGGGGAACCCATCAAGAGCAGGGATGCAATCAAACAGCAGCCCCTTTAAAGAACCTCTAATAGGATAAATCCCTGAGAAAATAACATCAGTAAAAGCTATACCAGTGATTAGAGAAACCACACGCTGAAACCTGATGAGCAAACTCGAGCGACAAGGTGAGTTTGAATGGTCATAAAACAACATTATTGGCTCAGTGTCTGTACTATTATGTGATTCCCTGCATTATCTTTCAGGAGAAATGAGTTGCAGAGATAAAAACCAAAGCAAATGGTGGCACTTTCTATACACCAGAGTGAGAGAGGAGGAAAGGGGGTGCTGTGGCTCGCTGCATTAACATACAGATAGAATAGGTAAAGAGTTTTAATGTACTCAGGAGGCTGGGGGAACTGGGAGGCAGAGAGAGGGAGAGGAGAGTGGGGAGAAAGAGGGAATGAGAAGGGAAAGCAAGAAAGACAATCAGCAGGCGGGAGCCACAAAGGCAGGCATCCATGACCTTACATCTCAGTTCACTGAGACAGAGGGAGAAATGAAAGGCCTGCAAGAGGACAAAAAATATAGGTACAGGAAAAATGAGACTGATGGACAGAAAGTGGGAAAAGAAAAAAAGAGAGGAAGTACTGCGAATGTTTGGAAAATAGCACAGGGATCACAGTGAATATGAAGAAAGTGGGGCAAAGTAGGAATGTAGGGCAGAGTGAGAGGAAAGACGTCTTTACAGGAGTCGTTTTGGCAATTCAGTCCCACAGAACAGTCCAATGACTGCATTCAAAACTGGGATCCAAACAACGCTGATCAGACTGATGATGGGACTGTGTGTCTAATTAAGAGCCAAACAGAGAGGCTGAACATGGTTTCAATGGACCACCGGCTGTAATCCTTGGTCTTCCATTATTTGTGTTGTACTGAACTTTTAATATGAAGAAGAAAAAATGGACTCCAGCATGGGCGGACTGGAGTCCATCCTTGGCCACCCTGTCCACATGAACCACGTCTTGCGTAGGTTGACTTGTATCCACTGGACTATTACAAAGCCGTTACTGGGCAGGTAACATAATGGTCAAACTACTGTGGGTCATTAATTAGCTGTGGGCTTGAGTATGTATACATTTACAGCAGCCCTTACCATTTCTGACAGGTGAAAACACACTGCTTTCAATGTTACATGATCGCCCTGTTGCACTCATTGATCCATGATTTAACTCACCAGCAGAGAGATTTCCTTACTGTGTGGCTTACAGGCTGTCTTTTCACACTGTTACTGCTTAGCTAGCCATGCTGGGTATGTGTACACTAATCTGGGTCCTGACCTGCAACCACATTATTCATCATGCTGCCATTCGCTGCATCTTTAGCTAAGATCTTCCTACATCAAATCCACTCCCTCCCTGCTCCACCTTTCCTTTTTCCATGGAAAGGAAGGAACATCAGTGAAGAAGCAGCGAGTAGATGGTTGCTTTGTGCACTGCAAGTAACCAAGATGTCACGGTTTGCAGTTGCAACCTGAACTGAGCACAAAAAAAAACAAGCTCGAGGTGCACTTGAATATGATGATGTATGCATTCTGAGAGTTTGTACCAACTGCTCACTCCAGGTCAAATAGACTCTCAGGCCACCAGGAAATAGCCCTGTGCTACCGACACATGATCCACGCCTCTCTGAGAATATCTATACCCTCCTTCAAATTGCTGAAAGGTATGTTCCCTGGGCATTGCAGACAGACTAAATAAAGCAAAGGTAAAGTTTATTTTATTGATCTTCTCCACTAGAACTGTTATGAGATCAGACTTACAGGATAAATGATTAATGTCGAGAGCACTCGACAAAAACAATAAAAGTTTTATTCAAAGGAGCGCAAAACCAACCGCACAACCCAAAATCTGCTGAGCCTGGTCTCTCCCTTGAGAGAAACACTCAAGTCTAGAGGCTGGACTTCCCACTGAGTGTCTAGACAACATTTCTCTTTACTCCTCCTTTCTGGTGTGAGACTGAGAACATGTGAACTGTTAGCAGCTCTGCATTTACACCTTCCACCCCCAACCACCCAACAAACACACCTTCACCCCTCCTCTCCCTGTGGATGTCACGGTCGCTGTCCTTGGTCCTAACACAGAAACTAGACCATGTTGCAACTCTTAAAAGGCAGTTTGTGCAAACTCCCAGGGCCTTGTGTAAAAAAGAGAAAATCCCTGTCGGAAGGGGCTGAAGGCAGTTCATTTGAATTCACTATTTGACAAATCAAAGTCCTTTTCTGAAAAACAAATCTTTACAGCTCCTCATACCAGGAATCGCTTCCGTATTTTACTTAAATTCAACTTGCCGGAATTCTTTGTGAAATGTCAACAAACAAAATAAAAACAAAGTGATGACAATACAAGACTAACAAGATATAAAAGTAAAAAGACCCGGTGATGCACATTTGTTTAAACAAACAGAGAGGCTCTCCTCCTGTTGCCATTTACCAGAGAAAATTTGAGGTCACACTACAAGAAAACTTCTACAACTATGAAATCAATTCGTTTGAGCTCAGGGAAATACGGCAGTAATGACTGTGGTAATTGGCAAATTTTTAAATGTTACTTGCACAAATACAGTCAGGTACACACAAACACACACACAAGCACATAAAATCATTTCCTTTTGTCCCTCAATCAAATTTTCATTAAACTATAAAACTTTTTTCTGTAAACTAGAAATATTCAACTGTTGTTCAACAGCTGGGCCCAATTCATACACACTGCATGCCAATCCAGGGAAATGGAATTATGGCTGAAGTACATTTCAATCATAATTCAAGGTTATCTTTCTGAGCTCTCTGACTCTTTTCATTAGTAAAATAAAGTTCATTAATGCTGTTCCCACACAGAAAAACAAACTTCAAGGGTCCTTGACCCAAATGACCTCAATCATTGCGTAAAATACAATTGTGTACTTGAAAAACTACAGAGGTAATAAAAATAATGTTTAATTGAAAATTCATTGGAATGTATAAGTATGATTACCCTCTGTGTGCAGTTATTCAAAACTTTTATTTTGTGGTCCTTGGAGTCGGTTAATGGAAGGCTTGGTTTAACTTACCATGAGGTTATTAGGGGCAGGCCTCTCTTTGGGTTGCCGCCGCATACTGAAATAAAAAAAAAATACAAGTCAATACCCAGACACTATTCAGACGATGTTTGAGTGTACAACACATTTTTTTGTTCTAACTTTAATTTGAATCACTTAATTTCCAATTATACATGACGATTCAAGAGAAGGCGTGATAAATGAACTTTCATGACCCAGAAACAGAAGGTAAACGTTAATAGATGAAAAGGCTCTATAGCTGAACAATACAGTACATTTATTTCAAAAAGCCATTTAATTAATATTTCTTATTTCAATTATTTTTTTATTAATCAGAAAACACCAGTTAAAGCAGGAACATCACTGGTTCAGTGGATTTATGTAGGAGTGTTTCTTTGTGTATAGACATGCACAATCTGTCAGAGTGAGGCACACTGGGGGCTCTGAGGATTTAGAGAGGGATAGACGTTTCATTTGTTTATACTCCCCTGGAAGAAAACCAAGGTAAAGACGGTGCCAGCGCTGAACCAAGGCAGAGTAGGACACCAGTGCATCAGTTTGTCCTGAGAGAGAGGTGCCTTGTTTGACTAAAGCAGGCAGGGTGGATAAACAACAGCTGCTAAAGCCAGCCGCACACACACACTGCTTACATGTGGTTTGGGTGTGTATGTTGATGCTAGTTTAACTGTAAAGGTTTCAAGAGGATAATGCATCAGAGGCAAAGAAAGGGTAAATATTGTCTTTGTCCAAATGCATTTGATAAATCAATCAGTCCTTGAAGAAAAATTGGCAATTTGACAATTTCAACCACAATGCATTCAAATACACACGCTCTTCAATCCATTGTTCACTGTAAATACCATTAAAATTTGGTTGATCTATTTTGAATGTAGCTTGTGACCCTAGTTGTTGTTCAATCTGGCTCTGTGAGGGTTTAATGGTTGACTTGGTTTTGTTTGACAAACACAATCCCCAAATAAGCGCACCACAGGGCCTGAAAGCCTTTAAAAACAAATGAAACTCCATATGAGATTTTAGAGGGTTAAGTCTGTATTTATAGTACCAAAGTGTATTAAAAATACAGCTGCAAGGAACTCACCACTGTGTGATGAAGTGAACAAACTTTTCAGTGAACTGTCCAACAGGGAGAACTGGAGGATCCTGTGAGGAGAAAGAACATTAAAAAAAACAACATTTTAAGACTTGGTGGTCATATTTTTTTGGTACTTTCGCTAAAATATTGACATTTGGACTTAAAATAGCTTCAAATTAAGGTGTTTTAATTTAAAGGGATCTATTTAAACATCTAACCCTGGCTTTGGAGCTCACACTGCCAATGCTTTCTGAGGCTGGTTGAAAAAATGCAGAAAAGATTCTGAGACTTGATGGGAAATGGAAGATAAATGGACTGTCCTTACTCAAAGTAGAACGCTAGGGAAGGAAAAAGAGGAGTATGTGCGTGTGAACCACGGTGCTGTTGGAAGAATCAGCCTTAGAGGCTTTAAAATACCACCAATGTCAAGAGATACCTGAAGGTGTACTTGGATAAAAATAGGGTAATTAAACTATTGAAAGCTGAGTTAAAGCTCAGCTCATACAAAGGCTACATATGTGAACCCGAGTCTAATTCCATTTTTTTCCCTTTTTCATCATTGTGTTTTTGTCACACTCGGTGCTGGACAAAGACGCAATCACTGTCTCACTCAGTGGTAGAATCTGAGAGTGCTTTGTACTGTGCGCTAGTGGTGTTTTTCTTTTCTACTACTGTCGTTTTATTTTTTATTTATTTTGTTTGGATTTTGCGGTCTAAGGCTTGGGAAAGAGTAATTGTCTTGACACCTACAAGTTCAGTTGATGTCCAAACTTGAACTTCAACGAAATTGAAAAAAAATTTCCTCAGTTCACTTGTGTGTATGTTTGCATGTGTGTGTATCAGAGCTGTTTCATGTTGTCAGTGGAGGTCCTATGAAGCGTGTCTCGTAAAAGAGCTGCCCTAGAGTGACCCTCTATTACTGCCCCTCACCTCATTACTCCATCTATTTCCCTACTCATTCTCTGCTTCCTTCATTACCTTTGGCTGTTGGCATAAAAACCTTCTAATATTTACAGTTACTCTGACCTTCCACAACCTTGCAGAAAAAATGAATTAGGATAAAATTGCTTTCCAAACACAATTTTATCCCAAATCAATGGACCTGAACTTTCCTCATTTTCTAAAAAGCAGCACAACTGAAAATAGATCTACAACTGTACAAAAACAAATACACAGCAGGCAGGTATCAATAATTGTTGGGGTTCCATGGGTTGCTGACTGATTTTAAGCTGGATATTTACTCTATTGTTTCACTGAAATTAATTTATTCTTGTTGAAATATACTGCAGAAAATGCTCTATATGTATTAGTTGAAACTGTCAAAATAGACAACCCCACTCCTGACAACTAACAGCTAGATTACCAGGTATTTTTACCTTATGAGCAGAGAGTACTATCAGAAATATGAAAAGTAAGTTCACTTTAAGGTAAAGGCAAAAGTCTTGAAGGTTTAAAACATGCATGGTGACAGCCACTGATATCGACAAAGACATGAACACCTATACTTCTAAGCACACAAACATCATAAAGCCTCAGTCCACAACCAGGCATTTATTCAAATGCAGGGAATTACACCTCTTTACATCTGAAGCCCTGCTGTGCCATTAAAAACACCTCTGGGCAGTGTTCGCCATTCCTCAATGCTCTGATCGGCAGGCTCCTGCAAAGCATGATGCATGAACCCATTTAAATTAACAAAGGAATGGGTTCTCCTCTAATCTCACTGCACTTCACAGTTCTGCCGCCGCTTGGATGAGCAATATATCATAGCCCATACACACACACACAGGCATGCACAAACAAATGCCCTTGAGCACTGCACACCACAAGCCTGGGTGTACACTCGGTTTTGAGGGAGAGTACCAAATAATTTGCAACCACTGTACTATGGTAAACACACCTACACACACACACCTAGATACACACAAACGATCAAGCAGTTTGAGCAAAAATGTTGACAACACAACTAATTCATGTGTTGTGTAAGCTAAATCGGAGCAGAATCTCCCTCTGCACTTTCCCCGCATATTTGCATGCACATGCACCTTTCTGCAGACACAAACACACACATTTATGCATGTATTCATGTCTCCAGCTGAGAGCAACACTGCTGCAGCTTTGATGTGGCAGCAGGCGATGGCACAAAAGACAAGCAGGCTGATGAAAGTGGCGAGCCTGAGTGAATTATTCTGCTGGTTGTCAACGGGCTACGCTATGAGACAGAACACACACTCGAAGGGTACAAGGGTACGGGTAAATATACATGTGATTGCCATGAAGCAATTATTAGGCAAAATTAGATCAGTAATTACAGGCTTGAAAATAAAGTGGGAGTTCTTTATTAGTGCAGCCACTTGCTATTCAAACAAATGGAAGAGAGAGGCACATTAATGAGGGTGGACAGCAGACAGATGGTGGAAACAACCACAGAAAAACAAGAACTAGACTCACGATATAAGCATGTTAGTGTAATCAACCCCAATTTGAATTTTGTAGGATCCTGACCATGTTATACCAAGACGGCAACAATTTTAATCACATCTTGGCTCACTGACTATTCAACAACAGGTGAAAACTGACATGCAAATTGAGCCATGTGCCTTTTCTTAACAACAAATATGACTTCTCCACTCCAAAAACTCAAGTTCAATAAGTTGAAGTTTCTATTACGATTCAAGTTATTTCATGATTTTCGAGGCCACTCTCCTTGCAAAATAAAAAATTATTACTTAATCTCTGATGGACTACTTTTTATGTGTTCAGTCACATTTATTCGGAGACTGAAATAAATGTTACGGACCTTTCTGAATGCTTTAATCAATAGTTTAACCTGATGCTGTCCCTGATTTTTTATGTGGTCTTTATTCTGAGCGCAGGAGACTCCAATCTCTCGGATGGGTCTTTCTTAGCTATGTCTTACTGTGAGGCAGAGAAGGAAAAAGAGAGGCAGACTGTCACATCCCACCCCCTCCTGAGCATAAAACTTGAAGCTGCAATAATATTAATGATCCACTCACAGGAGGCTATTAGTCATTCAGCTGTTAAAGCAACTTTCAAATCTCTGGTGGATATATACTGCATGATATTAGAGAACCACAACCTGAGGAAGTTAAATGTATTTGGATCACATTTACACTCTGTACGAACAGGTAATAGCTACTAAATGTCAGTGAGTGGGGCATCATTTTTCGCACCTGCCATTATTTTCATGTTGGGTGTGCCAGGCCTAATTGGGTTAAGTTCATTCAAATTCACTCACAGTAGTATCTATTAACAAGACAAACAAAAAGACAACTCAAAGAGCTCATTTACAGCTTTTAGCTCTACAAGTTGTTCATGATCAAAATCAGACGTAAACGTGTCTATAAACTTGTTTAAAAGACATATGGTGTAGATATGATTTACAAGAGGTCACTGCTTCTGCAAGCCTAAAATCATCAAACAGAAGGTTTGAGAGCCGATGGTCCATGACTGCTGAAGCTCAGTTGTCTTTCTTCTTCAGCTGGTACTTAAGACTAAACCTCTGAAGCCCTGCTGGAGGACCTGAGAAAGTACTCTGGCAAACAGAGAAGCAGCAATTCGGGCCAATCTAGAAAACTAGCCATAATGTTATTTTGCAGAGAGTTAGTCCAGTTACAAAATAAATTCTGATGCTTAGTGGTAACCTGTGTCGAAAGGAAAGACCCGGCTGACTTTATTTTGCCCTCTGACATTTCTTAAATGGTGTGCAGTTGTGTTTCATTGCAGCTAAATGCCTTTCATACTTACACAACTCATTATTCATGAAATAAAAATAATCTAAATGCTTGATATAAGATACTTCTCATTTGACAAAGACATCACAGAACGAATTTTGTACTTCGTTTTTCTAATGTATGTTTACTCTAATTGCCACACAAGATTTGCGACTGTACAGACAAAGTGCTTTTCCAAATGAGGGTGGAGATCATAAAGAGTGATACACAATTTCTTTCATTTAGCTGGAGAAGTTTGGAAGAGGCCGGCACCCATTACAAATATACAGACTTCTGTGTTTTAGTCCTTAAGACAGGACGTAGACACAGAACAGCCATGGGTCACAGATGGAGCCTTGGGGAACTCCACAGACCTACATGCGACAGAAGAAGCTTCACTGCCGTATGCAAAAAAATGTAGACATGGCATAACTAGAAACAAAATGTAAATAAAAGTAAAACTGTAAATTTTAGTCAAATGCAAACCTGAGATCAACAAAAATGACTATTAATACAAGGTCAGTTTGGTACCAGATTTCTTATTGAAATCACTCAATAGTTTTCCATTTATCAGTTATCACTTAAGTCTCATTACTGAGAAAATGTATCTAAATTTAAAAACTTCTCAATAACAAAAGTAATTTAAAATATATTTTGTTTCATTATTAGTGTGTATATTACTGCATTCCTGTGAGGGAATAGAACAACCACTGAACAAAGACCTACTGACAAAGAATCAAATGAACATTGTTAAAAAAGAAAATCTCCATTAGCTTTCTGACAAATATCTGTGCAGAAGTAAACAAAGTGCAGTAGGTCCCAGACTGGCAACAACCTACATTCACCAGGTAAAGCACTCTTCTGGATAATCCATCATACATCCATCATTAAACCTTTAAATCCTCTCTTAACAACTCTCCTTTCCAAACAGTGCAGATATTCTTGTCTCTCTCTCTCTCTCTCTAAAACATTGCTTTAGCTGGGACAGTCAGGAAGTGCTGGCCCACTGGGGACACAAAAAAACTGTTCTCTTGCCCTGAAGGGAGGGACAGGACAAGGCACGGAAAAAAATAGTTTGAGTGATGCCTCCGTCGAGCTGACTAATGAACAGTTCAGCTCGGGTCAATCCATTACAACCCAAAAGCATTTAATTATTAATTAAGGCCTATCTATAGACAGTTAAAGACAAGTGACATTGTATCTTTAATGACTGATATGGCTGGTGATGCGGTTTGGGGGGCTAGTTCAGGCTACAGAGGTGTAGTGTTTTTTTCTTTTTTTTTACATCTCAGTGTGCTGATGGTGGCTGCTTTCAATGAAAATGTGGGAACATGTGAGTCTACACGTTCACATAAACACAGACACAGTGCTTTAGACCCATACTCAGCTGAGGGTATGCTAGGTTGTTTCAGTTTCACTTGTGATAAATTGTGTGTTTTGGGGAAAAGAAATAATTGATATTGTTGTGTGGGCTGGTGTTTGCTTCATACAGATATTTTCAATATTTTACTTGATTATAGTAAAATAAAACAGTTTTTGAAGGACCAGTCCTGATCATTTCTCCTTAGTACTCATGTGTAATACAAAAACTAAACTCCTAAACTGGGTTTTTGTATCACGCCTTTATATAAAGAAACATATCCAGTGGAGTCTTGAGAAAAGTCCTGTTTAAACATATTCTTATCGGCTTTCATACTGTCACTGTTGTAGACACAATTCAGAGCTGTGTTGCTGTGTGTGTCACTCATGACAGGTCCAACCTCTGCGGTAATGTGCGGGTGCATATGTGTGTTGCCGGAGGCAGTTTCACGGGGTGAAGGGCTGAGTGAGTGGGGAGCAAAGCCGCCTGAGTGGTTTGCTTCATTAGGAAACAAAATATAAGCTTTCCGGACCATTAGGACTGACTTTAGATGCAAAAGCACATAAGACGACGACTCACCTCATCAACGATGCATTGCAGTAACTGGAGAGGCTGGGAGTGGAGAAACACAGATGAAGGAAAAATGTTAGCACACATGAAATTTCCTGGCAATAAGGAAAATCAATAGTGTGATAAAAAGTATCTACTTAGATTAATCAAATGCAGCAAGCTCGGGCAAAGCCATCCTTCAGCTCCTTTAAGTTTTTTATTATTTCATAATGGCACCTAATGTAACACAAGCAGTTTAAGCATGATCTAATATTTCATTGCAAAAATGCAATTTGAGTTTTTTTCCCCCCAAATGAGAAAGCCAACCATGAGTAACAGGCTATAGTGTGGGAGACCTATTTTCTTTTCTGCTATTCTAATGCAATAAAACTTACCATTAAAGATCCTTGGTTTTTCTGGATCTGTAGGGCAAGACAGAGAAGACGGGACGAGGCAATATGTAATTAGCGTGTCATAATCAAGATGATGCACTTGGACACATTATGATCACTGGGAGAAAATTATTGCTTTCCTGTTGGCAATTTGTGAGTATGCGTTAACACCATTTACATAATGAAAACACACAAATGTTAATGGCCTTGCTCTCATTTGTGGAGAATGGGGGTAAAATCCACTAATGCTTATTTTCAGAGTGGTACTTTATTCCTGCCCTGCAGGTTATCCGGGTGTGCTAGGCTGTAGAGTAACTGTTACAAACAATATGAGCCGGCTTTGGAATGAACATACTCAATTTCACAGGTGCAACAAAACAATGAGGTCAAAACATGGCATGTCACATACATTTATGATGACAGCAGAATTATAAATAGATAAATAGATAAATTTAAGCCGGGAAAAAAGGAATAAAAGCAGATGGGGATAAAACACATTAAAAATAGTCAATGCTTGGATAGCAGTGTTTAAATCAAGCTTAAAATCAATTTAACAGTAAAAGAATTATACAACAGTTAAAACCTTTTAAAGAGCAGAATTTAGAAAAGCATGCTCAACACAAAAGATCAACACCATGATACTTGATAGTGTTTAAAAATGGCACCATGGCGGAACCACATGAAATATTTGAGTTACCCAATTAAAACCATCAGTACTGAAACCTTCACAATCAGTTCCATATCCTCCAGAGCCGAGTTAATGACTCTATCATACAGACTAAAAGATTGAAGGCCTGAAACATCAGCTCAGCTAAAAGTCTAATACTGTTTGGTAAATAAATTGCTCATTTCTCTCAGTCTTTTGACAGTGCATTAGAGCACTTATTGATTCACTCAATTAAATACAGGGTTTCCCACTCTGCCAATACCAAGGGGCTCCTAAACCGCCTTTATATCCAGTTTTGCCTGATTCAGACACATTAAAGGCAACTATGGAAAACTAATTTGTTCAGAAATAATTACTAGGACAAAATTGCGTGCTGCTCCAGGGGTTGAAATTGGATAGTGGGAGACAAACTTATTCAAGCATAATTGAGCACTTATTCTTCTTGTACTAGGTAGCTTGACCACAGAACAGAAAGACAGCTTTGGTAATCCCTCCTTATCTTTCCCTCTTAAAGGAGTCTCATCACTGTTGGCTGATTATCTAGTAGACATATTATCACGATGTTTGTCCTGAGGGTGAGCATTGTTTAATATAACATTTATACTTCAGAAAGACTCTCCAATTATACATTCCTTCAAACCATTTTCTGACACCTGATCTACAAAGAACAAACTGATGTTTGACAAGTGAGCCCGTCATCGTCTTGTCTTCTTGAGACGCAAATCCATGTCAATAAGAGCCACGGCAACCTTCAACCATTACATGAAAATATCAAAGGGTGAAAATTAACAGTCACTAATTTATTTTCAGGTTTCTGTTCCGTCTTTTGGATCAACTCCAGAAACACTTAAAAGAAGGTCTCCTACCAAAGGGGTAACACCAAAAGATAGGGGGTGATGGTGGGGGCTCTTTTTTGTTGTTAGCTTCAGATGTGTCTGCTGAAAATTACAAGCTATTAAAAACAACCCAGTTTCCTCTGATCTCCTTCTTGTTGACAGCCTTCATCCTCAGCCTGGATCAGTAAAACTCCCAGATAAAGATAAGCAAATACCGATGAAGAATCGATTTGCTGATGTGTAAGACTGAGCTAAAGTATATGTTCAAATAAATCTATCACCTAAAAGACGCACACAAGTAAAATTTTGGTGACATTACTAAGTATGGTATCAAATGACGGAGGTGTAGCAAGACTCTCAGTACGTTTGATTCAGAAGAAAGGGAAAATATGTTTCGAATCATTTCACTAATAATGTATGAAGCTTAAGAAGAGTCTTAAAGTCTTTAACAGAATTTTAACTAATAAAAAAACAGTCAAACAAAGTGTATGTTTGGAGCTGGTACAGAAAACCCTGTTTACAACATTTTGCATCTGGCATGAAAAAACAAATAACTGGAGGTGTCTCTGCTGTTTTTGATGGATGCAGTGATGTGTAATGGAAGCTCCTGAAACATACACATAAAAGAAGTGATATGATATTTCATCCTGGAGTAAATTCAGATTTGAGGGGAAAAAAATGATAAAATTGTGAAGCAAAAACTATGGAACAAACAAAAGACAAAGAATCAATCAGAAGCAATACTGCTGGCGGCTGTATACACATCAAATCAGGTCTGGTGTCTTCAAAGACTTTCAGAGCGAGCCGTGCAAAAACTCCATTAACTCCTGACAAAGGACGCAAATGAATCCCGACATGTGGTGAAGTGGAATTAAAGACACCATCTCTAGTCATGACGAACATGAAGTGATGATTCCACTGTGTGTGCACACAGACACACAAAGGAGTGAAAGAGATAATGCATCAACTACTTGTCCACAAATATAAGCCACAGGCCAGCATGCGCACTCACACTTAATGAAAAGGTTGAAAACAAAGGAATGCTTTAAATATCTTTTTAAAGGTAAAAATCATCTCAAAAACTTCATCTGTCCACTCGTCTATAGTCTAAACTACATTTTTACTGGGCGGGCCAACCCATTTTAGCATTCTCATTCTCAGAACAGCACCGTAACTGTTTCATTTAAGAGTAGATGGTCACCTCATATCTCTTCCCTCGCTCACCTGTTTATTCTGAATTAAATCTCTGCAGAAAAACTCAAATCCCCCCATATCAATACACTTTGACTGGATACCTCCCTCTTCAACTGAAATCTGTAGCTGGTTTCAACTAATGTCGTTTACTAACAACAGCATGCTTTCTGTATGATGTGACATGCTACTCAATTTACATGTAATCTCCAGATGCAGTTGTGGAAAAAAAATGAAGATGACTTTCTTAAACAGTGCAAAGAGAGTAAGCCAACAGAACAGACACACTGGGAACTAGGCAGCAGCTGATTTTCCTATAAACTCTCTTATTTTTTTCTAACTTCTCCCTCAGTCTGTACTAAAATGTTCTCAGTGAAGTGCAGCAGGGGGTTTTGCACAGACAGCTGTGCCAGCGTCTGCAAAAATGACAGCTTAGGCCCCAGGACTTTGGCTGGCTGCGCCTGACAAGCTGGATCTGAGCGCTCTCGCCGCACCGCTCTGCTACAGCCTGCAGGTGAAGTGTCTGCAGCACCATATGGAGTTAGGGGAAAATTAACACTGAGATGAGGAAAGCTGCGTAATAGTGGAGAGACAAATCTATAAACTAAGAGGTGTCTCTAATATTTGCTATACCCTATTTATATCAATGAGTGTAGAGTAAATTACCGTCCATTTGCAGAACTACACTCACAATTAACATGATAATGGAGGCATTAAACGAAAGCAAGAACTACAATCAAAAATCAGACACGCCCCAGGCTGTCGTCATACACATGCAGAGTAACAGATTGATCATTGTGTGACATTTACATCACCATCTAATTTGAGGTTGGTATAAACACCTCTCTACCACGCACAAAGGTTTTCAAATGCTTTTAAATCACGGCCCAAGAATTAATGATCGACACAGAAAATAAGAGGATAGCTACACCGTAACACGAGTCTGCTTCACAGATGGTGCTTTGCTGTTGAGCAAGGTGCTGAATTAATACTTGTCACAAACATTTGGATTTCTCTCAGTACATAATTTATAACACTAAGAGGATTACATCTTCAAACTGAGGTATCTATCAGTAACAGCTATCTTGTAGAGGTAGAGACAGTCTGTATGCGATTAAGCTCAATTGTTTAGTTAGCTAACTTATTTTTGCCAGGATAAACAGTCACTATGCTGAAAGCAAGCAGTCACTAACACAGTAACCCTGGGCAGATTAAAGTGGTTACATCACACTTTGCCTCTTTGTTTAACTGCAATTTCCTTCGACTAATAGAGCCGTCGAGTCGTAAATAACAAGTACAGTTGCACGCAGTCTGAGCGGCTGACTATTTCAAAGTTATAATTCAAACCCTTTCGATAACTGAATCAATTCGTGGGGATGATTTGCCACCAATCAAAGTGTAGTTGTGAGAGAGCAAACTTTTCATTAGATAAAATGCGTGCCTTCACAGTTTGTAAAGCAGGGCGGACAGGAGGTAACCTAAGGTAACCAGATTTAGATTGCTCAGCTAGGGATTAGTGAGATAAACCCATCTTAAAAGGGCTAATTAAGACTTGATGGGATTGTGAAGTCACTTCTGTGTTCGGCAATTACATTTGAGCAGGATTTTAACTTAGTGTAATGAGGGGAAAAAAATGAATACAACTAGTGCATTTCCACATTACAATTGGTTTATCAATAATGAACATTTAATCAAGGGAGTAATAGAGATGACAGAAAAATGATAATTGAGGTCCACATCTTAATCTTATTATGGGTCTTAATTCATTATTAGTGCCTGGATTAATAGGAAGGCATTTCTAAGAATTATTACAAGTACTTTGGGATGAAACTGAGTTTTGGAATCATTACAAAACCTGATTGCATAAATGAAAAACTGTTAAATTTAGAACATTTAAAAATAATAAAATCTTGGTTCAGAAAATAAAAATGAGAAACTCTTTCACAAAATCATTTGTGAAAAATTGCCATTTCACAGATGCACAAAACCACATTTTCATCAGGGGCCCTGTTAGAGCAACAGATTTATTTTTTTCAGAAGACATAAAGTGTTCTAAAGTTCTTCTTAAGGTTTTTATGGTAAAAATAGATGTGGTCTTATTTTCAGTTTTTAGTTAAAACCACTTTTGGGAGAATAACACATTTGCTCAATGAATATGTGGAGGATAACAAAAATTAAAATCAAAAATATATTAAAAAAAATGACTCACCTGCGGATACGGGAACATCCCTAATGCCAACTGTGCAGAAAAGAGAAATGCTTTTTCAGACATGTTCGGTAATTTCAGTAAGTTTGCTGTTAAACAAATTCCATAAAGCATAAATTTGGCTACTCCATCAAGTTTATATTTTCGGCTTTGTCTCATTTTATGTCCCACCCCCCAAATAGATACCGTGTGTGTTTGCGTGTGTGGACAGCGTATGTCCTTGACAATATAATACAGGCAGCCGTGATAACAGAAGAAGAAATGGTGCAGCTGCAGCAGTAAAAACTGTAATCCACAAAAATAAAAACTCTGTAGAAGCTGGATTTGTTTCCATTACAATGGCTATCAAAATGTAATGCACCGTATACATCGTACATGCAATTTAATCCAAATGCACCATTTAAGTGTAATTGTCCAATTTAAATTGAATTTGTGTGTCAACAAATAGGGAAAATTCTGCGTACGCAAGTGAAGCATGCAGAACTTGAGACTTTCAGTCTTTGAGGTAAGCTTTGTGCCCACCTGCTGATAACACTTCCTCATCAAACAACATCAGCTATTAGTTAATAACCCCCCCACGATTACCACCTGCAGAGGACAAAATGGGGGGATAAAAGGGAAGGACAGGGGGATTGTGGGATGCTGGTGTGTGTGTGTGTTATTTTAGCTGGGGGGTGGGTGACAGCTCTCCCTGACATTTGGCAATTCACTTTGGGTGGGTATTTTTCATCCTGGTCAAGGGCAGCTGCCCAGCTTATTGGCAACATTATGTTATTAATGTGTCAAAAGAAGCAGAGTCTTTCCTTGGACATAGATAGACCAACTAGTAGGATAAAGATCAATCCATAGTGAGAGGGGCTACAAAGCCATTTCATTTAGCTTAATGTACACATCAACAGCTTCAACTAAAGAGGACAGGCAGAAGGTCTATCTCTATAAGACTTAATCTTTATCACACAGAGAGCTTGTCAATAATTCTGACAGGGCTCCATCCTTGTGATATCATCTGTTATTGTTATTATTGTAATGATATTAAACATTATTGACAAATATGGGAGAGGCAGAAGTCCAATTCATTTGTTATACTGAAGAGGGAGCGCTGAAGACAGACACACACAGATGGAGAATCAATAACGCCGGTGGAAGGACAAAAGACCAGGGGAGGGTTATACAGAAATTAAAATGTTATTTGTAATCGCAGGGTGTCGGTCAAGCGCTCGATCAACACTTTAAGTGGACTCGGACAGGGATACAGATGCTTAGTATCATGTTCACAAAAAGCAATATGCATCCAATACGTCTCAGTTTTTGCCATTTTGTACTAAGTCAAATACATGGTTATTCTGGTGTTCAGTTTATCGGTCTTCTAATAATAGGCAACACCAAAGTAGTTTGAAAATGCAAAGACAAAATAAAAAAAAGAAGAGATGAGGAAGCGTATCACTTCGATAACAACCCTTTGCATCTACATAATGTCAAGTAATGTGTCCTCCACTGTTTTATTACTCTGTCCACCTATGTCAGCTGTTAGAAAATGTCCTGTGAAAAGTGCTAAAGGAGGCTGTCCCTATGGATTCCTCTCAAAGAGGAAGATCCCATATGAAGGGACCAAATGAGCAACAGGCAGAGAGAAAACACAACCTTATTCATTTCAAGTTATTCATCTTAAAATGTCAAATAAAATTAGCTGCAATCTCACTGTGAACTCAATGCATTTTCTTCCCAGCAATAACCAATTTATGAAGTGTCGTACCTCCATGAAAGAGATCCCCACACTCCAGACGTCTGCGTGGATACCATACTGTTCCCCTGATATCCTCTCAGGCTGAAAAGCAAACAAACACACCTCTCATGAATTAACCGTCATCAACAGTTGTTGATCAAATATTATATTTACTCCATGAAGCCAAATTAAAAGGGTCAACTTACCGCCATGTATGCATTAGTTCCCACATATGTTTTGGCGATGGAGTTTACCAACTGTAAAAGAAATGAATGAAAGGTGGATGTTAAAACTCCAATTAAATAAACACCTTCAGTATTCAATACGGAATCATCCTACATCAGGGAGTAACCTCATGTAAACATATTTAAGTGTCAGGTTCATATTTGGGGCCGCTCTCCACCCACAAGGAGGCACTGATGTGTGTGTGTGTGTGTGTGTGTGTGTGTGTGTGTGTGTGTGTGTTTCAGTGTGTGCGGGTACAATAGCACATGCCATCAATGACAGGACAGTGATAATGACTGTCTATTCCCTCATGGCTATTTTTGAGCAGGCCCCTCAGCATTCGGGGGGACTGGGGTGGGGGGGGTGTATGAATGCGTGACAGAGAGGTAAACAGAAAAAAAATGAGTCACAAAGACAGAGGACAAGTCAGTGTGTGTGAAAGTGTTACACATACAGGGTGCAAAATTCACCTTGGAGCATCCCGGGAAGCAGGGGTTTAAAATGAATAATAATTTGCCTCAGAGGGGAAGCTGTGTGTCCCTTTTTTTTTCACTACACACATTCAGACTCAGTCCTAGGGGTTGATTTTTTTTAGGGTGTGTTGAAGGTCTCTCCCTGATGATTACATTGCAAACACACACTCTACCCTACACACACACACACACACAGACTGACTTGGCCATTGTCTGCCACCCACGCTTTCCCCACATCTCCTGAATACATATCAATGAGGCTCTGCCGTTGTGCGCATGGGTCATAATAATAATGAGTGATTTTTTCTGAGGCTGCAGAACAATGGATGTGGGGGGGTGGGCTTAGTATGAGAGGATGACCCCCGGGACAGTGCTGATGTTTTGAGGTGAAAATGAATGTAGTGATTGACAGGTTGACCATATGCACACACACACACACACACACACACACACATACATACATACATACACAGATTGCACAGCACTGTAGTGACGCAGCTTTAGTCAATCGTCTTTCCTCCCCTCACTTTCTTCCTCTCTCTCTTTATCATCCTTACACAAACAAATCAGTGTACCTGTGTGCTGACACCAAAGTCACAGAGCTTGACTTGTCCCCGGGTGTTCACCAGCATATTGGAGGGCTTGACGTCTGTGGAGACAAACTGCTTGATAAAACTGCAACATCAGCACCCTGTGTCCTGTCTTTATCAACTCTGCTCTTTTTTTAATAACACAGAGCCTTCCCACTACTTTACTCACCTCTGTGAAGTATCTTCAGGCTCCACAGATACGTCAGGCCTTTGACCACCTACGGACACAGTGAAAAAAAAAGTCAAGAGAATAATCAAGGAGTCAAAAGCAGCAGATGTGGTTGAATAATTAACAATGAAGGTTATTATGAATTGATTAACAGAAAATGGACCAAATAACTGAACTTTACAGTCCTCTAAATTGTAGCTGTAAGTCACATGTTGAATACTTCACTCTGATTGGTCAAAACCCAAAAAAGTGGTTATTAATTCTGACCATCAAAAGAGTTGCTAAGGACAACCTGATCACACACTTCATATGAAATCAATCCACAGAAAGGACTTTAAGCACATCCAGCATAATGTTCATGATTTCCCCCTCACCCTGTATATTTTTCAATTACACTGGAAGATAAAAAGGAAGGATATTTTTAGTATTAATATAAATTTATTTGGATATCACAAAATTCTGTATTGGTGGTTAATGGATGACCAGCATAGAAGGGATACATCAGCATAGAAAATGGCAAAGCAAGTTAAATCACACAAGAAGATGGGTCAAAGAGATGTCAACTAACGAAACAGACAAAATCAGTGCCTCGACTGGTTACTTGACTGGTTCAGGTACGAGGACGGACACTTGTACGGGTGCTATTGTATCATCTGTTATGAATGCCAATGGCTTTGACTACACCATGAATTGAAATGTTAAATAGAATGTGATCTACAATGGTAACGCGGGCAAATATTCAGACTTTACGGAGAATAAAAATGTTCAGTTTAATGTTCATTTAATCTAAAGGTAGACTAAAAGGAATTTCATTGCCATGGAGACACCATGAACCCTTAAAATGAAGGGACTATTTGTTTCATCTCTATAAATAAATCATCTCTAAATCAATCCTTAATGTCAGTTTGTTTGTTTGGTTGGTTGGTTGGTAGCCTGGTAACAAGTTGAATACTGTGTATACTGATTTTTTTTCATGTTTTCTCTTATACTTCTTGGCCTTCAGTTTTGACATCCAGGTTCTATACAGTGACTCTACAATGTCAAAATGTGTTTATAGATGCACACGCAAAGAAGAATCAAACTATTTTGGGGCCTCAATGGTAGTAAAAGACTCTAAACTGACTGTGAACTTTGTTTAAGACAGTGACGGTAGTAAAAGGTGATCCTTCAAGCTTTTAAGTCTGAAACAACTACTGTTCTGGTCCTGAGGTTCGGTCACAGACTTTGGGTGTCACTTTTTTTAACAAGACTCTAGATGAAAAAGAGCACTCAAGGAAAATCCTTGTGTACCCTGGGCAAATTGTTGGTGTGTCTCCCTGCTGACTCTCAGCAAGGAGACACACAGCTGACACATGGAAAACTGACAGATTGCAGTTGTGAGACATTTTTACATTGCCAGTCTGCAGTAGAGGTGCTTTGAAATTCTCAGATTTATTTCCAAAGTTTCTTCTTTCTCTTTCTTTTCAAATATTGTCTACACTGTTTCAATTTGGTTAAAAAAAATCATATTTTAAGGTGTGGAAGCTGACTGTTGCTTCTAGGCTCCTGTCATCTATCTCTGATGAACAACTTCCTATCAGATAAATCAAAGATGCACAAAGGCTCTCTGAAGTCCTGCTGCCTCAGAAGGTGGTGGTGCTAGTGTAACAACTGCAAAATGTGACTTCACTCACACCCTCTTGGGTGCTTTCCTCTCTGTGATAATTAACAACTGTGACAGTGGAAAGGAGGGAAAGCTGTGAATTAGAATTAACACTGACTAAAACGCTGTCATTGTTTGATTACGGACAAAGTTAAAAGGGGGAAGACAGAAAAGAGGAGGGAGAGGCAGGGGAAGAGTAATGAGTGTGGCAAACAGACGTGCAGTTATCGACATCAAGGCCATTTTTATCAAATTCGAGTTTTAACTGGGAACAGACTGGGAAGGAGAAAGGAGGAAAACAACTCTGACTTTGTCCATCAGTAAATCAAAGACAGGCTAATTAAAAAATCCACATCTGCGTTTTTCTTTCTCTTCTTCATTACTGAAATGAATCACTTTTTTGTAAACCTGCTCTGTAGTTAACAAACATAAAGGGTCACACTGTAACTGTGAGTCAAAGGCACACTTAAATATATTGCACACTAATGGATGTTTCTTCACCAAGGTTTTGGTTGTAAAAGAAAACAAAGAGATTCAGCAAAACTAAAATGTCAAAAACATTTTTGTCAACTTCCATAAAAAATAAAAACAAGTTTTTTTTGAAAAACATAACTAACTAAAATTGTGTGTTATTTAGAAGAAGAAAAAAAAAAAAATATATATATATATATATATATATATATTGAATTTTTATTTTTTGCATCTTTGAACACAGTAAATCAGACCCTGGAGGAGAATCAAGCGTTCATTTAGTTGAAACCATATAGGGTACTTTTAAAGGTTTTTCTTGAGGTCTCATATATATATGATGCATAGACAACTTTCCGATAATCATTATCCTGATTGACATGCGTGTTAATCATGCTGCTGCTCTTAAGATATTATCCTATTCCTCGTGTGCTACAGATGATTGAGAAAAACCTTTTTAGACACTTTTATCCTTATTCCATTAAAGAAAATCTCGTCTTTTTGACGACCTGAATGGATTGAACTGTTAAGTGTTTACAATGATGACAGTATGGGAGAGAGATTGTCGATAGGTGATCCATATCGACTTAATTGGATACAGAGCAGTGATCTACAAGGACATAGATCCTTGACCAGTTGTTTGACAATAATCTGTGAGTTGAGTCTTCTGTCGTTCCTTACAGCCCCGTCTTTTCCATAAACAGTGGCTCTGTTTAGCAGATCCATCTGGATCCATCTGTTGCCGAGCTAAAATAATATACTTAGGATAGGTATGCAAATGAGCAGGTCCAGACCTTTTTGGCTAGGGCGGCTCTTTCTAGGTGGCACTGCTGAGTTAGCATTAAGTATGCAAATCCACACACCAATAAACAGCATTTTTTACTCCATCTGTGATGTTGTTCCAGCTATACTGTAAATTTAAACAGAAGTCTTGTATCTGAAAAAGCATACAGTTAAATCAGACAAAGTTTTTGAGTTCTTTGTACATAATGTTCAACTTTTGGGGGGTGTTGTTTTCCCCGGCAAGTGCTACATGATACAAAAACTAAACCTAACGCTGTTTTCCCCAAACAAAAATAAACAAACAAACAATATTACAAAAGTAAACAAACAAACAATATTAGTTCTGCATTTGGGAACAAGAAAACTTACTGCCACTGCAATCCGTCCCAGCACATGCTCTGGAATTCTTTTATACACATCCAGAGAACCGCCTGCAAGAGACAAATCATTGATTAAGACACAGTTAGAGCATGAAGTTTTTTGGTGTTATTTAATTATATAACCATTTTCTTTGTGGGTTTTTTTTAATGACCCTTAATAATACAGAACTAAATATTCCAACAGAGCTTTAAGCCCCCCCAAAAATTTTAAAAAATCGATGACTAATGTCTAAACCTGAATAACACAAAAGTATTTCATGGTTGTTGATGTAAATCAAAGCATTAAACATACATTTCCACATTATTCTGGAGACATACAAAATAAAGTGGAAAATGCATCATGTTAAAAAAAAGTTTTTAAGACATTTTAAGACAGTAAACTTGGAAGACACAATTCCGGATTTTCAAAATTGAATTAAAGAGAATTATTTTGTAACAACTCTGTCCTGATAATCAATTAGTTATTTCTATGAAACACGATGACAAGGTAATCAATGTCTCCTCACACATGGGTTTACAATGGTCAAGTATAACAAGCTCTGAGCAGTCAAAGAAAAGTTTCATGAAGTTAAGAGTGCTGAGAGGTTAGACAGACTTCACTGACAAGCTTACAAATGTGTGAAACAGGGGATTTGCTGCATTACCACACACTTGGATGAACACACACACCTAAAAAAACAGAGTTCCCAATCTCACACCAGTCTAAACACACTCATACAAACGCATCTACAAATGCACTTAAGTCAAGATTCATCACACCCTTGTAGCTTTTAGCATACATGGCATGCTGGGCAGCTCACGGCAAAAAGACATCCTCTTGATCTGCAGAAGTGTAAATGGACACACCGTAGAGAGACACGACAGCTTCCAGAAGTCTCTTTTTCACAGCTGTTGCAGTGAAAAGATTCAAACTTATGATCTATTGGCTTCTGCAAACAGAATACTCACCGTCCATAAACTCTGTGCAAATTGATATCCTGTTCTCTACAAAAAAGGCACTGAAGAAAGTGATGATGTAAGGTGAATCACACTGAAAACAAGAGGAGAAACAATGTGATCATTACAGAGCATGGCAGACTGGAGTTGTGGTTAAAATCATTTGTGTAAATATTATCTGTAAAAAGTGTTTGGAGTTTTTGTTTGGAGTAACTTTTGGATGCAGTTTTAGTCAAAGATGCTCCAAAAATTCTCTTCAAATCAAGTGCTTGGTCACAGGAGTGCATCAAGTCTATATAATCATTTCATTCAGACTTTTTTTTTTCATTATCATAGATTTGACTTCGTATTCACAATTAATTTGAAAAATCGATACTTGGTCAATGAGACAATATGATATATCACCAGACAAATATCGCGATACTATGCTGTATCGATTTTTTCTCCCACCCCTACTGGGGAATGGCTGAATAATTGTAAAACAAAGCTAACTGAGAACATATTTTAGCCCAAGCACTGAAAGAGTCACAGACAGATCAGTAAACTAACATGCTCAGCCCATGTGCATGTGTATGTTTTGGACATGTCTTGTACTGTTAATCCCACCTCAGTTTACATTGTAAGACCAGAGGGGGTAAATGACACCTCTGAAGTCAGATGTGTTGTGTACAAACACTGAGGTCTGGAGGGACAGAGACACAGTATAATAAATGTTTGAAATCGTTGAAAACTGACCTTATACAGGATTTCTAGTTCTGACATAATCTGCTTCTGTAGTTCCACTGTGATATCCAGAGGAATGACCTTGGGGGGAAAAATGTTCAGCAATCAGTAAACAGTTGAAACACATTCTGCAGGTCTCATCATTAAAGGTCAGTGAGAAAGTAGAACTATTATCATGCTGATGTAAAGATCTCTTACCTTGACAGCTAAAACCTTTTTGCCAAGAACATGGTATGCTCTGGAAGGAGGAAACACAGGATAACATGAAGCAAAACTTATGTGAGTGGTTACTTCTTCTTACCTCCTCATTGCAACGGTATCCAGAAAGTTTAGGTTACTATTTCAATTTTAGAGATGTTTAAAGTTTTCCATTCTTTTTAGTGAGGAGCTTAAGGGGGATAGTATAACAAAAAATATGCAGGTTTTTATGTTTCTGAGTAAAAGAAACATAAACAAATGCTTCTCTTAGAGGTCAGAGGTCACCTCACCAAAAAAGATCCGGTCACCCCGTCTCTGGATGTTCCAGACAGAGTTTTGAGTTGCACAGAACACAGCAGCCACAGACCTTCCCCGTAATGATTTAATTATCAAACTCCTTAATGCCAAACATCGGCTTTAGTTACAGCCCTCAAAGGTTAGTTTACGGCACCGGTGACAATACCTCTGGACCTCACAACATACTATCCTCAAGGACAAATTCTGTCCAACAGCTGTCAGGTGAGTGGGATGAGGTGGGGCAGAGCACGTCACACAGGCCAGTTAGCTCACAAGCAGACTGAGTGAACGCGATACCTGGCTTCTCACCTGTCAGCAGGTCTCTCAGAGAGAATGTGTATGGTGCTAGGTGTGATTAATGCGTCTTAGATTGGAGGATCACATTGCTCTTGGGCCAGACACCTCAAAACTGGCCAAGGCTTTTAATTAAAGAGACCTATTAGTGCCACATCAGGTGTTCAACTGCATTTAATACCAACACTGGCCTCTTACTTTAGCTTTTCAATGTTGTACATGTATAATTCAAAACAGTTTTATCTCTTTAAAAGACAAAAATACACACCACAGACATTTCAAAGATTGACAAAAACAAATAACTGACCTTAAAACAAAGTTTTTACAACTTCCAATAACTTCAGTTTGACTTTTCACTTTAATCTGCCCAGAAAAAAATCAAACACATTCAAGGATTCTTGATCTGAATGGTTTCTAGCATGGTCTTATATAAGAAATACTATTTTCAACTTTTCCTGTCATGTTATATTACAAATTAAAGATTCACAATGGTAGGAATTTACAAAGTGTCTGCTCCCAACTTTCTGTCAGCCTGATGACTGTTCTTATAGCAGTCACACAGCACTGACCGCAAGTTCATGCATACAACATGAACGATTGGAAACTGAATAGCAGAAGAGATTCAGCAAGTCTCATGTTATAAGACCCAACTCCATACCTTTTCTGTTTCGGCTTAAGTGATTTTTCTCGTATTTTTCTGGGGGAAAAGCTCTTTACACAGAAGCCTGATGGCCTTGTTTCCATTCTGATGTCTTGGTCTTCCTTTGAGCTACAATCAATATCAGTTAAGCATGACTTCCCCTTTTAATTAAGATGAAGATGTTAATTGAGGCAAGATTGCAGGGGTAGACATGTTAAGTACTGAGTGGGCAGGTTGAGTGTGAAAAGCAGCCTAAAAAGGAGATTACATGCTACATGTTAAACAAGTTGTAGTCATCAATTAAGTGTCTAGACATTTGAAAAGCACTGGCAGGTAAATGACCCAGCAACATCGCGTCTGTGTAGTTGAGATCATTTTTGTAAGTCTTCACTGATGTATCTTTAGAGAAAGTCTTGTATGTATTCATAAAACCTCCAGATGTTTGTTGTCCTTGCTGGACCTAAACCGTCCTTTTGGTTTCTTGTATGTGCATACAATGGGCCAAATACTGACTGATATGCTCACAAGTTGCACTTCTTTTCAATCCGTAAAAGGAAATAAAACAATACTTTTGTTCAAAACTAGGTGCACAAGAGTTCATAAAGTTACATGTTTTAAGGACATGTTAAAGAACTGCAGACATGGTGTGACTACTGCTTAGTAGAAGCTTTATACTCAGACTGTCCTTGACAGCCTCAGGGCCAAGCATCCCTGTATGAGTTACAGTGACAGGCTTGTGACAGCGAGAGACATGGGGACAAGGTTACATAGCCCCCACACTCCCCCGGCCCACCCCCCGCCACTTCCACCTGATCTGACCCCAGTAAACGTGCCCCATTGCCTGGATCTTATTTACACTCTAGCTCGCTCTGTAATAAAAGCTCCATCATGCAGTATTCATAGGGCCTCTCTCGATGTCTCTGGAACTGGGACCATGGGATAGAGACACTGGCCTCATGGATCAGGGCTAACGTGGTACTTTTACACATGGGCTGCCCTTCTCCCCCCCTAACTTTTCACCTGATACAGCTATAATGAGTCTCTTAACTGACCCAGACAGAAACTTAAACACAGACACTCACAGACATGTAGTGAGTGACAGATACACTAAAAAAGACTTGCTAAGTAAAAACTAAACTTTGTTTTATTTGTTAGTGTGGTTCAAAAAATTAAAGTACTTTTTTTTATTTCTTTATTTCATCAGAAATAAAGTATCAGCTACAACAGTGACAGTAAACAGATATGTTTGTGACAAGACGCACTGCCAACATGAAGCATCAGCAGAAGTTTGTTCTTTTTATATTTGTGTTTTTTTATTTTTGTATCTTTAGTTCAGGTTTGACCCATTTCAGGAGAACAAACTGGAATATAATTGAGTCAAACTAAAAACCAGTGGATACCATATCCTCAAACAATTATTTCATATCATAATCATTTCATGATTTTTGGCTTGAGGCTGTTTCACACAAAACAGTTGATTTGATTCTGTTAGTCGTTGTTTTTAACAAGATTTCAGAACAATCATTTTCAGGCTCCTAACCGTCAGACTATTTAACTTCATTGTCTTTATTAGAGTCAACAGATTAAAGAAGACATTAAAACACCCTCGAAAATTCTCAGCAAAAGACAAAAGTCAGAGTGGAAGACAGAAAAAAGGGTCCCAGTAAACAGTTACTCATTATCTGCATGAAGGAGTGATCAGCTCTGTCCGGAGCATGATTTCAAGTTACCATCCTCTGTCGTCACAAAGAGTGTTTGCCTCTGCTATACAGCTTAATCAATGAAGTGAAAAAAAAACACAAAATCAATGGACAAAATGGGCTTTTAGACGAAAGGAACCACCACCAGTGTCTAAGTGTCACCGCCGTAACAACCAGGCAAATGTGCAGGTTTTAATTGCGCCACTGAATCCATGAGTCACAAAAATGGCCTGTTTGTCCTTGCTATTGTATTTATAAGCCACAAAGTCAGTTAGATTGGTGGACAAGATGGACCTCTGAGAGAGTGAGTAATAAAAAACAAGGGCTGACTTTGATGGATGGCTAGGTCAGCGAGTGGCTATAGAGAGCTGAGGTGTTGGTAACATCCAATTGAGTCTAAATGGCTTTAGGTCATAAATGGGCTAAGAGGTTAAAAGGTGGGGAGCGTTTGGTGGTGCTTTTTACACATAATAAGCCTAATATAAGCTAGGCTGAAGGGAAGAGGCTGAGGGGAACACAAAATCGGTTTCCAAGCATGCAAAAAACAGGGCAGGTCTTCAGTGCACATGAACTCATTATTCCTCTAACGCCTAACCTCCCATTTCATACAAAAAATAATGTTTAGCTGGCTGATTTACAGAACTGAAGTCATGCTTTTCAATGTGTTTTATTCCTTTTTTAAAAGATGAGTGAAAAGGTTTTACTAATCTTTGAAATTCTCAGTGTAGAAAGAGCCAGACAAAATTGCGGGATACATATTTGCTGGTCATTTTCTATTAAGGGCTCTGTTCAGAGTAATTAGATTTCATCACCAAGCCAGTCACTCCAGTGTCCTTTTAAAGGATGTGTAACTGGAGTCAGAGTCGACTTTCTTGAAGGATTTTGCTGAATTTTGAGGAAGAAGCTGCTCATAACACCCTAAGCCTTCAGAGGTACAGCTGATTCAGCAGAGAAGGATCAATAGACCAGGAAGGATGCAGCTGTGAGTTTAGGAAGCACAACCACACATGAAGAATATGGCCTCTCATATGCTTGTGAGAGGCTCAGAAAATAACCGATAGGCAGCTTTGAAAAGTGTTTGTCAATGCACAGAAAGAATTGTCCAAGCTAGAGAAATATTGACCTCAAGTGAAACATTTCAAAGGGGACAAAGAAGCAAATATAAAACGCCCCTCTTGGACGGAGGAGTCCTGCTCTGTCAAGGAGGCACAAGTCCTCTCAGTAAAGGCTGAAGGCCCCCAAAACAAAATATATAAAAAAACAAAAATGAAAACAAAATACGGATTGAGTAAAGCAGAATTCATCTTTCCTTATGAATTTGGAAGGCAGCGGGTCTTGACAACAGGAAAGTTATGTATGGGCTCCTCAGCCAGCTCATTTAACAAGATATATCAGAGACAGAATATAAATATAAAAAACAATCAATGTACTAAAAAAACATAAACAACTAGGTTGCTTTTTATGTGATTTTTTCATGTTGGTCATAAAAGTATCACCACCAACGTGTATAGATTTTTCACCAGGTTAAATTGACAGAGAAGTTGTCGGGCTTGCATTATTGGCCTTCCCCACTGAAGTGTTACCATTTCTTGTGCCAAACTTATCAGCAATTTTTCTCTTCTACACTCTGAGAGATTGGCTCTTAATGTAACCATCTAAAAGCCATAAAACAGTAAAAGGTGGTGGTTAGGAAAAATGGGTTGAATATATATAAAAAAGATAGTCTTGTGGACTTGCTAGATTGGAAATTTACTGGGTTTGCTGTGGAACGTGTGAGGCAGACCCCACTCTGTCAAGTCAAGGTTAGTCTGAGCAGTGATCAATACTTCAATCTCAATAAAACAGCTCAATAGCCAGGGATTGATGGCAGGGAGAAAACAAAAGCTGGGGAAAAGGAGGATTGAAGGAGCGACACAAATGCCAACCTTGTCATAACGTTAGCAGGGCAGTAATACATTTGTCTGGGCAGAGAGGATGGAGCTCTTCTATCGTGGCAGGTAATGTGCTCCACTATAGACAGATTAGGTCAATTGCTGTCATACCTTACAGCCCCAAATCAATATCATATATGTTGGCAACCTTCAACCTAGAATAAATAAATGCAGCTACAGACCCAAAGCAGGCTGATAGATGTCGCGGCAAACACTGGGAGATAAATTGACATATGAGGGAACAGACAATAGGTGGTGAACAGTGTGAAGAGCGCCCTGTTATGTTATGTTATGCACCATAAAAAGGAAGACAGAAAAGAGAGAAGTCGACTCCTTTGTTATATCTGTATTATAGAGACTGTTAATTGAAACATTCCACCTTAATATTTCCACTTTACACATCCACTTGAATGCATCCTTCAGACTACCTCACTTCCTTCAGCAGCCCACTCTTCAGGGTCACTCTCTGTTATTGTACAGTGGCCTTGTCATGTAGGTGTCTTAACATGTGAAGCCAGGAAACACTCACTTGTAAACTGTTCCTCCGTTTCCATGGCCGAGTTGCTCTTGATAGTGGATATCTTGGGCATTTATCTACAAAGCAGCAAAAAGCACAGGTACATAATAAGAGCACTCAGATGTTCTAACACAAGAAGACATGCAACCAGTGGATGATATGTGTGGCCACACGGCTTCAAGAAAGACAGCAAAAAGAGGCAGAGAGCAAAAGGGAGAGTGGGGTGGGGGCTGGAGGGGTGGGGGGGCTACAATGTCACTGCAGGCTATAAACAAGACAAGCATTCAGGTCACTCCAAGTTCAGCAACATGAGGAGAGAAAAGAGAGGGACACAAGGAAGGGGATCAATACAACATTTGCTGTCCAATTTATAAAAGGACACTGTGCGTACGTGAGTGGAGGAGTGACCGATGTAGAGTTTAATGACAATTTGTTGCTGTCGTCTTTCCACTCCACTTTAATAAAAAGTGCCAAGTATAATATCATAGCCTGAACCAACACAGCCTGCCTGAGCAGAAGATACCTGCTCTTGCGCATTTCGAGATTATCAGTCAAATATTCCTATAATCAGATGTATTTTTTTCTGAAAGGTTCAAATGTTGCCATCTGGATGCTACATGTTGATTTAACTCACTAAAAGTAACTACATTGTTTGAAGAATCTAGCATTTAATGGAATAAAGTAGATTCATATCCTTATCTGTTGTGTTTAGCTGCTACTGAAAAACAGAAATATATACGCTCCTCTCTTACAATACATTCAAAACCAGAAAAAAAAACATATAAATATATTGACTATATTTTTATAGTTGGTTAAAAATCAAAAGCCATATTATTTCAAATGTTTTGTAAGATATTAAATGAAAAATGGGAAATGTGCAACTGATTTAAAAAACAGTACTTTGAAATCCTACGATTCATAAAAACAGAAAAGAAATCATAATTCCATAAAAAATTGCTGAGCATATTCTGCTGGGATCAGTCAGGAAAATTCATAGGCACAATATGTGTTTGTGTGTGTGTGTGTGTGTGTGTGTGTGTGTGTGTGTGTGTGTGTGTGTGTGTGTGTGTGTGTGTGTGTGTGTGTGTGTGTGTGTATGTGTGTGTGTGACATCAAATCATACTGGAGGCTAACAGCACCTTGTCACAATTCAGTTTATGTGTACAAATGCCTGTGTGTGCTATGCCTGATACAGTACTAATGTGTGGCTGCCAAAACTGATCTTTTTATTTACAGAAACAGAGAGGCATCTTCTATCTCAGCATGAAAGCCACCTTCCCTGCCCAAACAGTCAAATTCACCTCACTTGATTTGCGGGCTTTGCAGAGGAACAGGTGAAGAGAAAGAGAGGAGATAGATGGAGAGGTGGAGAAACAGTTCTATTAGTTCACTGTGTTACAGCAGGAACCTGAAAGGCCATGGCTTAATTGTCTCCCGGACATACTAGCCATGCTGTGAGTGTGTGTGTGTGTGTGGGAGAGAGTAAGAGAACCGTCAGGCCCCTTGCTCCCTGTGTGGACCAGTGAATGAAGAGACAACAACCAAATACGCTCTGTACAACAAGCCCACAGTTGGCAGCTGAGAAAATCAATAAAGGTGTCAAACACTGGTGAGAATGCGCTCTAATCAGGTGAAACCAGGTGTGAGAGCAGGAGCAGAGAGATAACAGCAGTCACATTCTGCTTCAACCACTAACAGAGACTCACCTGCCCGTTTGTCAGGATCCTCTTCAGCTCAGCAGATGACTTTTTTAAGCTGAAGAAGGGAACACAGCAAAGGTTACACTGAAACGCATAGATATGTCCTACCACAGACATGTTTCTCCCCCTCATCTAACAACAACCCAACTGTGGTTTATTCTGAGTAGAGTAGTGTGATTATCAAGACCCAGCAAGCTCACCTGTTGTTAGCCATGGAGTCCGGGACAGTATGTGTGCAGTCATTGGCTGGGTTAGGTCTTGTGTTAACCTGAAGGTGTGCAGACACAGAGGCATACATGTTAGAGGACATAGACATACAAACACAAAGACACACACACACACACACACCTGGTGGTCAAGGCCAAAAGACACGCAGACAGACAGACATATGGCCAGACCCCCTAATGAACAAGAACAAAACACAAGCTCTCAGTTCAGCCTGAAGGTTAATTGGCTTTTGTAGGAGAGAAGGAAAGCAGGAGGACAAGAAAGAAAGAGATGTCCATATAGATGAGTGGAAAGAAAGACAGAACTGAAAGAGGAGAAGAAAACTAAAACAATATGGCTTCACACTAGAAATTCGCCAGTTAAAACACATGTAGGCAAAAGCTGGTAAAAACGTTAAATATTGAAAATGTCTTGCATTATAAGTGCAAATATTTTCTTATTTTCCAATCTTTTCATCTGCAGCTCTGATTTTTAAAGGCTTCAGTATCAAACTCTAATATCATATACAAAAGCACAGACAAGACCCTGAAAAGAGGATACTAAAAATAGCTTATTTAATTGAGGTCAAAAGGCCGCTGTGATTGGTCCACCAAGGCTCAGGGATTCTCTCTTTAATTAGTGCCCAGGAAGACCTAATTTAAACAGTGCACAAGACTCCCCTTAGCCAATTACTTTTATATTAAAAGAGGAAAGAAAAAGGGGAAAGAGTACTGGAGGACTGAAGGTTTTCAGAAAACATCATTTTCTCCAAACAGACCTCTGACCTTCAAAAAAACTGATACGGTTCAGGAGTCTTTACCAAAGCTCCTTCGAGGATACATTGATTAAAGCAGTTAGAGTATTGAGGAGGGGGTAGTTTTACTATTGAAATGGAGATGGATATAATATGGATCATCTGGAGGGATAGAGAAAGTGTCAAGTCATTTAACCCATGGTAATTAGCGACGGGCTTCAATGGTAACATATGCCATACATGAAACAGGAGGGTCTGTGGCGGACCCTCTGTAAATGGCAGAGGGCGGCTTGTAATGACAATTTCACGGTTGATCATATTGACTTAGTTTTTGCTCTATCCAACACTTCAGTTCTTCCTATGATATGCAGTCAGAATAATACTCTGGAGGCAGAGATCAAGGCTTCAGATTTCACACCTTGCTCTTTAATGACTTGACCAGTTTGAGAAACGAGAATACAGGGAGGAGGAAAAAAAAAAGAGAGACAAGCACTGTGCAGCCACAGCCAGCCATCCCCATACATAAACATAGACAAGGGAAACAAGAAAATGAGTGAAAGAAAAGGAGAGCCTTGACTTCAATTGACATTTCAATAAGTGGAACACAGCGTTACCAATCCATTTGCCTCAACTTCCCTCCCTCCCTCCCTTCCTCCCTCCTCTCGCTCTCTGTGTAAGGCAGCTGAAACAATTATTGAGATAGGTACCTTCAGGCCATGTATGTTCCGGATCCCTGGAGTCTTGCCGGCTGAAACAGTAATTGACTAGATTGTAGAACACATCAGTGGGCCATTTACAAATGTGCTGAAAAGGAATCAGTTCTTTATAAAGAAGAAAAAAAAAAGATGAAATGAAATGAGGGTTACTCTGAAATTAGTTGTAGAGAAGAGAGTGACTGAGATGTTGGGCTCTTGAGACCGCTGGTGGTAGGTTGGAAGAAAGACAAAAACTGAATCACAGAGTTAAAGAAAAGTGAAAAGATAGAAAAAGATACTCGAACATCTTTTATCACTGAGCCTGCAGGGGGCTTTTGAGGATTATGTGTGAATTTAACTGGTGAGGAAAAACTGTAGTCCATGAGTGTTGGGGGATAAAAAAATCACTCATATTAGAGAGCAACTCTGAAAAGAATTATCTACAATCAAAGGAGGTCTGGACCAGGGTTAGCCTCCATGCAGGCTTACAGAGCCAAGGAGAAAAATAAATGTTGCTCTATAAACAACTTTCAACATTTTATCAGAATAAGCCGATGAATATTCATATCTCCCAGAGGCAGCATTGTTACTGTCTGCCAAATCCCCTAATTTCTTTACATTTAATGAACACAAATAGTTCCCTCAATTTTCGCATTTGTACAAATGTATGAGCGTGAATTTTGTTTAAATGTTCCAATTTTAATGCAATGTGATGTGATCATATTGATCTCAAAAACCTATTCAGCCTTAGCTTTTCCGACTTTTCAAAAGCTGTAAGATGTCTCTTCATACCTCTTGGAAATATCTGCAAAGGGTCCGGCAGCAGTCCATTCATGCGTTGTTCATTCATCGTGTTGCAGTACTAAAGGGGAAAAAAGCCACAAATATTTGGGGGAATGATAAGTGTTAGTGACAAAAGCCAAAAAAGATGATTTGTTCTTGAAGAATATAAATTCTGTACTATGTAAAATAATAGTAAATAGAATAAAAAAACATCAAGGAGAAGCATAAACTCATTTACTTTTAAATTCTGTCTGGCACTGACTTTTAAAAACAACCTCACACAAAGATGTTTATTTAAATGACGTCAGAATTAATCCATAGTGTTCCCACAAATGTGAGCATGCTGTGCTGAAATCTGTTGCCGATGAGGACCAATGCCCTGTGGGCTTGTTCTGAGGAGTGTAGCATTAACCCTTTTCTCCTCCAGGTCAACAGCTCACCAAACACTCATATCCTACAGGACTAACACGTGCACACACACACTCTGGAGCCTCTCACATGCCTGCCAAGGCAATGCAATAATTGATGTTTCAGTTAACCAAACCATCTGTTAAACTGTGAGGTGTGGTGTGTGTTTTTTTTTTCCTGTTACCTCCTTTTTGAGGTTCATAGCAACCAAATAAACAAAAAAACTTCACTGATGACACCCACGTCAGGAGATGTGTCTTCATAAAATACACTTGTGAATGTGTTTCTTCTAAAATCCAGTATGACTTACCGAGTCATCACAGCAATATGTAAATTTGCGCTCTCATTGTGGGGGATGGAGTGAGGGAGGGAGGAGGATGATGGGACTGGCTTGGATGGGAATGGATCAGAATGGCTGCCCAAGTGGCACAGCTGTTATTAAAAGGCCTATTTATCACTGTCAGATCCCTCCTCGCTCCCAGCCCTCTGCCTTCGCCCTCCAGCATTCTCACTAGGCCACATCTGAACAATGGGCTTAATACCAAAAAACGTGTTGTGTGTGTTTCTGGGTATGGGGGGGGTCAGCTTCTTGTACCTTTAATTTTCCGCTCAGCTAGCTTATTGATTAAGGCTGCAATTACCACCTAATCTGTAGTAGGTGTGTTATTAAAAGACATTCTCCATTGTTGGCCAATAACTAAACAGTGTCCGATCCCAAATACCATCGCTCAGCCTTGAGGGACAAGTAGCAGAGCAAGAGTACAGCGTGGGTCTCATCATCATTAGCAGACTGAGGGGAAATGGGAGTAAAAGTGGTGGAATTAGAGCCTTTACCTCCAGGGGGAGCTGAGCGAGGAACCGATGAGGTCACATGTTTTTTTTAGCACCTGACACAGGCCAGTCTTTAACTTTGAACAGAGGTGTCTGTCTTTCAAGGTGTCGAACAATGATTAGAGATGCCTGCAAGACTGGTGGGTCTCACAGGAGCATGTAGCAATCAATGTTCTCCGTGATGGGGGATACTTTTCACAATAAATGCCCTCTGCAGACTGATGTTAATTAACTGCTGTGGTTAAGCATTAATTTTGCTCAGTAATAAGGAGAATTTTTCCGTTAAGCAATGTGAAAACAGAGGCGTGATTCAGAGAAAACAGTGTTGTTGCAGCATGGTTAAAACTCTTGTTATGGATGTATCATCCGCACACACAAGCATATGAACACATGGGACAACCACTGAGATACTAATGAATTATTTCACCTTTCACCTGACATGCTTTTCCCCCTTAATTCCTATTAATTTCCCATAATAGATGTCTGCTCACCTGGAATTAACAACACACAAGCAAAAATCCACTGGGGGGTCTCTACCGAGGCCAAATGGCAACCACAGCAACAATCACGACCAGAAAAAAAACTCTGAATATGAAGGCAAATGACTGTTGAAATGCATAACCTTTGCATAGCACATTTTAAGTACTTACAGTGTAAATTATATGTTAGTGAGCCACATTTTTCCCCAGGATCAGCAGCTTTTCCGACTTCTGTCCCAGTGGGAGTACAAAGCTATTACAGGACTCCTGATTTTGTCTCCCAAACCTCGTTGTACAATTGGCTTTGAAAATTTGTGGACGAAGCAACGTGTGTCTGAATGTTAAATATTAGTGCCATGTAAAGAAAGGTTCAAGGTTAGGTCATACATTGGCATCAGACTTTTCTTCTTGTCTAAATAAAAAAACAAAGGTGTAGGAAATAATCCCTCGTAAAAGGTCACACTGCACAGCAATGCAAAAGGATTCAAACTATGTCTGCTGTGACTCCTTTTTACAAAAATTAAGACTAGCTGGGGTCAGTACTTCTTCCCATGCTGTTTCAGTACTCATCGACACAACAGCTGTCTCTTTTTCCTTAATCACCCTGCTACCCTTTGCTACTTAATGATTAAAAAGCAACCACAAGTGAATGCATGATAAAAATGGACAAAAAACAAGGAGTGTGAATTGTGCCTGTGGCTCTAGCGGCATCATTGTGAGCTGATGGGGGGTAAAAGACATCCACAGATGAAAGTAGATTTTGAACAATTCTGCTGCCCAGGGGGGCCCGCTCTTTAATGAGGCAAAACTTTAAGTACTGAATAATAAATAATAAAAATTGACAGTTCATTTAGCTTTCAGTGTACCTCATAGAGAAACCCATTACACGCCATTACTCTTACTGTCCGTGGCATGAACAGTAAGTATTGGGGGATATGAAAATGCACCGCACTGAAAGGGGGAGCTGGTGGGAAGAGCAAGTTTGTGTGTTGATGTGTGTGTCGCTGAAAACTACTGATAATTTTTTTCCTGCCTCAGGTTAAATACAATTAAATGAGGCAAAATGGCTTCAGAATTCTTCATTGGTTGTTGACCTGCAGAATATTACAATGTCAGTATTTCAGGATATAAAGAGATCTAAAGTTAGTTTTTAACCAAATGAATGGTACCTCCTACAACAAATTTTACTGAGTTTTCTAAATGCCAACATGAAGGAGACATTTCAGTTCTTGTCTGCAAATGACCACTAAAACCTGGTCCTTACTTCCTTATTCTCCCAGTAAAAGAAGCAGCAGCGATGGTCAGGGGAGTTCAATAATAGATGAGGAGCTACTGCAGCAAGAGCAAAGCAGTACATAGGAGAAATAAAAAGTTCTTTGGTGACCGTGACATTAGTGTGTATAAATCAGCACATCCACGCCTCTGCAGCATCCTCTGTCAAACTGTGTGATTTTGTTTGAATTCACTCTAAAAAGATGCACAATTGACAACGCCTACTGTGGTCTCTGTCAGGGGCAAGATACCAAAGCAGTTACCCTTTTAGCTGTTGTCGGCTGGAGTCAGAACTAATAATTAAGGGGGGGTGATATTTGATCTTGTGTGTGAGCCCATAAGTAGTTTTAAAAATTTCAACACATATCACCCTTCAAAATCCTGCTTTTTCAAAACAGTCTGCCTGGTAGATATCCCTGGACTTCATATAGTTAACCACTTTAAAAAGGGTCCTGGTGACTTGCATTCATTGTTAGTCCTTTGTTTTTATTGATCAATATTGTTGATTTTTCTTTCTAATGTATTTTGTCTGTTGTTTATCATTTGTTTGCTTATCATAAACCTTGCACATAAACTGCTGTTTTGATTGATTCTAATGATTTTTGTTCATGTTAAGCACTCACGTTGTATGATAAGTGCCAGACATAGAGTCTGATTGACTGACTGATTGACCTACCGAGGTTTGCTTCTGTAGTGAAAACTTATTTTGGAGAGTGTTTCTTAAGTTGTTCATTAAGAGGTTTTTGTATCATTTTCAAACCAGCCTCATATTTCTCACAAGCCAGGACTTGAGTCAAGCTGCAAAAAGTCTGAAAAATGTGTGAAAACCCACAGACAGAACCCTCTCGATGCTACAATATGCAGCATTTTACACAGAAATGGTGCAGTGAGGTCGGGCTTTAACGTGAACAGCTGTCTTCAGACCACCGTCCTTACAGGGAATCGGCAGCATGTTATGATACTAAAAAACATTATACTCACATATGACAACATGGCTTTCAGCTCTTCATCACTTCTCACTGTGATTCTGTCTCCCACTTCATCTTCATCTACAAAAAAAACAAAACACAAATCAACATATTAAGATTAGTGTGGCAAAATAATAAAACCAACTAAGAACAGTTACTTAAGAAAGAAAATAAACTAGACTGAAACTGTTGGAGTTTTCACTAGAATGCCAGTGCAAAACTTACAGTTTCAATTGCAACCAGTAGCCAGGTCTATTGGGGAAGAGCGTTGCTAGTATGCTTTCTATGAATGTTTAGAAGACATGCAAATCTTTGAAAGGCTATGAGAGGTACATATGGTAGTAGAGAGAGAGGGGTAAGATGGGGTATGGGGTAAGTTGACCATAGAAGCGGGGTACATTGAGCCGCATCCCTACTACCCCCACTCTCCACCCCAGCCCTCCCTCACCTTCTCTCTCCCAAAATAACAGTCACTTCTTCACATTCATAGATACCACAATTGATGTATAAAACAAATTTAAAATGATCTTTTTTGGTCTGAACACAACTTTAATAAAACTTATGACAGACTAAATTCACTTTCAAGAGTGAAAAAGGTTTTTGTGGAAGTAAATATCTAACCCCTTCACTCATGTGCTTCTAACCTTCACAGACTACATGAATTGATGCCCATCTCCTAAATATTTGGTCACATGATCAATTTCTTTTACCATTTCCAAGCAACAGGGGGTGGCTCAACTTACCCCACTCTCCCCTATATATCATTCACATTTAACAGTGCATCATGTACATGCATTAGTCTAGTCTTAAATTTTGTTTCAGACTCTTTGGTCTATGAGTTCAGCCGTTTTATCAGAGCAAAACAAACAAACACTTACATTCAAAGGCTGTAACAGTGGCTTCAGGCATGACATCTCTGATGGCCACCTACAAGGTTTGACAGAGAAAATTATAACAGGGTCAGTAATAAAGAACAGAGTTAGACACGTGGGCTGATATTTTATTCTTATTTAGTTACTTTTACGAAACGCCTGTAACATGTATGAAGACTGACAGAGGACTAACTCGCTCTCTTGTCTTTTTAAGGACTCACCAACAAATCATTGAAGTTTAACAGAGATGGACAGTCGACAGACGAGTCCATGTCACCCGCAGGCGTTTTTATTCGGATAACTATTGCCTCGGTGTCCATCGCGGAGAGTTTATTTACACCGAGTGCGAACAAAGAGACGAAAACATTAAACTCATAGCTGACTTCTCTATGCTAACAAGCTGATTTCCTGGAGTGGTTTGCTAACGACACATGCTAGCATCCTGGTCAGTCCGCGCGCTCGTGTTCAGTGAAGTGGAGGTTTAAAAACAGTGACCGTTAACCGCTAACCGTCGACTCAAAGAAAACTACAGCTCGATTAGTCCGGGTCGATTCAGCCGCTCTCAAAAGCAAAGTTTTACACAGTTTTATCCGAGCTATGTAGCCATGAAGCTAGTTTGGAGGAAACCATAACTTAACCGACAGCGTTTCCGAATCAACATCCGGTTGGAGCTTTTCAAAATAAGAGACTCCGAGTAATTCGAACACGGTACATAGTCTGGCATACAGTAAGAGCTTCAAGCGATGTATTACTAACTTTACAGAAGAGCTATGAAAGAACATGAAAACTGTTATTAAAGCATTTGTGTTATCTATAAAAAGTCTCCTTTTCAAACTTACATTATAAAATGTTACTGTTGCATAGATCATTTTTTTTAATCCACAGTAAATTCGTCATCTCCTCCCTCCCTGCTTTTCATGGCCCAGATCTTCAATCATGTCAGAAAAGCTTTGAATCAAAACTTAACTCCCATTGTACGGTTCTTTCTTATGTTCAACACTGGCCAGAACTCATATGCAATAAAATTAAATAACCAACTTGATTGAAAAATTCAAAGGTCTCATACAACTCTGCGAAATGTGAATATATAAGCAATCCTGGCTTGTGAACAATTCAATTCATTTTTTTCATAAACTGTTTAATCTCTTTATTGTGATCACTAATACCTGCGGACAAAACCTAGATGTTATTCTGGTACTGAATGGTCTAGGATGTGAGTGTTTGACTAAAAAGCCGCATAGAGAAAAGTGCATGACAGTAACACTGGGTGACACAGAGTGAGTGGGTGTATAACTGAGTCTTTTATTCTGAATTGGATTTATTAAATTCTCCGTCAAAAGATATTGTTGCTATTGTTGCCTCAGACTGCTTGTGCTCTGTATGACATTGATGTAAAATCAAGTTAGGTAGAAGATGATAATTTTGAGCATATAACAGATATCTAAGGTTATAAAAGGCGTGAATCTCAAGAGTGCATATTTTTTGACTACTGACCTAAAGTCATTTATTGCAAATGTTCAATCAATATTTGGATACTGTATGAATGGTCCTTAAGTCCACATAAAAACACATCCACAGAGACTGAACATTTACAAGGCTTCTCATCCATATTTAAATTGTTGTTAGAATTTTGCTTTTCCACGCCGACAATGAGGAACGGGACAAAAATTTCTGGATCTATTATCATGTTTTATCAATGCTCAGAGCAGGGTATTGCAGACAAAGGCTATTTCACAATGTGGACACAGATGAGATGCTGTTCACTCTCTTTGTACCTTTAAACTCTCTTTCCTGGTCAAGGCTGCTTCTCTTAGCGACATCATAAAGTGGTTTTGCTCCCATAAACCCTTTTGTGGCAACTTCATACCCTCATGTAAGAAATCCGTATTCTGCCTTTACAACACTTAAAAGACAGAAAAACTTATTTTTATGACCCCAAAGTTCAACCCCTCTACTACCAAAAATAAGATAAGTTATATGGACAACTTTTTACTTTCTTTTAAGTGTGTCGTACAGTATTTTTAAGTGGTGATAAATCGCCAGGAGACGTGTTTCACAGAACTTTGTTAGATTTGTCTTTAATTCCTCTCTGTTTAAGATAATCATAATAATACCCTTTTTTTAAATAATTATTAATTTGTATAGCCTCTTTGAGATACTAAAACACTATAGCAGGAGATTTTGATTAACTGTATCTTGTAGAAATTAAATGTCATATGTGGAGTTACTAAAAGTGCAATAAAGATATCTAAACATTAATTCATTTTTTACTAAAAAAATCTCCCCTTAATTTTTTCCTTTGTTTTTGTTTTAAGGAGAAGGTGCACAGAGAGGCACACTCCAGAAAAGACCTTACTTTAAGCTCTGGTGAGGTTCTGTTTGTGTCAATTTTGGCGCTCCCTGTGGACAAACATTTACATTTTATCTCTGCTGATCTTGTTTTGTACATGTCAGGGTTGCACTGACTGAAAAAATCTCATCTTGCTTTCTTTTAATCGTCAAATGTGTCAGTTAGTATAAATGTTTGCTGTTGAAAATTTAAATAAAGGCTGTCTTAACATGCTGTCAGTCTTCAGTTTTATATCTATCCCCTGGCAAAATATAGAAATTGACAGTCATGTTGCTGATCATCTTGTTTGAACTCCTCAGACGAGCTTTAAGTTTTCAAAGTGGTTTCAACTCCTTCATTAGTAAATAATTAAATGTAAAACAAAGAGGCACTTAAAAACTGTTGTTGATTACGGCCTTATGATTGAGGAGCTGCACCAGCCTCTCTGATTGCAGCTCCGAAGAACAAGACATTGATCTCTGGGCAAAATGAAGTCTCTCGCTCTTTTCATTTACAGCACTCCGCTCTCAGAGCTGATACCCGAGTCTGTTGACTGGGGTTCTGTGTAATGATAAGGACTTGTTACAGCTTGCTTCGTCTGCCCATGTGCTGCTGGAAAACAATATCAATAAGATGTGCACTGGGCCAACCCCTGCAATAGGTTGGGTTTCACTGGCTGCAAAACAAAAGTCTCCTCCTCTGGTTGGCCCGGGGCTGAACTTCTTTATCAGTTTTTGTTATCTTGTTCAAAAGGTTAAGGCAGCCTTCAAAGGGAAAGATTATTTTTGTTGCAGCCTGTCGCCATGTATCAGCGCAAACTACGTTATAATCTGTTGATAACAAAACATCACATATTTTAAATCATATTTAATTGAGGAGAAAAGTACAAACACCTTAAAAACATACAGTATTGGACTAAATATGTTGATTACTATAGAACTTTTGAGTGATGCTATCCATGCATCTATCTATCCATCTATCTATACTCCCCTGTCTTAAACATATACATGGACTGTACACACAGAGGTTAGAAGTTCATTGCATCGACCTGTATCTATCTGCATCTAATCTCTTACACCTGTACCAACAGCTGGGGTAAAGACCCATTGATTTCCATGTAATGCCTGAAATTATTACTCTGCCTAATTGTAACAAGAGACTAAAGGGGAAAACAAAGCCGAGCTATCAAGCGCTCTGATTAATGCCTCCACCAGCACTGCCATCTGATGAAACACAGAGGATCTATATGGCACTTTGTCAAACACACTCTCTGAGGACTTGACGTTAGGTCCTTCTGCTTTAGGGGCAACTAGGATGAAGCTCAGTCAGCAATCCTCATTATCAGAAATCAAACTCCTGACTTGGCTGGGAGGAGAAAGTGGAAAAGGAAGGCCAGCATTCACTGTCTGGTAATTAAAAGCCATTTTATCAGACCGCCTCTCTTGCCTTGTACCTTCTCTCTCTCTATTGACAAGCTGCTTAGCACAAAGTGAGCTCAGTTTGACTCTAAATATATGAGGCACACTTATTTAACTTTCTCTCAGCAAAGAGGGAAAAGCAAGTAAACAAGAAAGAAACAAAACTGTCCGGCAAGATCGCCCATTATTGTTTAACATGGTTGAATTTTTACTGTTTATGGCTTGGTTTTTTTTTGTGTGTGTGTAATTAAGTGTTCAGAAGCAGCCTGTTTGCTTTTCTCTCCTCCCACTCCTCCTCATCTCCTGATGATTATTATTTCATTAGTCTATGTCAAATGTATTGGTTGGCTTGTTGTGTTTATTGATTAATGAGCCAAACACTGTCCTCCTTCACTGTAATGCTGATATAGAGGATCTTGAAATACTATTTGTCTTGTGGTTAAACATTGATTGTTCTTGCAGTTATCGACTGTTACTTGGTAGCTTTCCATTTACAATGCCCTTTAACATTAATGGTAATTATTCAAAGTAAAAATTTGCGAGCTTGTGGTTAAAGGTCTTATTTAACTCAATAGAACCAATAGTAGGGATGATATCACTGACTTTGCTCTCAATAAGGACCTGAACCTGCTTCAGCAAGAAAACATGTCCCACCATCTGTCCAGGGCCACGGACCAACTCGGGTATCCAGATGCGAAACCCTCCGGCTGAAATAGAGATGTGTCTCCTCAGCCTTGAAGCCTGAAGCCTGTTGTTTATTGATGCTGCCAGAGTCCCAGCTCAGATCGATACCATCTCCCTCAGATGGGCCTTCAACACGCAGACTCCAAATTGAGGTCAGGATATGTAGAGGGTTATGGCACTTCAGTGGATATGAATTGCTGGAGAAGCTGTGATCATTTGTTACATCTTCCTTTAAAGTTCATCTCCAAGTTGACCTGTGATGAAGCGCAGAGAGTTTGAGAGTCACTGCTGAGTGAGTTAAGAGGAAAATGTACAACTGTATGGACGAGCAGGTAGGTCAGAAAATGGATTGTGTGAGTACCTCTCAGCTCTGAGGACAGCATGCGTTTGCTGCTGTTCTCCGTGTTTCAGATTCACCTCTGAGGCCCCCTTTATGGCTGCATGTTGTTCCTGTTGTTTCTAATAAAGAGGAAATATTGGTGCCTTCCTGACCTGTTCATAGGGGGCCATAGAAAAATTTATGAGGTGTGTCTTTTCTATAGCAGCTGCTTTTGAACGAGCTTGACATAAATAACACATCACCAGTTCACAAAAGGCTCTATGGGCTCCTCTTTCATGCTGTGGTCAAGTGGCTTTATTGAATGCAAAATGTGGCTGTTTTTTTCTCTGTGCGATTCACTGAAAACAAAAAATCTGATATGTAGACTGCTGATGTTTCAGCCATGAGAACACAAATCAGAAGCACAGAATGTTTTAGGCCAGGAATATGTGAAAAATGTACTGATGATCCCTCTGATAAATAGTTTGGGGGTTTATTTTCAAGGCGAACTCACCATTTGTGATCTCAGCACTTTGTAGATAATGTATAAACCTTGGGTAAAAAGTCAAACCTTCTAAGTATCATATTCATTCTCATGGATGTTTGCTTTTTACATGGTACGAGAAAACAGCTGCGCTGAGCAAAACTAACTTTAAAATCCGATACTTGCAGAGGCTGTGACATTCACTCTGCTATTATTTGCAGGAGTGTTTGATTATCTGCTGTGCAGGCAGCTGCAGTGGCTGATAAAGTCTGAGAAAATATTTATTAAGTATTGACTTTTTGCTTCATGCGATGAATGTTTTGCTCTGAGCAGATAGACTCATTGCTCAGTATTTAAATAAACCATTTTTTTTGCACAGATAATGCATCATTGACCACATAGTGAGTGATAAGAGCTCGTAAGTCAACCTTCTTGTTGGCTGACACAAGAGTCAAGGATGAAACCAATATAAACAAGAGTAATAAAAACGTTTAGAAGAGTACAGTAACAGTAACAACACTGTAACCGTATATGAGCATGTATATGTACATAATGGTGGTCAAGATAAGCGACCTCTCTCTCACTACACACTGGTTTGGAGCAGAGTGTCAGGTGGCCTGTTTGTCAGCTGAAATATTCATCAAACAGATCAACGGAAAGTCTGGCCGGCTTTTCAACTGACAACAGCGTGTCAATAATTGATAAGGAATGAGCTGAGTGACTTCGGGAGTGTTTGGGGGTCCTTCTCGTTCTGTAAGCGATGCCTCTGACCTTTGGTGTGTGAAAGAACTCATTATGGTCACTGCTCACATGTCATATATAGCCCGGCACAATGAAGGGAACAGTGAAAGTCATGATGAAGAAGAGCTGATGTAATTAAAGAAATAAAAACATTTAACAATTTATTTTATTACTTACTTTCTTTTAATTAGTATTTAATGTGTTTTTCAATCCTGAAATGTTTGACTAAAAGCTCTATTTGAAAGAAATGATCAATTATGGAAGTAAAAACTACAGACCACATGTTCTATATTATCATTCGTCATTATTCATTCTTTTATGCAAAAAGGAGATGTTTGTAATTTTTTAATGACATTTAACACTTATTTACCTGGGTGTTTATTCTCACCATATAGTAAGAGAAAACATATATTCCTGAAAAACAGTTTTCTGTAATTACTGTGATCCTCAGTAAAGTATGTCCCTGCTGAGCCAATCATCTCTCTGTCTGTCCCAAAAACGTTTTTCATATAAGCTTGTTAATTGTGTGCATGGAAAACAAAATATTTGAACTTTGTAGTTAATCATATACGTCTTTCGCACCTCTGTATGGTTGGTAATTAAAGGCAGACGACACACCTGATACTGAGGTGAGTCAGTGGAAAGTTGTTGTGGGGTTGGTGTGTGTTTGTCTTCTCTGTCGGATGAGATTCCCACAAACTGCCAACACACTTGAATCTTTATCCGTCTGTCTGCTGTCTGACCTTCTGCTCACGATAACCAATAACAGCCGGACAGCGATTTTATGCTTTCAGTTTTCTCTGCAGGATCTGCAGGACAGAGCAGAGAGTATTTAAGCTTCATCAGCATAAAAAAGCAGATCCTCATGTAATGTTAATGTGTTATAAAAGACTGTCTTCACATTGAATTACATTCAGAGATCAATGCGTCGGGCAACAGGTGCCGTTTTCGATCCGGTATGATTTTTTTAATCGTGCAGGCTGAAAATAAGTGTAGATATTGTATTCAAAAGGAACAATAAGGTGAAAAGTGGTCATGAAACTGACTACTGCACACCCTTAAACTTTAATGTTATTTTTCAGTCAAAAAATAGAGCAAACACAATCATCATCTTAAAAACTATCTGGTAGTTAGTCTTAGTATTAATGAAGAGTAAAGTGTGTGATTCAAAATATGTCAGTGTGAACTGAATCAGCATCTCTTGAAAATCTCCGCTCACCAAGAAGCCTGCTGACAGTGTGTGAATAAATTTCAAACTGGCCTGTGAAATACTGCTGATTACGAACATCCCCTGTAAACCCCTATCTTTAGCTCTTCCTCATCTCCCCTTTTTATGAAAACAGTCTAATCAGTCTTTAGGACCAATGTAGATTAATTAAATTTAAACCGAGGAGGTGCAAAGTTTACAACAAGAAAGGTACTACAATTTTAAATACTACTTACAGATGTATTTGTGTAATATATTTTTTTAATTTTCATCCTGTTAATTGTTGAGTTGTTTTTTTTAGTGCTTATGCATTCCCTGTTGATTTCTATATTTAAAATATGTTTATTTAAAAATATTTAAAAATTCACATCTCTTGTGTACAACCTTCTAATTAAAATTTTCATTTCTTTTTTTTTTTTTTCAAATGAAATCTCAAAACAAAACTCAAATTTAAACGTCAATTTTAAATTTTTCCAATAAAACCAAAGACTGGATTTTAGATTCAATGTACATTGACTCAGATATCAACACTTAACACTGAGAAAGGTCAGCTTTGGCTGCTGATATAAAACAAGTTGTAATTGAAGTAAAAAATACTCTAGCAGAAACATTTTGGGGCTCCTGGACATAAACTAGTTTGACTGTGAAAGTCTAGCCTTGAAACGCACAAAATGCCTGCAGAGATCTCTCAACTGTCTGTCGTCATGGTTTTTATTGAAACCTAAATAAGAAAATCTATATCAAAAGTTGTATTAAACAGTGATTCAATAACCTCAAATATCTCTTCATACACTTGACAGATGTTTGAGACATATACTATATTTTTGACAGCTGTCCTAGCGGTTTTCAATCATCACAGATCTTTCACTTTTATTTTTTTAGGGGGATACACGTGTGTTTATTCAGTCACTTCTGTAGCTATCAACGTCTGATATAATCTGTTTGTGTGTATGAGGGTATGTGTGTGTGTGTTTGTGTGCGTGTGTGTGTGTGTGTCCGCACAGCCTCATTGTGGAACATAACAAAGCCATAGAAGAACAACCTCCAGGGGTCTTACCTGGACGTGACAGCCCCCACTTTTTCATTAAAAACTGCAATCCTGCAGCTGAGGCTCCGTTACACCACAATGTGACAGAGCTACACAAGGGCAAATATATGCGACCCGGACCCAACCTTCAAATGCGCCCCATAGATGGATCTTTTTCTCTCCTCTATTTTGTAACAAGTTTGAATGCAAATTGATGCAGACCATTTCAAAGAATATGTGTCAGCCATTGTTGTTGGCCTTGCAGTGCGGCTTTCTCAAGCTTCTCTTGTTTAAGCGTCGAGATATCTGCATATTGAATTGTGTGAACATTTACAAGCTTGTCTGTGGGGATGCATGAGGGTTTGGGTGTAATTTTTCACATATGTTTTAAAGTGTTTAAATCATTTATAAAAAATAACATTTTGAACATTGGGCTTAAATAATTTGTTGTGAAATTTCTCCCTCTATCAGCTATTTTCAATGCAAGGTGTGACCCATGTTGTAAAATTTGAGCCGGTCCAGTCCCCAGACCATCATTATGATTTTGTTGCTCATGTGAGAGCAACAGAAGGGCTGAAAGGAGGTAATTGAAGTGTCCGAGATCAACCTGGTCCAGTGAGACATGAGAGCAAAGTAACAATGTAATTACAGGTCATAAGTTGACCACCTCAGAACCACAGCAGGTGCAGGGAGAGTTGAGCCTGTCAAACACTCTGACAAGCACACTCACACTAACACACACAAACATGTAAAAATACACTCACAAGTCTAATTTTATAATAACCCCTCACAATCCTGTGGGATTAAACTGCCCCAAACTTAACATTGCTTTTATAGGATGCAACAGAATTTAAAGCCAAAAATACATTTTGATCATTTCTGGAGGGTCTTGTGTGCATTTCACTGAAAGCATTCATATAATATTACCCCCTACTGGTAGCAAAGCAAAACTACTACTGTTGGGGGTATTATGCAGTTAAATTAACAAAGAGCTGCTGAGCTGCTTAAACCATATTAGTTTAAAGAATTTAAAAAAAAAAAGATTCTGTTAGATGCAAAAGAATAATATGTATTAAAAAATAATAAAAGAGAAATACTGATCCTTGGTTGAGCAGTTGAGTCCGGGATATTTGTAATTAATTTGGACACGTCCTTTACCTGGCAAAGTGGCGTGGCTGCTTCAGGGTGAGTCCGGCGTAGCTCCCTCCCCTCTCAGCTGAGTCATTTGTTATCACCTCCCGGCTCCTCTGATGCTCTGTGCAATTGGCCGAGCTCCTGCGGGGTTAAAGGTCAAGCCTTTAAAAGGGAATTACTTCATTGACACAATAAGAGATGACAGTTTATTTGACGTCTTACCACCACCTCGCTCCCCTCCTACATCCAGCTCTGTCCTGCATGCTAACTGTTCCCCAGGGAGAGAGATGGTGTGTGTGTGTGTGTGTGTGTGTGTGTGTGTGTGTGTGTAATGTGGGGAATGCATCCATGTGCACAATTGTGTGTGTGTTTGGTGCTTGTTTTGCTGGAAAGTCCTACATTCTGTTTTGTAACTTTACTGTAATTATAGACTGATCAAATCTGAGGAGTAAAAAAAGTAGTATTCATAGCTGGAAAAAAAGACTAAAATTGTGTAGGAGTGCGTTGGGTTTTTAATTTTAAGATATCAGTTTTCCCCTAAGTACCACATGCACACACTGTATTCTGTTGCATCTGTTGGTCTGTGTTTATAGCTTCATTGTCAAGAACATTTAGCATGAATAGACTGCAGATGTTACTTTGGATTCAAGCCCCGTCCTGAGAGCTTGTGTGTGTGTGAGTGAGTGTGTGTGTGTGTGTGTGTGTGTGTGTGTGTGTGTGTGTGTGTGTGTGTGTGTGTGTGTGTGTATAAGGCAGAGGCAGGGAGCGAGTGATTGACATCAGACATGTGTGTCACACTTCAGGGATACTGGGAGTGTCCACGCAGCCGGCATGGCAGGTCATTATCAGTGTGTCACACAAATGTGTGACGTCTACTTTCTCTGAGACAAAAAAAAAAAACAAGCAGACACACACACACACACACACACACACACACACACACACACACACACACACACACACACACATACTCACAAACTCCTTCTCTGAGTCATTGAGGAATGCCTATCCAAGCCAATCAATTGGGCGATCAATTGGAGACCAACTGGCAATCCCCTGCAATCAATACAGCCCTTGTTGCATGGCTCCAGAAGTGCCACAATGGCTGTGGCACTTAATTAAGTTGTTAATTGCTGTGTTAAGCTTTCTCAGGTACCCTCCCCAGACGGTAATTGAGAGTGGCTGGACAATTCGGCTATCGGCAGCACTTTGCTAAATTTAATCACAAACCCAAGTAATGGCAAAGGCTGTAGTACAACAAGCCAGACAACAGCTACAGCCTCAGTTTAAGGGAGGGTGAGACTGATGACTTCTGACTGATGTTGTCATCTCACTTCTTCAAATGTAATGCAAAATTCTGTCTCCATTCACTCTTTGTTTTATGGTACAATGTTGAGACCTGGATGATCACAGAGAGCAGAGAACACCGATAAGCATTTAATCAAGGAGGATCAGGCTGAAGTGAACAACACTTTCATCATTTAAAGGTACAGTCTGTAGAAATAAGACACTTTAGCAGATTCAAGATTGAAATACTCCCTTGCTTATGCCTCCCATTGCTGAAGCTCTACAAGCGTTTCAGGACAGGAACCTGCAGTGAAAAATGATATCAATGCAAAATCTCTTGAAACAAACATCACTGTCTTCTTTGTTTTTTAACTAGTGCTTTTGGGTGTCCGCCTACTAAATACATGAACATGTTTAGCTATTACTGTTTTTTTCATTCTCTGCTAAACATAGCAGGGCAAGATAGCAGCCTCCGTGGATGGGGACTCATCATTACATAGATATGAGACTTTCTGGGGGTCCTGACACACTACGTCTGTAGAATCAGGCTACAATCTAGGGCTGGGCAATAAAACGATAATGATATAAATCAAAAATTGTATTCCCCTCAATATCGATATGAAACATGGTCAACATGCTTTTCGATAGCCAGCATTCTGCCATGTTTTCCTAGACTTTACGAATAGCCAATGAAAAGGGTTGTTGCTCCGGGTCATGCCGCGCTGAACCAATCATGTGCTGAATTAGAACCAAGTAGCAAACAACTGCGTAGTAGCAGACCGCAGCTATACACAACCATAGCACTTTAACACGTGAAGCCGACAGCACTGTTGGTGAGAAAAAAAGAAAATGAGTAACAGAAATTCAGAGAAAGGCTCAACTGATGTTGACAACACTGGCACGAAAATGTCGGTGGTGTGGAGGTATGAAGTTTTTTGAGGTCAGACATGAAGTAGAGTAATTTACACTGCAAATTATGTCAAGTACATGTTCAATTTCATGCAGTAGTAACAGGGAACATTTAAGATTGATTGAAGTGATTTTTTTTATTCCGTGATATATATCAGTATCGACTGATGTAAAAAAATATATTGTGATAAACTTTTTCCCATATCGCCCAGCCCTACTATAATCAGAAGTTAACAAAAAAGTTTACTTTCAACTCAAACAAATTCAAGAAAATTTAAAGTCCTTTTACACTGAGACTCTTCTGATAAATACCACACACTGCGCCTTTAAATGTCGACTTTATTTACCATCAGACCATCTTTATCTTATCTTGTTGACAAAAAAAAACAACCAAAAAACATAATTCAGCTAAAGTCTGTTTTTCTTTTTCTCCTTGTGACCTCAGTCTTCTTAATTTCTGAGAATAAATAATTTACCTTGGCGTATTACTGCTCTGTCACAGGATGTCTACTCTGACGGATCTTTAGAATAGGACAGTCAGTGTTGGTGGAGCTGTCGGCACCAACAGTCTATACAACATGATATAGTATTTGAATGGATTCCTGCTCATTATGCACCATCAGTTGCATGTAGTATAGCACCCCACTGGCTTATTGCTGTTCTGTTACTGCCTGTCTGAGATGCTGCCTGTATGCCGTGGAATTAAAACAGCGGGTCAGCCATTACAAACAGGTAGCTTTACTCGCTCTAAACAAAATGAGTCTAATTCAATGAAATATTGATGTTCCTGCAAGAGTTCTGCGATGAAATCAAACACTCAACCACACACAAAGGCAGGGCCTCCTCAACACGGTGCTAAGGCTGAGGGGGGATTACCACAACTGCCTCCGACCAGGGTGGGTTATAGAGGGAGCCAGACCACCGCTGGCTGGCACTTTTATGGTGTTACTAGCTCACATCAATGCATCTCAGTGTTAACACGCCTTTTGTCGCTTAATCGCATTACTTTCAACATTCAAATGGAATTCAGATGGAATGGTGTCCCCCATTTTAAGAAACGACACCAAACACAGCAGGCATCTATGTTCTTATCCCCGCTTTGCAGGGAAATTAGAACAGCGCAGGCAGGAGCCAAAAGCGTATCAAATCATCATTACAAAACAGGAGCTGTTTCACACACAGTGCAAACGTTTTCACTGCGGCACTTCTACTTCTCCAGTTTCTGGAGAGGCCCTGAAAGTGCTGCACAGCTCTTCAGAGATTTGGTAAGAGGTGTTGGGGTGTAGTGGAGCAGGGAAAGTGGAAGTAGCAGTGAGACAATGAGAAACAACCACTGCTGCTCTAGGCTCTGTGAACAGGCTTGCCATTGATTAAAACAGCAAGGTGTGCAATAAAGTGCAAGGCAGAGTGTTGCCTTCCATATGGACCCCCGAACCCTTAGGCTCTGGCCACCAATTGGGCCTTTCAGTCTGCCGCTGTTCCCCCTTTCCCCTCTCTGCTTCCCCTTCTCGCCCCCCCTGGTCCCCAGATGGTAAAAACAATTTTCCAGCCCTCTGTCTCTCTCTGCCGCTGCCCGCCACTCTGCAGCCACATAAGGGCCCTGGCCGTGATTCAACCGTTTACTCCAGTAATTAACAGCACCCATACCACAACAATTACAGTCACTAGGCTACTACTCTCCAAATATACACCCAGACACACACAGACACACACACACACACTCCAACAACCACACACGGTGTTACAAGTGTCATGTTGTGAATCAAAAGGAGAAGTAATAGCCAGAAGCTGTAAAATAAAATAAGAATAGTATTAACAAAAAGGTGAAAACAACATGTTGGCACTCCAGCAATGATTACCTCATAATTAGACGAGACAAAGCTCTCTCCCTATCTAGTGGCAAAACACTGTAATTACTGCCGTGACAGAAAATCAAAGGCTACTTTGTAAGCAGCAGGAAAAATTAACATTTTGGGCCCTGAAGCTGTATGTCCTGATTAGAAACGTATTAAATCAATGCATTGCTAACTGCTAGGCATAAATACGTCCCCTCCTGAAGGGTCCTATAATTGCGAGAGAAGGAAAAAAGAGGTTTCAATTTCACAAGGAGGTGGCATTAATTGTAATGGCAGTATTATGTGGCAAATGTATACTCCTTTTGTTATAAGATGATGCACTTAAGGCAGCAGTTTTTAAAAAAATTGTTTTTGCTGGGAGTGATGATCAAAGTGTAATTTACATATACTGTTGCAAATGTACCTCTCAGAAAGTTGCAACGCACCAAAGCAACACTTCGTACTAAGGTCGATTAATACATGACCGTAAGCATACTGCTTATTTCTTGTAAAGATAAAAAAAAGGGAAACGCTCTGAATTAGTCATTGAAGAAGAAAAAATAGAATTCTAAGGCTGAAGTTGTGGTCTGTGTACAACTTCTTTTATTTCTATATCAGATTTTTAATTGCCTTGCTCCCTTTATAATGAACATTTTTTCTTCTTTTCTGTCTCTTCCACTAATTAAGGCTTCTTTTACAGGACGACATTGTAAATAAGAATTTGCTCTTGCGCTGGTTGGAGCAAGATCAAAAAGAAAGAAAATTAATTATGTGGCAGTCATCACCTGCAAAAACAAATCTAGATACACAAAAAAGATGTTGTTGAACCATCCAAGAGTCATGGCTAGGAACCTGTTTTAGCAATCTAGAGGTACATGAACTTAGCAGATGCTTATTCAATTTAACACAAATTGGTTGGTGTTTCAGAAAGAAAAAATAAAACAGTTTATTGTTGATCACAAAAGTCCGCTCCTAATTAAATTTTCAAGCACTGCAGACATTTCACCTTGTCTAATTTTCAGGCCTGAATGTTTAACACGTGACTCCTGAAAAGCCACATGGGTTATGACCCACCTAGTTTCTGTTCCTGTTTAAATTGATAAAAGCTGCTTGTGGGAAAGCCAGCTGATCCCTGGCATCTTTAACATGCCCACAATAGGCTTCTTGGGAATACAACTAATTACTTCACATCTGTATTTATTTGATCCGTGTGGAATTCTCCCTTCTGTCACCAGTGCAGAGCCATGCCAGCTTGGACTAACAGTGATTTATCTAAGTGACACTTCTGGCGCACATTCACATCAAAGCAGCGCCAAAAATCGATGTGGGAAACGTGGGGAAGACGGGGTGGAGGAACTTTTTCCCCTCAGCAAAACTGTCATGCATAAAATCCAGCAGCATAAATAAAGCACGCCTGTGCTTGCAGGTTTGCTGAATCAGAAAGAGAGGAAATAAGATACAAGCTGTTTGTTCATAATAGCTCAAAGAAAGACTTCCACAACTACAGCGTTTTTGTGGGAACTCAAGTCCACAGCACTCTGTGTGACACGGCAGCTCTAACAGAGACGATTCGCCAACTTCATGCAAGAGTGGATTCTAGTGACCTCTGTTGTACACTGAGTAAACTACAAACAAACCAGCTTCTTTTAGACTGACAAGGCCTTGAGGGGGGCCTCTCTACTCAACAAAGAGTTGAAGATATTTGAATGACCATATTTTCTCAAAACCCTGATCTTCTCCAGTTGAGAGTAATGAAATGTTTTTATAACTATTCCAATGAAGCGATAAATCTGATGAATAAGACCCTTGAATATATCAGACTGTTTCATAAGCTCGGCTTTGGGACAACGTTTCAGTCCGATACCTGTGTTTGGTTTGTAAGCTATGCTTCCTATGTTAAAATATGATTGTTCATTTATATGTGAGACAACATTATCTTCTTTTTCTCTTGGGGAAATCTTGTTGTAATACCACAACTTAACTGAATAGATCTGCCTGATTACAACAATACACAATCCAACCATAAGAGTCAGCATCAGACTGATCTGTTATCTATATCTCTACTATTTCACAAACGATACAGTAGATATGTTGCAAGTCACCCTCATATTCGCCATGCTATGATTTTGAACAAATTTGACAATGTCTAAAAATATGTGTTGTGAATAATTGAGAGTTAAACTGTACAAATCTTAAAGTTGAGCCTTCCTCAGGAGCATAAAAACAACTAAACATAACATTTAAAAATCATATTCATCTCGTACCCTGAGTATTTTGACCCCACATGTTTACCCTGAGAGTTTCTCGTGCCTCAAATTGAGAAATGATTGCGCTTTTACAGCTTGCATGTTCCCCCCTTTTAGAAGAAACAAATGAAACAGTATCTACGGTTTTGTGTTTACCAGGGGAAAAGTGGTACTAAAGCAGAAAGCTCTGTCCGACTCACTTGACAAGTTACAGTCTCCCCAATGAGCCCTCGGGTATTGTGAAACATCTCAGCATGAGGCACTGCAGTCTTTACACGCTGCTTCCCTCCAGAAAAGAAACAAACTGAGGTCTCAATAAATAAATTAAAAAGTATCTGCCTCTTTACAACCTAAAGGCTTGAAGGTGATGGCTGCCCCGGGCAAAGCATTCCTATAACTATACAGCTAATTTAAAACAAATTTACATCATAGAGTTGATTATTTAAACACAAGTTGGAAAAAAACAGGACTTTAACTTCTTAATTATTCTTGTTCACACTGCATTTCCCATGCACACAGTCGCCTTAAGTGCAAATAAAGCCTACCATCTGTTTGTAATTACTACTACATAATTTCAGTCATTGTGGCTAATCATTTTGACTGCACATTCGATTAAACCTAGTGCGGCAATGGTGCAATTTTAGATGCGTGCATATCTCTTTGTGCTACATATAGATGTTGGCAGATTATCTGTTAAAAGTCCAGCTGCAGAGGAGACCTGAAATGTAACACAGCTTGTGCAGGCGAACTGGCTCAATATCAAATCCTTCATCGCCAATTTTCTACAAGCACGTAAAATTACACCACTGCTCGAAAGCTTTCCCAGCGAGCTTGTGTGAGGCTTTTTATTTGCCTAATCCCCAAATTAAATGATGTTTGACGCAAGAAATTTTCTTATCACCAAGCCTCTGCTCTAATCATGTCTTATTTCCCTGTGGTGCCCATGGAATAGGGCAGGCATGCTGCATGGCAGGCTACTCCAATAAAAGGAGCTGAAAAACGTCATGTAGCATCACTTTACTGCGTCTCTATGTAGGCTAACGACAATATGAACCCCGGGGCAATGGTGAAAGCTAATGACGGGAAGATGATGGCAACGCAATGTTGCCATAGAAGCCAATTTCCAGTAGATTGCCAGATGTTGAACATCTAAAAGTGCATTGATCAGTGACTAGATAGCCCATAGAGATTTCTTCAATTGCCTTTCTAAGAAAAAAAAAGAGATTTGACGGGGTGCCTCCTCAGTTTAACACAATCTATACAAAGCATGCATGATCTGATTCAAATTCATTTTGCAGAAACATTTAGCATTAGTTCGTTTAGTTAATTTCAGTGGTGAGGGGTGGATAAGATGGTGTGAATATGCATTAATCTGCTCGCACACACACACACACTGACATGCACACACAAACACGCAGTAACCTCTAATTATTAAATGATCAGCATCCACAATCAGATTACAGCTGTGACTTAAAAACTGTTGATCTGACTGTTGGTTGCTTTTTATAACCTTTATTTAATTCTCAAAGATCATTGAGGTTTCCCTCATTGACAACAATGTCAAGATACAAAAATTTATGCTGAAATAGTTTGCTGACTCAAAAAGTTGAACAACCAGTCTTTAAGAAGAACACAATTCGTAGTTTGGCTTCTTCTCTTTTGTCTCATTTGTCTCATCTCAGCTTTGTTGATGTGATATTAGAAATATAACTCAATGTAATTTAATAATATATTATTGTACATTTAACAACTTTGGATTTAGACTAAGCCTCAGAACTGTGGTGGCTGTCTAACATGAGTCTGGTCCTTTCCAAGGTTTCTGCCTGTTCAAAGGAAGTTTTTCCTTGCCACTGTAACTCATATTAGATGACATGGGTTAAATCTGTCCCATCTTATGGTCTTGATAATTCATCAAATAACAAGCGTGGTCTACACCTGCTCTTTCTCTTTGGAAAGCATCTTGGAATGACGACTGTTGTGAAATGGCGCTATATAAATAACATTTGATTGATTGATTGATTGATTGATTGATTGATTGATACTGTGTCTCATCATTATGGGTAGCTAACGTTATTAGGGTGTTATCTGCCGGCTAACAAGTTTATTTCATTCATAAACAAAAAATATGGACAAGTATAAAGTCCTTTTCATTTTCTGTCTTTTCTAAAGTCTCTTTTTGATGGCCTATTTTAAGACGTGACTGTTGAAAATGTGTACTGTCTTACAACAAAAAGCAAACAAAGGAAAAAATCACTCACAGCTTCAAATGCTGAAAACAAATCAAGTTTTGAGCCATCTTGTGTTTAACTAGACCTAAATAAACAATGACAGCTTCAGAAACAAACCTGAAATACCACCTTTTTTAAAAACTTTTCTCTTTATATTTGTGCCGCTACTTTCAGCCAACATACGCCATATAGAGAAATTTAACCATCAACTGTTGTTTTCAGATTATTCGTAGCTATGATTCAGCAGCACTGGTTTACTTCAACAATTACTGCTCTACAAAGAGAAAGCAGAAACTTCTGGCTTTATGATTTTGGCTGGTTCAGCAGTGTTGAGTCACACACACATTACGACTGTGGTTTAGTGGAGGGTTAATTGTTCCAGCTGACATCCTGAATCGGTGCAAATAATGACACATTGCGCAATCAAACAACAAGAATACTGACAACGACAGCTACCCTGATCTTTGTAAATTAATGAACAATATCATGTTTGTCTACCTCTAACTGATCACAAACCAGAGACTCAGATAACAGCAGCTCTAGTTACTGTCAAACGGATTTTCCCAGCTACACAATAGGTGACAGGTGACAAGGCCTCACCAATAAACACGAAACAAGCAATTAACCCGACAATCACCCTATAATCATGAATCAACTGAGGAGCTAGCTGGTTCCTGCTTTGCTAGCCACCGTCCCCATGTTGGCAGCAGAGCATTTTGGAGGGAAAACACGAAACATCTGGTGGAAGCAGACAGGGGCTGGCACTACACGATGGGAGAACAAGTTGCCTGAAAGCTTCATTATGTCCCAGCTGTTGGGCTTGCTGTTGCCCTCAGCAAAAACAACCTCGACAGAATGATGTTCCTGGCAAATATGCTGCAGATTATTTGAAGCGAGGCTTTTTCTGTGTGTGTTTCTTCAGGGAGGGGGGCTGGAAGAGGAGGTGTTGGTCATTGTGCTGTGTTTTTTTTTTTAGCAGTTTTGGTTGAACGGCGCATGAAGAGACAAAACCAGCATGCAGGTGAACATGAGCTTTCTCACATAAAGGTGAAAATAGGGCAGGAATTGTAACCCTGTGGTGACTACTGGAACATTTTTATGAAATACAGTCAAAAGTGAGATTTATAAACTTAGTTCTTACTTAAAGGGATATTCTTTATATGTGTATATGTGTAAAATTAATTTAGGGTCAAACACACCGTAACACCGAGTAAGACACCCTCTCAAGAGATGAATGTTGCAGACAGCTTGCTTCTTTAGTTGTACCAACTCTAGTAACGACCGCACGACAGCAATACACAGGCGCAAAGCTAAAACCTCAACCAAAAAGCCACTCTACAGCCACAAATAATGCTCAGAACAGCACCTAACTTCACCAACAGTACATATAGGGTCCCAGCCATAGTAATAGCCACCAAACATCTTTTTATCTTTACCTAATTTCTTTAGCAAAGAGACTAAACACAACTCATCCACTCCCTTCCAGCAGCCACTTGTTTGTAGTGAGACCTCAGGCCAGTCCATTGCAGACTGTTGTGGGGTGACGCAGCTCAAGGAGGAACATTTATGATTATTACTTTATCATTTCCTTAAAGTAATAATCACCATATTAAACATTTTGCTCTGCAGACGCGGTAGTTCTTCTGCCTTAGCATCTCAGTCTGATTGCATTTCCATGAAGAAATTATCATAAATGTTCTTCCTTGAGCTTCCAGTCCATTATGTAGCAATCTGTAATGGACTGGCCTGAGGTCTTGCTACAAACCAATGGCTGCTGGAATGGAGTGGATGAGTTGTGTTTAGTCTCTTTGCTAAAGAAATTAGGTAAAGATAAAAAGATGTTTGGTGGCTAGTACTATGGCTAGGACCCTATCTGTACTGTTGATGAAGTTAGGTGCAGTTCTGAGCATTAATTGTGGCTGTAGAGTGGCTTTTTGGTGAGGTTTGTTTATGGCTCCTCAGATCACTGTGTTTTGCTATCGTGTGGTCGTTGGTATAACTAGAGAAGCATGCAGTCAGCGATATTCATCTCTCGAGGGGGTGTCTAACTCAGTGTTATGGTGTGTTTGACCCTAAATTAATTTTAAGCCTGAATATCCCTTTAATCCCATTAACAGGATACATTAACTTTTAATAGACCTGCTGTTGATCAAATATATGATTTGGATGTATTAGCATGACACATGAACAGTTATTAATTTTCCTCTGAGGACAAACCAACACAGCTCCTGTCAGTGGTGGAAAATGGTTGATTCCAGTGTCAAGTGTCTTATACCGGAGAGTGTCTTACACTTTTAAAGGGCGTAGAAAGTAGTTAATAGTGAGTAAATGAACAAAGTGACTTAAGACACATGGCAGCTTCGGGCCAAAGTTTGAAGGTTGCGCATGAACCTTCTTTCCTGTTTCTAACTTTTCTTATTTCCTCTCCTCTCCAGCTGCACCAGCAGCACCATGAGCGCACTCTCTCAGGTTGGACAGCTTGTTCAAGTCGAATGCTATTAGTTCTAGGTCAGCGCCTGGGCTTTCTCTACACCCCAACAACACCTTTTCACCAGGCAGGGAATCCAACCTCCATTAATCAGAGTGGTGACAGCCCATGGATGTCAGTAAATATGTTTCCCTCACTGCCTCTTTTTCCAACACTTTCCTTCCCCACTCTCTCTATTTCTCCAATGATTGTTGTTCTCCCCTTCTCTGTGGGGTTTAATGTTGACCTGTAATTGCTTTAAGCTTTATTATTAATACCAGGACAGTAGAAGCATAACAAAGTTAAATGGTTTCAGGTGCAGCGCTCGGTTTTGGTGGAAGAAGAAACTGAGAACATATTGACAGAAAAAAAAAAAAAAAGTGCTTCAAGGAGCAGAAAATTGCTTTGAGCTGCAAAATCTAACTCGCTGGCTTGTTCCCTGCTACACAAAACATTCCTTTACAACCAGCTTGGACTTGAATACTTTATATGCACATTTTTTTTTCACACTGAACAGAAGTGTTGGCCAGGTGTTTATGAATGTTGTCGGAGCAAAATAAAAGACAGTGACAGTTTCCTCTCCTGCACGGATGGTAAAGCTGACAAGGGAGGATGAGTGTTGGCTAGTGAAGTGGCTTCTGCGTGTTTGCGCATGTGTGTGTGTGTGTGTGTGTGTGAGTGAGTGGGTGACATATAGGCAGAGGGCCAGCAGCGGCCAGTTGGAAAGTGGGTGCTCATCTCGGTTGGCATGCTGGGCTGAGTACCTGCTGCTGTCCAGAGACAGCTGTAGCATAGCCACCCGTGGATGCGCAATCAGGTTGGTGGCCACTGAATGCTGATAATGCTGCAGTGAGTGCGTTTCTAGCAACTGCCAACCAATGACAGGAAAACAACAAGAGCCAGAGAAGTAAACAGACAACAGGGAGGAGGAGGAGGAGGAGGAGGACAGTGGAGATGTGACAGACAAGGAGTGGGAAAAAAAGATAGAGAAAACATACTGACAGCGCAGTGAGAAAGGGATGGAGCAAATGATGACCTTTCCAAAGATGGATCTGAGTATCAACAAATATTCTGGCTGTCACACCTGCTGCAGCTTGACCTTCACATGGAGAGCGAGCTGACAGCACTCATCTGTTCATCTTTTGAGCCAATACAGTCATTCCCGTTCAACAGATGAGACATGAGTCACATGTGGAAGAGACACGAGCGAAGGAAAAGTCAAAACTGAGACACAGCAGAGAAATATATCAGTCAAGCTGGTAGTCTGACTTTGAAACTGGGCGTAAACAGGGTCTCTCTCTCTGTCGTGTTCATTTAATCACCTGTCATCATGAGGAACCAAACAGCACACTGACAGGCTGGAGTCAGAAGTGCAGTCACTGTTATAATGAACTCAGTCTGTTTAGCTCCTTCAGTTTCCCCAAGTGTGTTCATACAAATCCAGAACTGGTAACAACAGCCAGTCAGTCAGTTGCAAAATATGAGCAAATAGGATGTAAATAAATACAGTACAGTTAAGAAATGGTGACCAAAGTACTTATAATCATATGTGTTTTGTTAAGAGTGGTCATGAACATCAACCGTCACATCAAATGAATGAAAAATGCCCCCCTAGTAGACTGAGTTTTTAAAACTATTACCCCAGAGTCCACATATTTGAACACTGTTTCTTTGTCTAATATACAGCTTATCTAAATGTACTGTAGTGAGTGTGCTGACCTGAATTTTACTCACTGTCTGGGTGTGGGAGTGAGGTGTTTTTGATGCGCTTCTAGTCCAATCCAAGATTGTTGTTGAGTTACATTTTTGCCATTTATTGATTAAATGAAAAACAAACAAAAAAGACAGAAATGTCCGACCTACTACAATAGTGATGTTCGCGATGAGGGTGAGAGTGGTGTCAGAGATTAGCAGTAAAAACCTTATGCTCTTCCCCAGATCACTGCTTCACCTGTGTCCCCTTGTGGCATTTACCTGTCCATTCACCTGAAGTGCCCCTTATGGTGATTGTGCGAGTAACAAAACAAAACCCAAATAATAATACAGATAAAATGCCTCATACATGCACACCTTTCTCTATACTTACAAATGAGTGGTGTGTTTAGTTGGTGTTATTTTGTGATCCTTTTGCTTCATGCTGAGACAGTCTTCCTCTGTTACTTGTAAGTGCACCAGTAGCAGGTTTTGTTTCCATGTTTTCTTCATACACCACATGGAGTACTGATACTGTGGGGATCATCAGTACTCCATGCACCCACCAGGTGGCAGAAGTGAGCTGAAATAGAGTATGGTCATCACTTAATCACAGTAAAAAAAACCTCCTGGGTGACAACTATTGGCGACACACTGATATCAGAATTCTCATCACTTCACAAACCAACATTTTTCTCATAATGTTTGATGATTATCCTGTTAACCTTACTGTCACCAAAATTTCATTTCATATACTTTGATGGTAGCCAATTACAGTAAGCCAACAGTAACAGAGTTTAAAACAGTGAGCCATTATTAAATGGTTTCCTCATATGATTAGTATGGTCACTTTAAAGCTCCTGTGAGGAAATTTAAGCTGGCTGTGCAGTGGACCAAAATTCATATTCATGAGTTTTAAGCATCTATAAAAGAAAACAACAAGAGCAAACTATTTTAAGATATTGTTTCTAAAATGTGAAAACCCAGTTTACTTTGTTCACATTCCCTTACTAAGATTGATCGACTGTTGGAGGAGAGCAGGGTGATCATTTTTGCCAAGACTATTTCCACATGTACAGGGAAAAATCAGCTAAGAGGACTCTGTCCACAGACGATGCCAAAACAGTGACTGAAAAACCCTCACAGGAGCTTCAAATCAGATTTTTGTCTGGAGCTTGTCTGCTTGGAGTAAATCATACAAGAGCACGATGTTTTATACATGAATTTGAGTGCAGCTTACTCAGACTAGACCGTCCCCTCGTTTCTCCATAAATGATCTGGACTAGACGATCCTGGACATGCAGTTCCTCATTTAGATGAATGAATAAACCAAAAACTATTTTATTTATTACTTTCTTTGGCCTTCCCAATATTCGGAAGACTCTAACTTCTGATTCAAAACATAGAAACCAAACCCTGGAGCAAGTGTTTGAATTAGATCATCAAAACTAAACACGGTTAATATGACTTTATGGAAGCCTCTTATGACCTACATCACTTATAACCTACACCAGGAAATGGTCCCCACATTTTTTAAATCAACTAAAAATTATAATCTTTTCAAATTGCTGCAAAGAAATTCTTAAAACAGTGTTAAAATGTGCTTAATATTAATTTGCTGATAATAAATGACTTTTACTTAAAACAACATTTTGGTCTCCAGTTTCAAGACATGTTTTACGCAGCTGCAGGATTAATGTATGCACATCCAAAAGCAGACATACCAATTCAGAAGAACTAATCAATGATTCATATCTGAGTCTCCTAAAAACCACAGAGTTAATTATTAAATGTTTGTGTTGTCTAGACTGACGCTCAGACAGATCTCAGCCTAAACAGGAGACAGTGGTGGAGACTTGATGTAAAGCAGAGCGTGTAGAAGAAAAGAAGGCCCTCAGCTCTGCAATCCACATTTAACAATCTCATTTGTCATTTTTTATAATCAACATAGATTTCATAAAGTGAAGGAAAAAGGCTGAATGGAGCTCTGTCTGGATTTGTTCAACAGCCCTTCTCTTTCATCCAAACTCATTGTCACCACAGACAGGTGGTTCAAAAGTATTTCAGTGACTCTACCTTAGGTGCATCAGAACAAAGCCTGCATTTATTGAATTTTTCAAAGCAGTATTGTGCCTCTGTGACAGAACAAACAGTTATGGTTTGGATACCTTGAATCGTAGCAATGGGTAAAGAAACAAGAGGGTGTCTGCTGGGCCTGTAATTGAAGCTCCTGTCTACTTGTTCAGACTAATTACCCACCGCAGACGAGGAAATTCCCAACCAGAAGAGTCAAAAACCTGAAATGCAAAGACTTTTTGCTGTTAAACCTCAAGAGATTGAGGTTTGAGCTTGTTTGTTATAGCTTTGAATGAGAATAAGACATAAAGTTCTTCTTATTCTTATTCAAAGCTATAAAAAAAAACAAGCAACATTGAATTATTTACGTCTCTATCAGTTCAGGGAATCTGACTGAACACAAGAATAACCATCCTAATGTTCACCAGATCTGATTATGCAGTTTGAGTTTTGAGCTTCTCTGTATGTCTTGTTCCAGCATCACCACTTCTTATTTAATTAATAGACCAGTAATAATTAAACCAAATAATAAAGCATCACATCAACTTTTTATAGGCAGAGAAAACAAAGGGTACAAGTTTATACAAGACGTCTAAAAGGACCAATTCAAAGCACAAAAACATAAATCACAACTAATAAAAATGGTTACAGTGAACAAATTTAAACAAAGTGGGGGAAAAGCACAAGCACTATAACCTGAAGAGTGTATAAAAATGACAAATCCTCCAAAACAAACCCTACTGGGTAATTACACCAACTGTGGGTTTAAAGAGCCCACTTGGGTCAAGATTGCTGCATTCAAGAATACTAGAAGCTCTTCAAAGGGTTCACATGTCTCAGATTAGTAGATACTACTGTTTCTGAAACAATCTTACACCATTGTTTGCAGTTTTAGGAGGTTGAAATTGTAAAGAGATCAAAATTGACCAGCTTTAAGAGTAAATTCTTATGGCTTTGTAGCTCTCTTTGAGTCCCTAAAATGTTAGAGATTAGCACCACTGGGCTGGCATTAACATCAAAAGCTGGTTTATTGTAAGTAAGCACTGTAAAAAGAACTCAACTGTTGTCCATGTCCACCCACTGTGTCTTTGTCTAGTGTTATAAAAGGAAATCCGTCCATTTCCAGCACAGTGGGTGGGTTTAAGAAAACGTGACAAAAGCTAAGGCTAAGCTTTTCTATTCCAGCATTAACTTTCCCCAAAAGTTACTCCACTTTTTTGTTCTTTTTTAAGCTTCTTTTTGTTCTCATACTTAAAAAAACCATCAACATTATAAAGGTTGACGGTCATATTATAACATGTACTGTATGTACTACATGTACATAGACCTACAATAAACAGGGATATTAGATGAAGCGAGTGTTATTTACATGCCTCTGTTCATCTAAACATTTCCCTTTGTAAAAAGCTGTGCTTTGTTCTGACACTGCCTCCTCTTCACAGGAAGAAAATATGAGAATCATATCCCCCGCCTGCTGCAGTGTGTTCACTTACGTCCTGCAAAAACACTGAGAGCAGACAAAGTCCTCATCACCTTGTCTACAGAAAACAATCTGTATCAAAATAGACTAAAGTTGAGCATCTTTTCTTTTCACTGGTTTCTGTACATATTTTTTGTTTGCTGACAGTCCTGAGTGTGCACAAAGTCAATATCACTGATGGCTAAAAATAAGAGCAATGTTCTGGACTGCTGAGAGAGAAAATTAAAAAAGCAAAGGCATCTTCCTGCTCTCTGTGCACAGCCTTCTGCACGGTGTGAAGTACGTTTTGTGCGTTTGCTATTCTAACTTATGGTTCAGTTCATGAGATGTTTTCCAGTTCTGTGTAAAGGCCTGTTATATACAAAACCTACGACACAATACAATGCTGCAAAAGTATTTTGCATATTGGCAAAGCTTCCTGAAATCGATGCAGGACATATTTCACATTACACTCTGACAAGAACTACAAACAACTGCCTTTGTGTGTGCACTTTGCCACATAACTTTACAAGAATATTAACATTTAACAAAAGTGCATCATCATCATCATCTTAGTAACATTTGATGATGCTGTTCGCTGTAAGTACTCAAAGGTGGATGTAAAGAGCTGTGATTCCAGTCTGCTTTACTGGCTCCTGAAGTATCAGGATGCTTATTAATCTGGCACGATTTAACAGTGTGTGGTTTTCAACAAGAAGAGGTGGGTAAAGTTAGATCAAAAGTTTCACTGCATCCTTGTTTTCTCAATTTTTGCTGCTGTTTTGAAACCCAAATGTGCAGTTGAACATCATGTTATTAGCCACGACAATGTGAAAGCATTAAAATGACGATACGAAAGCACTGACGAGTATTCATGCTATAGGCTCACAGGATTTTCCTTCACATACTGTTGTTACAAATGTGGTCGAACATGATCCTTGTGTTACTAATTTTTCAAAACATCTTCATAAGCTATCAAATGCCCCGATACAGAAACAAAGTCAAAATGAAATGCATATAACATCATCTTAGTTATGTTCTAAATGCTTAAAAAAGGCTTTTCTTTGTTTTGTTTTTTTTTCTCAAACCACTGTTTACCTCAACATCTGTACAAAAGGTGTAAAAATAATGAAAAATAAAAGAATCTCTTAACTGGAAAAAAATCTCCTCCCTTACAGCCGTTCTGGCGTTTAAATGCAAATGAAATCAAAAGTTTCCATCAGTTACTTGGGGAGAACGTTTTTAACATGATACTGCTTTACTGCACTTGTCCCCTTTTGCCACAAACAACATGAATATAAAAAGTGCTACTGACAGCTGGTGGGGAGGAGGGACCAAGTTGCAGGTTGATGATTGGCTGAGTGTGAGTGGGTGTGGGTGTGGGGGATTATTATCTCTCTGCTCTTGTGAAACTGTTCTTGTCTGCATGTGTGTGTTTTTTTTTCAGTCACTAAAAGGAAGGTGGAGGAAGAGGGAGGATGCAGAGTTTCCCTAAGAGACGCTGGAGCAGCGGATGCTAGGGGAGCCCATCTGTGTGAGCACCTTGTCAAGCCACTGCAGGGGGCCGTTCAGGTGCAGCTCGATCCAGCAGGGGGTGCTGGTCACTGTCTGTCGCCTGGGAGAAGCGGAGAGAGCAGAGGGAAGTGTTAGTACACAGAGGACACTGTTTAGAGAAAGAGTTTTGTGAGTAAACTTACAAAGTCGATTTTCAGCAAGGTGAAACAACAGAGCATTTATTACAGACCCAGTGTACGGCAGAGGAAAGACACTGACCTCAGAAAACAAACAACAAAACCCACTTGAGTGGATAAACGCTGGTTTGAGTTTCACCTAAACATCTGCTTGCCTGTGAAGATGAATCAACCGTTGACTTTCTATTCTTGCTGTTCATTTTTCATTTTGGGTTTGAAACCCTTCAGAGCTGATCTGTCTGTGTTCACTCAGTCCATCCAAACAATACGTTTTCAACATAAAGACATGTTCAGCTGGTTTAGAATAAATGTGTTGACTCAACCAAAGCCCGCTAGTCTCAGTGTCGTCAAGAGTTCAAACAATGTTTATGAAAATTTTTGTGCCGCTTTGAGACTAAAGAACTCGTGTTCGGTGAAAATGCAAAACATTTACTCTTTAAACTTTTGAAAAATCCTCTTTCAGACCTTTTGATCTTCATATTCTGTAGCTTTTCTCTCACTGCCTCTGCCACAGAGGAGAGCAGATAAAAGGCACAAGTGCTAGAGACGTTACAAATATTCGAGTAGATGCAGCTTAGCAACGGCTTTTATTCATTACACCGACATCAGGTACAGACAATACTGCAGATACAGGAGCACAAAACTGCGTCTGAATGCGCTCGGAAAAGATGGAGGTTAGATTTCTGCTTCCAGCGCGCTTTTACCCGCTGATGACCTGGCGATAACCCTGCCGTTTCCCCTAGTGCTCTGCTTTCTTCTTGACAAACCGTGTTTGACACCAGAGAACTGTGCAGACACATCAGAGAGTACAAAAGAAGATAACAAAGGCTGCTGCTATTTCTGCATATCTCATTACTAGACTTGAGGGAACCTTCACACTCATCTCTCGTTCAATGTCAACAAGAGCAGATAATGGATTTCATTTGTTGTTATGTAATGATAATGTATAATCAATCAAGTGTAAATGAATAAAACAGCTGCTTACTGCTGACTCCTTCATTCAAGATAAAGCATTTACAGTTTGTGTTGATTATGAATCACGTTTATGTTGGTCTGCTTCAGTGTTGTTCACTGTTTTTCACAGGTAAGAGAGGGAAAAGGGTTAGCTTGTGTGTTAGCCTGGGAAAAGACTGAGGACTGAGGTGTGGGTGGAGGTAGACGTGGAGGAGGGCCTGGCTAGTCCAGTAACCTGAATCCTGTTTTTAAGTGTCTCCACATGTCAGAGTTTGGTCTGGACGGGGCTGTGAAGCTCTCGCTCACTGCACAAAGATTTCCCCCCTTGGGAAAGCCTCCTGTGCTGAGCCAACTTTCGACCAATCATCTGCTCCCTTTTTTGCTCTGGCTCCTCCCTTCCCACTATCAGTGAGTCAGACTGTGGAAAACAGGGAGGTAATGGAGAGGGAAAGTCTGACATCTCTTTTTTTGACAAAACACATGTGTGTCTCTTTAAAAATAGTCTGGCGTGCCTACTGGGGCCTGGTTCTGTTGATGAGGGCTCGGCGACGTCACACAGCAGATCCACCGGAGTGCGAGCAGATGCCTGGGAGCGGGGGTGGCTGGGTTGTGGGATGTGATTCATAGACTGTTTGTTTCTATTGTCTGTGTTTATATTAAGGCTTACTAAGGACTTGATCTTCGCACAAAGGCTCTTCCCATGTCACTGACAAGATGGTTTCACATTTTGTCATCTGATAGGCAGATGAGATCCCTAACTAGGCGAACCATTTCTGAACGAATGTGTGGTTCTCTGTGAGGACAGCCTACCTGTATTCGGCTCCCCAGCCTTTAACAAAACTCATTCTGATGGTGCACATCCTGGTCAGCTGGTACACGGCTTCAAACCCCTGGTTGACTGACTGGGCCAGCAGGGCAGCAAACTCCTGGTTGTTGAAGATCTTCAAGTTACATCCTGGAGGGGACAACCAAGACAGGCAGACACTTAAGTCCCCATACCAAGTCACTTTCACCTTTATGTTATTGAACTCAGAGATGAATATTTCTCTGAAAGAAGAACTCTAACAGAGTCTGTAGCAGATCTTTGGGAGTAGCATGCATATGTGGACCAGAACTGTATAAAACGTGGCTACAGACAGAGATGAAATCTGATTATCTTCCCTGAGTCAAATTTGGCGGTGTAAGTTTGACTCTAAAAAGTCTGGGAGTATGAAGTAAGAGAGTGAGTTTCCAAGACTGCTGTTGCTCGCCTGCAGTCCTGCTTGAGGCTTGCGGTTCAAAGTTGCAGTAAGTAACTATGAACACAGTCAAAAAAACAAACAATGTTGTGAACTTTCTTTAAAATTCTTTTTGCTCTTAAAGTTTTCTAAGGTGAGGGAAACTACCTCCATGGATTTCACATCTCAGTTTTCTCATTAGCACATCTAAAAAAATGAAAATGATGTATCTCATTCTCCAGTGCATTAACTTTGTGTAAATCTTACAACATAAAACTGCAAAATAAGCTGACCAGGTCCCTGATTAAGATAACAACTATGACTTTATTATTAGAGAGTGACCCAGGCTCTTATTCACTCATATATTCACCATGTAAAACACTGACTTTAAAGAAATGGGGTGCTGCTGACACACAACGTGCTGTACTTTTTGTGTCAAAATCACCTCACTGACAACAATCCTCCACTAAGATTTTAAGATGTGTTTTAGTTTGGGGAAAACTCGAAATACTCCCGACATTTTATAAATCATGTGGTAAAAATAAACACACACTTCTGTGGAGAGGAAAAATTTGTATCTTTAGCCAGGCTGCACTCAAGAGAAAGAGCACGTTCCTGGACTGGTGCTGAAAGTTTGTGATGGGCTTGAAGCTTCTGCTGCTCACAGTCAGGATCACACAGCCAAAGTAAATCTCCTCTGAATCATCCATTTTTCAGAATTAATGTGACTTATATTGAATTAATAACATCCTAACTAGCTAACAAGCTCCTGCGATGTCGTCACTTTTGCCACAGACTAAGAGCTCAAACTGGAGGATTTGGCTCAAGAGAGTCATAAGTCCACTCGAACAAATTTGTATCCCCGCCACGGGGACTGTGGGAGGATGTGAGACTGAGGGAACTCAAAACTTTCTACCAAACTGAAATTTATAAACAGGAACCTAAAAAGACATTTTACCGTAGGGGCACTCGCTCCAGCTCGTTTTGACACTCATACAAAGAGCTCAGGTTCAAATAGCCAACCCTGTGAAAAGTTAATAACCCGCTGTACCACTGTGAATTTCCATTTCCACTTTTGCCTTTTAGTATTTATTTATAACCCGCTCCCTCTCTCCCTGCCTCTATATTCATCTCATTTGTCTCACTCTCTGCTCGGTCCTCTCTCCACTTTCTCTCTCTGCCTCTTTGAATATGACACTCACCTGGAGGGATCTTGCAGACTGTAGCAGGGTGCCAACCGTAGCGTTGGTTACAGTTGGGGCTTTGAACAAAGATGGCGCTGTCACTGAGACACTCAGCAAACACTTCTCCTCCGATGTAATAAAGCCGGACACCACGGCCTTGAAGTAAACACAGACAGGACAACAAACTCAGATCAGACAAAAACTGTAGAGAGATGTTATGGGTATTTTTTTTGGAAGCAATATGTGACATTAGGTGAATAATGATGGAGTCATGTAGAGCAGACTGATGCACTGGGTCGTACCGATGTGTCTACGTGTTAACTCCACAGCTGCGTTGCGGTTGACGTTCGACAACAGACCCAAGCAGAAACGCTCGGAGTTGGAGGGGTCCGTGAAGCCATCCACTGTCAGCGAGGGCTGTGAGGCGTGGAAGGTCTCTCCTACTCGCTGGTTTAACTCGTAGTAGGAAATAGAGCACCAGAAGGCCGGCTCACAGTATGTCACTGGTTGAAGGTCTGACAGAGACAGAGAAATGAGCCAGTTTGTAAATGAAACTTTATGTAAAAAGACAAGAAAATTTACTGTAGCTTGCCAATAATGGATGAAATTGAATGATTTTTTTTCTGGAATTAAATAAGTGATGAGAGGATCCAAGGTTACTGGGATAAAAATGGGAATTAAATCACAGAAACATAAGAAACAGAATAGATGAAAATAAAAGTAACAGGACTAAGTAGAGACAGGGCAAAATGGGGGACTGAAGGGGGCCACGGTGGATGAAGGGGGAAAAAAACACCACCAAAGAAAACATTCGGCTGAGCTTGCGTCACAAAATGTCAAACCCATACGCTGTTTCCCAGAAGCTTTCACCAGGCAAATGTGGAAACTCAACCCTCACTGGTGGGACGCTGGAGCCAAAAACGGTCAAATTACAGGCTTATCCATGATAATTTTCAGTAACTTCAACTGGTTCTGGTAATTTGCTCTTTTTCCTCTCAGCACGGCCGTTCTGTAACAACTTCAACATTTTGTCCTTGGCTTTCAAGTCTTGAGCAGAGCTGCCAAATGAAACTGGTGTGATTTTTGTTATTCTCTAGTAGCTTTCCGGCCAAGCCCCCGGGCGTTTTTCCATCCTGATAGAATAAGCGTAGGATACTGTCATTGGTTTGAAGGTGAGCTGAGTTCTGAGAGATGCCTGTTAAGCACTCGCATGGTGGGAGGAAGACAAAGATGTCTTTCAGCACCTGGTTTCCTCTTACAGAGATGGGAGTGAAATCAAACAGTATTCCCACTAAGGTGGAAACGTTACAGAAACATTTGTCTGGCTGAACGTGGAGGAAAACAGACAGAGAAGTACACAAAAACACAAACACACAGCCCTTACCTAAGTTGCTGTGTGTGGGTGAAACAGGGTTAGGTGACAGGTTTGGGGAGCTTGTGTCCATGCTGTGGGTCATCTGGTGATCGCTTGTCTCTCCATCCTCACTGAGGTAACCCGGTGGAGGCGTTTCTGCAGCACAAATAAAAAAAAAGAAAATCAGACACAAAGAAAACAACTCTTCACACTGGTTATGAATTTAACCGTGGAAAATAAGGTCCAAGTCTCTGCTGTAGTTTTAACCGACAAAAAAAATAACATTACGCACAAATAACATCAAAACTGAAAAACTCTCTTCAGTACAAAGATTAAAGGGATAGAAAGTTATTCAATGAATGGAAACAAAAGTGGGTTATTTGTTGCAGCTCTTGAGATGTATAGCAAATATTAAAAAACCGATGAGTAAATCTGAAATAAGCTGTTAGCAACCCATTTTTCTCTTTAGACAAGTAAGTGGACAATGATTAAAGCAGAAATGCAAAAACAAAGGTTTGGAGACTACAAATGGAGACTATTACTTCACCTACATGTTGGTAAAGTATTCCAAACATCCAACAACTACTACTTTTTTTCTAACTTCCTCTTGGCAAAAGAAAACAGACTTGGTGTAATTCAGTGTGGTTAAGTATGAGAGACAGTCCTGGTACCTGGTATGTAGTTGCTCTGAGGCTCAATGCCAGCAGGGAAGTTGGTGTTTTCTGGAATCGAATGGCTGTAGTCATCGAGAGGAGGGAACTCAGCGGGGATTTCTGTGTGTCTGGGTACCAGGACTGGTGGAAGAACTGTGCGATGGACAGACGGACAAACATATCAAAAAGTTTGACAAACAGATAGATATTTTGAATGATACAACAATAACAAAAAATGTGGTATGTACAAAGTGTGATAGAATTATGTCCCATAACTCAAAGGATGAACAGGCAAATCCTCTCAGATTTAAACACACGCTCTGAGTTAAAATACCTGGGGTCTCCACTCTCTGGTAGTGGTATGGGTTGACACACACTTCATCCTTCTTTGTGTGGAAGGCGTACTCGCACAGTTCGACCGCTCGCAGCTCGTGGTGGGACTGCAGGTCGGGCCAACGCCACAGGCGGCAGTAGATGACGTGAGGGAGACCTTTTCTGTGGGAAACCTGCAGACGGCCATCCAGAGACCTGCAGACAGGAGAAGAGGAGGAACAGCAGTGTGTCAATAATTTCAAACTCAAAGAAGTAGGTTTTTTAGGGCATAAATCAGGTTTTCATTGTCTCATGCACGTATCATACCTATCATATCAATTTTGTGTAAATTATTAGATGATTCCTGTCATATTTGAAAACTTCTGATTTAATTTTTGTGTCCTTGTTTTCATTTATTTTTCATCATAAAGGTTTTGACATTGCTGCTAGTTTAGAGAAATTTTTATAAATGTGTCTAAAAACACTTTTTCAGCGGTGCACGTCTTAGAAATTTCAAGGAAAGAAATAGACTGTGAAAAAATGGTCCCCTTTAAAGATCTGGAATGGTTATAAATGTGATCACAGCCTCAGGTACTGGGACTCAGCATCTCTTGTGATTGATTATTGCTGCCTGCTTCTCTACTTTAAGCTTTTGTTTCAAGTTAACACCAGAGTAAAGACCATGATTAAAACTGTTCTGATAAATCTGGCACTGATTTTCTGTGGGATTACAGCCTCTTCTTTCAGTAAACACCAAAAAATGAAAAGATATCTTAAAAGAAAGATTTTTAAACTTCTTATTTAAAAGCAATAAGCCTAACAGAGTCCTGCAAAACATATCAGCTTGGTGTTGATATGAAGTCTGGGCTCTGACTCCACCTCCTGCTGAAGAGGGTCCCAGCTGTGTGTGGACTGGCTCTGAGCTGATGTCTAATAATAAACGACCCAGAATGAAATCACAATATGTACAGCAGGAATTTCATTGTGTTGTATAACATCTGCACTCATCTGGTAAACAATACTGCAGGCAGGATGATGACACAAGCTAGCGGACAGACAGAAATGAGCCAAAGTTTAGCACACTGACCAATGAAAGAGAAAAAATAAATAAACACACTAATCATCTTATGCAAGAGGCAACATCCCCATATGGCCCTGCTATCTCAACACTGGCTCACTCTCACACACAGATGTGGAGTAAGGGTCAAAGTCATGAGCTAAAGCCCCTTTTTTCAAGGCCAAATGTCTGCCCACAAATAAGAATAAAAAGCCGAACACGGTTGAAGTACCAAGAGCTCTGTAATGCCCTCATCTGGGTCAACTATTGTACATCCGGCAAGCGGAGAGTGCAGTTTTAATTTTTCATGTCAAAAGCTTTTATGCCCGGGCTTTTTGCTCCAAAATGGGCAGAGGAGGGTGTGACTCAGTGGGAGGGAGGGAGGGAGGGAGGGGTGTCTTGAATTTGTAAAGGGTGTCTGAGTATTTTATGTGCACACAAGCGTACAGTGGAATACAGTGGAAGCAGGAAAGGGGGATGCTACTCAAACTCCCATCACAAATCTGCACATCGAGCTTCAACGAAGAACCAAAGCTTTAAGGAATTTATTTAAAGAAGAGCTTCTGTGTTCTGGACTTCCTCCGTTTGTCTTCTTACATGATAAAGATGGAAAAAATTAAGATGGATATTAAATAATGCAGTAGGGGGATCCTTTGTGACTTTATTGGGGTTCATACCTTGGTGGTCCTGTAGCCATTGTGTTCAGACAATAAGAGAGGTTTAAGTGTGTATCCATGTATGACCCATAAAAAAAATCCTTCTTAAAATGTCAGTAAATCAAATGTTTCCCTGTTGGGTTCAAACCCTCAACTAGGAGAGTGCCTTGCTTTGTAATTTTAACCCCCTCTACAAAAACAGTCTGGATAAACTTTACAGCTGCTTCCAGACACTTGAGGTAAACCAGAACCCTGTTTAATGTCCCGTCAGGTAGGTCAAATTTGAGAGGCATCATTTGGGACCAGGATTTCTAAGAAAGTAATGAAGTCATTTTACATATCAGCCGTCAAACTCTGGACTGATTTTAAATGTCAGTTAAGTTTTTTTTAATATATATATGTTTGAAATTTAAGGCACAAATAAGGTCTTTTCAAACACACAATCACACATGCAGTTCATTATCACCGCTGAAACACCAAAAAAGGAAGTGAGTAACTTGATACACAAATATAAACACAGCCGGAGGATTAGAGAACTCACAGACTTGACTTGAAGCTGTTATATCAAAACCAAACAGCGGCTCACTCTGCTTTTTTATCTTAGATTAAGGAAAAATATTCAGTAATACTCAGAGATTTGGCTGACTTATGCAGACCAGACACACAAACAAGAACACCTTGTGCTGTTACGCAGAGGAGCCCACCGAATTTAAAGGCTGTGTAGTTACTTAGAGTGAAATTAAGTTTTTTCTTGAACTGAAATCTTTTTTTAAGTCAGAGTTTACGAAAGTCTTCAGTTCTTGTGACTGCAGTTCCTCTTCTCTTTTACAGCTTTCCGGTGTTTGGCGTATAATGTTATGATTTATTAGGTCTGTTTCCTTTTACCACATTGAGCTATTTTACACTCTGCTTGGCTGATGTTGCAGAAGCTGGGGCTTTTTAGTGCTCTTCAAGTGTTTCCCATCGGCAAGAACTGGAATTTAAGTTTTGACTCAAGCTTTGTTTCACACGGGATGAACTAATCAAAGACAAAGACATGTGGAAAGCCGGCAGCTTTGAAGATGACAAGAAGAGGTCACAAACGCAGCTTTACAGCTGAATCATCGGAATTGAAGATGAAGACACTGCAGAAACACGTGAAAACTACATATGCAAAGGGGAACAGTGATCATGTGAAAAAACAAGATGTTTACAAAATCATTAACAGTCATGCAGCTGGAAAAAACAAAACCTCCTCTTGAGTTCTTACAGAAGAAGTGGATTATCAAAATGAGAGGGAGATGACATTTTAACTGTAGTTGTGTGGTATCCCTTCACTCTATTTTGAAGCAGAGAAAGTCAAACTGTGGATGTGTCACACAGGGCTGACCTGATGTTAAAGGTATGTGTGTTGGGTCTTGTAGCTGAGTGGGTGTTTGGTGGGGCTAGATTCTGAAACAGGCGTGCACAAGCTGCAGTGGCATTAAAGACTACTTGGTGTCCTAAAGAACTCAGTGTCCATTTTTTTCAAAAGGCCTCTTCCAGTCAGTATTTTTTTTCTTCTTTTAAGAGGGTTACAGTAAAAGTTGGGCATGAGTCACGCTAATAAGCTGAACTGCACATGTGCAGAGAAACACACAAGAGGATCTTCATTCAACAAGAAATAATGAATATGACTTTTTAGAGCAGAAATAACTGTCATCAACAACCCACAGCCAGACCGAAAAAAGTTGTTCTGCAAATTACAATTCAAAGCCTTCTAGAGTTTCCCCCTGCTAAATCTTCATTTTCTGGCAGTACGACGCCTCATTGATAGATGCATGAATGAAACAGTTCACAAACCTACACGCCAACTCCTCCAAGAAATGCTGAAAACATTACTTTAAAATCCACACTGCCTTAGGAGGGGAAAGGAAAAGTAATGAGGGAAACTAGTACATTGTGTTTTCAGGACAAGATCGTATAACAAAAGGACTGTCCAAAAATGTGACATATGATTAAAGTGATTCAATGGTCGTTAATTACCAGAAGGAATCATGAATTGCCTCCAGTGCTGCTGCCTTAGATACAGGACCAGTTTCAGCTTTGAGCTTTCATCACTGACCTATCACCAATATTTATCAATACAGAAAGAAATCAATATGTTTCTCTTGGAATCATTTCTTCCCCTTTTCTCGTAATGAATTTCCTTAATAGCAACATGCACTGTGCTGCCAACTTGCGGCTATCTTGGCTGATTATAAATGGAAAAATGTAAACTACAATCAAGAAGAAGGCGGCATAGAAGAGGAGCTGACAGTGTATCATTTCATCAGTTGAGAATATCAACCGGTGACAGCAGAGAGTGTTTTGGTATGACTGTGTATTTCCTGATTTATGGTGCTAACATCTGATTGGAGCTCAGGAGGGTACTTTGTTATTAAGAGAAAATAACTAGTGTAGGGTAGCTGATAGAAGAGGGACAAAATACTGACATTTTATATTAGGGATGGGAGAAAAAAATCGATTGAGAAAATCAACAATATTGTAGAATCGAGATTTAAATCGAATCGGCCTCCAAAAAATTGTAGAAGAATCGAATCGGGAGAATAGCATATTGTCCCAGCCCTACTATATATTATGTGATATAATCTATAACAGGTGATAACTGATGTATTGATAGTTGAGGAACTGCTTTATCCTGTATCCTGGACAACGTAACATGCTTAATATTCTGACTCCTCCAGCAGTTCCCACCCTATTAGCAAACATGGACAGTCTGCCGACCTCGTTTTCTTCACTCTGATGAATCATCAGGTGTTTTTTTTGATGTAACAGATCTAATGAATGAAATGTTGAACATCTCTAAGGGGGTATTAACAAACTCATTATCCATCTTTAATCTAGGACTGAATCATTTTCAGACGTTTAGATTCAGAAATGTTACATGTTACCTAACGTTTGTTTACCTACAGCTAAAAAAAAAAGTAAAGACAAACAGCAACAGTCACAACACAGAGCACATCAAACACACAGACAGGTCCAAACACACACACACACACACCTACACACACAAACACACACACTATCCCCCTCAATCTGAATCATTCACTTTATGAAAGAGATTCATGATGGCACGATGAATGAGACTTTAATGAGGAACACCTCTCTGACGGTAAAAAAACCACTCCTGCACATGTTTCAAGCCTCAGCCTGCTGTTTAGAGAAAAGCAAAAGCAAATTACTCTGCCAAAACAGAGGAGCTCAGCTTCTGCAAAACACTTAAAAATGATTCGAAGCCCCGAGCACTACAGCTATGTGGCAGGAGGGAGGCAAAAGGGGGAGAACTATGACCCCAAATTCCCTGCTGGGCTACTGTGAGTGACTGTGTGTGTGTGTGTGTGTGTGTGTGTGTGTGTGTGTGTGTGTGTGTGTGTGTGTGTGTGTGTGTGTGTGTTTTCAGACTCAAGATATGAGGGACACGGGTGGGATCATAAGGCTTCCAAGAATTTAGGCCACTGGTTTGTAAACTTCAGACTCCTGAGATGAGATAGATTATAATATGCAAGCTGAAGTTAGAGTTAGCCATCTGCTATTAGCCTTGCTACACTGTTAGCCGAGCCAGTAACGGTAGGATAAACAACACTACACATTACGTGATCGTGCTACTTCTCTTACTGAGGCAGCTGCATGTCTCCTGATGAGACCTGACCGGAAGTGAGTAACGTGAGTTAGGACGCAGAGGCACCGATCGGCGGGGGCGAGGTAGTTAAAAACTCTTTTCTGGTCCAAGTTTGATCAGTCGGTCTTCCTGTCGACATATGGAGCAGTAGCCTACAGTATATCTACAGTATACTTTGTACAGTAGATATCTACAGTATATATGTATTTTATAACTTCATACAAAAATTTAAAAATCGGCCGATTAATCAGTAATCGGATATTTTTCCCCCCTAATAATCGGTATTGGCATCGGCCCCCAAAAAATTCCATATCAGTTGGGCCCTAGAATGAACTGTATAACTTGCCCTGTGAGTGAAGGCATCAGGCTTGACTTTAGCCTAAAAAAAGGTAACAAATTAACACATATATATATTCAATTAATATTATTTATCAGCAAATAACAAATTGCACATTAGCACACAGCAAAAAGAAGTAAGACTTTCATGTGAACATTTAGTGCAAAAGGACAGACAGACAGAAAATAAAGAGCGAACAGAATCGCTGTGTTGTTGTGTAGGGTACAAGAGAAAAAAGACTGGATTGGAATGCTGGATCGGCATCATTCATCAGATATCTGATCCAGTTAATTTGTCAACATCGGGGCCAATATCCGATCGAAATATCAGATCGGTGCATCCCTAGCTTGCTCTTGATGCTGCTTCAACACACTTTCCTGTAATGTCATTAAAGAATTGCAGCTGACTGAAATAAATCCTGTAACAAGCAGCCAACGTCATCATGTGATACTCCCTCTTGATCCCTGTATAAACACTGGCGACCAGAGCCAAAGATTTGAAGTTTACAGCAAGAGGACGTCACAGTCAAATACACGGCTGAAATGAGAGGGACAACGTGGTATAGATTTTTTTGCCAAAGGGAAATTGTGTCAGCATCATCGTGCTCCATGACCCCGAGCTAAAACTGATCCTGACCTTTACGCCCAACCAGTTCTATTGTTTATGTATGTAGAGAAGAGTGCGATACGTGCTCAAACGCACACAGAATAACATACTCAAACACACACACACGTGAGCCCAGGTACGAGCCGGAGAACGACACATAACTTGGCTTTCAAAAGATTCACACATCCTGTAATCCTCTTTGTAAATGGAGTGGAAAAAGCAGGATACATAGACGTGAGTGATAGTGAATAGGAGTAGATAAACAAATTTTAGGTGTGTGTGTGTTTCTGTGTGTGTTTGGCTGACTCATATAACAGACTCAGACAGAGCAGATTGAGCTTCACTGAGCTGAGGTGGAGGGGAGGGGGCAAAACAAACACTCTGGGGCATGGCCGGTTACGCTCAGAGAGACACAAACATATACACTCAGTTTGTGTGTGTTTGTGTGTGTGCGTGTGTGTGTGTGTGTCTGACTGGCTATAGTCCGAGCGGTGGGGAACACACATGCACACAAACTCTCCCTGTGGGCTCAGACCTTTCAAGATGAACATTTTACAACTCTGTGCCAAGATTCAAAATCAAAAGAATCAGAGTCTTTGCTGACTATAAAGGATCCCTGCAAACACTTCACAGCTTTTACTTACTCCAGTGTTGGTAAACAAGTTTACTTTTCCAAGAAGCTTAACTTTAAATTGAATTAAAACACTGATACAAATGTTTTGGGATATTTGAAGTGTCTGCAAGCGCATGTAAACATCAGGACCTCCCATGGCAATCTGTCCTGAAAGACTACAGAGGGGGGGATACAAAGTGGGTGATGGATAAAGAAAGGAGGGTGCTGCTGGACAATAGGGCTGCCAGACTGTCTCAACAGCTCAGGGCAGCTCAGAGTGTCTGTGACCAGGCCTCTAAAAAGCCCCCTCCCCTCTCCTCCGTCTGTCCCACTGTCCCACTGCCCCGGCTGCCCTGCCTCCGTCCCACCACTGCGTAAGGGGTGAGGGCGGTGGGGGTGGGAGTGAAATAGTCTTTGTGCCTTCCATAAAGTCTGCGGCCAGTCTGTCGAGCCGCGACCAACAGGGCTGCAGTCCAGTGACGTACAGCAGACGGCTGCTGTCCTCCAACAACAACAAATCCTTCAGTAAATCTGGAGAAGAAGCTGCTCTGAACTTTTGAATCTGAAACTCGACTAACAGCTACTTGATGAATCTTTAATACACAATGCTCTTTAAGTGTTGTTTTGCACACAAGTGTTGTTGACGCAGCTCACAGGACACCTGCGTCACATATTAATGCATCATTTTCAGCCCACACTGCACCTGCTCTTGTACAACTGTTGCCACATTTTAATCCCTTGTGGTGCTACTGTTCAGAGAATCTACAACCCCAGAAATAGACAGAATCACTGATAACACATAATGCAAAGTAAAAAAAAAAAAAACCCAGTCTTTTCTGTGCATTTTCCCCCTGTACTTACTGTTGCAGTCTATATATTTTCTTATTTACTCATCCATTCATGCCAAAATAATCAAAGATATTCAGTGATAGAGGAAACATGCTACCTTTACTGGCTATGAAAAGATGTTCAATTGAACTGGAGTCAATCTATACAATTGTCAAACCAGAACCTTGCCAAGTTTCCAAGCAATTGTTGTCACAGTTCAAAGTAACCCATACAGGAGTACAAAAAAGGTTTACTGATTAGAATCAATTACTAATCTTAATATTAAAGATCAAAGTGTACTGGTCACATCTTTGTTAACGGCCCTCCAACTCTGTCTCGAACATTGTCTTTGATCACTGTGAATACTTTTAAATGTTTATAAACATGACGCAGCAGTTCACAACGGCATAAGGAAAAGTCTGGAACATTATTCTGACACATTTTAAAAGATGAGTTTGATTTTGTTTGATCCTAGATCCATAATGTGTAAAAACTGTTAACCGTACAATGATCTGATGATCCTAAAAGTTCTCAAATTAAATAGTTTTTTGTTTGAGGAATTTTTCATGACATTAAAATTAATAACTTGAGAGCTTACAACTGAATAACTTGAATATTTTTACAGAAAAAGACAATAAAACAAATCAATGACATTAAATAATTTGTTGCAGACCTTGAGAGACGTACGTGAAAGAGTCTTTAGTTTAGTCTTAATTTTCACTCTGACATGGGCCAGCAGCGATCACTTTAATCACAGAAATTAAACGCACCAACTTTCTGCTTTAGAATAGATTCCAGCAGTGTAGCTGCTCCTACTGCCAAACATATTGCTCACACGCATACACTCACACACACCTCCCACTCTCTCTGGAAAAGCCATCAGACTTCTCCTTTTCTTACAAAAGAAGGGGGAGGTAAAGGAACAGAACCAAGAATAGAGTGTGAGAGAAAAAAAAAAAAGAAAAAAGACTGCCTGCGGCCCACAGGTGATATCATAGGACTGGAGCGTACTGGGACCAGTGGAGGAGGGCCTGCTGTGAAATAAGAAACCAGCAGACAGGCGACGGGCAAAGCTAGACGACAAATAACATAGTCTGCTGTCAAAGAAGTGGTGGGACGATAGAGGACTGGGAATCATTAGTTTCACTGAAAACAGTCAATGAGCTGAGCAGCCTGGGTTTCTTTTTTTTTCTGAATCAAAATGATGAATGACTGAAAATATTCCAGATGGAAGTCATCAATTACTTTTCCCACAGAGTAGAGGCCTCTTCTACAGAAGGCAGAGGCCAGGCAGGTGAACCAATATCTACAAAAGCAGTGCTTCACTGACCACTTTAACCAAAAATGATATTAATTCATTCATTCATATATTGTGAACTTGTTATTGGAAGATTCATTTTACCTCTGAAGTCTGGTGGTAACCTGCTGTTCTGAGTAACTTTCCATGCATAGATTGGTGCAAGAGTAAGTCTCTAAACTTAGCAATGTCATTCCTGGTCTCTCAGTTAATATGTCGTACTTTTTCTCAGGATGTTTTTCTGGTATCAAGGATTGTACCAAGTGTTTCTATCTGCAGCATTTCATTCTCTTCACACTTAAATCTGAATTTCTTACCTTAATTTAACTAAGACTCTCCCACAGTGTTGTGCTGTTTCCACTGATACAGGACAAGTGAATTACACACAGATAAAAGTTGAAATATGAATAAATGTTCCCTACCTAAAGTCAAGGAACAAAACTTTTGCTGTGGTCAATACAAATACTAACCAATATCTAATTTCTTTGACTTCAAATAACAGGGTGAAAACTAAAGGCTATATTAAACCTATACTTTAACAGTCCCTTAATGAGCATGCATCTTCATCTTTGCTGACTTCGGTTTTTCAAAGATATTTAGTTTCTGATTAAATATGCCTTCTAACATACTGACCTCACCCGGTGTGTGGTTTTAGGTTTTGTTAATAACACACCAGGTAAAATATCAGCAATGAATCTGCAAACTGCGAATAGAAACATGCATGGAGGTAATAAGAGTTTCCACATGCCGATGAGTCTGAGGGTTAGAAAACACTCACAGAACAGTCCAAACTGATCACAAGAGTCTGCAGATGAACAATGTCTGATTGGTTTGCTGAGTGAGGCTAACAATAGCAAAGCTAGTACCATCAGCCTTTAGTTCTCCTTGTTAATGTCCACATGCATGAGCTATTTATCTAAGTAGTAACTCTGATGCCTACTGGTATGAGTGATGGTGTCTCATAATTTGCCCTTACACCTGACCTCAGTGAATCTGGACTGTGAGGCATGCGAACCCCGACCAGAACACCCTCGGTTCCTATCAGTTCAGGACAAAAAGAGCTTCAGTTTAATGTAACAATTGCTTTACATATTGAAGTTTTTTCATTCAGAGCATGTAAAATGACTAATATTTTGATCCCAAGAGACATTACAACACTGAAATGCTACACAAAATCAATACAAACTGAGTGCGATGAGGTCAGAATGTTGTCTCTTGTGCTCCTATATTGGAGATGTCTGTGAGGGCAAACTGTCTGGTGAACTCTCAGCTAGAATTAAGTTTCTTGGCCCTCTGGTTAAGCTGAAGTTACGCTCTGTTCTCTATTCTGTCATCTCCCCTGTTTGACCCCCTCCTCAGCCATCTTTCGCTCTCTTTCTGCTTTTCTTATGACTTTGAAGAAATCTTCCGGCCCTCTTTGAACCTTTGCTCATTAATGTCAGCTTGTTTTCCCACACTGATCCAGCTGCAGTCCTACATCAGTAGCAGAAGCAGCAGCAGCAGCAGCAGCAGTGGTAGCGGCCAGTGGAGCACAAAGGCAGGCTTGTTGTCTGCTGAATGTGTCTATATGCGTAAGACCGTCTGCGTGTGTGTGTGTGTGTGCATGTGTGTTCCTGTATGGCGCACGTTCACTCCCCCGCAGATAGTGAGACGGCCAGAGCAGAGCTGTCTCTTTAACCCCCTCTGCTATCGACACAAGCCGAAAACCAAACAGCAGCCCACGCCCTCCTCAAGGCTCCGGCAGGCAGAGGGAGCATTCCTCTGAGCTGACTAACCACACAGACACACGCACAGACAAACACACACACACAATGTGACATAAAATTCAATTGATATTAATTCTTTTATTTCCCAGTAGAGAGCAGCCTGAATATGTCTGTGCCACAGAGAATATAGAATATATTATACGTTTTATATTAACTCTATGCCCCATGCTCCACCGAGTGAACTTTCAGTTCCTTCTGTCTTTTCAATTGACTAATCCTCCATTTTTCATGGCAAAATTACACCAAGCCTTTTAATTATAATCAAGTGCACCTTGAGCACTGGTTTCTACAATCAAGAGATGGGTAAGAAACACCTCTTCATAACATTAACTGGCATATTGATGTATTTATGTATTGTTTTGATCAAAACTGTGAAGTAATGAAAAGTTTAAAAAGCCTTCATGTGTATCAGTCCTTCCACAGAGGTGAGGCTTCAAGTCTAGCATGGCCCTGCTGGCTTGTTACTCATGGTAAATACACAAGGCTGGGTGCTCATAATGTGTGTTTTGAAGGACCAGGGGCAACTAAAATTGCAAAACTTTGGGAGACAAAAAAGTTGCTTTCAACAGACAATGTTGTTTTGCACTCTTTAAAGAAATGAAGGTTATCAACTGCAGTGCACATTTAATACAGATGGTGACAAAACAATCAGACAGAGGAAAACAGGAATATCAGTTATGGTTCGCAGTTTCAAAGGGTGAAAAAGGTGCCGGAGCTCTGAAAGGGCATTCAAAGCAGTGTTTCTTTCAAACATACTGAATAAGAAGGTAAAATTTGTTCAATTAAAAGAGAAAGCTAAATCCAAATCAACAGCCTACGACACTGAACTTGGTGACATTATGCAGCTTAGAGCGCTTTTAAACTTTAACCTTGAAACTTTTCAGCACATTAATTAAGTGCTTAATTTTGCCAAGATCCTTAGACACGACGACCATTATCTAAAATTGCCATCATCCATTGTATTATCCACTTACAACAGAAAACAATTACATAAAATTGTTTACCAGCAGAAGCAGCCCTGTTAAGCCTTGGAGCTTTGACTCATAGTGTTTTTTAAGGTCAAAACTATCCTGTTACAACAAGGTAAACAGCATAATACAGGTACTGTAGCCTACACACAAACACTCTCGTCTCACAGACACCAGTGTGTGTATCCATCTTCACTCACAGCACTAAACTGGTCCTGTCAAGCAAATCAAACAATGACAGGAATCCTGAACTCAAGTGCTGAGGGCGACTTGTTACCATCATTAGTGCAGCAAACCACACACAGACAGACAGAACACATAAACTCTGTGTGACCCGTCTTACACCTCGTCCCAGTTGAACAATGCTGTCTCAGATGACTCAGGTGTGATACTTGACATGAAAAGAACCTCTAAGTGAGTGAGAGACAGTGTATGTGTGTGTCTGTGTGTGTAAAGAAGATAGAGGACTTTTGACCTGACTTAAGTGCAACTGAAAAAGTAAAAGAAAGTAGCAAATTGGAATTCATTGATTCTGCAGGTGCCAAATTGACTGCTTTTAAAATTTTGGTTCAGGCTTTTAAAATCTGAAAGAAGATTCTTTCTTAAAGGGATATTTCGGCATAAAATTAATTGAAGGTCAAACACATCGTACCTCCGAGTTAGACACCCACTCGAGAGACGAATGTTGCCGACCGCTTGCTTCTCCAGTTATACCAACTTTAGTAACAACCAAACGATAGCAACACACACCGGTCTGAGGAGCCATAAAGAAACCTTAACTGAAAAGCCGCTCTATAGCCACAAATAATGCTCAGAACAGCACCTAACTTCATTAACAGTACATATAGGGTCCCAGCCACAGCACAAGCCACCAAACAACTGTTTAACTTTGCCTTATTTCTTTAGCAAAGAGACTAAACACAACTCACCTACTTCCTTCCGGCAGCTGCTTGCTGGAGGAGTCCATTACCGACTGCGGCGGGGTGTCGCAGCTCAAGAAGGAACATTTATGATCCTTTCTTTGAAGTAATAATCATCATATCAATCATTTTGCACTGCAGACGCAGTAGTTCTTCTGCCTTAGAGTCTCGGTCTGATTGCATTTCCATGAAGAAATTATTATCAATGTTCCTCCTTAAGCTGTGTCACCCCGCAGCAGTAATAGACCTACCCTTTAATGACCCAGCTTTCTCTTGCACTTTTAATTAAAACACATTCAGCCAAAAACAAGAAGTCAGACCTGTGTGGACACAATATGCCAAACTGGGATGAAGCATCAATACACTAAGTGATCTGCCCTGACTCTCACTAACCACCCTTAAAATCCACAGGTAAATCTCTGTGGGTGCATAATTGTCACCCTGAGTCCAATTGTGGACTACTTTCCGCTCTGCATGTCCGCTCTCATTACAGCTGTTTTTTTTGTTGTCTCAGCATTTCAGGACTTGTGTCATTCTATCGGCATTCATCAGCACAGTGAGAGACAACAGCACGTCAGACACAACGGCTAACAACTAATTCAAAATGATGGTATTAAGACACATAGAGCTCAGATAAAAAAGATTCACTTACACCAGGATAAAAAGTGCTGTGCTGCAAGTTCATCACACAAAGCCCCACTCTGGGCAGACTATGCAAGAGCAACAGTATGTGAGGCTCTCCAAAACAGGCCTTTAGAGGTAAAAGTCAGTTTCTGGAAGGGGCCCTATCAAACCATGAAAAATATTTCTTTTTGTTTTTATATCACTCAAACTCTTTGAATTAAGCCATTATAAAACAGAAAACAAAGAAGCAACTTCACATTAACAAACGTCTCTCTGAGGCTCTGAGACAGAAGCTGCTAAATTTGGCTCAGCTTGCTCCTATACCTTAAAATTCAGACGCCCAATGACAGAAATCTTAATTCTGAGAAAATCAGGAATCAAAAACCAACAATTTTTTGACTTAAAACACAAAAAAGTCAACCAAAACACTCTGATGGAGCCTTCTTTTAAGAAAAACATGATAGTCTGGACTGGAGGCTATAGTTGGGGTTTAATACGAAGCTGAGTTAAGAAAAATAAGAAATAATAAACAGTGAAAGCTTTATATTGAAGCCCACATTCAGAGTCAACCCACAGAAAGTCTCAGTGAAGATAATCCTAATGTGTAGGAGGGTTGTTTGTGCATATTTATGTACAGTACATACAAGGAAAATTTCAGCAGGTGGAGTGCGAAGCGGAGCAGGTAAACACAGTTTCTTCCTGACACAGTAGCTGCACTGTGTGTGTCTGTGTGTATTTAATCCAGACAGACACCCCTTTTTTATGCTGAACTGCTGTCTGGCTGGAAAACAAACCAGTTCTATCTCAGCGATTAGCAGTGTTTCTTTTCTCTTTTTTTGCGTCCAAACCACACTTACCACCGTCTCCCTCTGATAAGCTTGAGATAAACACTCTGCCTCTTGCCAAATATTATGTCTCCTTCTCTTCCTCAAGCTAAACCATTAGGCTTTCTTGTTTACCTCTCTCTCCAACATTTAGATTCACTCAATTTACAAACGCTTTTCTACCCTCTGTTGCTTTCACTCTCTTGCTTATGCGTTCCTCTATCTGTTATAGGCCGTGTTTGCTTATTAAAGTTTACTCCCCCGCTATGATGACACACCCTCCCCTCTGGCAGTAGACACAACACTGGGATTCCCCAACACATCACTCCTCATTTTTGCCCTCTTTTTCTTTCTCAAACTTTCTCTCATGCTACCTCTGCCCCGCTTTGATCCTCCTGAACAAGAAAAGATGTGGTTGATAAAAACTTGGGAGTCTTAAATATCAACCTTAAGGACTTAGTACAAGCATCAATGATTTCGTGTTTTAGCAATAACAAAGAGAAACATGTTTTGTTTTTTTTTCTGACAGAGCATAACTTTGATTTAAATCAGTGTGTTGAACAAGCCTGATCAGGAATGTTAATCTATGCCATCTTTTAGTTCTCTTTGTTCCTGATATCCAAATGTGAATGCCAGAATACATTCACACTCAGCAAAGAATCCTTTCACTAAACTTTTCTGATCTGGATCCAGTTAAATCCTGACTGACTTTTACCAAAGGTCTTTCACACCTTTGCATTGGTGTAAAATGGTTTTCACTGGTTCCCAGGACAAACAGATTAACTACAGCACTGCTGAGGGAAGTCTAAGGTAAACTTGTAAATCTGTTGGTTTTGAGTTCAAACTCTTTCATTCATAGATTGAAGCACCACAAGCAAAACAAAATGAATCCTCGAGCTTTCAAACAAATCTTCTACAGCATCCTCTGTGAATCTCAACAACCCAACCAGGCAGAGACTTGCGTTGAAACACAGGTGTGGGTTCAGGTTTAGTCCTATGAATGGCACTGTTTGTTTGTTGGTGTCTCTGTCATACTCTGCTTCCTCTCTATCTCTCTCCTTCACGTCTGTCTTGCTTGCTTTTATTGCTTCTTCCATCCTTCCCACCTGCCCTGACATGCAGCAGTGTGAATCAGACTCTCCACTTTCTGCCAGAAGGGATGTGTGCCGACAAGACAAAAGCACTCCCCAGCACTGGCCCAAACTCAAGGAAAGTTGCAGTAGGTAGGAGTGAGGAATCTACTCCTCCAGGCCCTTTACAAAGACATGACACAGATTTTTTTTATACGGCCATTCTTTCTCAACAAAACTTGGTGCAATCTTACATTTTTTACATCCAAATAGAAGATCATTATGTCAGTTTCAAACTTGGAAATGTGAAATACAAAACCTACAATACTAATGGGAAATGTGTGTACATACCTTTAGTGTCGCACATATTGTGGTTGTCTGTTAAAGAAGCTGTTAGGATCAGCTTAAATAAGAACACATCAGCTGCATTTCAACTACCTGTGATTAGTTTCCACAATATTAATGACAAAATTAATGTTAGATTTGTTGCAAGGACATCTTATTTATCAACACAAAGGTGGGAATTAATCTTTTAAATTTTTAAAGCTGCAACTTTGGATACCTGTGTTTTCTTTCCTTTTTTGGTGGAGATAGCTGGCCCGTTTGTTGACCTTTGTAACTGTAACTACTTACTCACATTGAGAGGAGGGAAACAGTATTCTGCTTCACACAAGTGAAATGAAAAGCGAGTCTGGTACCTTAGCTCAGCATCTGTCCATGGTAAACCAATCACTGCTGGATGATGGAAAATTTGTCACTCACTCTGTCACCCAAATACACTTCATTTGACGCTGAAAATGCATCATCATTCATCAGCTTGTCACCTCATATTGACTTCTCAGTTAACTAGATAAAATCCTTAAGATATCCTCAGGGTTTTCATTTCCTCATATATAGATGTCTCCTGTTTTTTCCTGTTTCTGTGTCATTGTCGTCAAAAATAACCGTGTGAAAAAAAACTATGTGAGTAAGTTACCTGGGGCCTTTGACTATTTAATGCAATCTGACAGACTTAACAAGTGATTTGAAAACTAATAATTAGATTTATGAATAATGAAAATAGGTGTTGGTAGCAGCCTAATTTGTCATAAAAAACAAGCCACTCTAAGTGAAAATGTGAGAGAGGATTATTTTAAGACTGGGTGCATGCTTGACACAAATCAGTCAGTTAATTCTGATAGACTTCATCTTTAACAGGTGAAGAGTAAATAAATGAAGCACATCACAAACTAATGACCTGACTGCAGTGTTTCACTGATGATACATTTTGACTTGTCTTCCATCACACAGAGCTGGAGCAGCAGTGCTGCTGAAATATTCACTTACATTTTGTGAACTGTCCAGTTCAATTACTGTAGCTGCCAATTAGAGCTGTACTGCACTTGCAAAAGTAACTGCACTTCTGAAACATTTTTGAATGATTTGTGTGAGTATTTAAGGTTTCATAACAATACTGACTCTAGGACAACCAGGGGACAAGGGTACGTGTGTTGCAAGAGTATGCATTCATAGAAAAAAAACTAATTTTGTATAAAAAATATCACTGAGCTAAAGTACTAACAGGAACAGTTGAATATATCTTGAAGAAGGAATGTAGCAAATGTGGAATAGAAGCCAAACTAAAACAGCAACATTTTTAAGTGATGGTGATCAGAGTGTAAGGTTAGGATACACACAGTACCTTCTGTTTCCTTATTAATTGAAGTGTGGGCAGGTTTAGGCACACAAACAACTCGGTTAGGCTTAGGGAAAGGTTGTGGTTTGTGTTAAAGTAGCTCACTGGTTGCTGTAAAGGAAACATTGTGGTTTGGTTAAAACAACATCCTTAAGGTCTAGGAACCATAGCTAAAAGAAGCTAATGCTGAGTGTGGGTTGGAAAAAGGAACCAAATAACAGCCTTCTGTGTCAAACTCAGATTTTTTTTTTGTTTACTGTTCCAAACAACCTTTCCTCCTCCGCTAAACCTGTAGACATTTCCTACCGACTCAATGCAAGAATATTTAGTTATTGTGACGGTGCAGTAAAAGCTGAAGAGATTTACACACCCCCGGGTATGACTAAAACACACTTGGCCTCTATTTTCAAATGCACTGAAAATCTCCTCCAACAACAAAAGTAAAGTCACCAGTTAGTCATCCTTTTACGTTTACAGTGCAGGCTACCACACATCACATCCACCCTTTAACCACTGGAAACTGGTCCACTTTCATGACGTGACGTACTTCACACACAGATGTTTGTGAGTAAAGCAAGTTAACAGCTCATACGAAGAGATGATTTAAAAGTAGTAACAGGAAGCTAAGTGGATGGGTTAGTAGGTCAGTACCACAATGCCAAGACTTGAACTTGAAACATCTATTTTGTTTATTGCTCCTCAAAAAACAAAATACTGAACCACAGAGACCCAAAAGGCACTGAAGCAGCTGCCCTGCCTAAGTGATAGGCAGCGAGCTCTCTATATCAACTGGAAATCTTAATGAACATCACCAAGGTTCTTGCATGAGTTGCTCTATCCCAAGTGTAAATATATAGAGACACACACGCACACACACACAACGTCAACCTTAACCACCCCCACAAAATCCAAACCCCTAAAATAAATGTCCTGTGGCAAAATTCACCCAGTTGTGATGATACAGCTTCTAACCAAAGACTATCAAGTTATTTTGAATATCCCCTCACAGAAAAAAGCAGCCTTTAAAATAAAACTGCTGGATCTCTGAAACTCTGAAGCATCTTATTTTCTCAACTGGGGGGCTCAATGTTTTTAAGTTCGGTTTTATGGACAAACTTGAGAAAAGCAACAATATGGGGAAAAAAAACATTCAGGTAATTACCCCTTTAAAACACAATTTTTGTATCAACTCCGACAAGTTACTTACCTGCTCTCTCCTATGATAAAAATTACATAAATTCACTTTTCTGGAGCTATTTACATCTAACAACCACTAAAGGCTTTCTGGCTAGATGTCCTACCCCCCCATTAACACACACAGTCACACAACTAAAGGCAAAAGCTGTTGTACATAAACTGTGACTGCCCATCAGCACCAATGCATGTGCACACACACTTGTGAACAGCATCTTTTCATTGTGTCTATACCATGAAAGTCTCCCAAAGATTTAACATCCATTAGTTTAGTGTTTCCTCGGGAAGCCACGAGAGCGAGGTGGTAGTCTTTATTTACTCACAACACAGCAGAAAACAGACGAAGACTTCTCAGCTGACAACTCTCCCCGGCAGCCAAAATTTTATCTGAATTGTTGATGCTGCATGGACTCTTTCCAGGGAATCTTAACTTGAGAGTTAGTTTCATAACACCAAAAATAGTGAAAAAGCACAGTATTCATAGCAATGATGTCATACTGCTGTCTCCCAGCCAACAACGGAGCTTGGCCTACAGTCAAGCACTTTGGTCTTATCTCATTTGGAAAGCGATATGGACAAAACAGTAAGCAGTGGTATTTCATCCAAAAATCGATTCTAACTCCCCCAACAGACACCTGATCTGTTATTGCACAACTCAATGCAACTTTTAACTCGATTAATGCACATCGCCTGCCTTGTTTAGCATTCAGCATCACAGCATACTGTCATATAGACAGGCTGCGATGAGCCTTGTCAGGGAGTTCATGTGTCAGAGGGGTAGGAGTGAAGTGGTCCTCCCAATGGACAGGCCTGAACATGCAGGCAGCTGCTGTCAGCGAGCCAGAACATTGGGGGAATTAATAGAAACAGCAGCTCTCCAGGGACACTGTTAGCCCACACTGACAGCCAGCTCTGATCCGGGGTCATCTTAATGCACTCTGCCTCTTCCCCTCTGCATTAGTGGTGAGAAACATGAAACCTGGATCATGGCAAACGTTATTCAACTTTCCGGGTAGGCTTTACTGTGAACACCGGCCCAGGCCTGTGCAAGCTGTGATATGCACACTTGTGGCAATCAAGAATGTGGGAGCGCCCTGCGTGGGTTTCAATTTTCATCTGACACACAGGATGCTCTTGAATGAAAACTGCCTACAAATACAGAGAGGACTGCGGACCCAAATCAAAGATTCATATCTGTAATTTTCCATAATTTATGAACATTAAAAATAGCTGTGAATGTATTTCGTCTTGGCAGTTTTTTTCCCTCTGAATCCCGTCTAACTGTGAAAGTAATAGAGCTGCATGCAAAAATGTCATTAATAACTCTGATGCAAAAATCTGTGAAAATTCTTTTGCAGTCAAAAACTCTTTTCGTCTTCCAACTGGTACATCCTTTATGGTCAGTCTTTTGATATAAAAATGAGTTTGTCACTCAGGGATATGACTGGCATCACAAGATGAATACACATGCACCTCAAAATGCACATATTATCATATAATTCAGTGTATCTCCTTTAATGACAACTAGGTGACAATTTCACTTATATTAAATTACCTCTCTTCCTGATGTATTATTTCAATAAATCTAAAGTCCTCTGTACGGCAAAATATTAATAATGCTGAATTTCTACAGCTGTAGGCTGCATACAAGTAGTCCATATAGTATACTGTTATATAGTTAATGTATAATACGACTGGGATTTTGTCTTGTGAACTTGATTGGCAACAATTGGAGGATAGTAGAGACACTTATGTCACACATATTGTGAAGAAGCAGAGTGAATACCATCAAGAAATGACAAAATTTAGATAATAATCAACTGCAGATTGACAGATATAGAAAGAAAGAGAGAGTATCCTCCAGATGATCACTCAAAATAGCATTCACAGTGACAAGTGTCTTTGCTATTTCACATTTAATCTGCTAAGATTTTCTGTAAGTGGATTATCATCTGAGTTGTTGACCTCAGTGACATTGAAGCTGGTTATTCATAACAGAGGCACGCGGAAACAAAGCGCAAATCAAAACTATCATAAAAACTCAAGTACTTGATTGGCACTTCATATTTCACAATGTTGTTTGCTGGAGGCTATGTTGTCAACAAGCCGAGTTCATCACTAACATTAGCGTGGCATTTGGAAATGAAAAGTATGTCCCCATATGTAACCCTCCTGAGATTTTCCATTAAAATACCCTATTATCTTCTTCTATTTAATGTGTTTAGGGTAAATCATGATTCATGAAGGTCACCTCTTCTGGCCCAAAAAATCTGGATTTCCAGATTAACCCGAAAGAATCGCATTCCTGGTAACAGGTTTGTCCAATCAGTACTTCCGTGAAAATGTGAAGATGCAAGATTGTTGCCTCTGTGGATGGAGACCGTCTCCTTCTTTAGATATATAAAGTCAACAAAAACAAAGGGTTTTTTAATGATCTGGTGGGACAATACTTATTTAAACATACTTGTTTATATTAGATTCTGTCTAAACGTTGCTAATTGTCACAAACTGGACCCTTAAGGTGAAGAGCATGCTGCAGGACAAATTACCTGTTTCATTTTCATCTACTCATACTTGTTTTTCTGCACAGAAAATGTAAGTTATAGTTACAAGACAGCAGTGAGATAGCCATAAACACTAAAACAACAGTTGTCTTATATCATCCAATACTGTATCTACCACGCAGTATACAGCTACTCCACATATGTTATAGATATTATCCAATCATATCAAGGAAAGAGCTTCTTATATTAAACTTAGTTTCAAAAGTTCGACTGCCACAGAGGTTGTGTTTTAAGGAGACACCTAGAAATGTGCTGTGAAACCTTGTGTTTACTCAGAAACATCCCCTCACAAGCCCTTACCTCCCACAGCCTTTAATCCAGAGAAAGATGTGGGGGGCAACCAGAGACCTATACAATCACTACTACTACTAGAGGTGATTTGATGTGGTGTACCAGTGTCTTGTTTTGAGATACTGTCTCAGTAGATACATGGCTGTACGGAGGCATTGAAAGGACAGGGAGAGAGAGAAAGAAAGAGAGAGAGAGAGAGAGAGAGAGAGAGAGAGAGAGAGAGAGAGAGAGAGAGAGAGAGAGAGAGAGAGAGAGAGAGAGAGAGAGAGAGAGAGAGAGAGAGAGAGAGAGAGAGAGAGAGAGAGAGAGAGAGAGAGCTCCACTGACTCGCCTACGCACTAACACGCAGAGCTAGAAAGCGTTCCAGATTAAGGCCAAGTTATATAACTTGGACTCCATTTGTGCTTTTGCATTGCATGTGCGCTGATGGCTGGTCAATAAACACACTATTATGTCACCGTTTAGGCAAAATAACGTTAGTCGTGTTTACAGGAGACAGCTAGTGTAGTGGTTTCAGTTCACTTGAAGAAAAAGTGCACATTTCGATGGCATGACAGCCAGTGGGGTGAACTGTTTTCGTGTACGGTTTGCTAGCATCTCTTCAACCGGTGTTAGCTCGTTATGCATTTCATTAGCCACCATGTTTATTTCTGTATAACATAAGTGCATTGAGGCACAGTGTAAGTATTGACGATGGGGAGGAAGGGGAAACATCAACTTCAACATCAAGTGGAAGGTGTCACGATAAACGTGTGAGGTACAAGAGTTGTCAAAACATGCACAAGCGATTGAGAAATCTCTAATAAAAACCTGCACTTGATAAAATGTCAGTAAAATCGTCAACCTTAGCAAGCTAACTGTGGATGCTGCCTTCACGGTCACCGTCAGCAGCACTCTCAAACTCTGCTCACCTCGGTATAGTGATGCATTTTGTGTTGATATTCTGGGTGGTGATGGCTTTCTCCAGTTCGTCCAGCTGTCCCGTCTTCTTCAGCTTCTTCACCAGGCTCTTCACCGCCTTTTCAGACCATTTCTCCTCCTGGCCGTTCTGCTCTCCCTTCTTCCACCCCAAAAGTCTCTTGACAATGGGGGGAGTGAAAGGCAAAATTGACATCTTCGAGTTCAGTAAAGTCCTTCCAGTGTCAAGAAGTCCGCCGGTTAGGGCAAAAACACGAGGACAAGTTGCCCTCTGAGCGGTCCAAACAGCAGAAAGGAAAGTCTTATTGAGCAGAAGACAAAAAGTTGTTTACTATTACTCGCCACACGGATGCATCCCGGAGTTAAAGCCTTTAGTTTGGGCGCACTCGCTCTGTCTGGCACGAGCTCAGCCGTGAACTGTGCACCGGTAGTCTGTTGCGCTGTAGATCTAGTACAACTCCGCAGAGTAAAATAGTTCCGTCTATACTTCTTTAAACCAGCGGTATTATGCAAACACCCTTTACGGTTCACATCCAAACTACGTTTTCTTGTAGAATAGTCGTAAAAACTTGAAGTGGGAGCACTTTTACGGTTGTTCCTCTCTGATGCTTTAACCTTCGTTCAACTAAGTTTTGCGGAGTTCATACTCATCCGCGCTGCTACCGCCGGCTGAAGTCTGCAAGAAGTCTGCATCAAATGCAAATGTAGGAGCTGCTGCTGAGAGTTTCTATTCAGACTTCAGACTGCACAGCAGACCAGTGAAAGGCCAGTCTGAGCAGCTGGCCAAAAGTGGTGTGCTGATATTGCACAACCCTCTGCCTTCTCCCTTTGCTCATAAAGATACTACAAAGCAACATGGCAAAACTTTACAGGTACAAGGGGTACCACCTAAAAGAATAACAGATCCTCTTCTCAAACTGAGCTAAGCCACTTTTCCATATCCTGACTTTATTTATTCTTTTTTAAATCTTCTTATACAACTCCCTGTTGTATGATGAAATCCATCTGTTTCAGTTGATCAACATAACATAATTATAGTCCAAAAAGGTCCATGATGTTCTTGCCTCCTCATTTTCCTCCACATGGTAATAAAGTTAAGGGTTTCGATTTTAAGAGGGAAACACTCATTCTTTCTTTCCATTATATTTTTGGAAACAAAAACCACTTCATCTTCATTATCCAACATGCAGTTATGTTAGCATTGCTGCAAAATGAAACATTCCTATGTGTGTTTACAGGACCAATACATATGGAGGCCTTGACATTCAGCTGCTTCAACACAGCACTTTAAGTAATTGCTACTGGGGTTGTTTGTCTCCACACAGGGGTAAATAACCCAGGAGTCGCTATGAGAGAGAGGGTGATAAAAATCATGCACACACGTACAGACTGAGCCACAAACTTGCCTCAGCTTGTTAGTGGTGTGAACACTCATGGATGCCTACTCAACAAGGCGGTAGTTTGGTTTGCAGTGTGGCTCTGCCTTTAATACCACAAATTATGCATACACACACACACACACACACACACACACACACACACACACACACACACACTCACGCATATGCATACACGTATACACCCCCTTCCCTCTCAGACAACACACCCCTGGTCCCCGCACACACTAACGCAGTGTCAGGGAGTCAAAATGCCAGATGTACAATAGAGTGTGCAAGCACAGCTGAGCTCACCACAGAGAGAGTGATAGTTTAGGGTGTGAGGCACTCTTTGTTCTTCAGGCTTCAAAAGAAAAAAGACTTTATTGCATTCAAAAGCAGTTAGAGAACTTGAGGCCTATTTGCGAGTGCTTGAAAGAGTTGTAAAAGTCGTGAATGCTCTGCACAAAGGCTGGCGCGCTATCATTAAAATAAACTGTTGAAGTAATGTTATACACAAATCCAGCTATGTTCCACGAGACGAAAACTAAATAACAAGCAAATTGAGTGCTTATGCAGCAGTTAACTTTCAATCTTTTTCCAAACTAAGTTCTCACAGAATTGGTCTTAACTGAACCTAAAAAGCTCCCATCAACTCTCCTGAGCAAACCTTTCATCAGTGCCCTCAATGACAGTTCACACTCATGCACAAATAGTAGCATCAACCTGTGGTTACCATTTTGGTATGTGTGTACAGCCGCATTGACCTGCGTCCAGTAGCCCCCCTCTCCCAACACAGTGTGTAGTTTATGCTAAAAATACCACCGGCTCTGGCCTCAGCAGGACAGACCTTTATCCTTTGATCTATTTTGGTGACAGAGCGATGTATGTTTTGATATCTGCTGAAGGAATGCCAAAGTTCCTCCTTCATACTCACATCAAAAAGCCCCTTCAAGGGTACATTTACACTGAATGATAAAAAATGAAGGGAAAAAGTTTGCCTTAACTATCACACTAAAGTTTATTATAAATGCACAGAGACTTTGCATAACCTGCCCAACAATATAACTCACAATAAAGTGATGCAAGAGGATGGTGAAAAAGTTTCCTATGCAGTTGTTTGTGGACAATTATCAATCAGCAGCTCCTCGTCTGTGGTAACAATTAAGTGTGCAGCTGTAAAACACACCACTGTGTCTCTTGTGTGTGTTGGCAGGTTGGAGGAGAGGACTGGAGGAGCGTGCTGCCATGTGTCACATGCTGAGGCCCTGCAGCTCACTCTCTCGGCACCTGTTTACACCCCCAGGGACACGACCGGCCAAGACAGCTGGTTTGTTTTGGAGAAGTGCAGGGCGAGACGGGGCGGATATGGGGGTTCAGGGTGGGGGATGGGATTACAGATGGGCCGGAGTAGACGGGAGGTAGGACAGAGTGGACAGGGAGGGGGGGCACATGAGGAGGAAGGGGGGAGGAAGAATTACTGAGCACAAAAGGCACTCCAGCCGGTCTGAATGGGCAGCGACCACGTGCAATCCGATGGATGATAATGACATTGTGCTGGCTGCAACCTCAGGGGACTTGGTCAAAGTGTGAGTGTGTGTGGGTGGTGGGGGTTTGTGTGGGTGTGTGTGATGTCAGCTGGTGTCCCAGTGGGGCTGAAGGGTCAGAAAGAAAAGAAATGATGGGTGTGGATGTAAGCGATAAGGACGCAGATGAGCAATGTTCGCTCAACTTAAAGGGGACATTACATAAACACTGATGAACGCAACATTTAACAATGTGCTTTATAGAACAAAAAAGGTAACTATATTCACAAAACATTTACATACGTAGCCTTTAAATTTCCCTTTAGTATATAAACACCTCATATTATTTCAACTTAACAATTCTAAATCCACATCATATAACCCTCATTCATAAACACAAAACAAACAGAGCACAAATTTCCTTGTTAAAAAGAATGGTGATTACTCTTTTGGTAACATCTGGAAAGTTAACAAGAAACAAAATTTCATTTTTGACAACAATTCAATAAGTCTCCAGATACTTTAAACAGGACAGCAATCAAATACAGTAATACCAATTTGAAACTAAGTTAAAGTCTAGCTCTCAGATCGTAATTCCAAGTCCACATACATTTACACTTTCTCGATATGAGAAAATCCGCTTCATGTATTAAAAGTAATAGTGATTTTAAGACATATACAAACATACTTGAAGTAATTATGAAACCCCATGTTAAGGTGATTAAATCCACTTTCATTATCAATTGCCACACTTATCTAATCGCTGAGCCGCAGCTAGCTGCACCAAGTGTTTTTGTTGGCACGATCAAAAAGAGGCCCTAACTTGATGTTTTGCCCAACCTGCTCTGAACTAAAAGTGGCACATGGCACACCAGCTTAGTGGGCCACGCTTATCGACAGATGCAGAGGAAATACTAAGTAAGCTTTAGTGGCAGAAACACCAAGAAACTACGTTTTGTATCCACTGAAGAAATGACTGAAGTCAGAAATTTAGCTACAATCAATGGTAAAGGCAGGACTTGACTAAATCATTTTATCACTGCAGTCCTAGTTGACAAGTGCTGGGAACCTTTACACCAACACCAGTGTATCATATAGGATTTGATTTGTTAAGACAGAATCTTTAAAGAAGTGAGGATCAATGGATAACACATTCAGAGGATCAGAAGCACAGTATCTTACTTGAAAATGTAACACAAAAGCACAGCAGTGAACAAAAAAAGCTCAAGTCAGCAAACACTCTTTACTTTTGTTCTAAACTTTAAATACTCTGCTATATTTTACCACTGGTATTTGCTAAAATTGTGAGCCTATGCTAACAAAGATTTTTTCAGAAAAATGTGAAATGTGGTTTGTAATTATAGAGCCAAAGATGGGTCTTTGGTAGAGCCACAACTTCCTCAATTGTTCCTGTGCGACAGATTTAAAAAAAAAAATCTTCACTTGGAAAAAAAAAAATCTGAGAGTACTTTAGGTGTTATTTCCTGCATGTGTCAGCTTGTGTGTGTCTGACCTGTACCTGTGAAACACAAGTGAGAAATTTACAAGTGACTATTTGAAGAGTACAAATGTGTTTTCACTGATCTCTGTGGCAATAATATGACACGCTGTTTTCTCTCTGAGAAGGCCATCAATCGCTCAACAGCTCCTGACAGCTCCTCCAACTGCTGCAGCACATGGTGTACCAGAGGCTCGCATCATAACCCTCCTACACGCACCGAATACACTCACACTGAAGAGAAAAGACACACACAAAGCATGCCCTCCCATATGCAACAGGCCCCTCCCGTATCACTTCACTATTCTATAGATGACACATTTCCGTCACAAACACGGCTCTTCACCTCCCTATGCAGATACATTTCTGTAAATATGTCTCTATTGTTTAGGCCAGTAATCCACTTAAGCAGAGGAAGCAATCCTCGATGTTTAAGTGCTCAATGACAAATCTTTTGAAACTTCAGGCTGTTGCACAACTCACTTTGCAATGAATAACAGGAAGAGCGATATTTTTCCTTTCAGTTGTAATTGCCTGTCATTCAGCACAGTCCTGAGTTGCAGTATGCATGAATGCAAATCATACAAAGATAAACTCTGTTAAAAAAACATGCTACATACCGTAGACGACACTAATGATAGACAAACTTCTGAGAGAACCTGTAACTTTGTTTTCGGCCTTGCTCTGGAGACAGTCTTATAATGATGGACTCTGGATTGTAGCTACATATAAAGCAACACTGTCATAGTTGTTAAATCTTTGTGAAATTAATAGTTAGACTTTTATAGGGCAAACATCGTGACAATATGAGAGTATTTGCTAGAGGCAAAGCAAGCAAAACTGGAGGTGAACACAAACCGCCACTACAGGGTGGAAGGTGACATTAAAGTCTTTAAATGTAGTATTTTTGTGCTGTTTGGTGCCAGAATAGAAGTAACGTCTCAGACTAAAATTCTACTGTATACTAACCGCCACTAACCATCAACAAAAATGAGGACAACTTTGGTTAAAACAGGGTGAGATGAAAAG